TGCCCGCCAGCCCCAGCAGCATGGTGGGGTAGGTGGGTGGTAGGGGTGTTGGTGTTGCTGCTGGTGTTGGTTAGATTAGTTAGGAAGTTAAGGATGATGGGGGTGGTGGTGTCGGCTTGTATTGGTATCGAGTTGCTGGCTTGTAAAGAGTAGGGGTGGTTGAGAGGCGTAGGCTGCAGCTGAACTGATAAGTTCGGAGCTGGGAGTGGATTCGAAGGGGAGGAGAAGGAGGAGGTCGTAGAACGGCGGCGCACGTATCAGAAGCTTCGTTCGAGCGCGCAGAGCCGGAGTCAGAAGAAAGGACCGATACCCTGAGTGAACACCGTTACTTCAAGGGGGCCAGTGAAAGCCAGAGCTCGCTGCTGGGAACTCACGCAGCCAACTCTGTCCAAGGGACGTTAAGGACAAAAATACAGACGTTCGGTAATCTCAGTGTCTTAAGCCTTCAGATCACCGGCCACAGAGCCTCAAGCAGTTGTCAGGGTTCAGCCCAAATATATGCCCTGAAGCAAAGCTTTGAGGATTGCGTATGTGGTTCAGCGGTCGCCGTGCGGCCTTGCGTCATCGTGCCGCGAAAAGCATAACCGCAGCCGTTGACGCGGCTGACTGCAAGGCACATACGCAACTCCTGTGGCTATAATAGTAGGCTCGAAGTATTACATCATTCAACATGTAGGGTACCTCCTGCAGTGAACATCCAGTATAAAATGCGCCTGCATGCTGGTGGGCTGGTGCAACACACAAAGCTCTCCCCTTCGCCGCTGACTACTGGTCTGTGCCACCGCACTTCGCCACCCTCACTGCAGCTGCATTGATGTTAGCCTCACTGCTGTTGCTCCTCATCTGCGGCTGTCGCTGACGGCGGTTGCGCCGCATAACCTGTGAACCATGGGTCATGTCCTCGTTTGGCAAGCACCGAGTTTCGCCCTCATGTCGCTCGCTGCCGTTTACGTGTGCGGCAATGTGCGGAAATGTGGCACCCAGGGTGGGAGCGAGCCATGACGTTTGCAGTCATCAGCCATGTAAGCGTTACAGTTACGCGGCTGCTGGTACGACAGCGTGTGTTAAAATAACTGGCCGCGAGGCGAAACGTACTGTGATTGCCGAAAGATAGAGTCCTCCCACCGAAAACGCCACAGGTGTGTGTGTATTCCCTCCTTGTGAACCACCAGTGGCAAGTGCGTCAGTCCAATGCAGCAACACAGCAACACAGCGGCAAGGAGTGGGAGCGACACGAGTACACTCCCGCGACACGCCACATCAGGTCATATCATGTACGGCACACAGGCGCACATGCAGTTAGGTGGAAAGGACCGGTATGTATGAACGATGGCTGGGCCGGATAAGGAAGTCCATACCGTGCATGTATACGGCATGTGGGCTACGAATTGCAGTAACCTTGTTGTGTCATATATCGTATCACGGCCGTTCAACCTATATGCAATAACAATATGCACACCAAGCCAAGTGCCAAACCTCCACATGGCTAGATAGAAACAAACTTAGCAGGGAAGGAAACCCCAGGCACCAACACGCAAACCAAGAACTTACGTAGCCATCTGGTCACACACATCCTGAACACGCTCATTTTAATGCGTAATGTAATGATCACGAACTGTACTTCTTTGCACGACCCGTCACACGCCACTCAAAGCTATCCCTGCAAACTGCTGTCACCTACCCCTAATCCAAAGCCGCCCATTTCTCTTGCCCCGAACCCAACCTGCAGTTACAGTTGCTTTCTATACGCTAACACTCAAATGTGGTGCCGCATAAGGGGGTTCTCATCCTTAGGGATGGAACCAATGGGCACCTGTTCTTGCTAATCCTTCCAAGTACTGATATCCCACACACCATCGCCGCACGTTTGCAGCATTGCGAGCAGCTCGCCTCCGCGCCGTTGACCAAGCAGCCCAAATACATGAGAGCTCAAGACGTGAAGAAGCCACCGCTTTCGTTGCGAATGTAACCCTGCGTGCGGCATAGGCAACGAGAAAGGTCACGCCACATGCACATGTACATGGCGGATAAACTACTACTATGCAAGTGGTCCATGAACAGAATTATACACTACACAATACTTGTTGATGCACGTGCGTCCAAACAGACCAGCTGGAACCGAAAGTCTGCCTACCGGATGCTTCTGTGTTTGGCGTGGCGGCAGCTTCGGCATCCGCGATCCCTCATGCCCGACTTTTCGTAGAGTCGCCTCATACTGAACATCTACCCCATTGCTGAGGGCTTGGAGTGCCCGGACGTGCTGCAACTCCGACTTGTCCTCCTCTTTTACCACAGGCGGGGTCCGCATGTTCCCAATAGTCATGTTGTAGTTACGCACCTGCAGGCGAAGCGAAAGACATGTGTCAGCATACTGCAAAAGCGACTAACGCCTGAGCGCATTCCAGAAGCCGAGCTGTTGCCATAAGTGTATTCAGCTAACCCCTACCTGCGACCTTAGGTCCATCGTGACAAAACCCTTATGTGAGAGTAAAATAGCCCGAAGGTGTAACGGTAGGCTGTTAAAAGCTTATGCTTTTAGCGTATATTTCGTGCGTAGGTAGGCTCGGCCAGAATGGACGTCCTATGAAAGCTCTGTATCTTTAGAACAGTGCAGCCCTGACTTTATCCATGTAGCTGGCATCCAAGAGTCATCGGAATGGCTTCGGAGCTTGCTAATCCGTTGCGCTAAACAACATCAACACAACGGGCTACTTTCACATTTTAGATATAAGCATATTGTAAATCTGTGTAAACGTCATCCGGGCACCCGGAGCATTGAGCACCACTATAACTGCAAAAGACTTGGAATGAGCAGGCAATTTAGACCGCGGTTGATACTGCTTCAGCTTTCATTATGGTGATCTATGTGTTTGTACATCGCCATCTACACAACATACAGTGTTCCCGTAAGATTGGCGTCCTGCCAGGATAGCAACATCCAAGCATAGCTCCATTTTCCAGTGCACATTGCTTTTTCAATATCAAAGCACGTCGTCTTAAGAGCTTGTCCAATGAGGAGCTCGAAGCCTTCCTGGAAAAGCCATGGACACCCTAAACGTGCCCCCTTCCTCCCTCCCTCCCAACACTGCATGACAAGGCCCATATCACGCCCTGCATTGTACGCGTTGCAAGCTCTAGATGTCACTAACAAGCTCTACCCCTTATGTACTACAGCCACGGCTTCCTGGTGCCTAGCTCTCTCAGCTGCCAACGGTGCAAAGCAAGGGGCATGCAGCCTTTCATCCCTCCAGCGCACATCCTCTCCGTCACCCTGATGGGGATGCACCGGCTGCCTGGGGTTCTCCAACCTTTCCATCCGCCTGCTGCTCCTGCTGCTGTCCTTGTTGCCCTTCCTCCCCCAGCTGCTGCTGCTGCTCTGCCGCCATCGCCTTCAGCTCCTCCAGCAACCGCCGCTCCGCCACAGCCTGCGAGCGGGGGTGCCGCCAGGACGTTGAGGCATGGTGGGAAACGGGGAGCTGTTAGGAGGGGTCAAGGCAACTCGGGGGTGAGTTGTTGGCCATCACACGCTAAGCAGTCGGCCACAACGTGTTTATGGTTCTTCCTCTCTCTTTACCCCCCATCCCGCTCGCTCTCCTGGGGAGCTCCGTCATCGCTGGTGGGCAGCCACGCAGCGCTGCCACCTGAACAGCCCTCCCCTGCCGTCCGCCCATCGCCTTCACCTAGCCGGGGCTTTTGGCTCGGTTGTTGTGTGCTGGTGCCCTAGCCGTACAAGCCGGCTCCTCCTTCTATCCGCCCGCCCCTTGGTCCCCCTGCCACCCTAACGCCCTCCCTCTGACCTCCCACTTGCACCACTCCTCTAGGGCCGTGGCAGTGTCCCAAGCTAACCCCCACCTGCAGCAGCGGCGTGTTGGCCGGCATGTTGCAGGAGCACACCACCGGCCGGCCCAGCTTCAGTGCTGTTGAATGTGGAGCAGCGAGGGAGGGAAAGAGAAGGATTCTTAATGTGAGGGGGGGGCTTATGTGGGCGAGGGGTAGGCGGCTGGCGCATGGATGCTGGAGAGTCACGGTAAGGTTGCGTTAAGAGGCAGCCGGCATGAATAAGCCAGCGTGCCATCCCTAACTCACCTAACCGTTGCGCCATAGCGGATCCCTCTCCAGCAGCGCTGCTGGACGCAGGCAACAAGGACGCAACCGCTGGCGCCGTGTCCTGGCATCGGATTGTGGGATCGGGATGGGTGGCCCCGCACGAGGATTACAACGCAAGATCAGCGCATTCAACAAGAAATACTTTCGCCTACGCCTACATACTGTTCAATCAAAAAGGTCTCACCGCGGGAGTCTTAATGGCAAGATGCAAGTTTCCAAGCTTAGGTCCAACTGCTGACACCCAAACATAGTATTGGCGACCAAGGTCAAGTATCTGGAAATGGAGTGTAGCGTCGTGAGTCTGGGTCGTGAAGTTTCGCTGTCGCACTGTCGGGGCTACGCTGGGACTCGTGCATGGTGGATGGCCAGGCTGCTGTTGATCACGTCCGTCGCCATCGGGAAGGCTCTCAGCAAGCTGATCCATATGTTCCATTTTACTTCAATGTTTCGCTTCCTGTTGCAAGTATCAAGCAATGCGGAGAACCAAGAAAGCCAAAGGTGAACGCCCTAGCACAGTAATACCGGTACCATCATAGCGTTTACTACAACTCCAAAGCGATCTGATGCCGATAATCTCGAAAGGGGACGCAGCCATAGTTGAGACAGTAATTGGTGTACAACTGCTACCGAACCCTGGTTAGCTGCGCTTGCAGCCTGAGAGGTTCCAAGCCTCCGCGCGTGATCTCCAGCAAACCGCTTGCCAGCTATTGGCACCTGGCAAAGCTCCAAGTGCAGAAGGCTGCGTGCAGCACTGGTGATCTTGATCCACACGCGTCACCCACAGCCTCCCGTCAAGGCGAGCTGCAGATCGGCCACAACAGCGGCAGCTAGGACACCGGAACGCAGCTGCGGCGGCCATCCTTGCAGCTGTGCATCTCCAGACTCTCTCACTTTGCCACTTCTTAACCAGGCAAGGCCGGGTTCCAACGACTCTCAGCCGTTTGTTGCCGCGTCCCCTCACTTTTAGACCATGCCCTACATGTGTTTCCTGCTTGTACAAGAGTCGACGTACTTCAATCCACTCACGTCTTTCCCTGACGCCACGCCCCAACAGCACTTCACGCCTTCCACACCAGACAGCACACCTGCATCTAGCGCCCAACGAAAGCTGGCGCCCAACGCCCACACCAATGACAACCTCTCCTCCAGACAACGGCCCTCGTCTCTGTCTTCTTAAACCTTTGTGGCAGTCCAAAGGGGTGCAACCAAGCAGCCAAGCAACCCGCTAACAACTCTCATCAGCTCAACTCGACCCTCGCCTTCGCCCTCGCCCTCGCCCAACCAAAGTCAACTCAACCCAACACAATGTTTACCCCAACGCGCATACACAACTCTTCGCGGCCTGTTATTTTAACACAACTCTTCGCATGGAGGAGGACCCGGCACCTCATCTCCGCAAGGCAGGTCTCCTATCCTTACCCTTTCCCTCGTCTCCTCGCTTCCTCCTCCCTCCTCACCACCCCGCCCGCCAGCTGCTGCCGAACGCCCCCAGCTCCGCCGCCAACTGCGCCTCCAGGTCAGCAGACAACACACCCGTGCGACCCAGCTCCTGCGGTGGGGGAAAAAAGAAATTCCAATGTATGGTATGTGGTGTGCGGTGGGGGAGGGGGGCAATGAGACACCAAACCATAAGTGAAGGCAAGACAAATGGAACAGGATGCGGCGGCACCCAACCTCCCCTCTCCGCCCCCCTTTCCCCACCACCTCGCCATCTACATTTTCATCCACGCCATAACTACCCTCCCTTCTCCGCCCCCTCCCCTCCCCTCAGTTTTCCTTGTTTTGACCCCTCCCCCCTCCCCTGCACCTGCATGGTCCCCGCCGCCGACCCCGCCAGGTGCCTCATCGCCCCCTGCAGCCAGGCAGCCACCTGGTCCGGCGGTACGGCATCCAAGTAGCCTCGCTGTACTGCAAACAGGGTGACCACCTGCTCGGACAGACCCACGGGTCGCCCCGGCTCCTGCAGCAGTGCCGCAGCCAGCCGCTGGGCTGCCGCGTCCGCCCGCTGGTCCGTAGTGCTGGTGGTGGTGCTGCTGCTGTCAGTGCTCCGGGCGGTTGCTGCGGCTGCGAAGCGTCGCGCGTCCTCTGCTTGAATGAGCTGCAAACGCACCTAAGAGGGGAGGGGGGAGGGGGAAATGCAGGAGGGGGGCGTGCATGGAGGTTAGGGGGTGGGAGTTAGTCTCTAACCTCTGACCACCCCGCCCTGTCCCCATGTTCCCTCCTCTTCACCCCATGTTCCCCACCTGCGGTGCCAGTTGCCCCAGGGCGGGGCAGTAGGCGCGGGAGCCGATGCGCGTGAGGCTGAGCCGCGGGTCGGGCTGGTAGGCGGGTGAGAGGGAGGAGGAGGGGGAGCTGGCGGGGGAGAAGACTGCGACGGAGGGAGGGAGGGAGGGAGAGAAGGGCGGAGGAAGACGGAGGTTAGGCGGTGTTGGTAGTGCTTGTGGCCGCCACACCACCGCTCAGTTTCATCACACGCGAACTTCAATCCTTCCCACACATTACCCGACGAGTCGCACGCTGACACCGGTCTAAACATCGTCCCTGCTTCCTCCCTCACCCTCACCCTCACCCTCGCCCTCCCTCCCTCGTCTCTCACCTGCCCCGCCACTCCCTTCACTGCAGCTGCCGCTCCCACTCTCACTCCCGCCGCCCCTGCTGCCGCCCCTCCCTTGCGGCTCCCGCAGCACCAACTGCCCATCCGCAATGGAAATGAACTCCTCCACCACCTCAGTCGCCAGCTCGCCGCCCGCACCCCCAGCGGAGGCCAGCTCGTCCGCCAGCTGCCGAGCGCGAAGGGCGGCCTGAGGGCGGAGGACGGGGGGAGGGGGTACGACACCATTTGTACGACACCATTTGTACGACACCGTTGGAACGACACGATGGGTGCAACACCAACGCATTGCCACAGGTAGCGCGCGAAGGTCCAAAGTCCGGGGGGGCTGCTGGTCCCCAGCCCACGCCGCCCTCACCGCCACCACCACCACCACCACCTTCGCCGCCATCACCGCCTCCTCCTCTCACCTCCAATTTAGCGATCTGCTCGGGACTGAGTGTCTTGTACCTGAAGCCGAGGGCGGGGAGAGGCATGAAGCAGGGCGGGTCGGGGAGGGGCGGGTCGGTGCGGGGTGGAGGAAGCAGGGGGGAGCAGGTTATCCGGTGCCTCGCATGCCGCGTGTTGGATTGCCGAAAGTGGGCCGGAGTGCAGAGGGGGCAGAGGAAGGAGTGTTTGGGTATGCAAGCATCGGAGCTGCGAGAGGCCAGGGGGAGGCACGCGCGCCAGATCACAGACACAGACACGCGTCAGATAGGGAGGCACACGCCAGTTTCCTTAGCACATAACGCGCAGCTGGTTCCACCCTCACCGCCATGCTTCCCGCCATCTTCCCTCCTGCCAACCCCCCATGTGCCCCCCTCCTCCATCCACCTAACCAACTCCCCCCTTCCCTCCCACCCCCTCACCCGTCCCATGGGTCTCCCTCGTTTCCCTCCCTCCCTTCCTCCCCCCCCCTCACTTGCTCAAGTTGATGCGCCTGCTGGTGCCTGTGGCGCAGCAGCCAGGCACCAGCGGCAGCAGCGTCAACGAGCCGCCTCCGCTGGTGCGGGACAGCTTGGCGGCGCGCAGGAAGAAGGTGGACAGGAAGCTGCATGGGGGGCGGGAAGAGGGAAGAAGAGGGAGGGTAAAGAGGAAGCAATGAACTGACCGTGTGAAATAAGGCGTCACCATGGTTTGGTTTGGTTTGGAAGGGAGGTTGGGGTTACAGAGGCGGGTAGGGTAGGGTGAGGTGGTGTGGGGTGAAGAAAAACGCGGGTGAGGAGGGAGAGAACGGAACAGCAGCCATGCAGCCATGCATGCGTGCATGAAGGACGCGCGCACGCAGGCATACGTCTGGCATGAGGCAGCAGCGCAGGACAGGGATGGGCCTACGCTGTTCATGAGTGCGAACCGAAACCAGAAGATGCTTCAGCCAGCTTCCGCTTCCCAACGGACCACCATTCGGGCATTCCTGGGGACCCCCCGGCCCGCCCCCTTGGGAACCCCCTGTCTCCTCTTTCTCCCTCCCCCTTCTCCACCCCTTCCCCAACCCAACTATCCAGCCTAATGCGGATTCTGCTTCTAAATTATTCCCCACCCCTTCCCTTCCCCCCCCCCCCCGCCCCTCTCACCCCCTCCGCTGCGCCACCGCCCCAGATACCAGCATGCCCTCCCACTCCACCAACGCCCCTTCATCGCCACCATCATCGCCACCATCATCGCCACTGCTGCCGCTGCTGCTACTGGCGGAGGCGGCGGAGGCGGAGGAGGCAGGAACGGCTGCAGCACCTGCAGCATCCGCAGGAGCAGCTGATGGGGAGGGGGCAGCTTGAGAGGAGGAGGGCACGGAGGAGCTTGAGGCAGGAGGGGATGATGATGCTGGGGAGGAGGAGGCGGGCGCAGACGCAGGGGATGAAGGGGTTTCGCTGGAGGCGGAGGAGCTGCTTGGTTGAGGTGGGGAGGCCGAGGGTGGGGTGGAGGAGGAGGCGGGTGGAGGTGGTGATGGTGACAGAGTGGGGGGTCGGGTGGATCCAGAGGTGGGTGCAGGTCCGGCGGAGGCGCCAGCGTTGACGTCCCGGCCCCGCTCGTCCTTCACCAGTCCCTCTCGAAGCCGGGCGGGGCCCAGAGCTGTCGGGGGTGAGAGGGGGATAAATAAAAGTTAAGTGCGGGGGAGGGGGAGCAGCAGGCAATCCAGGAAGTCACGCTACCACGCTGCATTCCGCCCCTTCCTAGCACCCCTCCCACATCCCTACTTTCCTCCTCTTTACCCTCCCCTCATTTCCTTTTCCCCCTCCCCCTCCCTCGCCCCCCCCCCCATTGTTACCCCCATTGTTCTTTACCCCCATTGTTTTGCCCTAACTTGTGGTCTCCTATGGTTTGGTATGGTCTTTGACCCCCCCACCTCACCCGCCAGCCCCCCCAGCAGTCGCTCCCAGGTGTCACTCAGCGGCCGCAGGTCGTCCACCACCACCAGCGCATGACCGCCCTCATCGCGAATGCGCTCTGGGGGTGGGGGGGGTTGGGGGAGGGAGGGGGAGGGGAGACCAGGGAGGGTGTGTGCCTCAGCTCTAGGCAAGTAGGTAACCTCAACGGACCCGACCCGAAAGTCCCAGGCACCGCTGAAGAACTAGGAAGACTCAAGACAGACGGGGCCTGCAAAGAGAGCAACCGCTCGTTGCCTGTAGTGGACGTAGGGTAGCAGGACTTGCATGCCTGGCTTAGGTTGTGGGAATGTTCAGCGGGTAACCGGACGAAGGTTCTGGGGTGGCGGCTGCCTCCACCCGCTGCCCTGGGGTTGAAGAGGATAGCTTAGGCGCCCCCCCTGGCCCCCATTGCCTTACCCTGACCTGTGGTTTTGGTATACCGGTATCTCCGACCCCCCTCCTGCCACCTCCCACACCCTATAGCGCTATAGGCTGGTTTCCATGTGACCCCCCCCTAGCTCCCCCCTCCTCACCTCCAATCGCGCATGCGCAGCAGGTGGCAGCCAGCTGGTGCCCCAGCGGCGATCCCTCGGGGGCAGCTACCACGGCGGTGGAGGGCAGCGCACCGGAGGAGCGCAGCTGGGAGATGATGGACTGCATAGGTGGGGGTTGGGTTTGGGGAGTGAGGGGTTGGAGGAGGAGGCAGAGGGGGCAGGACAGTACTTGGTAATGGCAGAGCGGCGGGTGAAGATTGAGGGGAGGGAGGCAGGGAAGGAAGAAGGAGTACGGACGAGCGATAGTGCTTGTGAGCAGGGCGGGGCAATACGCGTCGTGACCCCTCTCCCAAACCCGCCCTGTGACCCACGGGTCACTCTCCGTCCCCTGCCCCCCCTCCCCCTCACCTGCACCTCCTCCCTCGGACGTCCCACCAGTGCTAGCACGCAGCGCACCGCCCCGCTGGGAGGAGGCGGAGGAGACTGAGGCCCCGCTGCTGCTGTTCCTGCTGCTGCGGAGGAGGATGAAGAGGAAACGGCCCCTGCAGTCGAGCCACCTGCTGCCGCTGCCGCAGCCCCCCACCACGCCGCCTGCCCCGCTATTGCGTCCAGTGCCACCCGCGTCTTGCCGCTGCCCGGGGGGCCCACCAGCAGCAGAGAGGAGCCGCGGCCTAGCGGGGTCAGGATGTCTAGCGCCTGGTGGGTGGAGAGGTGCAGGGGTGGAGGGGAGGAGATGGGGAGGCTTGACAGGATGGGTTAAAGAGGAAAAAGGTGCACCGTGCGTCCCAGGGCGTCAGCAGATGGCGGCTGGGGGTCAAATTAGACCAAACGTTGTAGCTCTTCTGCCGTACCTGTGGGGAGTATGTAAACCTAAGGGGGGTTGTGTCTTGTGTGCACATGTACAACCCCTCACCACCGTCCGCCTTCGTATACGCTCTGCAATCCTGCACTAGCTTGCCCTGTGTCGGCTCCCGTCCCTCCCTTTCTACCAACCTTTCTCGCATTTCCCCAGCAACCACCCAATGACGCCCCTCCCCACCTCCTACCCCCACCCACCTTGACCCCGGTCAGTAACGACTCGTGGATCTGCTCGCGATCCTTCATCTCCACCTGGGGAGCGAGGAGGGGCCGGGTGACCGAACGACCCATGGGTCCACCACTGCCCCCTCCGCTGCTGCTGCTGCTGCTGGTAGCGCTACCGCCGCTTGCTTTCCTCCGTAACTGCTGCTGCTGCTGCGCCTCCGCTGTTGCTGTTGTAGCGCTCCCCTCTTCCCCCTCCTGCTGCCGCTGCTCCCCTTGCCCCCCCTCCTCCCCCGCCTGCCCCCCCGCCTCGCTCTCCAGCTCCGACATGGGTCGACCGATGTGGTCGTGCACCCGCCCAAACATGTCCTCCCCCGCGGGTACGGTGAAGGTATCGTAGTCCTTGCGCGTGATGGGGCCCTTCACGTCGTCTACCACCTGCGTATGTGTGTAGTGGAGCGGAAACAAGAGCAAGCATTGGGGCTAGGTTCGCATGTGAACCGCAAATACAAGCAAAACAGAGGTAAAACAGAGGTAACCAAACCGGAACCATATTTCTATGGTTTAACACACCATATTTTTATGTGTGTGTGTTAACATAACTGGCCGCGAGGCGAAACGTACTGTGATTGCCGAAAGATGAATTGATGTGTGATGTGATGTGTGTGTGTGGGGGGGGAGTTAGGTTGCGGGGGGAGGGGGTTAGGTCAGGTTGGGCAGGCAGGCTTTGTCATGTGTGCCAGCATGAAGCATGTGCGGTGCCCTCATTGCCCTTATCAACAGCCTCCTCAGCCCCCCCCCCGTCCCATGAGTCGCCCCCTGCCTCTGCCTCAGCGCCCCACCCCCGCTCCTGCTCCCCCACGGCCCCCCCCCCCACCTGCAGCACGCCCCGTATCTTGCACTCCACCGGGGTACCCTCCGTCACACTGGACTGCGGGGGGCGAGGGTGGGGAGGGGGCGGGGCGGGGCAGGGAGAGTGGGTGAGGGGGCTAGGTGGTTCCAAGAGCGGGGGTGAGGGAAGGGTGATACCGGTAACGCGTGAGGACCGAGGCTGGAGGTGGGCCGACCAGACAGGCTGGCAACTGCATTTCCCCCCCCCATCGTCAGTGTCTCATCATTATTTTACCCTCCCATGGGGAAGCCAGCTCCCGGGGAAGCCAGCTCCCGGGGAAGCCAGCTCCCGGTGAAGCCAGCTCCCGGTGAAGCGCACGGTATCGTACAGCCTGTCAGTTTCCTCGTTACCCCCCGCCCTCCCCCCACCCCCTCACCGGGTCCCCCAGCACGAGGCAGAAGGACAGGTTGTCGGAGCGATGCCACAGCAGCACACTGGAGGGGGGGCGGGGGCGGGAGGAGTGTGTGTGTGTGTGTGGAGGGCGGAGGGGGGCGGGGGCGTTGTTGGTAGGAAGAGGCGAAGGTTAGGGCTAGGGAGGTGGCGGAGGGGGATGAGTGGCATGCGGACCGATAGCGGACAGGTAGGCGCGCTTGGGGTGTGAGGAGATGGAGCAGGAACAGCAGCAGCAGGAGGAGGTGGAGGAGGATGGCGGGGAGGAGGCACCGCTGACGGGTCCTCCTCCGCAGGAGCGACTGCTATCCCAACACAATTGCTGACCCCAACTGTCACACCCCAACCCGCACCCCGAACCCCCCTGCCTCACCCCGTCGGCCCCGTTAGGAAGGCCACCTGGGTGCCCAGGGGCGCATCCGCGTTGAGCCCCGAAACCACCGCCAAGCCGTCCGCCGCAAACAACACCTGTGGGGCCGGGCAGGTCGATGAAGGGAAGAGCGTCGAAAACAGGGGATGAACAGGGGCCTCTCAGGGCACGTGTGCGGCCCCCTGAACCCCACAAACACAGCTATGCAGACACAGCACATGGCCTCGCTCACCTTGCCGACATTAACCTTCGCCTCCAGTTCCCGCAGCGTCGCCAGCTGGTTTGGGCGCGATATGCGTTGTTTGAAGATGCTCATTTCAGCCTCCCAGTCGGGTTCTTCTTCCGCGCCTTTTCCCCCTCCGCGACCCGCTTGAGCGATTGTCAAGAGATGTCGTCGTCCCCGGCGACTGGCCTTTCCAGCAAGCGAAGATCCCGCTGTGGATTGTATAGGTTCGCGCGATGCCGCTGCGACCACATGTGGTGTGGCGCGCCTTAGCAAGCGGGGCCCGACCCCACGGCGTAGCGTCGGCGTCGCTGCGTTGCCATGCACCGCGCTGGCCGGCGCTGCCGGACTAGAAGAATGTATATTATGCATAATTACTGACTGTCCCTAAATTAGTTTAGCCAATTCGCCGCTTAGGGCAAAAAGCAACGCCCAAGGGTACAACGCTTCGCTTCAGGGTCGTAGAAGCTTCCACGGTAAATTAGCTCTTGTTAGTACCTATTGATGACAATGGAGACTGCGAATAGTAAAGCCTTGGTGTTTCCCAACAACTTCTTATCCATAAAGCTCACGCATGAAGCTTGCACATAGTATGTTGGCGATCAAAGCTGGCGATGGCACCTGAGGCTGAACTATTTCATCGTATTGCAGAAGCGTAGCCAGTGCGCGGAGAGAGCGACCAGAGAATCCCTGCACCGTACGCCATTAATTCTATAGCAGCAATTCGGATCAAGCCTCCCTTCGGTCGGGTGAGAAGGCGAAATCTGCTGGGCACGCATGGCATAATTTTGTATGGTTGCGAAAGCAGGACAGTGAAAGGTCAATGGATGAGTCAAACAAATGCACCAGGGCGCTAAGCCCGATTATGTGGAGGCAAGGAAGGTGAATTAGGTTTGTTCGGTGTGTGTATTTTGCTGTTCCTGACACTCGGACGGACTTACGGACGCATGGACGTGGGCATCGCCCCCCTGAAGCCTGTTCGCGACGGGGGCACCACGACGGGGGCACCGCGACAGGGGCTCCGCCTAAAAATGCTTTGGTGCATGGCTGCGAAGCGCCCCGGCTGGGCGAGTTACATTGCACCCCGCTTCAGCTGTATCACACACCGCCCCGCCTGGGCGAGGTATACTACACCCCCTCCCCCCGACCCCGGCTGGGGTGCATGGGTGTGGGAATGCCTGCATGTGTGAGAGCCAGCAGTGAGGCACAGCGGTGATGTCTGCATGTATGGGTGGCACAGATTGCAGTTGATGTGAGTGGTGGCAGCATGCGCAAGGGGAGTGCAGGAACAACGGGCTATTGTGGCAGACGTGCCGCTTACCCTCGTGACGCCTGAGCTCGGGCAGGGTGGGACTGCCTGCATGCAAGCGCATTCGCAGTTGGCCAGTGTGGGGACACCGTCCCCGCTGGCGTCTAGGAAGATGCGCATGCTGCGTGTACAGGGGCCAGTGAGCACTTGGCAGGGCAGGGATGCATGCTTGCATGGGTACCAGAATAACTCTGGCACTACGGGGCACTCCGCATACTTGCTTGCCTGCGTGCATGGGGGTGCAGGGATGTCTACATACCGGTACATGGGCCCAGCTGTCAGGAAAAGCGGGGAAGGCTGCACGCACGGGTGTACATGCTGCAGCCCATACAAGGTGGAGATGCATGCAAGCCAGTGGTCGGGAAGAGCAGGGAGCCAGCACGCGTGGGCGCTTTGGTATGGGCAGGATACCTGTGCCGCTGTGCGTTTGGGAGCCGTAGTGGGAGAGCGTCAGGGGTCCGTCTAGCTAGAGTACCTGTTGATATGCCCATTCATGGGATGCCTTCGGCATGCCACATCTGTGCTGCTTACGCGCATACGTCTGCGTTCACTCGATGCTGTCTTTTTGCTTGTTCTTGCTGCACTCAACTTCTGTTTGCGTCAATCGTCGTATTGGCAAGCCTTGAACTGTGCGGGCATGCCGGCACGCACGGGTGCTTGGCACCGGTAGTTGCCTAAACGTATGTATGGGTTTCGGCCATTAAGGAAGAGTTGGGTAGCCCTGCACGAACAGCAGGGCACGGCGGGGATGCCTGCCTGCACACATGCTTGGTACTTGGGCAATGTGGAGATTGCCCTGCACGCATGAGCGCTGTGATTTGGGGAGGAGGGACGCTTGCACGCTTGGGTGCTGTGCTCGGGCAACGTAGATGCCACACATGGACACCCGTATTTTAGGAAGTATAGAGGTTCCTTCACGAATGAAAGCTAGCCCCTTGGCAGCTTGAGCACGCACGAGGATGCAGGCGCACAGCATTTGGGCAGGGGGGATGTCAGCATGCACCTTCTGGCACGCATGGGCTCGGGTCTTCGGAAACCACTGTGATGCCTGCATGCATGAGCGCTTTCACAGTTTGGGCACAGGCGGGGATTCACTCAGCAGGGATGCCTGGATGCAGGGTGAATGCGTTGCATGCACGGGGGCCAGTGAACAGGGTGGTGATGTGTGCCCAAACAGGCGCTGCCGTAGCACGCACCATCCCGAGATGCACTGCAACCCTTCCCGACCCCGGCAGGGCAGGTGCAATGATTGTCTGCGTGCATGGGGTATGTATGGGCGCCATCTGTCAGGCTAAGCGGGGAACGCTGCATGCACGGGTGTACGTACTCCAGCAGGGTGGAGATGCATGCATGCCAGTGGTTGGGTAGAGAGGGGGGGAGGCAGCACGCATGGGAGCTGTAGTGTGGGCAGAATGCCTGCGCGTTTGGAAGCCGTACTGGGAGAGAGCGTCAGGGCCCCCAGGCCACCTGCTGACCTGCCCGTTCATGGAGCTGCCTATGGCATGCGGCACCTGTGCTCCTTGCTCGCGTACGTCTGCGAACGTCACCTCAAGCCACCAGGCCACCAGGCCATGGTGCTGAGCCCGTCTATGTGCATGTAAGGAAGCCGAATCTTACAAAAGAGATACGCATGCGCCTATGATTCCAAGCGCGGGCCGGGCCAGGGTGGGACCGCGGGCCGGCTACATATGCGTACATGGGTGCCTGCGCGCATGGGTGCCGCATGGACGGGGACGCAGGGAGCAAGCGTGCGCTTGTGGAAATGCGTGGGTGCATTAATGCAAAGCGCCCCGGCTGGGCTAGTTACGTTAAGCTTCAGCTGTATCACACACCGTCCTGCCTGGGCGAGATATATTGCAACCCTCTCCGTGATGTTCCTGTGTTGCCTGAGCTCAATTGAGCAGGGCAGGAATACCTACATGCAAATGCAAGCCCTTTGGGAAGGGCGCGGACGCTGCGTGACGGGGGCTATGGCAGGGCAGGGCTGGGCATGCTGCGTGTATGAGTGACGGTGATTCGCCCGGTGATGCCTGCGCGCCCGGGTGCTTGGGAGTTGGGCAGGACACGGATGCCTGCATGGATGGGCAATAACACCTGCGCGCAGGGGCGCCCTGATTTGGGCAGGAGGATGTCTGCACCTTAAGGCACGCATGGGCGCATGTAGTCTTGGGTGATGCCTGCACGCGTGAGCACTGGCCCTTTCGCCATTTAAGCACGGCGGGCGGGGATGAACGCGGCAGGGATGCCTGCATGCCCGCGCTAGGGCCCGTGAGCAGGGCGGTGATGTGTGTGCATAAGGGCGGTCATACCGGGAGAGGGTGGGGATGCATGTCCGCAGCTGAGCGAGATGACTTGTGCCCTGCTCCAGCACACACCGTCCCGGCTGGGCGAGATACACTGCACCCCTTCCCGACCCCGGCAGGGCAGGTGCACTGATAGCCTGTTTGCATGGGGGTATGTATGGGCGCCAGCTGTCAGCCAAAGCGGGAAAGGCTGCATGCACGGGTGGACGTACTTCAGCCCTTACCTCAGCAGGGTGAAGATGCATGTACGCCCTGCATCCCGCAGTTGGCCAGTGTGGGGACACCGTCCCCGCTGGCGTCCAGGAAGGGCGCGCATGCTGCGTGTACAGGGGCTAGTGAGCAGGGCGGTAATGCGTGTGCACACGGGCGCTGATACCTTGGGTTGGGGCCGCATGAACACCAGCACTTGGTAGGGCAGGGATGCATGCTTGCATGGGTGCCAGGATAACTCTGGCAAGACGGGGCACTCCGCATACTTGTTTGCCTGCGTGCATGGGGGTGCAGGGATGTCTACATACCGGTACATGGGCCCAGCTGTCAGGCAAAGCGTGGAAGGCTGCACGCACGGGTGTACATACTTTAGCCCATACTTCAGCAGGATGGAGATGCATGCAAGCCAGTGGTCGGGAAGAGCAGGGAGCCAGCACGCGTGGGCGCTTTGGTATGAGCAGGATACCTGTGCGTTTGAGAGCCGTAGTGGGCCGTTTGAGAGCGTCAGGGGTCCGTCGTGCTAGAGTACCTGTTGATATGCCAATTCATGGGATGCCTTCGGCATACCACATCTGTCCTGCTTGCACGCATACGTCTGCGTTCACTGGATGCTGTCTTCTGCATGTTCTTGCTGCACTCAACCTGTGTTTGCGGCAATCGTCGTATTGGCAAACCTTGAACTGTGCGAGCATGCCGGCGCGCACGGGTGCTTGGCACCGGTAGTTGCCTACACGTATGTATGGGTTTCGGCCGTGAAGGGCTGGGTAGCCTGCACGAACAGCAGGGCACGGCGGGGATGCTTGCCTGCACACGTGCTTGGTAGTTGGGCAATGTGGAGATTGCCCTGCACGCATGAGCGCTGTGATTTGGGGAGGAGGGACGCTTGCACGCTTGGGTGCTGAGCTCGGGCAACGTAGATGCCACACATGGACACTCGTCTTTCTAAAGTATAGGGGTTCTTCCACGAATGAAAACTAGCCCATTGGCAGCTTGAGCACGCACTAGGATGCACGCGCACAGCATTTGGGCAGGGGGGATGTCAGCATGCACCTTCTGGCACGCATGGGCTCGAGTCTTCGGAAACCACTGTGATGCCTGCATGCATGAGCGCTTTCACAGTTTGGGCACAGGCGGGGATTCACTCAGCAGGGATGCCTGGATGCAGGGTGAATGCGTTGCATGCACGGGGGCCAGTGAACAGGGTGGTGATGTGTGCCCAAACAGGCGCTGCCGTAGCACGCACCATCCCGAGATGCACTGCAACCCTTCGAAATGCGTTGCCTCCGACCTGATATTGCACCGTCCCCCCATCCCCCCTGCTGTAAGTGCCCTGTTGCTGCAATTACTTGGGATTTGTTGTACGCTTGGCTTTCCTTGTCTGCATCTTATGGCTTTTTGCCGTTGTTTCCCATGATTGTCGCAAATGTTTGTTGGCATGGCGTCCGTGCTCAAGCGCAGGTCTTATGCATGCAAGGTACTGCTGCAAAAATATTTCGCAGCCACTTGTAGACCGAATGTTGTCAGTGTTGTGTGGTTGGGAAATAGCCTGCACTTGTTGAGCGCATGTCGGTGACGTCGATGTTAAAGCTTAGGTCTTCCGCAACCGCCGTAGCTATGCCTCATGTTAACTACCTGTTGCAGCGTTTGCCAAATACTGCCTGTTGTCATGGGACGAGCTGCCGTTTGCTAGCTGCAATGTAGTACATTTAGCCTTTTTGCGACTTTAGCCAGGATCCGCATTTGCACTGCCTGCATCTATACAAAGCAAACTGCCCAGCAGCTGCATGTGCTCAATGGTGCTACTTTGTGTACCGTTTTCAGTTGTCTCCTCTACGACAAAGGAAGCTGCGACGACCCTAAATGGTACTAGCGATGAGGCTGCGAACCAGAGAGGACTAGTAGTCGCCTGGTCTGTCAGTATGCCGAGACATTTGGGATCCTCGGTCCAACTAACCGGTGCCGCTTCACACTGGTCGCTTTACATAGGCATTGGATTTCTTCACTCAATAATGGGCGACACTCCATCTAAGTTGTAACTCATCCGATTTAAAACACTTTAGTACTGTTCGATTGTACGCGTGCCTGTTGATTGCGCGCTATGGGGAACGGCCACAACATTCCCTGTTAACTGCCGAACCCAAAGACGGTGGCCTGCGCTGCAATGGATTGCCTGAGGATATCATTTAGTGCATCAGCTAGCAGTCCTACGCTGCTGCTGCTAGCAAGTGGACAACGGTTGCCAGGCGCAATTATAAATGCACGGTCGCTGATCGTCCCAAGTGCAACAAGCTTCAGGAATGCCCAGAAGACAGGCGATGCGACCTTCGCCGCAGCGGCCCTGACTGTTGCCTCAGACGCTGCCAGCGCTCTACCAAGCAGTACGAGCGCCCTGGGGAACTCAGCGCTCGAAACCTTGGGAGAAAGCAGCTTTGGGGATACCTTCGTCACTGGCAGGAACGCTGCTGGCACTGGTCAACCGCACAGAGTTGGCCTGGCTGAACGCATTGCTGCAGCATCGGAGCGTCATGTCAACCGGCAGCGTAACGAGCATCATGACCATCGGGTTAGCCTATACGATGTAGAAGACGGCAGGGTTTGGGATGCCCGACTTCTAAGCCGCGCATGCTCATCGCTCGCCTTTCACATCTCCAGCCACTTTCACGGCGATGGCCAGCCCGACCCCTTTGTGCACGTCGTTATGGGCTCCATAGCATCTGGTCAATCCGCTACAAACAATCCCATTTCCCCGTCACCCTCATCCAACCCATCCTCCTCCGCACCTTCGGTGCCTCTTGCTGCCGGTTACAAGCCCAGCAACAGCAGCAGCTCTCCTGGCTTTATGTACGACTTCCCAGATGACGACATAAGGCAGGATAGTTTACCTGCCGTACACGCGCTGCGCGTCCTGTCATCATCAATTTCTGGCGCCCCAACAAGGCGCAGCAGCAACGACAACGACAACCGCAGCCATAACAGAAACAGCAGCCGCACCAGCAATCATAACACTTCCTTGCCACCCCTAACAACAGCACCGGCAGCATCGCAATCAGGATCCGATACAGAAGCCATGACTCCCGCAGCCCCTGTCGTATCTCCTGCCGTACCTGCAGCCATAACGCACATCCTTGCACGCGTCATATTGCGGTTGTCGTACGCTTGTGGTCACACTGGTTGCTTTAGCCTCCTAAACCCGCCAGTACCTGCAGCAGCAGCAGCAGAAGGGATAGAAGGCATCCCCTCAGCTCATGCCGCCGCAGCCACTGGTGCTAGCAGCAGCCATGCCCGCCTTACCGGCGTAACCCTTACAGGCCGTCAGCTTAAGCGCTTGTACAACATGGCTAGTACGGCAGATCCCGTGGAAGCCGTACAGGTGCTTTATGACGAGGCGCCTCTTGGCAATGTCACCGCTGCGCTGCTAGTCCTGATTGCGGCAGCGCAGCCGCCGTCGCTACACCCCGCCGCTGTTGCGGCGACGACGTCAGCGGCAGCGGCGCCCTCCGCTGCTGCTTCCACCGCCTCCGTTGCGACCCCCAATGGAGCTCCAGCTGAGGTACCGGTTTGTCGTACAACATCTGACTTGGAAGCTGCCGTAATTTTGGCCAGAAGCTTTTTGCGTGATGCGAGTCGCCCTGAAGGAGAAGAATCCAGCATCAGCGGGTTTGGAGGGGACGCAAATGGCAGCAACAGCAGCAGCCCTCTGGATGTGGTTCGTGTCATGTGGGCCTTGTACCGGTTGCAGCTGGCTGCTGGGTTAGGGGCGGGCGAAGTGGGAGGCAGCCGCACGCGCAGTAGCAGAAGCAGCAGCCGCCGGCCTCGCCGCAGCAACAAAAGCAGCAGTAACATGAGCAAGGATGACAGTGTGGAGGCCGGCAGTAACGGCGGTGGTGATGGCGGTGGTATCCAGACGCATGAACAACAGGAGGGCGGCAGCACCAGCAGCAGCACCACCACCACCACCACCAGCAGCAGCACCAGCAGCAGCAGGAGTGGCACGCAAGGACGTCAAAGCACGCGAGGGCGCAGGAGTAAGAAGAGCAGCGAAAACAATGGCAACGACAACGGCAACAGTTGTGATTTCACCATCAGCAATACCCCAAACATGATTCCAACCATGTCAGACCAATTCGCACACCTGCTGTCTCGGCAGCTCCAAAACCGTGATCGCGCTTTGGCGGCGCTCCGAGCCGTACGACCGGCCGAACTGTACGGCATCTGGCAGCTTGCCGTACAACTGCTGGTTGTCGTACGGCTGAGGATGCGGCAGGCAGTAGACAGGGAGGTTTCCGCCGCTTCAGCTGCTGCTACAAGAGCAGCAGCTGAAGCGGAGGTGGACGACAACGTGCTGTCGTGCTTTGGCGGCTCCGACGCCGTGCGGGCTTTACAGGTAAGACGGTGCACCTCCCGATCCGCGGGATGCGGGATGCCTTAGGTGGGGGTGGCACGATGGTGATAAGCAGCGGTCAGGCCTACCATGCGTACTATTGAAGTGGAGCAACGACCGGAGCAAGGCTAAACATTGAAGTTTAGGGGAAGCAGCGTTGTGTAGGACGCGTACGAAAGCATTCCGAGAGCGGCAAAGAAATTGGCTTCTGCTCGTTGCCCAGGGGGTAAAGCGGAAACAACCAACTGACTCTGCTGTGATAGGCTAGGGGGGGTAAATAGGGGTTTGGCGAACTGACAGCCCGGTAGGGCCTCGTATGAAGAGGCGCTCTCGCAACCCACTGGCCACGGCAACAAGTACAAAGCATGGTAACGCTTTGGCTACCCCACTAACCGCTGTTGGTAACCACATGTCTGGCCGCATGCAGACCTTCGTTGACCTATCTCGGGAGGCGCTGTTGGAGGCGACCCATGGGTCATCGTCAACCCCAGCGCCGCCCTGGTCGTCGCTAGCAGCCATGACGCCCACTCCAGCGCAGTCTCCCTCGCCTTATCGACAACAACCTCAGCAGCCCCAACCCCAACAACAGCAAGCTCAGCAAGTCCAACCGCAGCAGCAACCCCAACAGCAGCGGCACCGACCGCCCCCTGCCTGGGACGTGCTTCCTGCCAGCGAGGCCGCATGGGCGCACGTGCTACAGGAGCCGGAGCAGGTGGGGTCCTGCTATTGTCTGCTGATTGCATGTAGCCTTTGTCGTACCGGTATTGTGTTGTGTTAACCGGTGTCCACCCGTACCTAATCCTTGTCCTCGCATGCGTACCCCTGTGTGCGGACCCGGCCGTTTGTGCCTGTACGGCGCAATATGCAGCTTACGGCTCTGCTGCTGTACACGTGGCCCGAGGTGGGCAGCCGTCTGGTGGAGTGCGCGCCAACAAGCCAGGAGCACCGGCCGCAGCAGCTGCAGCAGCAGCAACTGCAGGAGGCGCCCACTGAACAGCAGCCGGAAGGGTCACAGCAGCAGCAGCAGCTCTTGCCAGCAGCAGCGGTGGAGCCCCGAGGGACCCACAGTGCCGCGGCTTGGGGGGGGGTGCCCAGGTGGCATCTGAAGCTAAAGGTACGGCATGTGAATGCCAAGAATGTTTTCTACTGCTAGTGTTTCCTTTGTTTGGGCTGAAGCCTGAACTGTAACTATCCCTTGCTTCACCAGTAATGCATACACGGTACCAAACCACGCAAACCCACAGCCGCAGCACGTGAGTTCACTGCCTCTTTCTGCTGCCCTCGCAATAGTAGCTTGCCTTTTCATCTCATTGTTACCGTACGGTAGCGTTTACGGCATGTACGGTGATGCCGTACGTATATGCAGGCACGCACCCCTTCCGCCACAGAGCTTCATTTCCGTACGCTGGAGGCGCTTTTTCGCGCGCTGAAGGCCCAGGCTCCAGATGCTCGGCTGCTGGCGCCGCTGCTTTCCTCCTCGTCCTCCTCTTCCTCATTGGCTTACTCCACTTCTCCGCGTTTCCACAACACGTCGTTAACAGCAGCAGCAGAGGCAGAAGCCGCAAGTGACACTCAGCAGCAGGGGGCTCAGCCGTGGCGAAGCAAGTACGACGAGACAGTTGCGCTGCCGTACCAGGCCGAAGTGGACCTGGTGAGCAGGGTGTTGAGGTGTCTTACCATTCCCGCCCGCTGCTGACCACGGCCCTTAGGCCGCGAATAACTGCATTAACTCTAACACCGCCTTACATTCTATTATGTAACTAAACTCTTGTTCGTGAAAGCTGTGTGCGCACACGCCGCCTGCTGCACAGGTCTACACAGACTCGTACGGCCGCAGGGTGGGTGTCATACTGACCACCCTTGGATCCAGTCGCCGTACACCGGGCGAGCAAGCCGCCATGCAGCATGCCCTCAAGCTGGCTGCTGGCTGGAGGACGGAGGCAGTGGAGGCGGCAAAGGATGCGGTGGAGAAACCGCCGACGCGGCGGCGGCGGCGGACTTCGCCAACAGTGGAGCGCCAAGTTTCCTTGCTGGCGACGGCGGCGACGGCGGCGATGGCACCAGCAGCGACGGCGGCGACAGAGGAGCCGACTCAGTCAGTGGGGGAGGTAGTGGCGGCGGAGAGTGCGCCGGTGCCACCGCCGGCGCGGCGGCGGAGGCGAAAGTCGGCTCAAAGCCAGGACGGAGCTGCGATGGCGGCAGCGGCGGATGCAGTGGCGCCGGCAGCGCCGCTAGAAGCGGAGAGTGCGACCGCCGTCGTCGTAGCAGCTGCGGCGATTGCCAGCGCCGCCATTGGGCTGTTGCAGGGCGTGGCGGCGGTGGCGAGTGCGAGTGCGGCGGTGTCACAATCGCTGTCGCGAGCGGCGCCGCCCCCGCCGCTGGCGACTGCGACGACCGATTCACCATGGCACGACTGTGACGCAGTTGAGAAGGCCGCCGTCAGTTCCGTGGCGGCGATAGAATCCAGAATGTCTTCATCGTCATTGCCGCGTGCCGGCGAAGCGGCTACTGCTGCTGCCCCTACCGCAGCAATAGGACGTCAAGATCCAAATGCAGATAAGCGATTAGATTTAAGATCCGATCTGGGTCAGCAGTTGGACGAGATCCTGTGCTTGGAGCTAGAGCATGATTGGTTTCACCTACGAGAAAGGTACTACAGTATCGCCTGCAAGCGGGGACAGTGGATGTGCGCGGAAGACAAGGAGGATGTACTGCAGGCGATTGGATCAGCGATGTCGTACTTAGATCTGCCTTGGGAGGCCCAACTGGACATGTTGTGGCAGGAACTCGCAGATGCAGGTGCGCCGCCTCCCATTCGTGTCTTTGCATGCGCTTAATGGTCCTGACCCTACCAGCCTACATTGTTACGTCCGTTGTGGCAGCTAGGGTGGTTAGGGACGCTAGGGACAGTCAGCGCCTAGAGGTGAGTGCCTGGAGTTCAGCAGGGCACTGGGTACGACATGCATCGTGCGGTTGTTCCTATGAGATGTACTGTTACCGCACTTGGTACAAATGTGTTTCGTACCTGTATGTGTCATTCACTATTGAGGGGTGGTACATATGGTGTCACGTGTAGGGCGATACAAGGAAGAGACAAATTGGAATGTGCCCGCTGAAGTGCATGTGAGCAGTTGAAGGAGATTCGAGGGTGTGTGCCGAAGATTTTTGTACACATTTGACTGGGGTCACGAGAGAGGGAAAGAGAGAGAGAGATAGTTTGCAGGGCGCATGCTACGAGTGGGGTTTGCCAATGTTGGATACCCATGACAATCAGTCCTGTGTTTAGTTACGCGGAAACAAGAGCAATCAGGTCTGTATTTGTCTAGCTTGTCAGGCGACAGAGCATGGTGAGGGTAGATGTAGATGTAAGGCTAGGGGCCCGGTCAAGGATTATGCAAATGTGCTGGCGCAGCAGGGGGGGGGGTAAAAAAGTCTTTGCCAAACCCCATGCTAAAAAAGTCAAGAAAGGGGTGCCGGACCCACCCACCCACCCTGTCGTACCGTTTTTGCTGTACGACAACGCTGTAAACTTCGCAAAATCGCCCCAAAAAAGCACCATTCGACTCCATTTTACATGATCTTCGCCGTTCTCACGCTAGGCGTACCATTTGGCAACATGTCCGAGTCGCTCGCCACACGGGGGGGGGCCAGGCAGGCTGCCAGACTCAATGCTCTCTGGTACCGTATGCAGCCGATACACATCTCTTTTAAACCTCACATGCATTGCTGTGATGCTTGAGTGCACGGTTGCGTTGGTAAGTGTGCTCCAGCCCACCTGCCACTGCGTCCCTCACATCACCACGCCATCGGTACGGCTGCGCCCCCTCCCCCGGGTAGTAGGTTGGGCTTGCACCCCATCGCCCTCAGCACCAGATGCAGAACCACGCATGTTTCCACCTGTCACGGGTGTGTCGTCAGTACGCCTGTTGCGTGCCCTCCCCCTTTAACCTTGCCCTAACTTTGTGATATTATTCGTTTGGTTCCTCTATGGGCCCCTTCCACCTTAGCCCCTGTCCCTGCTGCTTGCTTTGCCTCTGGAGAAGCCATACCGTGTATGTTGGGCCAGCTAGGGTGTTCCATGGGGACATGCCACCCGCAAACTCCACACAAAGGCTCTAATATTAACATAATATGCATACAACTATAACAGGAATACTAAATCTGCTATCCGTTTCGCGAAACGATACCTAGGAAAAAAGTTTTGGAGGTCAAAGAAAAAAGTCATTGGGGCTCCGGACCCACCTACCCACCCCTGCCGTACGACCAACTTTGGGAGCCTATAACTTTTTCCGTACAACTCCGATTACAATTCTGAAAGCGGAATTGGAATGCTCTCGTTGAGTTCTGTAATATTGAAGCATGGGGTCATTTTGCGGCGAAACTACCCCCCCCCCTGGGCGCAGCCCCATATTATCTTGGACGGAGGGTCTGTCGTACTACGTTTGAGCCACTACTGCCTACTTTGTATTATCACATGTTACTAGTGTTGCACTGCGTGGGTTTCCGGGCCGGATCGCTTATTGGGTTCTCTGTGGAGGCGATCACGCTGCCGTGTTCTCCCTCCTTTTACGGTGGCGGCAGCACCATGGGCTATGACCCATGGGTCTTTAACTGCCGCATGAACGGTTTGCACTTCCGGGGTGGTTGTCCGGGCAGACAAGATACTGAGTGGTTTAACTGTTGCCTCAGATGCGCTAATGTAGATATATAAACGCAGCGCTTTGAGGGTAGTGTGCGTCCTAGGTATCAGCCACGTAACAGGCTAGCCACGCACGGCGGCCTGTAAGGGGACCCTGACTCAGGCTGACTTTGTTTCTCAGCGTGTCCTTGGCCCCCCTGGCTAAGGGATTGCAATGAGCCGTGAGGGATTGCAATCACACGCCTGAACTCCAGCTACAATGCAATCTTGTAAGCGGCCTTTGGCGGAAACAACCTTCAAGGTGCAGTGTTTATGTACGAGCAGTTACAATCTCGGAACACGACACCCGTTCATTAACTTGGGTCTCTCGCGAAGGACCGCAAACGTAACGCAGCGGCATATACCCGTAACAAGCCGAGCAACACTGCGCCCGATTGTGGTAGGCACCGCAGCCCAACCTCATGAGTTGCCATGTCCGACCTCGCCGGTACAGCAAAGGAACCAAACAAACCACAGTAACGTCACCTCCTCCCCTTGTTCCCCGGCTCGTCCTCGCCCTCCGCCGCATTGAACCACATACCGCTGCGCCGCTGAACGCGCCCTGCACAGCACCCACCAAATGACCTCCGACCGGCCCTGCTGCCCTCGCTGCCCACCTCGACCCACTGCTCACCATAAGCCCCATTAGCCCCAAACCCAGCTCATTCTTCATTTAGGCACATTTACCCCAGTCATAATACCGCCTAACGTTCCACACACCCTCGCATACCATACCCACCCCGCCCCTCACGCGTACCTACCCTGCTAGCAGGGCGAACTCCCCCTCCTATCCCCGCACAGCGGCGTACATAACCAGGCATCATGCAGGGTCGCGGCTCAAGCGCCCGGCCAGCCGCCATGCATATGCCTTCGCCTCCTTCCCTCACCCTTCACAGTGCACCAACAGCCCTCCTCGGCTGGCCTGTCAGAAGACACACACACCGCCCAGGTTGGCTCCGTGGGCCGGCCTCTAAGAGGAGCCGGCTGCGGCGGTGGTCGCGGCTGCAGCAGGGGCTGGTACTGCCGCCGGTGTCGGCTTGGGCAGAGTGATGCCCGGGAAGTAGGCGTGCTGGGCCCAGTCGCAGAGCCAGCTGACCTGGGGTGCGTGTGGGTGTGGGTGTGGGGGAGGTGGGGCATCCGGGAGGGGTTGAGGCTCAACGAGTCTGTCAGGTTCCAGATCGGCTGGCATGGTAGCATGGTAGCATGCAGGCGTACGGCATGGTAGCATGGTAGCATGGTTTGCATGCAGACGTACGTAAGGATCGCCAACGTGTGCCCCGCTGCTGTTGTTACAGTACCATACCGGTACCGGTACTAGCAAGCCACTATGGCAGCAGCAACCCCCCCTCACTTCAAAACCCGCTTCTTCACCCCCGCTACGGTATGGCAGCAAACCCCCCCTCCGCCTCTTCTCTCACCTGCTGCTGCTGCCCTGCCGCCGCCGCCGCTGCCTCCCCCCCGCTGCTGCTCCCCAGCTTGTGCGCTAGCACACCCGCCACCACCGCGTTCACCCCCGCCACCCGCTCCAGCCCCCGCACCCAGCCCTCCGCCAGATCAGGGTACGGCGCGAAGGCCTTGAGTGCAGCGCAGCGGGCTCGACCCTGCGGAAGGAAGTGACACAATAGCCGCGGTGCGGGAATGAAATGAGGACATGAGGACAAAGAAGAGAGCGAACGTGGGTTACCCCCGATCAAACCGCCCGTTCAAAACCAGCTCATTACGCCACCCCCGGCATTACCCCCCCCCCCTCGCAGCTCTACAACTGCCTTCTTAACACCTCGCAACTCACATCCTTGAAGGAGGCAGTGGCCAGTGACAGCAGCTGCGCCGCATCGCTCCTGCCCGGGTCCATGGAGGTGAGGTAGTCATCGTACGACAGGGGAGGCGGCCGCAGCAGCGCCCCGAACGAGGCGAAGCGCTGGTCGAAGCGCTGTGCTTTGGAGTTGAAGGGCAGCGGCGTGCGGGGCTCGGGAACTGAACCTGCGAGGAGGATGTGTACGATGGGCGTGTAAGGTGATGATGGAGAAGTGTTACTGCGGACGTAGAGTTAGGCTGACAGGCGAACAGCATGTGCCGTTGCTTGGTGGGAAACCCCCAGCATGGCATCTGTTTTACGGTTTATGTACGTGCCAAAAACGGCGGAAAAGTGAGGAATGTGAGCAAAAGCAGCAACTGGGAAAGCAAGCAGTGGGCCGCAGGCCCTGCTTCCAGTCGCAGCCCACACGTCACAGGAGCCTATTTAGCACTGCTTGCAGCCCACATGAAAGGTGACACCCAGTAGATGTGCCAGACATGACCCACCGGCCAGCCGCAGTCCCGCCATGAGCCGCAGCATGCCCTGACACAGCCGCTGGAGCGCCTCCACCTCCAGGATGTCGTACCGCAACAGTTGCTGTGTACGGCAGTGTACGGAAGGAGGGAATGTTTACGGTACGGTATGAAGGAATGCGTCCTTAGAGTTTGGAGGGGAAAGGTTACCGAAAAGATAATATGTGGGGTCAGCAGAGAGCATTTGCGGAAAGGTGGCTCCCTTCCTATTGAACAGTGGACTGGACATTGCAGCGTTTGTTCAACACATACACGCCATCGCATGGGACCGAAACACATGGACTTTTAAGAAAATCCAAGCAAAGCACCGTACGGCATCCAAAACAAAAATCTCACATACCAAAGCTGCTCTGTCCCACTCCCACCTGCTCCTTCTCAAACCGCGCCACCGCAGCCGCCCGAGCTGCCTCCGCCTCCGCAGCAGCAGCCGCAGCGCCCGCACCCTTGGGCCCCCTGCCGCCCAGCCCGCCACGCCCCAACCCCCTGCCACCTGCAGGACCGGATGCGGCCTGGGCGGCTGGGCTGGGTAGCTTGGGCGGCTGTGGCAGCGGGCAGCGCTCCATGATCGCGGAGAAGGCGTTAATCATGCATGTGCACAGGTAGTCGGCGTACCTGCATGGGCGAAGCGGAAACAGCAGCGCAGGAAGGAGGTGGTGGTAGTAGTTGTTGCCACTGAGCAAGGTTGCAATTACAACATGTCATCACCATAGCAAAGCAACGAAGGGTGAAAACGGAACTTAATCATTCATTCGAGGTGCTGAGGACAGGTAACGGAACCACGGGCGATATCGCTCTCCCTCTCTCCCCCACACCCAGTTCCGAGTCATACAGCTCGTCAGTTTCCTTACTTACACCCCCCCAGTTATCTTTTCCCTCTTCCCCCCCCACCAGTAAATCATGTCGTACTCCAGCGGCTCGTACACCTCCAGCTCGAAGCCCTGCAGCAGGTGGTGCAGCATGGCGGAGCAGGTGGAGTACTCCACCCACATGCTCAGCGGACCCTGCAAGCACAAGAGGCGGTTATGACAGGTAGTCAGACAGTTGGTTACAGTTAACGTTCCGGTAGTTGGAGTGGTGTGAGGCTTCTAAAGCTGCCATGGTTGCTCATGACATGACCGGGCGCTTACCAGCTCCTCCTCCCTCACTCCCGGCTGCGGCCGCCCCCGCCTCCAGCCCGCCGTCCTGCAGAGCTCCCGCAGCCCGGGAGTCTCCTCCGCGTTGGCCGCGTGGTGTGTCATGTTGAGCCAGTCGTCCAAACAGCGCCGCAGCCGCCGCCGGCAGCGGCAGCGATTCATGAGGAGAGCCTGGCAGACGTTGGAAACCTGGATGAGGGATTGTGGGGACGGGGGTTGCGGGTGCGGGAGCGTGGTTATGGTTCTTGAAACACGCCCTGTCCCTAGGGCAGACCCACGGGTCATACGGCTGCCCCACGCTTGACTCAAAGCCACACCCGCTCCCGCTCCCTCCACTTACTTACCGCAATGGTGGCCTGCTCAAAGAAGAGCTCCAAATCCTCCGGCAACCCTGCCTTGTACGGCACCTGGCAGGCTTCTGCAATCATTTCCTTGGAGGGAACCCATGCTGGGGTGGTCCTTGCGGGCTGCTGCTGCTGCTGCTGGGGTGTGGAGGAGGAGGAGGTAGCACCAGACTGTTGTTGGCCAGCCCTGTTGTTGTTGTTGCTGCTGCTGCCGCTCCGGCCGCCACCGCTCTTCTTGCCACCCTTGCCACGACCGCCTGATCCGCCGGAGGCTTTCACATCGTTGTTGGAGCTGGGGCTGCTGTCGGCGGTGGGGTTAGTGTCGTTGTTGTTGTTGGCGCTGCTGCTGCTGCTGCTTTCTGCCGGTGCAGCTGCCTGCTGCTGCTGCTGCTGGGCTGCATTCGGGTTCTGGAGGAGGGCAGAAGGAGGAAGACAGCCAGGAGAAGCGACAGATGGGGGTTAAAGTCAAGTCAAAGCGATGAGGTTACCTACCCTCCCAGCCTCTCCTAGCTTCCCCTAGCCCCTATAGCCCCCAACCCAGCCCTCCCTCTCTCACCGGCTGCCACCTCTCCGGCAACAGCAGTGAGTGCAGCAGCGAGCGAGCCACGGAGCTGGGGCGCATGCGGGCGAAGCGCCACAAGTAGAGCTGCAGCGAGCGATAGCTGCAGGAAAGAGGGGTGTGGGAAACGGCGGAAAGAAGAACGGGAAAGGAAAGAAGCAGCAGTGAGGAGGAAAAGGAACACGTGGGAAAGGGTGGGAGAAAGTTCAACAGCGACGGGAAAAGGTCTGTCAACAGACGATGCGACGTTTGGATCCTACGCTTCTGCTTGTAGCTCGTGGAAACAGACAGCTGTACTTACTTGAACACATGCTCCGAAACCGTAACCGCCATCTGCAAGTGGTCCATCAACTGCTCCATGTACGACAAAGCCTCGTCCAACGACTTGACCTGTGTGCCGTACACGTGGATTGGAATGAGAACAAGAAACGAGAAAGTATCACCGATTGGTGGAATGTTACAAGTTGCGTGGGAGGAGATAGTTCAGTACCTTCTTATCGGTATTGGAACTAGGAAATTAACCCCTTGTAACGCACATCGGGGGCTACGCCCCTTACCTGCACTTGCCGCGGCGGCGCAGGGCCCAGCAGGTGCCGATTCACATTCAGGTGGAACCCCGGTGCGAGAGCGGGAGCAGCAGCAGCGGCAGCCGAGGCGGGTGCGGGAGCTGATGCGGAGGCGGATGTAGATGAGGAGGGGGCGGCAGACTTTGAAGCCGAGGCGGAGGACTGACGGATGCAGCCCAGTAGCTGTCGAGCCTCGGCAAAGTGCGAGGCGGCGCGGTACACAGCCTTGGGCTCCGCCGCTATGGCCGCCCGCAAGCCCAGATGAACGGCCCGCCGCAGCTGCAGCCGCCAGCCAACCTGCGCACCCAACGGCTCCTGCTCGCTGCCAGCAGCAGCAGCAGCAGCAGCAGTGGTTTCGGAGGAGGAGGAGGAGCTGCTGCTGGCGCCGTCGCCGTTAGCAGGGGCAGCAGCAGCTGCTGCTGAAGTGGCGGTTGCCTGGGCTATGGCGGCTTCCAGGGCGTCGAGGGCGGCATCGGGCCCCGCAACGGGCGGCTCGAAGGGAATGCCGGCGGTGAAGATGTTGATGTCCTCCTCCTGTGGACGGAGAACGTGGATCCAGAGAACGTGGACGTGGAAAACATGGTTGGGTGGTTACGTCCCTTAGAGGCAAAAAAGAGAAACTGGCGAGCTGACAGCTTCGTCCTCCCTGCGCTGTGTCCCCTCGTGACCCCTCGCACCTCGCACACACCACCGCAGAGGACGACGTCTCGGATTGCAGCGCAGTCGTGCTGAAGTGTACGGCAGTAGGCGTACAAGGCCCTAGCAGCTGGGGTGTTGTACTCCTGGACCCTGTGGATTGGTAACGACGTAAGGCGCGCGGGTGGGGGCGTCAGGCTTGCAGTTGCGTGCTTCCATGGGACAATGGTGAGCATGTGAAGATGAGCCCCACCCCAGGCATGAGTAGGCGCTCATCTTAATTTCCAGCGTTTCTAGCCCGTTATACCCGGAGGAGATAGCGGTGGCTGTTTATGCTGTCAATGCGCACCGGTTCAGCTTGAGCATGTACAAGCATGCGTACACCGTCTGCATGGCGCTGCCACCACAGTGCCAGCTGGCCTCCATGGCAAGCAGCTGATCAAGCACCGCCAGGAGTGTTGGGGTTGGGAGATCCCAGGGGGCCGCTGTGGGATCGGCTAGGAGCGTTTCCAGGTTTGGCTGGTCGGCAACCGGCGATGCCGCCGCATCCATCTTTGGGTTGCCCGCCTCGAGCGCAGACATAGCCTCGAAAAGGCTAAACGCCTCGCCTGCCAGTAATTGTCCCACCTGAAAAGCACACGTGATACGAAAAGTTTTCTTTGCCTCATGATGTTATCCCAACGGCGGCTTCGGCAAAGAAACCATAAGAGATAGGATTGATATCATTAAATTATTATGTTGCTAAGGTAAAAGTGACTCGCCTTCATATCCGCTCGGGCCGCTTGCAGGAGCGGCCCGACATCCGTCCACTTTTCCATTTCTGATAAAGCCTACGTGCCAAATTGCTCGATTTGACTTCCTTTAAATGCAAGCTTTTGCGTGCCTGACGACGGCAAATGCCATTTTCAGTCGAAAGATCGTACAACGTGTTCAGTCATACCATGACCGGACGCGATGGCAAGGTTCGGTAAGCCCGACATCAATGATGTGCGCTGGCGTGGATCTTACCAAATGAGCTGTCCCTCTTATGGATTGTCGGCACGCACAGCAGCCTTCGAGAGCTAAGGGCTGGGTGCCGTCGTACACTCCCGTACCTAGGTGGAAGACATACGAGCCGTGCTGCAGGAACGGGACACCGGTATAGCGTGTATGACTGCTGGGTGCATGCAGCTCATGGTTGCCCCATGTCGGGAGTCCCCCCAAGGGTTTGACCACTGTGCGGCCAGCACGGTGCAGGTGGCAGCCCGCATTGGCAAACAACTGATGCATGGTTACACCTCTTTAATAGCCTAGCCATCACTGAGGAGGGAACAGCCGTTTCTGTTTGAGCTTGGTAGGCATCCAAACAAGGAACACCGTCCGCCACTTGTAAGACAACCATACCTAGAGTTCCGTTTAAAACCCGGTCACCCCACTAACTTTAGACGGTATCACGCACAGACGTAAGGCACGCCACGCTATGTTCCTACCCAATTGGGTGCACGCGCTTCCGCTATCCAGCCACTTCTTCCACAAGCAACTCCCCAGTCCCCGCAAGAGCGAAGAGGCTTCTCGGCTGTGCTTTTGACATAACGCCGCCGGAAACGCAATGCACCGTTCCAGGGAACCCGTCTAGGGCCCACAATGTGTCCCCTTTCCCCCAATCCCCAAAATGCACACAAGAAGGCATGCTGCAATACCAACGCCCGAAAAACTTCGTGTAGCTTGCCACGAATGATCAAAGGAATGTGGAAACCAAGGTTCAGGACTGCTAAACAGGCCCCCGGTGCGTCAGGAAACAAGACGGAAAGTGTACAGCAAAGCCCTTAAACATAGGCGCCTTATGGGATAAAGAGTGAAATGTGTACGGCAAGCAACAAGAAAGAAGGCTGTGTCGTACAACTAAAAACCATGTACGACGCATCTGCTATGGTATCAACATAGACCCGCTCCGTAGCTCGCCGTAACGGGCAATCATCAGAAATGAAAAGTGGGAACGACATTGTGTACGGTATAGACCAGAAAGAAACGTTCGCGCGAGTGGAGCAAAGGGGGTAGTTCTTCCCCGCTTTACGTCGCTCTGCTAGGTCTCTGCTAGGCAACACTTGAAACTTGACATTGTTTGTAGCATGTGCTCAAACTCTATCATTTAGCAGCAATACCTCACCAGCTTGAGAGGAGGCTGCCCTATAAACTCAGGTGTCCACCGCATTCCGCCATCCAAACGGTAAATGACAAACCATCGCTCCACCGTCCGATGGCAGAAAGCAACCAACCAACACCTCGCCGTACAAGCATACGGCATATGTACACGGTTAACGAAACTGTAACGTCTATGTATGTACCGGCTACGGACCCTTACAGCCTCACGCTTAATCGGCATATATGTATACTTTGTATGTAAGCAACAGTGGCAGCACCCGCCATCACCTCTCATGGCACCACATGACACCCCAAAACTCAACATGACGCTGCAACCCAATGTGCACACATCATGGCCGCACCAGTAGCCCGCCATTAGCAGCCAGTGGCTCTCGGTCAAGTGAGCAGGTGCGGAGCAACACCAAGCTGCTGCCCTCATCGGATACCTGCAGGAACGGGAACGTGAGCGGGATGCGGGCAACCATATTACACGTGGGCAGGATGAGGGCACCCATATGAATTCACAAGTTGTCGGCCCTGCTTTTTTTTTAGGTGAATGTGGCTTGCAACCTTGCATAGTCATGGAGGTATGGTTCCTACCCCATTTGCGCACTCTATAAGACTACGCACAACAAACCCAACCGCAAGCCCCAGCACCGCCATTTCGCCTATGCGTGACCCATGGGTCATCCCGCCACCTCTCTTATCCTCACCTGCGCACTCTTAATACCATTGCAGTGCACGGCGCAATCCGCGACCTCGGCCGAGCTCCCCATGCAGACCGCTAGGCCCTTGGCGATGTTGCCGCTCAGTGTGCAACTGTGCGCTATAGCGGACGAGCCGGCGCCGCCAACCGCCAAACCGTCATGTTGGTTGGCGGCGAGGCGACTGTACGACAACGACACGGATGCGGAGCCGGTGACGCACACGCCGCTCTCGCGGTTATCTCGGCACTCGCACCTGAGGCGGTGTAAGTGTAAATGCAAAGATTGAGTGGTGTATTTAGGTAGGTAGGAAGTTCAGCAGGTGGCGACTGGGCAAGTAAGATTCGAGTCGTATCTATGCAGATGTTCGTATGTTTTAAGATCCTAAGCTGGCACCTTCAACCACCTTCATCACCCACTGACCTCACGAGCTGCGCTCGGCTGCCTTGCCCCTCCACAGCCACGCCGTCGCGGCCGTTACTCGTCGTACTGCATTTCCTTAACGCCGCCGTTGCGCCCTCCATAATCCGCACGCCATGCGCCTCATTGGCTATCACTCGCGTGCCAATCGCCGCCAACGACGAGCCGCGACCCTCAACCGACACACCGCAACAGAGGTTGTTGTACAGTTCGCTGTCCTTCAGTTCCAGGTAACCGCCGCCAACCACCAGCGCCCCATGGCCGGCGTTGGCGGAGACGTCGCAACGCAGCAGTGAAGCGCTGGGACGAGGCGGCGGCGGAGCCGCCGCCGCCGCCGCGGCAGCGGCAACGGAAACGTAGACGGCGCCGCCGCTTGCACTGGAAGCCGAGGACGGGCGACTAATGGAGCCGGCGCCGGCGCCGGCGGCGGCGGCAGGCGACGCGGCGGAGTCAGAAATGTACGGCAGGACTAGGACGCCGGGTCCGGCCCCGCCGGCGAGGACTGTGTCGGCGAGATGCAGGGCGCCTCCGTAGGCCGCCACTCCGCCACTGCCGCCGCTATCCTCAATGCGGCAATCTTTGCAGTACAACTGCGTCTCCGGATCACTCACGAGGAGTCCGTGGCCGCGAGGGAACAGCACCTTTGTCGTACGAATGTGCACATGCGCGCCGAGCGACGCGCTGACGCCGCAATACGACAACTCGCAGTCGGTTAGTACGGCAACGGCTCCGGAACCACGGGCTTCAATGCCCACCTCGCAGCCTCCCAAGGTCTCCGCTGCCGCCAGCGCCGACACCGCCGCATTCGAGTGGGCTGCTGACGTCAAGGTTGACGCAGCCGCAGCAGCGGCGGCTTGCTTGGCATCCTCGTATGTGAGCTTGCACTCCTTGAGGCCCACGCGTGCACCGTTAAGTGCGCTGACGCAGCCTGCCGTACCACCTTCGTACGTCGTATGCTCTGAAACCAAGGCGCTCTTGAACCCTGCGGCACAGCAAGGGCCTGCCGTACTGTACGACAGATTGCAGTTGCCGCCGTCGGAAACGCATAAGGCTAGCTGGCAACGGCCCGGCCGCAGTCGGGAGTTAGAAATGCGGACGTAACCGCCAACCACCTCCAACAACCCGTGATCTTCGACGTATTCGTTCGGGTTGACGAGCTCTAGTAGCGGCGAGGATGCCGATGTGGATGAGGAAGACGACGCGGAGACAAAAGAGGAAGCAAACGAGGAAGAAGCTGATGACGATGTGGGTGCAGCTGAAGACGACGACGATTGTTGTGAAGAGGTTGCAGACGAAAAGGAAGATCCAGATCCAAGAACGGATAACGATGCGGATGAGGAGCTATGGCTTCCAGCAGTTGCAGGCCGTCGTCGTACAACCGGCAATCCTGCTGACCCACCATCAGCCGCCGCCGCCGTCAGCGTCATTGAATACGGCAACGTCAGTGACGACGTCAGCGAGGGTGCGATGCCGTGCGTCGCCATGGCAGCGGCGATTAAACTTCCGGAGGCGGCGGCCGCCGCCAGAGAGGTCGCAATCGTCGTCGGCATCAGCATCATCGTCGGCGACGCTGCAGCAGTCGCTGCTGCGGCGGCGGCTGCCGCCAGGGCCTTACGTCGTGCGACTGCGGTGGCTCTGGCCGCTTCCCGGGAGCACCCTAGCACCTCAACACCCTTGAGGGTCAAACTGGATCCAGGGCCCACGAGGATGTACTGCAGTTACGGAAAAGTACGGAAATCGAGCAGCGGTTAAAGAAGTTAGGACGGTCAGGACGGATGGATTCTCAGATGTTTGCATGCAAACAACTTTGTAGGGATAAAGCAGGACAGGCCCCGAGGAAACGACTGGCTAGGCTGTAGGCTCAGCACAGTGAGTTCAACGAAAGTGCATGCTAGTGAAATTAGAACACAAGAGGCGCTCTTCTACACCACAATTTCCTAAACATAAGTCATGTTGTGCAACATGCACATGCATACCATACCTGCTCGGCCGTGAACAGCAGCGTCGCATTGTACAACGTAATGTGCTGTCCGGGCGGTATGGTCAACACTTGGTCAACGCCGGGCTTGAACACGGCAGGAGCCCGCGGCGCCTGTCGTCCCCCGCCGCCCATCGCTCGCATTGACTGCGAACGGACCGACGAGCCAACGGTCACCCACTCGGCTGGCGCCGCCGGCGCCGGCTTCTCAACTTCCGCGACCGAGCCGCCACCAGCAGCACCACCACCGTCGGCCCCGGTAGGAAACGTGAAGGGTCCGCTAAATTCCAGCCCGCCGAGATCAAGGAACGTGGGGCATTTCACGGCTGCAATCTTATCCGCTAGCTCTTGGAGTCGGCCGCTTCGAAGTTGCTCCGTGAGTTGGAAGGCTGAGGGTTTCAGCCATTTCGGCGGTCGTACCACAATCTCCGGCACCGGCGGCGGTTCCCAATGGTTGCTGTTGTTGTTTACGTTGCAATTTACCTGGTTAAGAGCCACGGTGCTGCCACCGACGCTACTGCGACCATCGTTTCTGTCGTCGTTGCCGCCAGCCGGGGTAGCAGCAGCTGCAGTAGTTGCGGTCGGTTGACTAGTTGCCGTACCCTCTATTCCGCCAGAGGACGAGCGAGGCGCCTCATGTGATGCAGTAGGGCTCAACGGGACCTCCGGGAGGGTGCAGCTGTTGTTGCTGCTGCCACTGCTGCTGCTGTCACGCGGGGAGGACGAGGAGGCAGCTGGCGTCGCTGTGGAGGAGGCGGGCGATGGCGGTGATGGACTACTGGAAGTGTCGGCTAGGGACGTGGGCGACAAAGGCCGTGCGGTGCTGCTGCTAGTACGGGGCGACCGCAGGGGCCGTGCGGATAGCGGTCGAGGCGTGGGCCTTACGGAGGAGGACGAAGAAGCAGGAGGTGGTACTTCCTTCAGACGTAGCAGCTGCGTTAGGCTGGTGTCGAATATGTTGTTGCTGGGCGCATTAGAGCCTCGCTGCTTCTGCTGCTGCTTCTGCGGCACTTGTTGTTGTTGCTGCTGCTGCTGCTGCATGTGGGTTTGCAGCTGCTCTAGTAGCTGTTGTTGTTGCTGCTTCAGCCAGGCACGGGGAGCCACCGGAACGCTTTGCGCCGCTGCTGCTGCCTGGGCTGAACCCCCGGCCGCATTCCCACTGCTGGGACGTCTGCGCAGGGACGGTTGCGGTGACGCCGCGCTTACAGACCTCCGTGACGCTAGCTGTGGCGAAGGCGCGGCTATGCCACTGCCTCCTCCCAAACCGCCTCCACCTCCAAGCTGCAGAGCTGCCGCCGCCGCCGCGGCGGTAACAGTCAGACCCGACGTAAGGCCCGCCGAGCTTGCCCGTCGACGACGACTAAAGCCAGCTGACGCTGCCGTGGAGGCGGTGGTGGTTGCCGCACTTGCACCTGCGCTAGAGCTTGCTGGCCCCGAAGCTGGGACTTGGGTGCCAGTGGCTGCAGCTGCCGGCGACGGTGACCCGTGGGTCGAAGCAGACGTGCTTGTGGAGGAAGGGCTGCGGTCAGAGCAGCTCTCAGAGGGTTGCGATTGGTGCTGCGGCGATGATGAGGAGGGCTGTGGCGGCGTTTGCCGTACTAGCTGTGACTGGTAGAGCGCCTTGAGCCAGGGGCTAGGGACTCCAGCCGAGGGTGGCGGCAGCGGAGAAGAAGGCTGCGAGGAGGCCCTGGAGTTGGAGGAGCTGACGGTTGGGGTGAGACCGGTAGAGGCGGAGGAGGGCAGGAGGAGTTCTGGGGAGCCGGGGATAGGCTGGGTTGTGGACGGCTGCCGCTGTAGAAAGGATCCGTTGGAGGACGACATGCTGCGGCTGAGGGGCCGTCGTCGTCGAACAGATTGAGAGGTTTGGGGCTGGGTGGTTGAGGGTTTGGGAGATGGTGGGCGGGCGGTTGGGGGCTTGCCGACCGTGGATGGCGAGCATGGAGCTCCGGAAATGGTTCGGGAGCTCGTGGTTTTGGTGAGGCCCAATGCGGCGACTCCGGTGGAAGCGCGCCCCCGAAGCGAGGATTCGGAGCCATCGCATGTCAGAGATTTATATACGCCGCGGTCGAAGGCGGAGTTGCAGGAGAGGGAGGCGATGAGGCCGCCTCCCGTGGCGAAGCCCTCCGGAGATAAGGCAAGGTCGACAGTTGGTTCGACGGAGCTGTTCCGTCGATGTTTACTATGGTCCTTTAAAGAACCGGTCTTGTATAACAAGGGCTCGGCGCCCGTCACGCTTGCTGAACGTTGCATGACCGTAAAAGTAAATTGGGTTAGCCAAGCCTATGGGCCCCGGTTTGGCGTAACCACAACTGACAGAGGTAGCGTTAACCGATGATATGGTAACGGTTTCTGCGCGGAAAGGAACATACACGCAAATTGGAGGACTGCAGGTTTTTAGGAGTTGCGCAAGCAGTTCATCCCAGGTGCAGAGACGCTCACGAGTGAACAAGTAGCCGAAATCAAAGTCAAATTGCATATACTACGTTAAAAAAAAGCTAATGCGTCAATATGCTCCAAACTCGAAGGATGTTCCCGAAGCCTCAGCGAAAGCACCATCCGCATCCAAGAAGGTTTGATACAGGAGGCGACTAACGCAACGAGGACCACATTTGCATAGAACCCAAGTGCTATGATGACACTCACAGGTTCTCACGCCTTCGTGATTGCTCCTTCCCAGCGGCGTTACACCGTTGACGCCCAAGCTCGAGGCCGCAGCATGAAATGGAAAGTTTCCATGCCAATAGCCGTAACCTAGACGTGCTAGTAAGTAATGTGTCCTTGGGTTATGGTTGGAGGACTAAGATTTCAGCACTTCAATGACCCACGTCAATGACCTCGCAGACGGGTTAGCGAGGAACGTGCTATCGTGTCAATCTATGTGTAGACTAAGGCAGATTTTCTGCTGTGGTGAAACTGTGTACACACTTGGACGCGACGTTATTATCTGGCGTGTGTCGTACAAGCGAGCGAGGCTCTACACAGAAGCTCCGCACAAGGTGTTGGTGCCCGACTGTACATGTTCGCGACATGTAACTTACTCTAAATGGATACCCATAAAATCTTTAAGGGTATTCCGGTTCCCTGATCCTCTTTACAAACATGTCCGCCACACGGGAGGGTTGCGCCACCCAACATCCTTTACATAAAAGCGTCTTCTCCGGCCTTAAGCAGACCTCTTCAACTGGTGCACCGTACAAAGAAGCAAGTGATGGCCTCAAAACTTGCATAACCGTTTGACGTGTGGCAGATCATGCACGGTATCTTGCCAGCAGGCATTATCAGTAGAGCGAATGGCGAGCAGGTTAACCGCCAAATTTAGCCATAGAGTAGGATACCGCAAGCTAGGGGTATGGGAGACATGAGTACCGGTAGGCCGGAAGGACACTGAATGAGGCACCATGTCCTAGGGCTGGGAGTTAGGCAGGAACATGTCCCAAATTAAGCGTTCACCTGAAGACAGGGCCCGAAAGGTTGCTGGGTGTCAAAGGTGGCCGGTGGCAGTCCTGTCAGGTGTGTCCCTTGGGACCTAACCTAACCGGGAACAGCATAAGCCACCTCCAATCGCGCAACATTGTGCCAAGCCTTGCTTTTATGGTTGAAGCTGACGAACAGTGCGGCTTTATAGCAGCCAGACTGCCCAGACAGGGATTATTGATGCCGTACTGCTGCGGATCGGATCGCTATGCAACCTACGTATGTGCACATCGTCGTGCATATTAAGCAAATCACGTCCCATACGAGTCTTATGCTAAACGTCTCAGGCTCCGACGAGGTTGAACCAAAGACAACCCTGCCATGGAAGCGTACTTCTGGTTCTTTGCTTGAACAACATCTTTGTGCGTACAATCAGAAGCAATATCGTAGAGTATCTATAGGACACACGTACATGTGATCTCACGTTGCGACCAGGACCTGCTGCTTGCGTCATGGAACGGTGTAGAGCAGGAGCCCATGCCGCTGAGAGGCATCCAATAGGGAAGTCCCTACCTTTAAATTTAAGGCTGCAGCTTCGTACTGGGAGTACCTCTCTGTGCAAACAAGTTCCCCAACGCAGCTCTACGCACGGCGACTCCTTCGGGAGTCGCAGCCGTTGTCACCTGTGCAACATGCCCTCAGCTCTTAAGCGCTCCGAACCTACACTGCTGGTAGCTGCCAATAATGGCCAGCAGCAAGGCCACGGCATAACGAACAACGTGCCATCCCAAACATCTTCGCCTGGGGCCGGAGGCGGTGGCCCTGACGGGGACCCCAGTACCGGTGACAGCTATCAGATCGGCTTGGACCCATTCACGCAACAGCTGATGCTGTCGGTGCTCACTGCCGGTGCCGCGATGGCCATCGCGGCATGCGCACATCAGGACCTCGCATCCGCATTCCGCTTGGACGGAGAAGCCTTGACAGTCGCTATAGAGCTTTCGGCTCCTGTGTTGGTTCTTCTGGCTGCCGTGGTGGCGCCGCGGTGGGCACCGCCCTTTAGGGTGCGTATCCACCAGCCATGAGCGTGATGCGTACAGTCGTTGGGCGCCGTTTGGCTGCCTAGGTGGCGTCTAGACAACGCCTTGCAAAACGCTTGCCCACAGCTTCATTACGGCCGCTGATATTTGCCACTACTTGCTCGGCACTGTTAGAGTGTGGTTGCATGTGTACATTTGCAACCCAATCCTGCCGCAGGGATCGGAGCTTGAGCGGCTCCAGCACAACTACTACATGACGGCCCAGGTATGTACATTCTACTTCCATGTTGTGTACTACATAAGGCCTCCTCCTCGGCACGCTGCGTTCGTACGCAGCTTTCAGCTGTCGTACCGTCGTTTGCCACCATACCCTTCTACCGGCAATACGGTAGTAAGCACCCTAGCACCAGCTGTCGTATAGCTCCTCTGCCATTACCAATGTACCAATTTGCAGGTCTTGCAACTTTACCTGGATTTTGGAGACGACAGCGACAGCGACGATGAAAGCGACACACTCACAAGCCGCAGCAACAGCAGCCGTGAAACGAATGGGAGCGGCAACGGAACCGGTAGTAGCAGCGGCAGAAGCAGCAAGAGCGATGAGAACTGGGCTGGAAATGGGGGCAGCAGCGGCAGTAGCAGCACTAATGGTAGGGCTAACGCCAGCAGCAGCGCTAGCAGTAGCAGTAGTAGCTCCAGCGGTGCCGAACGAGCCCGAGTGAGGAGGAGACTTCGGTTGGAACAAACCGTTGGCTGGAACACGATAAGCAGCGGACTGGCTCTCATGCAGGTAGGTACGGCGGTACATGCGGCGAGCGTAGGTGCAGGACGTTTCTGCACACTTGCAAGGCACGGAAGCCTTTGCGTATGACAGCTCGCACTTTCATGCCTGGCGCGAAGGGCGTGGTTTGGCAAACCTTGTTGTGAACTTGTGAAAACCTCTTCTCCGCCCATGCTTCCAGGCCTTCACTCTGCAGCCTTGGAACGAGCCCACCCCCACCTCCGTGTTTCTGCCGGCACTGGCAGGGCGCTGCGCGCAGCAGCTGGCAAATGAGTTCCTGGTAAGCGGCTCGTGGCGATGCAGAATGCCATATTGCTTCGCCAACATGCATGAATGCTGTGTACAGTGGTTTGCAGTACGTGGCAAACAGGAATGGCAGGCGCTGTCGTACGCTTGTAAGTACCGGTACCAATTGATGTGCTCTCGATCTCTACGGTAGGCATGCGCGTACCTCGGTACGGTACGCCGCGCCAAACGTTTTTAACCTTAGCTATTGGTACTGTAATGGCCTTCATTTGTTCTGTTTCCCTTAGATTCGTGGAGCCGGCTGGGGGCTGCTGAGCGGCTGGGTGGCTGCGACGGTGTCAGCGGCGGATGCGGATGACGGCATCCTGTTTTTCAGCAAAGTCTTTGCAGGTCCAGATGCTGCCAAGTAAGTGTAAGCCAGCGTCATACGAGTGCCTTCTTGCAGGGACGGCCCTTGAGTGGCACGGTTGCTGTTGTCCCCAGCGCGTACTGTCGCTTGTCAAGATGTCATGGCATTTTGGGTGTGCGCCACCTTTCATGTTTGCACCTCGGGCCTTTTCTCCAGCATGCCCGCCTTACCCACGCGCGTGAACCTCCCTACCGTCAAACGCCAACCGTTGCCGACCTTTTTACCCCCGAAATGACCCACGGGTCACAGGTACGCAGCAGGCCTGGCACTGGTCGCCGTATCCCTACCCGGGGCCCTCTGGGAGGCACGCGCCGCTCGGAACTTTGTGAGGGCATCCGTGGTGGGCCCGGTGCGGGATGCCGCCATCTTCTGTACCGGTAGGTGGTTGGTGTTGGGTTGTGGCTTTGGTCTCGCTTCGTTTTACCGCCACAGATACCACAGATACCAGTAACGCAAGATGGCGAGCCCGTGTCCAGCAAGTTGCTTCCTGGCAAGCCAAGGGCCCTCAGGAGGGTCCTTGAGACGCCAAAAGCCCAAGGCGCCTCCCTTGCTCCCGTTGCATTCCAGGCAACGGTGTGGACGAGCCGGCGTATTGCGACCCCAAAGGTTTTGCCATGATGGCTGCAAGACGGCCCGCCAATGCGGCTCCCGTGGCGGATGTGGTCACACGCACACGTGGCTGGAGATCAGGTGGGCATCCTGGGCGACCCATGGGTCGGAACAGGTGCAGGGAAGAGCTACTTTGACTACACTACGCGAGGTCCCTTTGACACGTACGGTGGGAAGGGCGGTCGTGATCCGCATGTTAAATGAGCTGTGTGCCGGCAATTCTGCATGCCGGTGTTTGACATACGGTAAAAGAAGTCTTACATGTTTTCTGCATGGTACATGGTACCCAGCCATGTCTTTCGTCCACATGCGCTCCGGACCTGTTCGCAACCAGTAAGTGCACAACCTTGCCTCCTCGCACAACAGGACCGCAATCGTCCTTCAGCAGCGTGAGCAGCCTCAGCAGCATTGACACGGCCGACCTCCGATCGGAAGACATGAAACCCCAACCAGTCCCTCCAAAGGAGGCTGCTACCGCATCCACCGCCACTGCCGCTAGGGTCACCGCCCCAGGCAGCCCTCCCTCACATGCACCCACGGATGCGCAAGCACCCTCAAAACCCGATGCGAGCCAGAACGGCTCTTCACCTTCCTCCCAGCATCCTCAACCGCCCGTCGCCGCGAAAGCGACAGCAGCAGCAGAGGCACCTCCTTCCTCGTCCACCAGCACCTCAACCTCGTCCAACCCTGCCGCTGCCGCTGCCGCTGCTGCCCCCTTTCTGCCGCGTCTGGGCCCCACACTGAGTGCGAGCTCCGCTGCGTTCGAGTGGGACAGCGAGGACATGGCGGTGCTACTGCGGGTGGAAACACTGCAGGTACGGTAGTGGGTGAGGGATGAACCGGGGTACCCGGAACAGGGGAAGCAGCCAGCTGGATGGCTCTTAAGAGATAACAAACCTCTGGTCTGGGGCATTGGGGAGTATGGGGTTGGTGAATAGAGGTGGGGCGGTGTTAGGGTGACCCATGGGTCGCCGCACCACTCTTCGGGTTATCTTGTGGCGTGCAATTGGGGGCGCTGAGGACCGGGTATTAATAGGGCTGGCTGAACTTATCACGCTAGCTGTTGCCACAACGGATTTGCCATAACGGATGCCACAACCGACTCTTCGCCGTACCGTCCCTCCCCCACCTCATCAGGACAAGATTGCCTTCTGGTCATCACTCTACTACCAGCTGCTGGCCGCCTTTGCCATCAACGGTGCCTTTCTTGCATCGGACTGCAACCTCTTCGCCTCTTTCACGGCCGCATGGCTGATCAGAACCGGGCCGCTGTTACTATCGGAGATGCGAGCTCGTACGGCAGCAAGGGCAGCAGGGTAACTGCTGCTAACGGTAACTAGCTATCTGCTAGCTAGCTGACTGGCTGTCTAACTAACACACGGAAGCTGAAGCAGCTGCAGAAGCGGTGGTTGTTGCTGTTAGTTTGTCTGGTTGTTGGGGTTTTGTTAGTGTTTAAAGCCTGTGTCGGTAGCTCGGTTGCTGAGGCAGTGTCTGGCCCCTTTGTATGATAGGATGCGAAGCGGTGGGTGAAGGAGGTGCCGGTACGGTAGTGTAATGTATCGTATTGTAGTGCGATGTACGGACGCATGCAGCGAGGTGACATTGGAAGGCATTGGACATGGGATGAAGGACGAAATGGAGAGAGAGTGTTCACCGTTTGTTAGCTGGGTTGCACGTTTTGAGGCAGAGCTTAAGAAACATGGAAGAATTCGGAAGCCTTCGGAAGCAAGCAAGAGAGTTGAGAGTGAGCGAAACGAAAAAGGCAGACTTTAAAACGGCTAATTCATATGTTCGGCAAGAGAATAGTGAGCGGGAGCGTTTGAGGGTATGGGAGTGGTTTGTTGAGAGCAACAAGGACATAGGCACCGAGATGATGTCGAGCATAATCAAGAGGCAAAGCGGTGTAGAACCCTTATCGATAGGAAAGCACTTTCCTTTCATCCAGTGTGAGGTTCGTCGGCATGGCAGCTAGGATCCGGCTCACCGGTCCAACATGCATCTTGGTCTGGGGCGCTCGGTAAGCAAGGTGCATGCAGAGTCGAGTAATCGCAGGGGGCGGTCTTTGTGTGTCTTTTGTGTGTACAGAGAGTGTTCTTGCGCAATACCATTTGCTCGTGTCTATCGGGGTCCGTACATGCTGCGATGTAGGGTGGTCACTGTATTGGTGTCACATCCGTCCTTGTGAAGCGTCCTGGTTATGCGTCCGCTGTTACCCATCTGTGGTTCCATGAAGTTCTCCTCTGGATCATGTGCACGCAAACCAAATGAGGGCACCGACTGACCCATGGGTCCGCCGCACTTTTACATACAATTGGCTCAAGTCTGTACGAAAGCCATGACCAGATCTTCGCACGTGAGTACAAACCGAACGTGACGAGAGTCACAACAAATGCCAGCCGTACAGTCCATGTGTGGCGATCCAATGCAGAGATTGTTAGAACTTAAGGATCGTCCGAGGAAAAGGGAGAAGACCACGAAGCACCCTAATACGCACGCCAAAGTCCTTGCACATGTAACCCAGACACATGCAATGGCCTGTGCCAGAGGTCACGTTGTCAAGCACGGGTGCAGCTCCAAGCCATGAAAATGTCACCTGTCCACAAGCTAACCCGAGCCACAAGGCAAACAAGCTTACCAAGGCACAGCTCGAATTGTGGCGCAGCCGCAGATGGGAGGTACCGGTAGCAGCGGTTGCGGTCATACACACCCTGGGCAAGAAGGAAAAGCACCGAGTACGAAGTTAAGGGGTCCAAAGGCATGCACATGCCCGAAACTCCCATCTTCCTGGTTCTATGCAGAAGTGTAAAAGAAACTCATAAACCGCCTTCAGGGCTTATCGCTCAGCTCTTCCAGACTCCAACTGACAGCCAACCAACCAACATGTGTCCAACGCTCGGAGGCCGCGACACGCGAAACCACCCCACAGCTGCTCCCATGCAGCAACCCATGATGAAGCCTCGTCATACAGCTCTCGTCAGTGTCCTCTTCTTACCCCTACAGCTGCCGCACCCCTCCGCGCCCACCCCGCCCCACCACCGCTCCCCACCGCTCCGCATCACCCACACCTCCAATCGAGGTGGTCTGGCTGTTTCACCATCAATCCTGTCACACGAGCCCTTATTCAGATCAACGACTGGTCAGTTACAGCCGTCATAGGGCCCACCACGGAACCATGTCAACGATACCCACCAACCCCTCTACAACCCCACCTCTACGACACCTGCAGCCACCGCCGCCCCCTCCACCTCTTCCCCATTCCCTGCCGCCCCATCACGTCCCCCCTCCTCCTGCTCCTTCTTCTCCGCCACTTCCTTGCCCTCCGCTTCAGCAGCTTCCAGAGCCCCGTCCATCGCGACCTTCCCTCCTGCTTCTGCCTCCTGCTCCTGGCTGCGGCCCATGCTCCGGCTGTGGGCCTTACGCCTGCGCTCCTCCTCGCTCCGGAACCTCAGCCACGCCTCGGTGGGCTCTTTCTCCAGGGCCAGCACCGTCGCCTGCATTGGGGTAAGTTAAGGAGGAGGGACTGTACATAGGAAGGAGAAACCACAACCATGTGACAAGGCTTCGCCACGGGCTGCATCATGGCTTTGCCGACCCATGCAGCCCATCCAGGACAAGGGAAGAGGGCAGAAGCGGAGGAAGCGTTGCCTACCTGTAGCAGGTGCGCCACGCTTCTGAAGCCCTGATGCCGGGCGCGGTGGATGGCGATGCCGGTTGGCCGCAAGCCACGCATCTTCATGCAGAAGGAACTGGGAGAGGGCGTGCCGCGTGCGGGTTTGGGGGGAGGGCGGGTAAGGCACGGAAACCAGAAACGGAGCCATTGCAAGAAAGCCACACAAGCTAGTGAGGGCAAGGGAAACCGGCGAGTGCCCTAGAGCACGGTACCGCCAAACAAGGTAGCAGAGCAGGGCGGGTGGGGTGATGGCATCCGGAAGCTGCGCATGTGAGCGTGTGGCTAGACTAACCAAACCGTTGGACAGAATGTCCGGGACGCATGTGGAACGGGGCCGGACAGTGTTGCCTTCGGGACAGTCAGACAGAGGATCACTTTACTGTGGCACCCCGCCGCCTTTTTTGGCTGTTCACGGGTTTGCGTCTCTCTAACCCTCAGGAGCCCCACATCAATACCTCGTCCCCCAAGCAAGCACCCCAGTTAACCCCCCACCCACCCACCCAAGATAGCACACCTGTTGCAGAACCAGCCGTGTTGTACCCACTCCCCGTGCTCCTCCTCGTGGCAGTGCGGGCACAGCCAGGAGGAGTCCGCACGGACCGCCTCCAGCTGCTGCCCGTACCTGAGGTGGTGTCGTACGGCAACGTTATTTCGGAAATTAGGTGAGCATAGCGGTGGGTCTAGTTTCGTGTGCACGGTTGCTGGCTGTCGCAGGAAAGCCACATTAGCTTTCCTGTCGGGGGCTCCGCACCGGAGGGTCCTCTGTAACCCAGCACCCCCACCCCCACCTAACCAACACTAACGCCAATCAACACTTGGTTCGTAGCACCCTGCCACTTGGTCTTTGCCCACCCACCTGTCCATGAGGCAAGCACGGCAGTAGTTGCCGGTTGCGGAGCCGCAGCGCCCGCACTCCGTCTTGCCGATACACGTGCCGGACACGTCACGATTGCAGCAACGCGGGCAGCCGTCCTCCCCGCAGAGCATCTTCTGACGGCAGAAGTGGCAGGTCAGACCTGCAATACGGTACGGCAGGAGTTAGGGCATTGTTTGTTACGGCAACGCGGTTCGTTTAAAAATGATCAGTGAATGAGCATGAAGACAGGAGTCAGGGAAGGGACCAGGAGTCAGTTAGTTAGCATGGAGGAAGGCTAAACTCGTAAAGATACAAGGGCAAAGAATACCGTAGACGTTTTCCTGTTTTGCACGGGTACTCCGCGGTTTCACAAGATGTCCAAGCCACCGTACTTACCAACGCTCTTGTCGTACGCTCGGCCACGGCTTTTGGACGAGCAGCACATCTGGGCCTCCAACGCCGCCCGCTGCTCCTCACTAAGCTGGTCAGGAGGCGGCATACTGCCATGGACTTGTACGGAGTCCTTACCTGCCAGAAATTGTAAGACAATAGTGCGGCATAAGGTACCGGTACGACAGCCATCCCGGAAAGGGGCGCAGTCCAACCACGAGAAGAGGAAGGGAAGGAGGGCGCGAAGCAACCCGACACTAGACGAAGTATCCACTGGTGCATCTCACTTCACAGCCTGAAAGTTCACCGCTTGTCATGCTGGGCGAAGAGAGCGCAGCGGAGCCTCTTCTCTACCACTTAACAAACAACCATCAGAGTCCCGACTTGCATCCTTCCAGCAGGCGGCATCAACTGCTGCCCACAGGCTCCTCCTCTCCCCTCTAAGCATGCCCCTACTATCCCGTACCTAGCAAGTCAAACAGTCCGTCGTATGTGAAGTCCTCGGCTGGAACCGCTAAACGAGGAGCAGCTCTCCTAGCAGCAACGCCTTCTTCCGCGTCGTCTTCCAGTTCCGCCATGTCCGGTGCCGGCATGCCCGCAATCCTGCCGCTACGGCGTGTGGGCCCCTCAAGCCGAGGAGGCTTGGTTGTGTAGGTACGAGGCCACTTGGGCGCTCGGGCCTGGGATACAAAGGGAGCAGGGCGCATGGGTAGGTTGGATGAGGGAAGAGTGGACGGCTGCGATGGGCATGTCTTGATGGCGCAGCGGCTAGCACAGCTGGATTGGTGTACCTTGCTGTCTGAGGCTTCCGCATTCGCCCGCTTGCGATCCTCGACGACCGCTGTCTTGAAGTCCTTCACAGCGTCCGGCAGGCCGATACGAGCTGAAGGAGAGGACAGAAGGGCGAGAGGCAGGAAATAACGAAGACCATGACGACATAGCTTCAGGACCCGGCCCAATGCGATTGCTCTATCCCTGTGGGCAGATGACTGCCGCCATAGGCCATACCAAATAGTGCCGCGTTGCGGGCCATCAGTGTTTTCCGCTCCGCATCGATGTCAAGCTCTGCGTCTGGTGCGCGTGCCTCGTTCATGTCATTCAATGTGGAGGCACGTTTCTTGGGTGCCATGTTCGTCTTCAGTGTAAGCTTGCGTAATAATTGGCCGGCAAGTTGAGCTAGGCCTCGCCTAAGGCCTTATCCTAAGGCCTTAAAAACATAGGGACATGACATTGTCACGCAAATGCGGCGTCTGGGGCATGAAGTGGCAGGCAAGAAAAGCGCCCCGAGGCATTTTAAAAAACTTGCAGAACTACCTTAGGTAGAGCACTTCTTGTAATAAACTGTCTTTGGCGTTAGCGATTATTCAGAGCGCCTAAAGCGGGGCTAATTAGGGTAACTACTGCAAAGCTGTCATGTTTAGCAAGCTCCGAAACGCCAACAGGAACGGTTTCTTAGATATGGAGTTCAGTTGGATACCGTGTACCAGACGCAGATATCAGAAGAGATAATTACCGGGAGTAAGTTGTGTTTACATATGTTCGCATTGCAATAGCTGAGCGGATAGGTCTTTACACGCATTCGTGCTTTCTTGTTCGCAGCATCAGACATTGTTTGTTGTATGTACCGTCCATGCTACTAACTCATAGTTTCCCCCATGACTTATGAGAATGAGAATCATGCGGTAGCTCCGCAATTGCTGTAGGCGCTCGCGAAGGAAAGCCGCAGCCACCGGCTCAGCGCCGAACTCTATCCTACCTATGGAATAAGGAAGTCACGTTTCAGGCTCTGCGCAGGCTGAGAAGTTCCGGTACTTCTCCATGGATGTGCCAGCGGGCACGTTGGCCGGACCACGGAGGTGTGCAATCACAGCCCTTCATCGCTGGTGCGTAGTGCAGCCTCAGGCAGGAGCTGGCGGTTATAGTTTTCCAATCATCTGCGGTACAAGCGATAACGTCGCTACGTTGGTACGGCCCTGTAGATCGACAAAGGCCAAGTGGCTACATCAAGCTTAGGTAGTGTTTCTAGCAGCAGCGAGAGCGGCGACTACAGTGCTGCTGGCGGCGTCATCTGCCCCGACATTGTTCCTTTCCCCCGGACACAATACGGTGTCTTAGCAAGGTTATCGCCTTTCCTACCGTCCCTACCCCCGCGATTTCTTATCCCCTCTTGCTCTCTCCACTTGCGCATGGTACCCGCACGCTAACATGCACCCTTGTAACATCCACCGCCGCATCCTGTGAATTTTGGACTTGGAGCAAACCTGCGTCTTTGTTCATATTACATGCACGGGTATTGGAAGGTATTGTTACTTTCCTCCATAAGGCAATGCGCCACACACTTGGTTTGGCATGTGTTTTGCCAGGTGGTGATTCTGCATTTGCGATGGTTATCGTACTAAAGACATAGGTTATCCAGGATACAGTAGTGTTTGCCTGGCATTGCCATTACCACAGCATTACCGCCATAAGTCTACAGCATCGTGGCTACCATAATCATACTATATGTTGCGTGTCGTACTACTACACCTCATTATCGTACACGTCAATATGCTAGGCAAGAGGCACAAAATGGCATAATTACCGCCCAAAATTGCCAGGTAGCCATGCATGGCACATTCATTTACGACAACAATTGATTTGACATGCCGGGCACGTAGAGCAATCGGTGTACAGCACTGCGTAACAAATGTTCGTACGTATTTAGATTCTCAATGACAGCAGCGGTAAGAGTGCAGCGCATAAGCTTTTTAACCAGCAACGCCGGGGGACGTGGGACGGTGGGAGCAGCTCAAACCCGTTGGCTGCCGGCACCACGCACAAACAATGCAGCATCTCATTTCTTCCAGAAGAATGAGGTGTTGGCGTCATCCATCTGCGGCGCCCCGGTGTGCGGGTCTTTGAAGTCGGTCTTGACGAAGGAGCCCCAAGCGGGGGTCCCCACGTCCACATGGCTGCGGCTCTGCGCGCCGCCCAGGCGCTTCATAAGGTAGTCACGAGGGATCTCCTGAACCAGCTTGCCGGCGGCGGCGGCAGTGGCAGCCTGGCCGTCCGCTGCGGAGGCGGAGGCCAGGATTTGCAGCTGGCGGGGCGACAGCGCCTGTGGGGCGCAGGCGGTGCATGGGACGAAAGAATTCAGTAGCTAACGACTGACACGCACGAAATGTTACCTGCGCCTGCCCCAACGTGAGCTTAAGGGGCCAAGCTAGGGCTACGGTACACAGCTTCGTAAGCAATGCCCTTTGCTCGCCCACAACCCCTACACGTTATAACGTTCAACAGCCATTTGCCTAAACACCCTCTCACCGGTACTTTGGCGAGGTCCAGGTGCACCTTTTCTCCGTTGACCACCACATAGCTGCGGCCCACGCCCACGAACTCCAGGGAGGGCACGTCGCTGTTGTTCAGGTCAGCGGCCCAGTTGTGGATCTGCACGCCCGTGAACACAGCGTAGTCGGCCTTTGCGGGGTCCACGGCCTTGGAGATGAGGTACTCCAGGTCCTGAAGGGAAAGGGAAAGGGAGGACCTCAGCAGGATGCGAATCTTGATCCGTGGGGTTGTTAATCTTGTTAAGTTAAGCTGCAATACTGCTGCACACGTCGTGTTTGTAAGACCTATACAAAGCAGGATGCAAACTCACGGTTGAGATGACTCGCTCCGCCGCCTTGGTGATATCCACCAGGCTGCAGTCCCGTGGGTCGGTCTTCTCGAACGCCATGCGCCGGGCGATGCGCTGCTTGAGGATGGAGTACTCGGGCTCCAGCGGGTCGTGCTGCCCGGGGGCCTTGCAGCTGGCCTCCAGCCCGTCGCGCTTCAGGTCGCCCATGCACTGCGAGGAAAGGGGGCAGGGGATGATGCACGGGTTAGGTATCTTTTGTGGTATGGTAACTGGAAGAGATGGCAGGGTTGTCGTAGAGGCGGGAGGGTGCACGGGATGAATAAAGCGGTGATGCATGCTTGGCGGGTCACACGGTCAGGCAAAATACACAAGGTCGCACAGACAGACCCACGATGCAAGGCTGTTAGGGGAACTGCACCAGTCAACTGCCCAGCAGCCACTCACCGCAATGAGCGCTCCACAAGCGGCGCTGGCTCCCGGGCGGTTGGGGCGGCTGACGGCGCCCACCTTGCCCTCACTGTCGATGGCGATGTGCGGGAAGGAGAAGAACACGTAGCGCTCCTTGCCCTAAGGCGGGAGAGATGGCGAGGTTAGGCAAGGGGGTAACCTAACTGAGCCCTCATAGGGCATGAGCAAGGCTGTTGTGTTCAGTCAGGTGTTGTACAGGTAAAGGGGCCCGCGTTATTGTATGCTAAGGGGCGAAGAAGAAACGCGTACAAGAACCTTGATAGTTAAAGTGCGAGTGTGCATGCGGTCAACTCACCCCTACGACGGGCGAGTGCGAGAGCCCGGCCTTCATGCCGATGACGCCGCACGTGAGCACTCCGCCCAGGCCGTGGGTGCTGAAGCACGAGCCGAACGCCGCCTCGATCTTGTCCTCTAGGATCAGGCAGGACTCGTCGCGGCAGAGGTTGCTCATGGCTGCGGCGGAGGAGGGGAAGGGTAAGGAGAGGGTTACCATGCAGGAGGCAGACGGAAGCAAGTGGCAAAGTGTGCGGGATGGCCGAACTTTAGGTATGTTAGCCATAGCTTTAAGAGCCTAGATAGGCGAATGCGACGACAGGCACATAAACCGTGTACTCCAACCCACCAATACTGTTATCTCCGGTAAATCCGTAGCCAGCCAGGGCCACCTCCACACGGGCCATGAAGTCGTCAACCGACAGCGCAGTGGGGAAGTGCTTGGTCACCTCCGCGAGGCGCTCAGCCAGGCCGGGAGCGCGCTCGTCGGTGGCCCAAGCGGGCTGAGCGAGCGCAGCGGAGGAGACTGTGGACATGGAGTTAGCGTGGCCGGCGCAAAACAGCTTGCCGCAGCTGCAGGGCTTTAGCAGGGACGAGTTGCTGCTACTGCGCGCGACGTTGCGGAGCAGGCTGCCGCTGCCCTCGGCGCGAGCGACAGTGGACAGCAGACGTGGCCTAGCAGAGTTCCATACTTGCTCGGCAATAGACTCGGCGGCCCTGCTATTAGCCTCCAGAGCCGAGGCCATGTTGGCCATCGCCACACGAGTGAAAGCAGTGCGCGGCATGGTTGATGTTTAATTAACGCTTTGTAAGCAGTAAAACAAAAACTGTAGGCGTCGCTTTTGTCGTCTAATTTAATGAAGGAAATGCATGTTATATATTTCTACCGGTTGGCGGTTGCAGTACATGCGCGTAGGAGGGTCAACCCCTACAACTAGTGAAGTACCGGCTACCACTACTCCTCCAATATCATGGCGCTCAGATATATTGTCTGTCTTCTCTCAACATTTTCACATGTGTTGCCTTGTCGTTGCAGCTACTATACTTGCCGAGCAGTGACTTAGCTCAAAACTACGATTTTTGGTGCCCTCTGTATCAAGGTATGCACATGTGCCGTGGTGGACTTCTGTATTAGTAGTGTATGTCGCTCGGTGCACTGTTTTCTCCTGGAATAACCGATGCTGTGCGACAAATAGCGTCGTCGCCTTGTGTTTGTGCAGCCGGCATTCGTTTATTGTGCTCCATGTCCGCATCGCGAGAAGCTCCAATAACGTGTTTGCTTGTGTCGCCCACTTGAAGGTTCGCCGCAAAAATGGTGTCAATGACTCTTAACGACACGCTGAACCAAGTGGAGCACACCCCGCCAATCCACAAGCGTATCCTAGACATCTTGCCGGGCGTCTCTGGAGGCGTTGCGCGCGTTATGGTAAGCCTGTTATCTGTTCGGGAAACTGATGTTAACGCTAACCGACAGCTTAATTTGGTCATTAGCATACAAGCGCTCATGAATATTCTTTGTTAGATCTTAATTTTGCTTTGTTACAACAAGAATCCCTTCGCAGAGTATGCTGGTATGCCGGAAGGGCGGTAATCCATGTTGCCATTTGCGGCAATGCACAGGGTTGCAAAATGCTTTCCGACAGTAAATTTCTGTGCCATTTTGCGCTTCTTTTTTCACTTCTTTCGCAGATTGGTCAACCATTCGACACCATCAAGGTCCGGCTCCAAGTGCTCGGCAAGGGTACGGCAATGGCGGCCAAGCTACCCCCGTCGGAGGTGTACAACAGTTCCATGGACTGCGTGCGTAAGATGATCCGCAACGAGGGCCCTCTGTCTTTCTACAAGGGCACCGTTGCACCGCTAGTGGGCAATATGGTGCTGCTGGGCATCCACTTCCCGACCTTCTCAGCTGTGCGCAAGAAGCTTGAGGGCGATGACCACTACTCCAACTTCTCCTACACCAATACGCTGCTCTCGGGTGCTGCTGCTGGCGCCGCCGGCTCGCTGGTGTCAACCCCGGTAGAGCTCGTGCGCACCAAAATGCAGATGCAGGTGAGTAGGGACCGACCGGTAGCCCTTCTGCACATACACCAAAATGCCGATGCAAGTTGGGCGTCGCATGGGCCCTTCCAAGACCTCTCTACCTCTGTACCGGTCCATGGGAAACAAATACTTGCATGACCTTCCATTCTCATGATCATGCGGGTCTTCTTACATACGCGTGAGCAGAAATTAACTGTCTGCGTCATTTTGCCCAATGCCGCCTTCCCTTTCTTGTAGCGTCGTGCTGCCCTGGCCGGCAGCATTGGGGCTTCGTCCACTGCTGCCGCCGCGTCCTCGGCTGAGGAGTTCTACAAGGGCTCCGTGGACTGCTTCAAGCAAGTACTCTCCAAGCACGGCGTCAGGGGGCTGTACCGCGGCTTCACCTCCACCATCCTGAGGGACATGCAGGTGCGTTGACTGGTGGCGTAAGCATGGGCGGGTTGGCTGATTGAGTGTCCTAGGATCTGAAGCAGGGCGACTCCAGGCAGGCACGCTTGCGCTGCCTTCGTTCCATTTTGAGCCATAAGAGCTGTTATAAGTTGGATGTACCATGCAGGCCATGCGGCTGTTGCTATGTGCGTCCGCATCCCTCTAATTCGTAACGACCCACGGGTCGCAACTCATGTACCGCTGCAGGGCTACGCGTGGTTCTTCCTGGGCTATGAGGCAACCGTCAACCACTTCCTGCAGAACGCGGGTCCAGGGGTGCACAGCAAGGCCGACCTGAACTATCTGCAGGTCATGGCGGCGGGCGTGATTGCCGGGTTCGGGCTGTGGGGCTCCATGTTCCCAATCGACACCATCAAGTCCAAGATGCAGGTGCGGAGTAGGAATTTGTGGTAATGGCTGAGAGTGGTGAAATTGTACAAGCAACAAACAGCGTTAAGGGTGTTATTAATGAAGGAAGCTAGTATGCGCCGCATTTATAACACATTTACAATACCAAACCCTTGCTTTTGAGTATTAGAGACAAGTGCAGCAACGGCTACAACGCTTCATGCACTACCGTTGCATGTTTTCCCGCCAAAGTCCCTGTCCATGAACGTGCACCTATCCCACCTCTGAACATATCCCTGGCCCTTGTTACCTCCCCCCTCCCCGCAGGCCGACTCCCTGGCCAAGCCGCAGTATACCACCACGCTCGACTGCCTGCGCAAGGTGCTGGCGGGCGAGGGGCAGGCGGGGCTGTGGCGCGGCTTCTCGGCCGCCATGTACCGCGCCATCCCCGTCAACGCGGGCATCTTCCTGGCGGTGGAGGCCAGCCGGCAGGGCATCAAGCTGTACGAGGAGCAGGTGGAGCACGTGTACGGAGGAGTGGTGGGACCTGCCACTCCCACAGCTACCAGCTAAGCAGCTAGCAGCTTAGCATCAGGTTGCAGGCCTTTTGCTTGGCTAGCTAGCAAAGGTGCCCAGCGTTGACCGGGCTTATATATATTCGCGAGCAGTTGAGGGTTGGATTCGATGAGTACAGGACATGCTATGTGTTGAGTGTCTCCACGCACGTGTCGTTGCATGCACGAAGCTCAGACTCTTGAGGATGCTGTCATGGCGGTTGACCGTTACTTGAAAACGATCATAACTTGTGCGGCGAGGGACAGCAGGGAAAGGCGAGACCCGTCGTGCATGGAGCGGTTTTCCGTGCTGACTTTTCAGTGTGAAAATTGCAATGCCCTGGAGGCAATGTCATACGCTTTGAGGCGTCAGAAGGAAGGAGCGTAACAAACGTGCACGGATGTAGTGGTCAAGAGTGTAGGAGATGTGTGTGGGCAGGGTAAAGGGTGTGGAAGGACAGGCACGATGACGTGTTGCATATACGGCGTAACGAACCTGAGATGGTTGCAACTTGCAAGCCTACCTATGAACATACGACTGGCATGGTTGAAGCGTGGAACCGAGCTAAGACAGCATCTTGCAGAGTATGGTATAATAGCTGTACACATTGCAAACCGTGCCACAACGGCGAAGCTTGCGTAGCATGTAGCACACGTACGACAGTGAAAGTATGTGACAGGTGGAGCATTAGATATGCACCGTTACAAATTCGTGGCCAGCCCTGTTGAACCATGTGGACCAATACGCAATAGTATTCAACTACCGGTATTACCCAAACCCTAACCCACCACCATGGAGCAGTCAGGTAAAAAGCATTTTGAGAGTAGGCCATAACTCATCGTGAGTATGATCCCACGCAACCAAGGGAATATCTAATGAGGCGTCCACGCAAACCCTTTGATGGGACAGTAGTACGGAAATGCCAGCAGGCCATGCTTCCAGTACACAGCAGAGATGCGTCAAGTGGGGCCTCAGGGCCGCCGGCACCAGTACACCATCCAGGGGCACGGCAAGCAACGTGTGCTGCCTGTGTACGGTACCAAAACCCAACCAAAGCCCCAGACTACTTAACGAGGCGTACATCTTGCAACGCCAACTTTGGTTTCTACTTACTAGCAGTGTAGAGGCACGCAAGCTTTTGTTCGCTGCTCTTTCGTACGTAACCACTATACGACGGCACCACGAGTCTTCTAGGCCCCCTAACCCAACCTGATCTGCAAACCTCAGGTTGCAAGAAATAAAGAAGGCGGGCACACATTTCAAGGTGCACCCAGTCAGCCATAGACGTACCCTCAACAACATATCCCAACGTCCTTGTTCAAGATGTACGGTCGGTAACCGCCTGTGAGTTGTCTCCGCACAACGGCATCGTCAGGCACGGCCTCAAGGAGCTTCAACAGCGAAAGGCGACTCAGCATCAATGCTCTTCCCATACCACACAGCACACAGCTATCGCCTCACGCTCCTTGACTAGCTAGCTCCCTGGCAGGTGTTTGGGACATCTAATAAGGGCCAAAACTGGTCAGAGACAGAGCGCGCACTGAAGACAGCACGATGTCAGCATCCATGCAACTGCCGTACGTGCGAATCGCGTACGGTACACTGTGCAATCCGTACGGTAGTTGTAATCAACCGCACCTGAGCCCAAGGCTAAAGCCAAACGGTTCCACCAAGCCCTCCATTTACGCCATCCTATCTACAACACCCACAGAGAGCGGATCCAAAACGGCATTAAACGTAGCCAAAGAGCACCTATTACCGGTAAGCAGAAGAGACATGATAAGTTTTGCTCTCTACCAAGTGACTAGGGCTGAGGGCGTGCGGAACCGACCTGCCCTGCTGTGAACAAAACAAGTAGATGGGCATGCCCTGATACCGTATGCCTACATGGGCTGTGCCAAACTGGCAATACCTTTCTCGTGACCAAACCAGGCATACTGACAATAGCTAGGAACTGTTGGCCCCGGCCGGGCCACGCTCGCTTAACACACTAAAACCTCATTGACATTGCTACAGGTTCAGGGCCAGGGGTCCTCTTGAGTAACACTGGCAGCCGTTCAGTGAGCTTTGCCAACTTCTTTTCAAGCGCAGTTGGATTCAAAATGTTATGCATGGGCCCTCAAATATCCCAGTCGCAGCCTTCCTCCACGCTACATCAACTTCACCACCAATACTGATGTTGTCGCAAAAGCCACAAACCAAAGCCAGCGTTTACCGAAAGACGGCGGCGTTTCCTCGCAACGCTAATCAGATGTATGGTACGGCCACGCCTGGCAGCAAGGTACCAGAATCAATTGGCCCCCTCGGCACACCTAGCATTCCAGGCAATAGCAGGAAAGGAGAAAGGATGACGAGAATGGAATTATAGCGCGAAACATCACGAGAATGGAATCAGAGCGTGAAACGTACGTCCCAACATGTCGGACATCAGGGTTCTAAGTCTTTGGACAGACCCATATACCGGTAGACGACTAGATGCCACCATGGATGGATGCACACGGGTGGCCCTTAAAAGCAAACTGATACTAAGCGCAGGATTGGCGCTAGAGATAGCTTCGTGGCGTCTACGCGAGCAACGCCTAGTACAGACGTTGCCCCCAACGTCTGTAGGGCAACGGGCGCACAGGGGCCGCATCGGCCACCAGTCAAAGAGCTCATCCGGAATGCTGCACCATGCCCCTTACCACCTGCGCATACACAAGGACACCCCGTGACGGTGCCCGTCCTATTTGCTGCTAATTGTGATGTCAGCAGCAACACCAGCACTACTCACATGTCATTGCTGCACCTCTCATGTATTCAGTGTGCAACGCTCACCTGTTTTGCCGCCGGGCCTCACAAGCACGTGTTACCAGCCTTATTATCAAACGCGAACCTCAAACCGCCGCCCTGCCTGCCTAAACCCAATACAATTTGACTGCTTACGTACGCTTCATACGCTTCATTGATTAAGTTTTCAGATTTCTTCATTTCCGACTTGCGAAGGCTACACGCACGCGCTGATCTGTGTCCAGAAATCAACAAATATGTACGCGCGCAGGCACGCACGCAAGCATGCGGCTCATCCGAGCCTAAGCACTGCAGTCCATGTAAACCATTCACACCGTGTACTGTGAACCTGGACTATGACAGCACCGCCACAACCGGGCCCCGACGGAAACCCGGAACCTCCGGAAGGATTGGGTTGTTGGTTACGTTCCGTTCTATTGCAGAAGCACAAACGTCCTCCGTTGAGAAAAAGACACATCAGCAGTTCAGCCCCAGAACGTGCCTCACACCTCATCTCCTGCACCTTGCGTTTCTGCTGCTAGTTCATTCTCAAGTGACTCTTGCGGTTGCCGCACTTCCCATTGTTTGCTTGCCTACCTCTGTCACAATAATGCACGCCGCACGCCGCCGCCTTCGCTAGCACATGCCAAGGCCAGCTGACTCGTGCGGCAGAACACACCTATACCTATAGTTGTAATCAATGCCGGATGTCTTGCTACAAGCAACCCAATTAAGATCATCGTGAACGGCGAAGGGGTAAATTCCGAGAAGATGGTGGCCGCGACAACCGCAACCAGTAACAAGTAATGACCTATCATTAGCCAGCTCGGTCACTCAAAATGCTCAGCACCACCGCCGCCGCTGCCGCCACAGCGGACGAAACGCAGCAGAATATTCTTCAGCCGGTCGCCCACGCCGGCACGGCTATCAATGCCAACACAGGACCCAGCCTGGTCGCCGCAAACCTTGCCGCGACCATTTTGAGAAGCCACCGCGCCACGACGACCTCTACCGGCCGACACAACCGGCGGACGATCCGCCAGCACCTTTGTCGGGCAGTTCGCTCCCAAAGACCACTCAAACATGCTGTCCTCTGAATCCTGTGACATCATCAGCTGTGGCCCATGCGACCCGTGCTGCTGCTGAGGCTGCTGTCGCTGCTCCTTCATGCTCCTGCCAGCTGGCTGCACAGCGGGTATACCGGACATGCGAGACGTCGCAAACTGGGCGTGTGAAGGCAGAGCAGCAGCAGCCGCAGCCGCCGGCGCAGCCCCAGCAGAAGCGGTAACAGTAATCGCAGCGGTGGCAGCTATCGGCGCAGAAACAACAGCCGAGTTGGCAGTAGCACCCGCCGCAGCCGTGCAATTCCGGTGCAGGTGCAGGCCAGTGTTAGGTCGGCACACAGCACCAGAAAGCTGGGGCCTCACGACTGGTTGCCGCGACTGTGGTGGTGGTTGCCGCTGGCCATCCGGCTGCTGCTGCTGATGATGATGATGATGATGCCGACAACCCTCCCTGCCAGCATGCAAGCCAGCAGAGCGCACACGCTCCTCAGCCTCCTCTTCCAACTCATGCATTCCCAGAGGCATCAGTTCCTTCATAACGCAATCGCTCTCATCATCTTCATCCGCAGCCACCGCCGCCGCAGCACTACCTTCCCGTTGAGCAATCTCGGCGCGAGCCATGGCGCTGACCCATGGGTCACCCAGAGACAGCGTTGACGCCACTTGCACCCCAGCGCTTCCGCAGACGCTGCCGCGGTCCAAGACGTAACCAAGCAGCGTGCCGCGTCCTTGCCGAGAGCTGAGGGCGTCATCTGCGTCGTCTGCCGCGCTTAATTCCTCCTCATCCTGCGCAATGATGTCCGCTGCTGAAACACCAACTAAGCCAGCACCCGCATCCCATGCCTCTTCCAAAACTTGGTCAGCAGGCCCGGCAGCCGCTGTGACGCCGGCTCGTGGCATGGCACAGCTCGGGCCGCCGCCAATGCCGCCAGACTGGATATACGATGATGAGCTAGGGAGAGCAGCGGTAGCAGCAGGGATGGCGAAGCCACGGCTTGCTGAGTTCGCAGTCGCTGGTGGGGCGTTGCTGCTGCAGCAGCAAGAAACAGCAGCAGCAGCCGTAGCTGCTGTTGCTGCTGCGCTCTGCTGTTGGAAGCCGTCACCATCGCCGCCGGCATGGGCGTCGCCGTTAAGGCACCAAGACGCGGCAGCCTCGGCGGCAGCAACAGCGGAGCCAGCTTCCGGAGTGGCAGCAGGAGCAGGCGCACCCCACAGATTCCCCAACGCAAGCAGCTTGTTTAACGTGTCCAGGCCACGCTGACGCCGCCGGGGCTTGCTTGTTTGCCGTTGCTGCTGGTGTTGCATTGCTGTTGATTGCGATGGTACTTGTGGTGCGTTGTAAGCAGCAGGCGGCGAGCAGGGCATGCCAAGAGGGCTGAAGGCGTCGAGTAACGAATCCGTCTCAGTCTGCGAGGGACGACAGAACACACATACGGCCAGGGGACATGTGAAAAGCCCGGTACACGTATCCGTCGCAACAGGTGACAAAAAATCATGTTGCTTTGCGTTACATGAAGCGCCATTCTACCAGTTGCAGGTAACACAAACCTAGAACAAGCGATACCATACCAATGCAGACGCAAAACTCGAACACCACCACAGCCAACAGGCACTACTTACAGTAACGCTTACCATCAGGCCGCTGCCCAACCCTGCGAAACCACCGCTGCGGCCTTCGCAAGAGGGATACCAGACACTGCTCGAGAAGCTACCAGGAGTCAGCTGCAGACCGTCCGAGTCCAAACTGCGCACACGGGTGTTGCTGCCGTTGTTCGCTGCCGCTGAGGTGTACATTTGCATATAGTTCCCTGCTGTTGCTGCGCGAGTGCTGGGCATTCCAGCTGATGCAGCAACCATGCCTGCTGCGGTTGCTGGACCGGAGGCAGCGATGCCTGCTCTCGATGCAGCTGTCGTGGCGGCTGCAAAGGCCACGGCGGCAGCGGCGGCCCCAGCCGGCATGGCTCCACGGTAGGCGGGTTCAGACAGCCGATGCGGCTGCGTTCTGGCGCGAGCAGCCGCAGCACCAACACCTGCACAAGAGGAGCTGTTTCCAGCGGTTGTTGCTGTCGCCGCAAGTGCAGCTTGCAGCAAAGTGCCGGAGGTTGCGGTCGAGGGACGCAGGGATGAGGGGCGTAGAGTGGAAGCATGTGGTACTGCAGGATTGGCTGCAGGAAAGCCGCAATGCGAGTGAAGGGTGCTGCATGTTGAGGCTCTGTGGACGACAGGGTTGGCTGTAGCAGTGGCGGCGCCTTTTGCTGCGCCCATGCAGATGACAACGCTGGGACGGTATTGCAGCATGACAGCTGCAGCGGCCGTTGCTGGAGTGCTAGCTCTAGCTGTGGTGGCTGTTGCAGCGGCGGCGGCACCGAATGGTTGCATGGAGCCCGTTCTCGACGCCCTTGATGCCGTACTGGCTGCCGTACCTAATGTTGCAATCATGGATCCAGAAACCGACTTCAAGGCCGACAATGACGGCGGCATCATGAGATCCGCTGCCGTACTGCCCGTACCAACGTACGGTCCGACGCTCCGAGCGCTGAGCTTGCTGCTGCTTGTACTGCATTTCCCGAGTTGCCGTACATCTTGTGACAACCTCCGTTGGCCGATCGGCATAGACCCCGCCCTGCTGCTTTCCGAGCTCCCGTCTGCGGTTGCCGGGCGTTGCGTCGCCAAGTGAGCTGTAGCAGCAGCAGCGACACAGCAGCCTAACGCAGCCGGGGCAGCATCAGGACTAGTAGGGGTGTCCTGCGTTGCTTCACGCTCCAAGCTGCTCCTGTTGTTCATGCTGTTGCTAAATTTCAGCGCACGCGTCCGGCACCAGGCGTTTAAAGAAGCTTTCCGTTGCAGCGTCCGCGCGCCTCCGCCGCCGCTGGCGGCGCCAACGCCGGCGGCGGCGCACGGTCGCAGCTGAGTGTGCGGCATCGGCACAGTCGGCTGGGTCCGCGCCCGTGCCGCCGGCGCTAACGAAGCGATTGCCGAAGGTAACGCATCTGCCGCGGGAGGGAGCGATCCACACTCCAAGGGACGCCCCCCAGCAGCGCTTCCCGCGACGGCCAGGGAGGCGGAGGTGCAGGTCAGCGGACGTGCGGTTGTACGACCAGCCAGTGCTGCGACGCATCTTGTCACCATGCCATGAAGTGAGGAGCCTCCGCCTCCGCCGCCGGCGCCGCCTACACCGCCGCTAGCGTACGACACGTTTGCCAGGCAGCGCTCTGACCTCTGCCGCTGCTTAAAGAATGGCGCTGATGACACTGCCGAGAGGTCGTGTTGAAGCCCCATGCCGTTACTGCTGACGCTGATGCTGCCTCCACCGCCGCGGCCCCAGCCCCGACCAACACCGTCACTGGCCCATCCATGGCTCCTGGAAAGGCTGCCGCCAGCCCCGCCGCTGTTGTAGGGACTGCGACAGCCTTTGCTATCTCCATTTCCAACAATGCCGTCGTCCTCCGCACCACACATCTCTATCAGGCGTGAATCGTATAGCCTCGCAAGCGTTGCGTTTTCAGCCATGTCCGTCCGCACATCCTCAAACCACGGCATATCCAGTAGCTGCTCTGCAGATGGCCGTTGTGCAGGATCCAACCGCAGACACGCCTCAACGACCTCAAACGCCTGGGGATTCAGCCTTGGCAGCCGCTCTCGCAACGGCCGGCCCGGTAACGTCTCGGGCATGTAGGTCTTGCCACTTTTCGCGGCCTGCTGCTGTTGTTGTTGCTGCTGTTGCTGCTGCTGCTGTTTTACGGATGAAGTATTACCGGAGACGACGGGGTCTGCTGAAGTGCCTGAAGCAGCATCCGTGGCCGTATCCGCAGCAGTAGCAGCCTGCGCGCGAGAAGATTCCTCCAGGCGTTTTAAAGCCTCCACAGCGGCTGTCAGCGGAGGCGGATAGGGCCCTCCTGGGAATGCACCCAAGATGCGCCACAGCTGATCGAGCGAGCTAGTTCCCGGAAGAAGGGGCCGCCCAGTAGCCATCTCAGCTATGGTAAGGCCGATGGACCACACGTCTTGGGGGTAGAACAGGCAGAGGAGGGTTGGGGCGCACAAGGGGAAGGTTGCAGGGAAGGAATTAGGATGCACAGGTGGAGGGACGCAGGGAAGGTGGCGGAACTGCGTGATTCTGCAATGAGCGAGCGCTTGGTCGCGCTCAGTGACAATCGCTGTTGCACAGAACAGCATGCACAACATTGCAACATCGAGGCAGAGATATCTTGCTGGCTGTGGGATGATATCTACGCTCCTGGCTAATAGGCTGCTACGCATGCGCATCTTTCGCAATGATGTAATCCCATGCAAACTTGAAGCTTAGTAGTACCTGCCGGCTTGCCGTACTCCTGTCCAAGCAGCACCTCTGGCGCTCGGTACGCACGCGTCTGCACGTATGACGTGAGGCGGCCGCAGTCCAGCCCGTTGGCCCCTCCCGGAGCCGCTCCCACTTTGCGGGCTAGGCCAAAGTCGCACAGCCGAATTGCGCCATCAGCGGTCAACAACACGTTGGACGGCTTGATGTCGCGGTGCAGGACCTAAGGAAGGAGGTTGTAAGGGCGTCGAGAAAGAACTCACGCAGGGTTCAGGTTTTGTACGTACGTCTGGTGATAATGTGAAGAGAGGCGTGCGTCTGGCACGAGAGGAGTCACTGGCATGGCCTGGCACGGAGGTATTGCTGGTCGTTCGTCCTCTTGTAAACCCTATTTGTTTCGCGGGGCTGCCATGACATGAAGTCCCGCATACCCTACACAGCAGGTCTCAGCAGCGTTCCTCGTGACACCAGCTGCTCGAAGCAAGAGCGCTCTGCACGCAATCCCGCCCCACCGAAACCCACCTGCTGCGAGTGCAGGTACCGCACAGCGAGGCACAGCTGCCAGGCGAAGGACTTGAGCAACTTAGGCGGCAGGCCGAACATGTACTTGGAGTGCAGTATGCGGGTGCCGCAACCGCCCTCGATGTACGGAAACACCGCATACAGGTGTGAGTTGCGACTGTGGGAAGGAATGACATTGTGCGGGTACACGTTAGGTTGATTTATTTGTGTGCTTCGGTGCTGACGGGATTCATTGCATGAGGTATCGTCCAGATTCGCAGCAGCTCACCTACGGAAGGCACGTTCCAAATGAAGGATAAGGGGGTGATCAAGGCTCTTCAGGAGCCGGATTTCTCGGAGCGCTAGTTGCATCCCCTGCAAGCGGCAGCAATGAGAGCTTGATGAAAGCCAAATCAAGCAGTGCGTCTTCATTTCCTATTCCTTTTAACGTGAAATGTAACCTTTTCATGCCTTCCATACATTTGCTAATGTGGTATGCTGGTCGTTGCCATTTCTATATCCTCAACGGAAATCATAGGGATCCAATCACCCATCCAACTTTTAAGAACGAGTCTCTGTTTTATGCTGCTGCCGGCTGTCCTTCGTCCATAAACGCTGACTTGTAGAGCGTCATGCCGAATGCCGCACCAAGGAAAGAAAGAAATATGCAAGCACCAAAAGCAATATAACACAACTCTTCATCTTACCAACTTGTCAGTATGCGCCCACTTGAAGCATTTGACAGCGACCAACCTCCGCCCGGATGATGTTCTCTCTCGACAAAGCAGGACGGAGCCATAAGAGCCCTCTCCCAAGCGGGATACAACTTCGTACGATCCTTCCTCAGGCCCATTGACGTCCTGCAATACAGGTGATGGTGCTTTTGCTATGCGGCGCAGCCTGACAGCTTGGGCACGTAAGTCCAAGCCGTCACTCACCTTTATTTCAGTCATTGTCTTCGAACCAATGCCAGGCGTAGGTAAATCTTGACTGTTCTGCAATTATCTATACTCACTGCTTGCTCTGTATGTGTACCATCGCCCGTGCTTGCCAAAACGCTCGCGTGGAACACATTGCGAATGCTAGCAATCATCTCAACGCTGCCCGTTCTTCTAGTGAGACATGGCAAAGATACAACGGTGAAGGGCTGAGCGGTTAGTACGGCCCTCCAGGAAGCAATGGTCGCAATCTTCTGATCGGCCTTGAGATCCGGCAGAGAAACAGTCGCGATTCATAGTATTTAACGTGCAAACCCGATACCCGGTATCTTGGATGTCCAGTGTACCGTATGAAGGGGTCGTTGGCACTCCGCGCGTTGTAACTTTTTAATAGATTGCACTGATACGAATTCTTACCTCTCATCTATGTATCGTTTCAGCTTCCATTTCTAATTTGCGAGTTCTGTGGGATGGGGGTTTCTTAAAGGCGACGTTTCGAGTCCGCTTCTGAGTACCTGCTGAGTACCAAAGGACATCGAATCCTCTTGCGTAGAAGGCTTGCGTAGAAGGCCCAGGAGACAAGGGTAACATGGTGACGCAGTTTATTGTGAGTATTAGCGCCAACCGTAGTATTACCTTGCCTCGGGACATGTACCGGTAACCGACGTACGCGGACCCCTGGAACAGCGTCATTTCTTGAGCTGTTTGGCTTCTTAAGCACCGGACCACTAGATCGACCGCTTTCAAGCCTTGTCCTGAGCTGGCCTATTGCCCTGAGCTGGCCTAAGCCTACATTCAAGTGAGGAATGAAGTAATCCTCGTTCCTGAGTTCCTGCCCTACGTTATGACGACTTGCCCTTTGCTACAGCTGGTCTTCTCTCCCATCAATACCTTTCTCGGGTCCGTATCCCCGCCAACCAAAGGCCAAGGTTCTTAACCAAATGCTACCCCACCTTCGCAACCCTTTCATGCTTTCCAAATCTTTAGTCCCATTGCAATCTCTCATGTCGTGACCGTTCAGGCATAAACACGTCCTCAGTGCCAGCAGTGCTTTCGCAGTAGCAGTGCTGCACTCGAACGGACCCATGGTTCCTCCTGTTGCCTTCTCCGCCCCCCCCTAGTCCAACCCACTTAGCAACTAGGTGTCCTGCCCTCCTGGCTGCTGGGGCCATGCTTTAGAGCATGCGTACGGTAGCATGCTGTGTAGTCGGGGTTTTGCTGGCGGTTTCCGGCTCACGCCTGGGTGTACGGCAGAGGACGACGATCACCTCGCAGCAGCCACCAACATACATTAGGAAAGGTTCTCCTGTTGCCCTCTCTCATTCCTCGTTACCACATCGATTTCACAGCTGCGTACTCAGGGCGATCTATTCAATTTTTTTTAGTTTTTTCATCTTTTTTCAACTTGTGCCCTACGGTTCTACACCGACGTGCATTTGCTGCAGTTGGCGTTCTCTCCCACTCATCAGTCATATTACTTCTCCATACCTTCTCCATACCTCACTGCCTATGCCGCCCCCCAAAACTTTACTTGCCTTTGAATTATCGCTGTAACGGTAATTAACCCATACCCGTCGTATAAACTAAATCGGAGCTTTGCTAGCGGCTTGAGACCCAAGCCCGGTTGTAACAGAAGTGACGATTGCAACCAATACCTTGCAGAAGGAATGGTAAACAATATTTGGTTGATATTTATTAACTGATACATACACTTGCGTGCGGACAACAGGCAATCAACAGCCAACTAGGAACAGATGGACCGCCAAGTAACCCCGCGGGACCGAACCAGGAAACACAATCATTGCGGGGGCCCCGCCATGTACACGCCCCCGTACATGGCGGGGGCATGTACGGGGGCCCCCGCCATGCAACCTGTGCAATCTTAAACCTTATCTTAGCCCAGAAAGCCGGAACCCGGCCTAGGTTCGTTCCATACCAATCAGCAACAAGAGCACAGCCTAGTTCAGGCTCAACATGTACAACAAATCAACAATACTGAAAAGCCACGTGCTAGGGGTGGCTAACAGGCAGGTGTGTACGTGCGTGCAGTACGGTACCTCCCGCCGCTGCGCGCTTCCATGTTCATATTGTACAGTGCGGCATCGCGCAAACGCCACGCGCGCAAACCGTTCGTAGAGCACAGCACTAAGCCTCCTACGTCTCCTACCCCGCGCGATGCGATCAAACCAACGCGCATGCCCCGATGCATCCAGGACACCTATGTTTAGCCGCCCAATGAGTGCTGCCATGTTTGCAGCTTAGCTGAACGCATTCATCAGCATTAGATACGAAGAACGTCTCATAAACCACATATACATTGGAATGCCCCTCCATGGATGGTAGTACGCAAAAAGGAAGCGAAGACAGGGGGATGCACGCTCGAAGTGACCCACGGGTCATTTCTGCCCATCGTGCGCCGTTCATCTCCTAAACCCCCAAAAGTCCCATATATCCTCCTCTCAGCTGCGTCTAGAGCCTTCTGGCCTCTGCGCCAGACGGCCTGACGGCCTGGCTGTCAGGGCCATTCCACAGCCCGCATGGCATGCCCCACTTGTGCCGCACGGCATACGCCTCATTGCTTGCAGCGCAGCTACAGCAGATAACGTCCCCAGCCACCGCCGCCATCGCCACCCCTGCAATCGTAATGATGGGGGAGAACGGGACATCAGGATGCTGTCACACGGGCAGCACGCAAAGCAAGCGTATGATGGGAGCTCCAAAGCCGTGTCAAGCATGGCGAGCACACGCGAACAAGGACCAGACGCATGCAAAGCCGCCGTTTCCATAAAGAATCCCAACAAACCGTTGATCGTAGATGCGGTAGCTATGAACGCAAGCGGACACACCATGCATGTGAAGGCCCTGTTGCCCACATCCACACGTACCAAGCATTAGGGGAACCATTCGAGTTCGCTCCCGTGTACCTGTGGTGGTCGTCGTCGTGGTGCCGGTTGTCGTCACGGCGATTGTCGTGCCGATCGTCGTCACGGCGGTTGTCGTGCCGATCGTCGTCATGGCGGTTGTCGTGCCGATCGTCGTCACGGCGGTTGTCGTGCCGATCGTCGTCACGGCGGTTGTCGTGCCGAACGTCGTCACGGCGGTTGTCGTGCCGATCGTCGTCACGGCGGTTGTCGTGCCAATCATCGCGCCGATCACCACCGCCGCCGCCACCGGTCCAACCCCAATCATTCCAGAACTGCTGCAGCCGTCGGCCGCCAGGCCCAGGGAGTGCACTGCACGGGAGCGACAAGACGGGATGACGAAGAAGCCGCAGGGAAGGCGGGATGAAGGTATTGAGTGCACGCATGCCATGTCATATAGGCTGGGCTAGTCAGCTGCTGTCTAGCATGAAAAGACGACGTCTCCCCATCCTCCCTCGTCGCGCCCAACGAGACATGGTCCCACGTGCATCCCCAAGAGCGCTCACCTCGTGCCAGGGCCTGTGGCATTTCCCCTGGGGGTGGGAGTCCTCGTCAAGTTGCCCCTCGCGTGGCTCGTGGCATTGCGCGCGGCGGTTATAGCGCCAGGGATTGGTGCATTAGGCCTGGTGAAATTTGGCCTGGTGGCGTTGGCGATGGCACGAGTCCTGTTGCTGACAGCGCGAGTAGTGTTGGTAATGGGGGCTGTGATTGGAGCCGTAGCATTGGAAACTGCCGATGAGACGCCGGACGTTGCGTCGCCGACGGCCCTGCCGACGTGGCCGGTAGCCAGGTCGCCCACAACGCTGGGGCGCTGGTGCAGACGGCGCCCGCCATTACCGCTGCATATGATGGAGAGGTAATGGAGGGCGGCTTAATAGGAAGGGCAAGGAAGCAGTGCTGCGAAGACAGGGTATATGTGGTATTAAAGAACGACGGGAACAGGAGAGGATGTAAGTTTACACATGGCTGGTTGCTAGACACTTGTCCAGACCTGGGGTTTTGTGGCAAGGTTCAACGGTGGTACCGTTACCGCTACTCACATGCCAAGGCTGGCGCCGGAAGGCAGCTCGGAGCCCGCCTTGCGAAGATTGCGGTGATGTCCGGTCGCCGCGGCTGAAGCAAGCAAGCAAGGGCGGGGAGGTTTGCATGTGTATAAGATTAGCGTTGCTTTTAAAGGGCCTCTGCGTAGTCCTGAAAGCGTTAGCAGCCGGTTACTAGCCAACCAAAGCGCGGCATTGCAACTTGCAGACCCGTGGGTCGTTTTGTAAGGAATGCCAGCCACTACCACTAAGCCATACCAGCCACTACTACTAAGCAACGCATACATTTATTAGCAGATGAATGCCAACCTGTCACAGGGAGCGGCACGAAGGCAACAGATGCGATTAGGGCTGCAACCACCAGCAGCGGCGTTGCGACCGGGAAGCCGCTGGAGCCGCGGCGGGCGAACGGCCGAGCCATAGTCGGCAGGGCGCGACTTTGCAGTGTCGTTATATACTCCTGGTAAAACAGACGTGAAGCAAACAAGCAATGCTGTGGCCTTTTCGGGATGCGACCTCGACCTCTTTAAAGGAAAGCACGAACCAAAGCGCTTTCTCCTTACGCTCGTGGGCTGGGCTTTACCGTATCCTCTGAGCTGTTGAACAAATGGGCAGTTTCTATATACTTTACGCCTGCACGGCTAACGCATTTTGCTTGTTATGTCACCGTTCGTAGAAGTTACGGAGCGCTTCAAGCACACCGACAGCTACCTGCGGTTGGCAAGGTTGATGAGTGACACATCGTCCCGAAACACTCCCGATGGGATTAGTGAAGCAAAAAGACCCATGCTTAAAGTTAAAGAGATTGACAAACTCGACGTCAACTGCAAAACCAGAAGCGTTAGCTTAGGTATCGCACCGTTGGTGTCCCTGCCTGGAGGCAAAGTGGCAACATACCATACAAACGCAGGAGTGAGCGTGGGGCATCAGGGAATCCAGCTACCACATAATAAGGCCACAGGGGCCGCCACCTGAGCCCCCGGGAAGCGACCGGTAGCCATTCAGTACGGACCACCGCCTCAGGGGCCGCAAACCACGGTAGTCTCACCTACCGTAACCGCCACCACGGGTGCCATCACCCCCCCCACAATCATGTGGGTTGTTAGTTCCCCCCTTTACTCCCCCAGCCATGCCGCTACCACTGCCAGGGGTGCCGCCCCATTGGTCCAGGTTACGGCGTGTAGGACGTAAGCGCATAGGAGGCTAGGACAATTCCTGTACGAAGTCAGGAGTCCTTGACGCGCAAGGTAGCTTCATAAAGAAGATCCTATCGTGATGTTAGACCAACTTTTGCTTGCAAACGTGTTAACTTTAACATGCAAACAAAGCCTCTCCGGGTCTCGCAAGGCTCGCGACTTCTTCGTCATCAAGTTCCGGTTCTCCCCATGCGGGCCAGCGACAAGGGTTGTCCCGAAATAGGTAGAAGCCTTGTAACCGAGTTGCATAGTTTGAATAAGGGGCTGTGTGGTTATGCCCTATCTGGAGGTTGCCAGTTGCTTGCGTCGGCTATGTGACTAAGAGTATAGCGACTAGCTTTCCATCCGTCTGGGACTCTGTTTCATATAGCTATATATCCGGAACGGTCTTTGTCAGAGCCTATACGTGGGCCTATGCGCGGGAGCCGGCCAGTCCGAGTCGGGCTAGTGGCGTTAACGGTACGCACTGGAGGAGGCGAAAAGATATGCAGAAGCAGGACTACTAAACTGGCAACGGTGCAGTGCCTGCGAAGTTCAGCCTAACTTGATTTGACAGGAGTAATCGACTAATCCTTATCCCTTGTCCCTCTACTAATAACGACCGTCCGACATTGTGTCCCGTACCCGGCTTTTGTAGTTACCAAAGAGCACGCTAAAAACAAGATTGGGTTGTTTCTTACTGGGCCCAGGCAGGCTGACAGGGAGATAACTTTATCCTAGCGCTTGCGCCATCGAAAATGGCCCAAACTATCCTTCCACTGCTGCTAGGCGCTCTGCTTGCCATTTCGTCAGTGTCGGCTTGCATTTACAAGTACGGGACCTCCCCGGACTCCCTTGTGAGTAGAGTGGGCGCGGGAGGCAACTTTTCTGAGGCATTAGAAAAGCCGTCACGTCAAGTTAACATACGCTTATCGATGTACAGTAACCGCAGTGGTTATAGATAAGCTCCTTGGGCATTGTTGTTCGTGACGCCGTCAGTCGGAACTTGTCTCCTTACGTAGGCCTTAACATCCGCGTGTTTGCTTGCAGGCGGCTCCCCATGGTGGAAGCCACTGGGACCATGGGAGGAACGGAGAGGACTGGTGGGTCTCGCGTAACTGCCTCCTCCTTACGAAAGCTTTGCTCATCGTGAGAAAGATACCTCTCACGAGAAGCCTGGTAGCGCGATAAGCCTTGCCAAAGTGTAAATACAGAACTATCTGTGCTTCCAACTGGTTTACTTGGCACCAGCAAGCCCGCATTTGTTGCGTCCTAACTTACGTAACTCCCTGCGCACTTAGGGATGGCGTGGACGCCGCCGGCAAGCCCTGGATTTGCATGAGTGGAAAGCGCCAGAGCCCTATCAACGTCCCTTTCAGCAATGTGCTTGGTAAGTATTTTTGCTGTAGGACTGCACCCCCAACTGGTGGCTTGGGCTTACCCGGCTTAGTAACTACCTTGTTGCAAGCACAAGGTGCCACACTACCCAGCGATACCAGCTTGACGTGCATAACAGCTGCTGCTGTTGCCTCTGCCTTTGCGACTGCCCTACCTAGCTCTCCAAACCTAAAGCTGAAGCCCTTCTTCCTGCTTCCATCCCAACCCATCACATCTTAACACAGACAACACCGGCAGCCACGTTCCCAGCAGCTTGCAAACCAAGTGGTCCTACCCCGTGCTCGTATCCAACGGCAGCAACATCCAGGTCATCAACAACGGCCACACCATCCAGGTCGAGTGGACGTCCCCGTGGACTGGCAATGCCAAGATTGCTGTCCCAGGTGCGATATGGGGCACACAGCAAGCAGGGTCTAAGTCTCGTGTAGCATGTGGCTTACGGGATTCCACGTGGGGATGACAGTTCTTGCATACCTGGTGTTCCATGGTAACATGCAGTGCATCTCAATCCTGCCTGCTGCGTCCCTGACCTCCTCCCTGCTGCCCCTCATCGTTGCTCCGAACCCCCTCCTACTACCGCAGCCAACGCTACCGACAACACCACCGTCACCTCCGTCCTGCACATGAAGCCCGACGCTCGTGCCACCTACGTTACCGCCACTCCCTACCAGTTCCACTTCCACGCCACCTCTGAGCACCTCCTCGCTGGTAAGTAGCACGGGTTGTGTTAAAGGCTTTAACATAGATTTCAACCCGGTCTTGCCTGCAAGTCGTGGGTTTAGACTCAGTATTCCCTGAACATGAATCGCATTGACTTAACAGAACATGCTTCCTGTTTTGTACGGCAATGCAGGCCGCTACTTCCCTCTTGAGCTGCACATTGTTCACAAGGTGACTGGTCTGCCCGGCTGCGCCAAGGGTTGCTACACCGTCACTGGTATCCTGTTTGAGCTGTCTGACGGCGCCGACAACAGCGTGCTCAACTCCATCTGGTACAACATGCCGACCCGGGAGGGGGTGAGTTGGTTGTTGTTGGTTGGTTCCGCTGTGTGCTGTACGATGATGGGGCACAGAATCTGCTGTCTGTAACCCCGGTGCGTTGTGCTCACACACATGCTTGCACTCAACCATTCCAAGACACGATACACCAAGATCGCAAGCATGCTCCGTTGGGTCTTCTTGCACGGCAGGTCCTGCACATTTTTACTCGGCTCTTTTTATACGAGCTCGTACACATGCACACATGTTTTTTCTTTTTAACCCCGCGTACTTGCCTCTCTCCCCTCGCAGGAGATCAAGCACTTGCCCAAGGGCGCCCAGATCGAGCTGGGCCGCCTGATCCCCAAGACCTCTGAGCGCGACTACGTGACCTACGAGGGCAGCCTGACCACCCCGCCCTGCTCCGAGGGCCTGCTGTGGCACGTGTTCACCCAGCCCCAGAAGATCAGCCGCGCTCAGGTTCGTATGTACGGACGCGACATTTGAGGTGGTTGAGCCAATTCTTCGTTCAGGCGATAGTTATGTGTGAACGCTGGCTGGGGTTGCTCCTGGCGTGGGGCTCTACAGCTGTTGACAAACACACTTGTGTGTTGTCCGTACACGCGCGTCTGTGTGTTGACAAAACCGGTTGTGTTTGCCGTGTGCGTGTGTGTTCCCGCCCCCGCCCCCGCAGTGGAGCCAGTACCGCGCCGCTGTCGGCCTGAAGGACTGCACCCTCAAGAACGCCACCACCACTACCACCGAGACCACCAACACCACCGAGACCACCAACACCACCTCCTCCGAGCACGTCCACCGCCACCACCGCCTGCACCGCCACCTGCTAAGTGAGGAGGCCACCACCAGCCACCCCGAAGACTGTGAGTGCAGCTGGGGCTGGGGTTGAGGCCGGGGTCGGGGTTTATGCATGGTTTGCGGGATGCTTGTGGCCTGCTTTGTTGGCACCAAAGGGCAGCAGCGCGTTGACTCGAGGAAGCAGGTTCACCACCCTCCCTCTTCTTACTCGGGTTCTTAACTGGGGCTCCTCTTACCCGCGTTTGCCCGTGGCACGCAGACACCTGCGAGATTGTCCAGTACGGCTCCAACTTCCGCGTCTCGCAGCTGACCTACGGCCGCACCATCAAGGTGGCTCGCGCTATCTAAGATGCTGGGAGTTTATCCTTTGTGACTCGATTTAAGGACGCCAAGAGCTTTACCTGATATAAGCGAAGGCGTGAGCTATTATTTGGCGCAAGCTATTATGCTAATATGAAAGCAGGAGGTTTGCAAGCCTGCTGAGGTTCACAGCGCTGCCGGAAGGCCTTGCTGCTGCTGGAAGTATCAAGGCGCACAGTTTTGGGGGGTTTGGTTTCGGATTTTTTCCACAAGTGATCGGAGTGATGCAGGGTCCTGCACCTCGTGAATAGGGTTTTTCCAGGTCTACTAAGGCGGCATTTGTGAAACAGTATGCGCCTTCCTCGACGATGTGGGTTTTGGCAGTGCTTCGATCTTCTCGGACGTGTGTTCGGACGTGTGTTCGTTATTGCTCCCTGGCACGGTACGGTACGGCCAAGTGTGGGCAAATATACTATCTTGATTCGAAACTATGCCGCTCTAAGTAATTATGCCAATCGTGATTGAGGCGTGCCAGCCTGAGGATAGCTCTCGCATGTCCCAGCCCCTGATTTATCACTATTTGACCCTGTAACCCTGGGCATGCGAAAAAAATCTAACCCCGCCTTGCAATACCTTACACACGACGACGCAGCTTCCGCGTTTTTCCAATGTGGACTGTTACAGAGGGAGGACAGGAAGACCACTAAACCAAAACTCCAGCAGAACCGCTACAACCGCGGCCAGCTGAAATCCTCCTGTCGTATACACCGGTACTACTATCTGGTCAGCCCGTAAACAGAGAGGTACGAAATACAAAAATACTTGCCGCGGTTCCCTTCTACAAGTCCTCCATGCGCCCTTCCACTGGCTCGGCCAAATGCGTCCCATGGTGTGCGGATTATCATCCAAGCAGCCGCCTAGTCCTTTCCAACGTCATGCCACACAACCCGAGCAACAACCCCTACCTAGCACACAACACGCTTCCATATGTTATTAGGGCAAAACTGCTGCTTAGAAACAAAGCTCTCCCATAGGACAAGTCCCTGCTTGCGACCTAAGAGTAAAGAGTTGCATTGCTTATCTTGACAGTTGGTTAGGTGGCTCTAGCGCCGGGCCTTCTTGGCAGCTGGAGGCTTGTTGACGTTCTTCTTTCTGCAGTACCGGGCGAAAGGCGAGACGAAACAGAGGGACCGAGTATACGGTAATGAGAAGAATAGTGAAGTACAGGGGAGCAAGGGGGAATACAGGATCGAGCGTAGGGAAGAACTGCAGTTGACGACAGACCAGAAGGCAGAAGTTTGCTGCATATCCACTCCTTATAAACCGCCAAATACCGGTACGCGAAGTAGTGCATGCGGACCCATTAGTTGAGGCCCGGAAACGCGCCCCCGGCATGGCATCCTGGGTTAGGCCTTTCATAATGTTACACCCCTCCCTAAAGGCAGACGCGTTGCAATCCATCCCGCAAGCAAGCCATGCAAGCACCGTTCGCACGAATGCACCGGTCCTTCACACGCAAAGCCCCCACAGCACGCATAGCATGCTAGGCATCCCACCTAGCGCAGCTCCCATGCCCATGTATGCACCCCGCGGCTCAGCTTACAGAAGCCCCCGGCCATGCATGCACATGCAAGACACCCCTCGGAAGCATAAAACTCACTTTGGGGGTTGAGCGGTTGTCGCCGCTGGCTTTCCCGGTGCCTGCTTCTTCTGGGGCTGCTGCTTCTGCTTCTCCAGCTGTTTTGGCGCCTTCACAGTCGCTGCTGCCGCAGTTGGCGCAGCTGCCCCATCAGCGCCGGGGCCGGCGTCGTTCCCTTCCGCCTCGAAATCAAAGTCGTCTGATGCCGGAGCCGCCGCCTGCGGAACCAAGCATGCAAGGAAGGCACGACAGGTTGGTTTTGCGTTTCCAACCGTTGTTGCATGAAATCCCCTAACCAGTGACCCGTGGGTCACCACATTTAGGAAGCCACAGGTCAAGAGTCTTCACTCACTGCCGAACCCGGGGCTCCGGTTCTGGCTGCTACCCAAAGCACGCCCTACACACCTGTGCCATCGCTGCCGCTGCCGCCTTCTTCTTCTGCCGCTTGCTTAGTTGCTTGCCCTCCTTGGCCGGCCCGCCCGCCTCGTTGTGGCTTGTTTGCGCCTGTTTCCGTTGCTGCTGCTGCTTCTGTTGCTGCTGCTGCGGTTGTTTCTTACCAGCGGCGGCTGACCCATGGGTCGCAGCTGCAGCTTTTTTGCCCCCCGCTTTCGCAGCTGCGGCTCCGTTGGCACCTGCGGCAGAAGGGGAAAGTACGGCAGGCGGAGGCGCGGGAACGAGATAGGGTTGCGGTACCGGCACCTCATGTAAGCGTTGCATGCCGCATACCCTGCCCGCCGCTGATGTACACCATTTCCCAAACCGGTAATCTGACATGGGCCAATGAACCCACCTCTTCCGCTCGGCCCTGCAGGGGCCTCCTGCTCCTCCTCCTCCATCTCCTCGCCCTCATCTCCGCTGGCTTCCTCCATTAAGTCGTCGCTGCCGCTCTCCTCCTGCTCCTCCTCTTCATCGCCCTCCTCCTCTTCATCCTCCTCTTCCTCAGCTCCGTCCTCCTCCTCTCCATCTGCATCGCCGCCCTTGCCGCCCTTGCCTCCACGTCTCCGCCTGCTCGCCAGCGCTTCCGCCTCCTCTGGAGGAACCCAAAAGTCTGGCTCCTCATCTTCATCTTCGCTTCCATCCTCCTCGCCTTCCCCAGCCTGCAAGCGGAAGGCATGGAACAAGGGAAAGCAGAGATCAGGACGGATAATACCATGTCGTCTCCACACGATTTGCTGCCGTGCGGTTCATGTCTGCACGCCTTTCAATGTCGTGCAGTGTCGCCCCGGACCGTCACAGCAGAGACAGCTACCCATACCCACTCACTTTAAGCCTACCACCGGCTTCCGCGTTTCCCTTCCCTCCCCCAACCGGAATCTTGTCACATGGACAGTTTCTACTCCTTACCCCATCCCGGCAGCCCTCCCAAGACAGGATTCAGGCGGCGTAGGCACACAGCCCCCCAGCCCCTCACCTCCTGCATCTCCTCATCCCCGTCACCGCCCTTGCGCTGCTTCTTGCTCCGGCGGCCGCCCTCCGGCTCCTCTCCGGGCTGTGCGGTAGGTAAAGAGGAAAAATCTAACTGACCGTGTGGTAAGGCATCATCATGGTTTGCAACATGTGAGCCAGCCCGACCCGCCCCGCTGTGCGGGTGGTGGTTGAGGGGAACGAGGGCCAAGCCAACACATCGCACGCATAGGATTTAGGCCCTTTTGCATGGCAGTGCAGTGATAAATGTGTCCACGATGCAAGCTGTAAACTGTAATCGTATATGGATGAATAAAAAAATGTTGCAGTGATCCCAAACCAGGATCCCAAACAAGGGGAAGCAAACGATACCCAGCCCTACACTGCAAGAAAAAACGGGACGAGCCCCAGCAAGCTCAGATGCTCACCAGTATAATTCCAAATTGCCTGAGGCTGGGCTCGGGCTTCAGGTCCTGCTGGTCTGCTACAAACCGCGCCTTTGCACGCACAAAGCGCTTGCCGCCCATGTGCTTCTTCACCGCCCCCAGGCTCTTCTCCAGTAGCTGCCCGGTTAGCGCGCAGTACAGCATGTGCCTGCATGGGGGTGGATGGCAGGGAGTTGCTGCTGCTGCTGCTGCTGGGGTAATAGCTTCTACAGCACCCAGCTAGGCATTGCATGCACCTCTGCACCTGTGGCTGCGGGTGCACCCGTGCTGCATGTGTGTGTGTATGTGCGGGCCGAGGGTGAACCAGGGTGTTTAACGTGTCTGCATGGCCGAAAGTGTACGGTGCCAACGTTGCTTGGGGTCGTAGTGAGCGATGCATGAGAGCGAAAGGAAACCGGAGAGCTGCAGGCTTGCCACAGCCCATGCGCTGTTCCCAGCGGGTCTGCCGCGCCCGCCCCTCCGAGGCCTCTCCAACGCGGACTCACGGGAAGTTCTTGCTGACCACGATGAAGGGCTCGTACTTGGTCAGCGCCATCTCGGCATCATATCGAACCTTCATCTTGGCAAAGCGAGCGCCGCTGCAGGCGAACAACGGGCGGAAGGGAAAACAGGAAACCTGAAGGGAAGAGGAGCGATTATGCAGCGCGATCCAGCCTGTACGTGACACACACACATGGCAACATGTGAGAAGCAAACAGGGAGGACAGGCTTGCAGCCAGCTCCGTCACTTCTCGTGGGTACGTCACCATTGCCCAGCCATCAGTGTTGCCGGCCCCCTCCCGCCCTGCAGCTACCAGCGACACTCTGACACCGAGCCATCCCCATCCATCAACGCACAGACTGGGGCCCAGCGTACTTGACGAAAAAAACTATTTGCTCCGGTCGGTTGGCTGGAAAGCTGTGTCCGTTGACGAGGCATTTGAGCTTGCCGTCCTCCTGAGGTTCGAAGTAGGCCGTGTACTGGCCAATGGCCTCCGCTAGCTTGGGATCCATCTCAGCGCGAACGTTCGCCGAGCACCCGCAGTAAGTGCGATGTGCCGATACGGTTAGTGTCAGCTAGGAGCCGTCTAAACGCTCAAGAAAGTTGAAAGCGGGTGCCAGAGTAAGCGAGACGGCGGCGGCGCGACAAAAGTGGAAGGCCGACGGTTAATTTAGCGGATGCGCAAACAATTGATAGTTTTCAATGAGGCGCCAACGTTAAATGCGAATGCCTTGAGTGTTAGGGTATTTCGCAAGCGCTGTGGATGGGACAAAGCGCAACACACACCCGTCGGCTACACTAACGGCTTGCCTTTTACCCAAGTAAAGTATGCAGGGTATGCAGCTACTTGGTACTGCTTGGCAATGTGTTGCACTGATGCTAACGATGCAAGTCCCGTGGGCTTGCCGTGCAAGTGCATGCTGCGGCATTGCTATACTGCTAAATTGATTACCCAAGCCTACAGCACAGGAAAGCGCTCAAAGTAGGCAGTCAAAGGCTTCCCGTTTGAAAATCAATTGGTACAGGCTGTGGCACTTCAGGAATGAAGTCCTTGATTCTACGAAATTCATCATACCATGTGGCCTGAGATGAACTCAATTCTTGCGTAAGGTCCCCTTTACAATTGATGCAAGATGGCAGCTAGTGTGGAAGCAACGCGCTGACCTTCAGCCTGGACCGTGGAGACAGCTCCAATTTTCAACCCATTGAACAGCGTTGTTATAAATGGACAACAGCGCTTTTACTGCTCGGGTTCTTAACAGGACGACCGGGCCACCTTGCAGTAACATCGTAACTTTCTGCGTCGAGTCCCATCCTGGCGTCACCTATTGTGCATACGCCGTGTCAGATGGCGCAATCATCGTGCAACAGGCAAGTCGTGCACTCCCCTTTAAGATCAGGTTTTACGAAAAAGGATTCGGCTAGGTTATCAGCAAGTGTTATGCCGTCGTGGGCGGTCATTGTCGGGCCGACGCTATCATTTGATCAGCTTCCCCTTCGGCTACATGGCATCGCCACTTTGTTGTGCCGTGTTTGTCAGGTCTCGCTTGCCCGTCCGTCCCCTTTTCCAGCTTGTTCCCCTGAACGTGTCGATCCCTCCAAGGTCTAGGGTTCCAGATGCTTGTTATCCAAGTGGTATCCTTCAACGCCTGTCCCTTCCGCCATAACTTGAACCCCTTCCTACGGCACCTGTGTTCCACATGTCCAACGCGACCATGCCGGCCTACCTTGTTCCATTTAGCTGCCTTCCTGCCTAAGCCACCATGTCCCGTCTTGCCCCGCGCAGCATGGCATGCCTACACCCGCCCCCCTCGCCCGCCTAGCCATGCATGCACACACCCACAACAACCGCACCCCGTCCTCAAAACCCCATCTCCCACTCCCCCTGCACCCTTTTCCTGACCCATGACCCATGCGTTCCCTGCGCGCCTCTGGACGACATCCCATGCACGCTGCAGAGCCTCAAGCCCGCGCAGCACCACCACGGGGCCTCCAAGGCAGCAGCAACAGGAGCTGCAGCAGCAGCCGCTGCTGCTGCGCCAGCCTCCTTCTCGGGCCCCGCAGCCTTGGCGGGTGGCTCCGGTCACTTTGCCCCGGTGCTGCTGATTGCTGGGATGACATGCGACCATGGGGCCGACTGCTTCGGGCGCATCTGCTGGGGCGGCGGGCCCGAGGCGCTGCTGGCCGCGGCCACCAAGCAGCACGTGTACCTGTTCTCGTTGCTGCCGTTCTTCAAGGTACGCCGCTTGCTTTCAACGTGCCGGTAGCTTGGGGTTGGAGGGTTCCTGGCAGCGTTCCGGGTTGCATGGCACATGATGCACATGAGCTACATACCGGTACGCTACGTGAATGCCGGTTGTGGCATCTTGCTTTGGAAGGTGAAAAGCCCCGTATCAAGCTCCGCCTTCCGAGTCACCGAACAAACAACTCCGCGCTGTCCCACACCGCAGGGCCCTGCCACGCAGCTGCCGCGCCACGTGACGCCCTCCCTGCCGCTGCCCAGCACTGCCTGCGTGCTGAGCGGCCTCTACCGCACCACCATGCCCGCCCTAGCCATAGACTTCACGCAGGACGTTCGTGGGCTGCTGCTCACGGATTCGGGTAACTATGTTACCATGCTTCAATTGGTTCCCAAGGAATCCCTTTCGCAGCCCTTTGGGTACGGCAGTGGCGGCGCTGGAAGCAGCAGGTCATCTGCTGCATCGACGGCGGCGGCGGAGCAGCATGCGGGGGCAGCAAAACTGCCGTTAGCGCAGCGGCAGCACCCGGTGTTGTTCGCCGTGCACGAGGCATGGAGGGTACGTGCGGATGCGGCGCATACGCTAGCGGCAGCAAGCCTTGGGTGCTATAGCCCATGTGCTACTACTACTGCCGCTGCGGGCGCCAGCGGCGGCAACAGCGGAAGCGGAGGGCCCCAAAAGGTTACGATTTGGTGGCCTGCCAAGCCCGAAGCGCATGGGGATTTAGAGGGAGCAGGCCGGCGGGCGAGCGGCGGCGGTGGTGGTGGCGCCGCCGCCATCATGCATTCCCATGGAGCGCAGGATGTGTCGGCGGTGGGCGCTGAAATCGTACGGCACCCGGTGCGTGTATTGTCACTAGAATGGAGCCCGCCGTTGGCGGGATCACGTGCGGGTGGCGGCGGTGGGGGCGGTGTTGCTGCTGCTTCCAGTACCACCGACGCTGGCGGCGTCCCTGCTGCTGCTGCTGCTGCTTCTGCCGGTGGTGCTGCCGCCGCCGCCGCGACAGCGGCGGCGGCCGTCAGCGCGCAGCTTGCCGCGCCGCCGCCAGCTCCCTCGACTGCGCCAGCGCTGATGACGCTGGGTGCTGACTGGGTCATCAGGATCTACGTTGAGGTGGTGATGCGCAACATGCTGCCGCCGGAACTAGCGGCCTCGGCGGCGGGACTGTCCATGAGCCAGTTCTGCTTGACGCTGGTTATTGAGCCGCCCAGCCTGAACCTGCTGCCGTCTTCGCGGCCCGGCATGCGGGCTTGCTGGGCGAAACCGTTGGGGAGCAGCAGCGGCGGGGGCGAAGGGACGGCGGCGGTGACGACGGCGTTGTACGACAGCGCCAGCGGAGGATCAGGGGCGGCAGCAGGAGGAGGAGCGGCTGCTGGCGTGGGGCCCCCGGAGGGGCAGGACGCTGGCCGGGAGGATGGCGGCGATGGCAGCGGGGATGGTGGCAGTCGGCTGCAGTGGATAGTGGCGAGCGTGTGCCTGGCAGCACACGAGGACGCGGATGCGGCTGGTGAGAGGTGTTGTTGCTGTGTGGTCAGCTGTGATAGCACCAGGGGCTGAGGTGGTGTGCTGGATGGGATGGGCCGTTGCCTTGCTGGGTTGCTCCCTCCAGGTCCACGAACAGCCTGACTGCTGGAGTGGCCCAAGACTAATGACACGTTCACCCTCTAGCCAACGTGCACGCTAGCCTTCACTTGATTGACCTCGTTACACACACGCAGTGACCTCGTTCAGGTCGCATTACTGTACCCCCGCCTTTTCCGGCCCCTGCGCACCCAACTGCCCAGCCTAATGCGGAACATGTATCCTTATTGAACCCCTGTCCATGCACCAGAGCTGGGAGCAGCTGCCGGGGTCCCCATGGACGAGGCGGTGTGCGTGTGGGCGGTGGACGGGCTGTCCTCCGTGGTGCTGTCCGGCATGCCACGGGGCTCCGTGTCCTCCGCCAAGACAGCAGCCTCACCCAAGGCAAGCGGCGCCGGAGCTGCTGATGAGCGCTCCATAAGGATACCCCGATGAACGCTTTCTGCTATGCCGGTGCTTTGGCGTGCGAACACCTTGCCTCTTCTGACTTCTTTGCGTTCCTTTTGTGCGCGCTTTTTCCCATTGCCTGTTAGCGTACTCATGCCGCCGCCTTTCCCTTCTCACTAATCCTCCCGCAGGCTGTGCTGTGGGGCATTCAGCAGCGCAGCGTCTCCTGGTTGCAGCCAGGCAAGCTGCTGCCGGCCTCGCCAACCGCGCTGCGACCCGGCGACTTTGCGATCGCGGCGTACGTGAGCTACCCGGGCGGCATGCCGCTGCTGGCCGCTGGGGACAGCTGCGTGGGCATGCAGGTGCGGGGGTGAGGGTGCTATTGGTATGTGAAGTCTGGAAGCGGAGCATGATTTTTTTATTTAGGTAGGCTAGGAAGGACGTCTGGTTGGGTTCTCCGCCGGATGTTCTGTGGCAGGCCGTGGCTCAGTTTTCTAATCTAATCCAACAAGATTCAACTGCGATCTTACAAGAGAAGGGGGCGACCTCTCACCTGAATCATCGAGATTTTTAATCCCTCCGAATGCCCATTGCCCGCTGAACAGGGAGCCTATGCCGAGGTTAGGAGCTATCAGGTGGGTCGTCAGGCCGTGACCTGGACCGTTTCTGATCCGACAAGCCGCTCCGAAACATGGCCATCCATGCGCTCATCCTGGCTGCATGCCTCACTAGGAAAAATTGCCCGTCCCCATGCTCTTCGTTGTACGGTTTGTCTGTCCAACCCAGCCTGCGCTCTTTACCCGATCCACAGATCTCCCCAACCGCGGCCGCCACCCCGGCCGGCTCCTCCCAAACAGCAACCTACCTGCGCATTGCCTCGCTTGCCCGGCAAATCATCACGGGCAACCCCGAAACCATTTCCAGCATGCTCGTACATCCCGCTGCTGACGTGGCGCTGCTCCGGGACCGCACCGGCGGCGTCGCCTTGTGGGCCCTGCGTCCCCTTTGTGAGCTGCCAATCGCTGTTGCGCCGGCTGCAGCGTCGGCGTCACGGGTGCTCCTGGCGTCGGTCGGGCAGCTGGCGGCGGTCGTCTGGTTGTCGTACGCTAGCGACTTGCCAAGCGGCTCCTTGCCGACGCCGGCGGCGCCGGCACCGGTAGCGTACGGCAGTGGTAGCGGCGGCGGCAGCGGTATGGTAGGGTATGTCGCTTGCATTCATGGCGGGCGGTTGCTGGTGTATGCGGTGTTGCTGGCCCCGCCGGCAGCGGCGGCGGGCGGTTCAGTCGCCTCCACTGAGGTCAATGCGGCAACGGCGGCATGGGGAGCCACGTTCCTGTCTGAAGTTCTGCGAGTTGAACTGCCGCCGGGCATTGTCGCCGTACAATCTTTGCATGAGGTCTCGTACGACGTCAATGATGCGGCAACTGGCACCGTGATGCTAGTGGCCTTGGCGACTCACGCCAGGGACGCCATTGCTGGCGGCAGCAGCGGCAGCGCTGGCTGCGCCGTCGCCACAGCGGAGCAGCATCAGGTTTGGGTGACGTGGAGGCTTAGGATACAAAGGGAAGACGCAGCCGCTGGTCTATGCAGGTTCGCGTTGGTTTCGAGTGACGTCAATGAGGTAGCGACGTTGTTCGACGGCGCAGTGACCCGCGGGTCTGTTGCGCTCAACCGACGGCTGTCTTCTTGTACGGCGCTCGTCTCGTGCTGCTGCTCTTCCCTGGGGTCGCCGATGGACGCTGACATCGTTCAAAGTACCAGCCACAGCAGCAGCAGCACTAACGCTGCCAACGGTGTCAGCATGAAAAACATCTCGTCCTGCAGCAGCAACGGCGGTCGTCGCGCTGTGCCGTGCTTCATGTCAGGCAGCTCCGACGGCCACGTGCAATTCTGGCGTCCCGCATTGACAGGCGCACCTGCAGCAGACGACGGCACTGCTGAAGCGGCTGGCCTGGAATTGGTTCAGAGCCTTCCATGCAGTGCGGATACCCCGGGCGGCAGCGGTGAGAGTTCCAACACAGCCGGTGGAGGCGCGGGCGTGTCAGCAGACGCAAACCCCAGTGACGTGGCTACAGCAGGCATGGTTGTAGCCGTGGCGCTCGATGAGATGTCTGGCTACGCCGCCGCTGCTACCACATGCGGTGACGGAGAGGACGAAGAAGCCGTCTACATCTGGCGCTTACGTGACTATGACAATGCTGCCGATGATGGCGATGATGGCATGGGGGAGGCCAAGGACGGCAGCACCGGCCAAGCTCTTGTCGTACGAGCGGGCCGCGATGCGTACGGCAAGTACGAGCTGGAAACAGTCGTACCGGTTAGCGACACGGTCAGTGCGTTGTCGTGGTTGGCAGCAGCAGGCATGAGCGCTAGCCTTGCGGTGGGTTACGCATGCGGTCGGGTGGGTCTGCTGGTTCGAGACCGGCGGGGAGGCTGGGAGGAGGTGGCGACGTATGCGGGGGCGGCGGCGGTGTCGGCCTTCGGCTCCGCGAGGGGAGGCGTTGTGGCCTTTGCTGCAGGTGAGAGAGAGAGTACACGAGGGTAAAAGACCCCAGCCCCTTTGGTTGCCGTGGTCGTCTTTAGGACCAGCACTGCTAAAAGGGAGGCAGGTATACCGGTAGCCGCCTTTTGCACGTAACCGTGATGAGATAAACGTTAAGGAAACACTACCGGTACCACTACCAGTACATGCCCTTAGCCACGCGCACATCCACCCACATTAACACGCACCGGCACCCCCCGCGCCCCCATATTACAGGCAACCATCTGCTGTGTCTGTCCAACTCTCTGGACGGGCACGACGAGGACAACAACCGCTCCGAGCCCACCCTGGCCGCACTCGCAGCCGACCAAGCGGGCCCTCTGGCGCCCTACCATCCCGGCTCTCTGCATGCGTTGGTCGCAAAGGGCCGGATAGCCACCGCCTGCCGGGTTCTGCGGCGCCTGCTGAGCTGGCTGCGGGAAGGTAGCCGTCAGTTGGTTGCGGATGCGGACAGCGTGTCTGGCTCCGGGGAAGGCAGCAAGGTGGTGTCCGGTGGGGCGCGGGAAGGCGACGGCGACGGTGGCAGTGGTAAGAGCAGGAGCAGCTCTGCAGACGGTGGCAGCAGCGGCGGGGGCAGCGTGGCGGCATGCCGGTCTCGGCAAGCGCTTGTGGTGGAGGTTTCCGAGCTGCTGTCAGGAGGTTTGCTGACGTCAAGAGGCCTGGCGGCGTTTCAGCAAGCGCTGACGACGCCCACGCTGCCGGCGCCGCCGACGGCCGCCCCCGCACCCTCATCAGCGGCAGCCATTTTGGCGCCTTTCCAGCGCGCTACCGGCAACCATCACAATGGTGGAGTTGCCGGGGCCACCCACTCTCACACTCCGGAGGCTGTGTCGTACGGCAGCAGCCGCGCTGGGCGTTATGGCGGTGACGATGCATCGGCACCGATGCGGCCCCTGGCGCTTGGAGGCATGAGCTCCTTATCATCGAGTGCAGTGCATGATAGGCTTGGGGGCGGTGGGGGAAGTGGCGGGGCATTGCAGACGGGGTCGGCCATCGTGACGGGTGCATTGGACATGTCGGCATTCGGCGACTTTTCAACATCAGGAGGAGGGACAGCAGGAGCGCAGGCGACTCGTCAGCCGCCCACCACGGTCGTAAGCACCGTTGAAAGCGGTACCCTAGACATGCTAGCGTTCGGTGGGTTTGGGAGTTTTGGAAGGGTTGACGACGCTACGCCCGTCGCTGCGGCAGCTCCCGCGGTGAAGCCACCTCCGCCGCAGCGGCAGCCGCCGTCGGCTCTGGAGACGGGCACGCTTGACATGTCTGCGTTTGGCGTTTTCGGAGGCTTCGGCGCTGAGCCTGCGCCCCCACCGCCGCCACCGCCGCTGGCAGCTCAGATGGTTCGTTCGCAGCAGGGGGCGCTAGATACGGGCATGCTGAACATGTCAGCATTCGCTGGCTTCGGCGCTGAGCCGCCACCGCCGCCGCGGCCGTCGCCGCCCAAATCCGCCTTGGAAAGCGGCACCTTGGACTTCTCAGCGTTCAGTGGTTTCGGCGGTTTTGCCGTCGACCCGCCTCCGCCTTCGCCCCCTCTGCAACCGCCGCCTCAGCCGTCGCCAAGCCGACATGCGTCCGCATTGGACAGCGGCATGCTCGACATGTCGGCGTTCGGAGGTTTCGGAGGCTTTGGCCAGGAGCCGCCGCCGCCACCCCCGCCGCCGCCGCCGCTGCCGCCAGCACCGCCGCCGCCGCCGCCACCTCCCCAACCACGCGCCGCAGACCCACTGCACTCTGGCATGCTCGACATGTCTGCTTTTGGAGGGTTTGGAATCGGCCAATACTCCCAGCAAGACGATGGCGACGCGTACGACAATCGCGCCGCCGCCGCCGCGTCAAGGGCACCTGTGCCTGTGATCATCAGCGAAGCAACACCGCCGGCTCCATCGACGTTGACGTCTGCAGCGGCGGCGGCGCCTCCACCTCTTGACACTGGCATGCTGGACATGTCATCGTTTGGAGGCTTCGATATGGGATGGACGGCGCCTCCTCCGCCACCGCCACCGCCTTTGCCGCCAGCGACAGCTGCAGAATCACCACCACGTCAGCTGGGCCCGCCGCTGCCCGCCGCCTCTGCCTTTGAACATCGGCCATCACTACCGCCGCGCTCTGCCCTGGACTCCTGGACCTCAAGCTCCTCCGGACCTGCGGATTCCGTACCCGCACCTGCTGCCTCATCCTCACAGCCAGGCGTGGCAACAACGGCAACACGAAGCGCCGGAGCCAGCGGTAACGTCAACGACCCATGGGTCACCTTCCCTCGTGTGCCTGAGCCAGCTACCGCCGCCGACCCCGAGCTACCCGAGCTGCTGCTGGCGGCTGACGAGGTTGCAGAGCTGCATCGCCTGCTCGGACAAGACCCGCCTTCATCCCAGAATGACCCATCACCAAAGCCCGCCTTGACGGCGGTCCTGGATTCCGCTGCTGCTGCTGCGCCTAGGAAACGGCGAGGCAGCGACGGTGCTGACGACGCGGTCGAGGATGCTGTGGCGTCGCTGAGGGCGCTGGGTTTAACGCCCGAGGATGGGTTGGAGCTATGCCGTCTTGCGGTTGCGTTGAGCCGAAAGACCGTTGAGCAGTTGGGCGGCGGCGGCGTCGTTGGAGGTGGTGGTGCGACGGATGTAACCGCGGGCCTGGATTTTGCCGCCAGGGCGTTTCTAGTGCAGGCCCGTCTGGCGGCAGTTGGGGCGCATGCGGCAGCAGCTGCAGCGGCAGCCACAGGAGGTCAGGACGATGGTGCCTTTGCGGCGGCGGTTAGCCGGCTGTTCAGGTATGGGGGGCTTCACGACTTTATTGCTGCTGGTGCGGGGTCTTCACTGTAGCTGAAGGTTCCGAGCGGTACAGAGGTGTCCGGTGGCAATCGGCTACATTACCCCCCTGTTGGACTCTCTACTCGAACTCCCGTACCTATTGAATAACCCAACCTCTCACGCCTCATTCTCCCCCTGACTTGGCGCTTCCGCAGGCCTGTCTCCGTGTCTCGCTCCTCTGCCGCCCCTCCCGCTTCCAACCCCGTCTCCTCCGCACCTTCCTCCGCCACGCTTGCCTCCCCGGGCACCATCGGCGCTCCCTCCGCCTTCTCCGCAACCGCTACCCGTCTGGACCCCGCAGCCAACCCATCCGATCCAACGTCATACTCCTTAGGCAAGCCCACCTCCCGTAAAGGGCTCAGAACCAGCGGTGCCGGTACTCGCGGATCCCGAGGCGCCAGCGGCGGCACTAGCGGGCCAGCAAGCCGCCGCAGCCGCAGCGTGCGCAGCGTGCTGAGTGTGTTTTCCTTTGCTTCGCTACCGGGTTCATTGTACGGAGATGGATCTGGGAGTACGAATGTTGCTGGTGACGTGGGTGCCGTACATCACAACGACGGTGACGGCGGCAGCAGCAGTAGCAGCTGGTGGCGGTTGTGTGGGCTGATGGAGGGTCTCGACATGCGCAGTTGCTTGATGGCGGTTGCAAGCGGCAGTCAGGCGCAGCTGCTAGAGGCGGTGCTGCCGAGTGTCCCATGGGTCGCTTCGGTGGATGAGGAAGCCTCCGCGGCGCCGGATGGGCGACATGCGGGAGGGATGATGGGCTCTGGAGCAGGTGAGGCAGCGGTATCGGAGGAACTTGCATGTGACAAGAGAGGATGGGTGACTAAGAGGTGCTTTAGGACGGAGCTAGCAAGCCATCAGCTTGCTTCTTGCCGCCTCTGCCTGATCCCACCCCCGTACCCACAGGTTCGGGTTCCAGCTCTGCCGCCGCCTCTCAGCCGCGACCTGCGCTGTCGTGGCCGCTGCTGCGCAAGGTGGGCGCGGGCTTCTGGCTGGCTGACCCACGGGTCGTTCGGGAGCAAGCGGAGGCGCTCGCCAAGGCGCAGTACGCCCGGCGGAAGGAGCCGTACGACTGCGCGCTGCTGTACCTGGCACTGGGGCGGAAGGCGCTGCTGCTGAGCTTGTTCAGGTAGGTGCCTCCAAGCCACCTGTGCAGAACAGCTAGCGGTGGCAGCTTTAGCCTTTCGGCTGAAAGCAAGCGCTACCGCTATCGCTTGTTAACCGCGAACTGCGCGGGGGTCGCCGCTTGTCGCCGGGTCTACTGTAGGACCCACGTCCTCGCACATTCACATAAACACACTCCTTTTCAGAGAGTGTTTCCTACTCGCGGCTAGGTTACTTAACACACTCCTTTTGCAGCCAGCCGGTCCAGCACACTCCCCTTTCTTCCGTGCCTGGTTGCTTTCTTGCCCTCCCCCCACCCACCGACCTGCAGGCAGGCCAGCAATCTCAAGATTGCGGAGTTCCTGCTCAAGGACTTCAGCCAGCCGGAGCCGCGTCGCTCGGCGGCCAAGAACGCCTTCGCGCTGCTGGGACAACACAGGTGCGGACTCGGGGAAAAAATAAGGAAACCGACGACAGGCAACTAACGCGTTGGGGGGGAGCTGGGTCTTGGGGGCACTTGTCTGGTGGGCGCTATCCGCTGAAGTCCCTACGCGGAGGTCCGACAACCGCGATTAGTCCATCTTACTGCTTTCCGCCCTCGCTTCACCGCGGTAACCTTGCTACGGTATTCTACCGGTATCCCTCTTCCCTCACAAAAAGGAAGTGCCGTATGAATGCCCGTTCTCTCTCGCCCCCCGTGTTTTTCTCCTCCACCCCAGGTACGAGCTAGCAGCGGCCTTCTTCATCCTTGCAGCTCAGCCGCAAGAGGCGGTGAGCGTGCTGGTCCGGGAGCGACGAGACCCCCAGCTGGCGTTGCTGGTGGCAAGGCTGCTGGATGCTCCTGCAGCGGGCGGCAACGGCGGCGGCGGCGGCGGCATCATGAGCGTCAGCAGTAGTGGCAGCAGCAGCCTTGGTCTTGGAGGGCCGCTGGCGAGACGGCTGATCGAAAAGGTGAGCCGCGGGCTCAGCGGTTGATGGCACCCGCAACCTGCTGCGCCAGGGGGTCGAGCGCCACGGCGACACGATATAGCCCCTGTGATATACCTGCTTTGCATGCAAGAAGTGTACCGTACCGTACTCGTGGCGAAATCGTGGTTACGTACGAGAGTTACCTTACCCCGTGCGGTTCCTCCTGCACCCTACCTCCATGAAGCTCTCACATTCGAACAATTGCTAAAGCAATCCGCTGGCTGAACACATACCCATTGCCCAGTTACTGTACAACCGTAATCCTCTGCATGACACACCACGCTACGCTCTCCATGCAGGAGCTCCTGCCCCTGGCGCTCGCCTCCCGGGACCCCTGTGCGGTGGCTTGCCTGGACTTGCTGGCCGGGCAACCCCTGCGCGCCGTGATGCGGCTGCTGTGCTGCGGGGGCGGCGGAGGTGCAGTACCTGGTGCTGGCGGCAGCAGTGGCAGGAGCAGCAATGACGGCAGCAGCTGCATGGGCATGGCCGGCAGCATGGGTGACGATGCTGCTGCGGCGGGCGGACTGGAAGGGCCTGGGTTGGCGTTGGACGCTACGGCTCTGGACTACTGCTTGCAGGTTGGCAGGGTGGTGGTGAAATCCGGGGCTTGGGTTCCAGGGAGCGCGTTGCGAGGGAGGGGCGAGGGTTCTGACGTGGCATTGCGGAGGTCGGTCTTGCTCTTGGGGCCTGCGGCTGTTCGGTAGATGGTGCTGGTTTCTTGATGTGGTGGTGGTGGTGGTCTCGTTTGGTTGGGGCCTTAAGAGCGCGCGCGGGCCTGCCTTTTTCGGTGGTTTACCATATCTCGTTGACGAACTTGCCCTGAACTATGCTGCTTACCTTAGCAAAACCAGAGCCAAATTAGACATCTCTCATCCAACACACTCTACCCGCTCATCCGACACAACGCGCAGGTCGGCGTGCAACATCTTTCTGGCAAGCCAGTCCCCCGATCGGCCTGTCGCTCCCTACGCCGCCTTGCGCTACGCACCAGCCGCGTCCTGGAGCAAGCCGGCCTCGCCTCCGCGGCCCTTGAGGCCCTGCTAGTGGCAGCGGCCTTGGCGCCGCCTGCCGGCCCCCAAGCAGCGACCCGAGCGGGACCGCTGCCACCCGCCATGGCACGACGCTACAGCCGCTTGCTAGCAGCCTGCCTTAGCTTCAGCCTGGGAGAGGTAGCGAGCCCTACGGAACGCGAACCGCAGCACCAGCAGCCCCAGCAGCATGACTGCATGTCGCAAGGAGAAGGAGGTGCTGGTTGGCAGCGGAGGGCGCTCCAGGCACTTGCGGCCTTGGGCCCTATGTTGAGCCACTCATCCGTGGATCAAACTGCCGTACTGCGGTTGCTCGGTCGCCACGTCAACGCCAGCAAACGTGTACGGCAGCAGCCCCTGGTGCCGCCGGAGCTGCTGATGACACGTCCCCCGCCACCGGCTTCAGCTGCAGCGGCGGCGCACACCTCCCATCATCAACATCAGCAGCAGCAACAACAACAACAACAACAGCATCCAGGGCATGCTCAGCAGCTGCCCCGGCAGCAAGGGTCCGCTGGCGGCACTCCTCTTCCCGCTCTGCCTGCTCACCAGCATCCGCATGCGTTGTTGCGAGGTACCGGCCCAGGACCTGTGGGCCTACATGGACCTGACTCCGGGCAGCAACAAGGCCCGACCTACCCTGGCATGGGGCCAGGCCACCAATCAGCGTTTGCGGCTGTTGGTTCTGCTGGCGGTACGGCGGAGCAGGGTGCCGCCGCGGCTACAGCAGCACATTTGGCGCGTCTGCGCGTCAGTCGCAGCAACAGCGGCGGCGGTGCCGGCGGCGGCGGCGCTGGTAGTGGTTATAGCTCAGGTCGTTTGTCGCCGCAGTCTTCTACAGGCAGCCTTTTCGGGGGTGCTGCAGCTGGGAGTGGAGGAACAGCAGCAGCAGCTGGTGTCCCAGGGGGGCTGGGAGTAAGCCCCGAGGGCTCTGCATGTAGCACACCCGGCGGACCCATGGGTCACCAGCAGCACCGCCAAAGCAGCGGCAGCTTCTCAGGTCCTCAAGGCCGCCCGCCGGTGCCGCCACCAGCGTACATGGCAGCAGGGGCAGGGGGGTATCCACATCAGCAGGGACCCATGGGTCGGCACCAGCCGCCGGCGGCGCCGTCCAGCCCCAAGTCCTCGGCTCATGGCGGCGAGGGCGCGCGGAGGGGCGAGGGTACGTCCCTAGGCGCCCGATGGCATACCATGTAACAGGATAACATGACAACAAAGACAACAATCACAGACCGTCTGAGGGGTTCCGTTTTGCTCTCTGCCTTACATGTAGCCTCTTTCGCCTTGTTCAGGTGTTGCAAGCGGCGGCGGCGGCGGCGGTCCTAGCGGCTGGGGCGCCTTCGAGGCCCCCTGGGACGTTCTTGCTGTGGAGGGCGACCGCTGCCGGGCTGTGGCTGTGCTGCGAGGGCGAGGGAGGGGCGTTGGAGAGGAGGGGCAGCTCCCCTTCGCGGTCGCTACAGGTGAGTGCGTGGAAGAAGCTGTGTAGCTACCCACATAACGGTAGCTCTAGCATGGATAGAGGCTTCTGGGTTCCTGGGGGCACCCCTCACGGCCATGCCCCATTCATAAAGGCGTAATATTACTAATATAGGGATAGTGATAAAATCTGGACTTGCATGAGCTTGGGGCTGTGAGACGTTCCAAGCGACACAGGTTAGCCCTTAGATGGCTCCGGGTTGACGGCTAGCATGGTACCTGCTTTTACCCCACCCACGAGGCACGAGCCACACGTCCCTCTGCCTTGCCGCCTCCGTCACGCGGCTTCCTTTCTGTTGTGCTTTACAGCCAAGAGCGGCCTGCTGGGGGGCCTGCTGGGACCTCCCGCCCTGGCGCCGCCGCCCAAGTCCGCTGCGGCCGGGCCGTCGTCGCTCTTCCTGGGCCTCATGCAGGTGGGTTTCGGTAATCCAACTGAGCTGAGGACCCTGGTGTCGAGGAGCCTGTTTTTCCGGTTTACAGCGTGATGAGCTCCCCAGCATGATGCTTGGCATGGGCTTGCGCCAACTAACCTTAACCTTCCCTGACTAGTATGTATCCTAAACCACCGCCTTGTCGCGCAGAGCGTGCTTCATCACGTCCGCTGGACGCCCGACCCATGGGCCATGATGTCGGGCGATTTTGGTGTGGACATGGCCGTTGCACCGGGTGGCACGGCAGCAGGCGGTGGCGGCACCGGCGGAGCCGCCTCTGCTGGTGGTGGTGGTGGCGGTGGCGGTGGCGGTCACCGAGGGGGGCACCCGGGCCCGCCAACGCATGCTGCTAGCAGTGCTGGCGGCGGTGGTAGCGCCGGTGGACCGGGCGTGACGGGTGGCACGTCCACAGTCACGTTGGCTGCTCACCCGGAGACGGACGTGTACCTATCAGGTGTGGTTGAACGCGGCGAGTAGGGGGTGTCACATCGCGCAAGGGGACGGCTTGTGGACGTTTTGGCAGTCCCTGACCTTGTTTGCTACGTGTTTGCTCCACCTACCGGTACTTAGCACGACTACCGGTATGCAAACTTGCTGAGTGTGTGCCTTACCTTTGTGCCTCCACCCCTATCGTACCGGTACTCATTTCCAGGCAGTAGCAGCCTGCTCGTCTACCAGTGGCGCTTTGGGGAGCCGCACGCGCACACCGCATACGTCCCCTGCCTGGAACCCTACGCCGGCGGCGGCCCCGGCGCCGCTGCGGCAGCGGCCGCCGCTCGTTCGCGCGCGGCCGCCACTGGCGGCGGCGGCGGTCCGGCTTCCGCCGCCGCCTCCGTCGCCTCCGCACTGGACCTGCATGCGCCGCATTGGGGCCACGCGGCGGCTCTGTCGTACAGCACCCCCAGCGGCGGCCGCTTCGCTGGCATCGGCGAGGGCGGGTTGGTAGCGCTGTGGCGGGCGGATGCAATGGGTCCCGGAGGACTGGGATATGCCGATTGGACGCATCAGGTGGGTCCACCCTGGGGTGTTCAGCTACCGGAATACACAGTTGACCATGCTGTCGTGCGGTATGCTTTGCGTCCAGAACGCAGAGCGCTGAACCCTCTCTCTACTTGACTGGCAGCGCTTTGCCTCATCATGTGCTCTCCATGTCTCTCTGTGACGCTCGTCACGTTTCAAACACTGTTCCTCCCCACTGTACTTTCCCTCAAATTCTTAAACCTGACCACCACCACAATCTTTTAAAATTACCTCAGTGCGTGAGCCGCCACGGCCGTGCCGTGAGTTTCGTTGGTGACAGCAGCAGCCAAGTGCTGGTGGCGGGGCAGGGCGAGAGGGGCGGGCTGGTGGGCTGGTGGGATTCCCTGGCGCCCTCCTCGGCAGCTTGCGTGGCGGAGATTCGCGGACGCAAGGCGCTGCCGACGGCGCTGGCGCTGCTGCGACCGGACGCGGGTGGCGTGCTGGTGTTCGGAGACGAAGCGGGTGGGTGCTGGTAGCGTGGTGGTGATGTGGCTTGTCCGTAGCTTGAAACAATTACGGAACCGAGATGTAGCTAATGATCGTCTCCTAGATGGGGTTTGCGCGCAACGTTGGCATGTGCGGCTTTTCCTCCCTCCTGCCCTCCCTCCCATGTAGGTGACTTGGTGGCTACCGACCTGCGCATGATGTCAGCCCGGGAGTACATTTGGACCATCCCTCGAGCACACTCCGGCCCCGTCACTGCCATGGCCCAGTGGGGCCACACCGCAGCTGGCGTCCTGAACCTGCCGCCGGTGCTGCCAGCGGGTGCCGGCACCTCTTCTGCCGCCAGCTCGCATCCGTACCAACCGCCAGTACCGCACCAACCGCCGGTGCAGCTGCAACAGGCCCGAATGAGCAACCTGCTGGTGTCGGGTGGAAAGGACGGCAGTTTGGCGCTGGTGGATATCAGCTCGGGCAGGGTGAGTCGCCGTCGGGGCCGCGGAAGGAAAACAGAGAGGAGGGCGTGTGTGTGTCAAGAAAACGAGGTCGCGAGTCGCAGTGCACCGACCACAAGAACATGTTACCGGTATTAACCACAGCATAAACCTCCGTAACACGCACGACCGCACGCAGGTGGTTGCCTCGTTGGACCGAGCGCACAACTCCACACGCACCGGACTGCCCGGGCTGCTGGCGGCAGCTGCCGCATCCACCGGCGGGGCCCACAGGGCCGTGGACCGCAGCATCGTTCGGCGCTCGCGTCCGGCGACCGCTGCGGGTGTGGCGGTGAGCGGGTTGTGCTGCATGCGTGATGCGGGTGGTGTGCTGAGCTGCGGGGCGGATGGAGCTGTGAGGTACCATCCGTTTGCTCCACAGCTGCTGGACCTGAGGAGATGAGGAGGAGGTGGATGCTGCTGCGAGAAGGGGTGTGACGGCTCAAAAGGTACGCTGTGTGTTGTTAGAGATGCAGGATATAGGGCTGTTGTCCTTTGGGTGTACGTTGGCTAGCTGGACAGTTTTCTGTTGGGAGGATTCTCAGACGTGATGACCTAGGGTGCAAGTAGGTGTCGCTGTGCGGGTTGTAGTGATGCGCATCGTTCGGTCGGCTACCGATGTGACGGCTACCGTACACTTGGCAAACATGGAAAAGATGAGCGAGGATGAGGGCAATCCAAAGGCGGAAAAGCGGCTATCGGCAGGAACAGTAGTAGGCAGCAGCTTTAAGAGCTTCTTGGGTGCTCAGGCCGTTGTTACAATGCGCAAGCAACGCTGTTCCATAGCGTCGCGCATAGGAGGGTAAGGATGGCATGCAGGTGCTGTCGTGCATGCAGTAAATAGTTCGTATGTGGCGGTCGGGTGCAGCAATAGGTGTGCAGTGTGTAAACCGCATGAATGGGGTGGACATGAGGTAATGCAGGCTGTCGTGAATAGAGCGCATGCTTACGGTATTACCGTAGAAGATGTGGTATACGTTGCTTGGTATTACATTACGCATCTTTAGTTTCCACGTCTGACTGAAGAGGGTGATGTGTACATTGTTGAGGTGCATGAATATTACGCTAGAGTTTTACACCGTTTAGTTGTTTTACACACGTGTCGTAGATAACCTGAGGGAATCCACAATCAACCCAGGTGGTACATCTCCTCTTGTGGTTACCGATTAGCATGTTTTCATGCGGCTGCAACGTATGTCTGTAGTCGTTTTGTACCGCAGCATACCTCACGATATGTCTGGTCATCCAATATAGTAAATCAGGTTCCTATCTCATCATGTTCACTACCCCCCTGCCTTACTTGCACCACGCTCTGCCATGCTCACTTGGTAAACTTCCATCCCTCACGGCAGTTTTCCCCACAACAAAGAAATTAACAAAATTGATAAGCTTTAGGTCTCTCGCTACGACAGATGTCCGCACACGCATACCGCCTTCCAATCTTTCCCAGCCGACGTTGGCACCATACGTCGGGGGCGTTTGGAACTCTTGTCACGCCTCACTTCTTCCAGAAGAACGAGGTGTTAACGGCCTTGTCGTCGTCCATCTGCGGCGCCCCGGCGTGCGGGTCTTTGAAGTCGGTCTTGACGAAGGAGCCCCAAGCGGGAGTGCCCACGTCCACATGGCTGCGGCTCTGCGCGCCGCCCAGGCGCTTCATGAGGTAGTCGCGAGGGATCTCCTGAACCAGCTTGCCGGCGGCGGCGGCAGTGGCGGCCTGGCCGTCCGCGGCGGAGGCGGAGGCCAGGATTTGCAGCTGGCGGGGCGACAGCGCCTGTGGAGGGTAGAGGACGCATGGAACGACGCTATAAATGTTTTTCTGGATAGCTCTAATCTGGATGCAGATTTGTGTGCAGCCCTGACATCTGCTTCCTCGTCGCAAAATATAAGGAGTGATAACTGTAAGGGTAATGTTGCTTAGGCAATGCCCTTTGCTCCTATACACCCCTGCAAGCCAATACACCCAAACAGCCATTTGCCTCTCTCACCGGCACTTTGGCGAGGTTCAGATGCACCTTTTCTCCGTTAACCACCACATAGCTGCGGCCCACGCCCACGAACTCCAGGGAGGGTACGTCGCTGTTGTTCAGGTCGGCGGCCCAGTTGTGGATCTGCACGCCCGTGAACACGGCGTAGTCGGCCTTTGCGGGGTCAACGGCCTTGGAGATGAGGTACTCCAGGTCCTGAAGGGAAAGGGAAAGGGTGCCAGGGAGGACCTCAGCAGGATGCGAATCTTGATCCGTGGGATTGTTAAGCTTGTTAAGCTGCAATACTGCCGCAAACTTCGTGTTTGTGAGACTTATACAAAGCAGCATGAAAACTCACGGTTGAGATGACTCGCTCCGCCGCCTTGGTGATATCCACCAGGCTGCAGTCCCGTGGGTCGGTCTTCTCGAACGCCATGCGCCGGGCGATGCGCTGCTTGAGGATGGAGTACTCGGGCTCCAGCGGGTCGTGCTGCCCGGGGGCCTTGCAGCTGGCCTCCAGCCCGTCGCGCTTCAGGTCACCCATGCACTGCGAGGAAAGGGGGCAGGGGGTGATGCATGGGTTAGGTATCTTTTGTGGTATGGTAACGGGAAGAGATGGTAGGGTTGTCTTAGAGGCTAGGCGGGAGTTGCTACGGGAATTAGATGAAGCTGTGGTGCATGTTTGGCGGTTCACACGACCAGGCAATTCAAATGCAAAAGTTCTCAAAGGCCATCCCAGGTGCAGTCTTGTTAGGAGAACTGCACCATCGATCTTCTGTCCAGCAGCTACCGTACTGCTACTGCGCAGCCACTCACCGCAATGAGCGCTCCACAAGCGGCGCTGGCTCCCGGGCGGTTGGGGCGGCTGACGGCGCCCACCTTGCCCTCACTGTCGATGGCGATGTGCGGGAAGGAGAAGAACACGTAGCGCTCCTTGCCCTAAGGCGGGAGGGATGGCAGGAGTGGCAGAGGGGTGTGAGGCATACCGGTACAGTGGGCCTTTAAGCGAGATGCATGGGAAGGTTTGCATGATGGGGAATGTTGCAGCGCTGGGCCCTGTTGCTTTGGCACTCGACAGCCACCGATTGTGCGGGGTAGGGACCTGGCAGTCAGGAGACGCAGCTATCGTGCGCAAGCCGTAAAATGCCAACATGCCGTACAAATGCCCCATTAAAATACGTACGCAGGATCCTTCTGGATCCCCAGGCACTCAACAATCGCTCAACTCACCCCTACGACAGGCGAGTGCGAGAGCCCGGCCTTCATGCCGATGACGCCGCACGTGAGCACTCCGCCCAGGCCGTGGGTGCTGAAGCACGAGCCGAACGCCGCCTCGATCTTGTCCTCTAGGATCAGGCAGGACTCGTCGCGGCAGAGGTTGCTCATGGCTGCGGCGGAGGAGGGGAAGGGTAGGGAGAAGAGTGAAAACGTTGGGGCGGGTGGCGGTCAGTCGCATGGGGTAGCGCATGGCAAAGAGGAACACGCCAACGGTAGTAGCAGTCCGACCGACCCATGGGTCGTGTTATGTACTTATGTATAATCACATCACGCCCGTCTCTTCCGCGGCGCCCTAGGAGCACCATAGCTCAAGAAGCACGCGCATGTAAACGTGTTTCCAGGCTTTGCGCCGGAACACAGTGAACGTGGAAGGCGGCAGCTGCCTTTACTGTACCGCAACCTTTATCCTTGTAAGCCGCTGGGAGGCAGTATGGAAAGTGGTGTAGCGAGGCGCACCACCGGTATAAGCGACGGACCACGGCAAAAGACAGCGCAGAAAGGCAGCTGAATTGCTCGGAGGTGTTTACTGTAGAGGTAGCACGGAACGACAGTACACAGTGTGACGAGCATTGGTTACTCACCAATACTGTTATCGCCGGTAAATCCGTAGCCAGCCAGGGCCACCTCCACACGGGCCATGAAGTCGTCAACCGACAGCGCAGTGGGGAAGTGCTTGGTCACCTCAGCAAGGCGCTCAGCCAGGCCGGGAGCGCGCTCGTCGGTGGCCCAAGCGGGCTGAGCGAGCGCAGCGGAGGAGACTGTGGACATAGAGTTAGCGTGGCCGGCGCAAAACAGCTTGCCGCAGCTGCAGGGCTTTAGCAGGGACGAGTTGCTGCTACTGCGCGCGACGTTGCGGAGCAGGCTGCCGCTGCCCTCGGCGCGAGCGACAGTGGACAACAGACGAGGCCTAGCAGAGTTCCATACTTGCTCGGCAACAGACTCGGCGGCCTTGCTATTTGCCTCCAGAGCCGAAACGATTTGGGTTGCAACCGAACGGGAGAACGGAGTTCGGGGCATGGTGGCAAAACCTTGTACAAGTGGGCTTGGATAACGATGTTGCCGGCTGCAAGCAAAATTGCGTGCTGTGACCTGCCTTGTCAGCAGCTTATACGGCAGTTGACCTCAAACGGTGGTTGGTTGTCGTACGTAGGTGTGGGAGGATGCCTACCAATTGGATTAGGGATCGAGCCTACTACATGCAAAGAAGAGCTGGTATAGTATAGTTCTGGAGGCTGGTTAAGAGCTTGACGTGTGCTGATAAGTGCTTATCTGTCATCGGAGGGTCTACTTCGCGGAGCAGTAGAGTTGGGCGTCGTAGAATTGTTAGGATGAGCGCTGCCAATTTAGCTAAATATTCTCGGGACGCCTGGGGTGCAGGCTTAACCCGCTCGGCCCGATCACGGAAGTGTTACATGCATATGCCTCGGCTGAAGTTCCATGTTTCTTGACCCGTGGAACTTGTGGCAGCTGTATACCTCCTCTTTATTTTGGCTTAGACTCTTAACTGTGTCTGGCAATTTTGCAGGGATCCACCTGCACCCCCTTGTGTTGTGGCTTAACTTGACACCCTTGCTCGGCAAACCTAGGGACACACTACGCGTGCAACCGCATGAGAGGTAATACGTACCCATCTTTCAGTTATACCTCTTGGCGTCATCACACCGGTATCGAATATTGGTGGCGACATGCACGGTGGAAGGCCTGTCCGCAATCGCAACGCCCAGGCGAACTAAACCGTCATGCAGCGACAGGGCAGCTCGTAACAACTTTTATGTAGTTGATCGTCGCTGGTATTTAGTAGTGTTGGTGCTTCGGCGAAAGGCAATGCCCTTTGCCCAAACGCCTCAAGCGAAGAAGATGATGGTCGCTATCCTCGCGGCGCACCCGCCATCACTATGCATGCCATTTTCCTAACAAATTCTTTCCAGTTCTTGCCTTGCATGCGGGTTGTCGCAGGCCGTACGACAGGCTTGATGAGTGAAAACACTCGCTAGGCCATTAAGCGTTATTTTTTATTTAGCACGTATGCTAAGTTAGCAAGGCTTATCAACTAGGCAATCTAACAAGCGCAGAAGTGCAAAGAAGTGCCTGCATGTTCCATTGTATCGAGGATACGGACTCTCAAGCAACACAATTTCACTTGGCGACCCAGCTGCTTTATAGAAATTGGTCGCACGCGGGGTCGCGCAATAGCACCAGTGAAGGAGTGAATTGTTTCTCATGCGCGGCTCGCTTCCTTGTCCCCGCAATGCCTACTCCCATTCATTTGTAAATAAATCACCTCGCATCGCAAATTTTCATAATACACCCCCACCTGCACGTCCGCAAAGAGCAGCTTCAGAACCGCAAGAGTGTTCTTTGACATCAGAACTAAAGTTCAAAGCACCCCGCTACCTTTGGATGTAGATTAACGCCTTGGTAATAGATGTCAGTGGGAATACGACTTTTATAGGGGACTCCTAACAAATTGGCTGCAGAACAATTTCGTGGTAGGAGACATTACGGTACGGTCACCGTTGGAGGTGTTAGGCAGTTGGAGACTTATCATACATGCGATTACCGCCCAGCATTCAATATAAAAGCACTTTTACCCTCTGTATTTATTACAGTGCAGTAATTGCTTACAATCGCTACTGTGCTGTCGGCAACTTGCGTTGACATACATCCTAAACCTTTGCCCGGCGACCTTAGAAGACGACACCTAAGGTGTGTAGCCCAGCGCTCTCGGAGCACGCACTTGACTGAAGGTAACTGCTTAATTGCTTCTCGCACTTGGTACTTGTTCCGAATGTTCGTCCTATCGCATGGCATGGATGGCCCTCAGCACAGCAGAGCAGTGCCGCGGGCGTTAGCATGAAATTCCCGGATCTCCTGGCTAACACGTACAACAATGTGTCTTGACCCCTTCGCCGCAGTTCCATAAGGCATAGGTTCGGCTCCGACGGTTGCAGCAGCCAGCACAGCCGCACAGCACAGCACTCGCACAGCAGCCTGTAGCATTCGAGAGTGCGAACGTTCACCAAAACTGCGACAAGAATGGTGTCTATGACAATTAACAACACTCTCAACGATGTGGAGCACACGCCGCCCATTCACAAGCGGGTCCTGGACATCTTGCCAGGCGTTTCGGGTGGCGTTGCACGCGTAATGGTGGGTGAACGTTGCCTCTTGTCTGTTACAGCCTTAGGTTGGGCAATACCTCCCTGTTACCCCGCCACATAACATAGGGCGAATGCTTCGCCAACTCGTGGCTGAGTAGCGTTGGAAGGTATAATGTGGGGGCCCTCCTCCTGAGATCGTTGGGAAAGCTGGGGTTTGTGCCACCCTGCTCCCCTGATACCGAACCGGACGCATGCCCCTTCACTGCTCCGCCTAGCGCGAGCGTTGGCCACAGCGTATGCTGCCGTACAGTGGTGCCAGGCTCCACCCTTAGCCTGAAATGGCTTTTGTAATGTCTGCCCATTGGATGCTTCGGATCGCTAGCTTACAAATTCTCTTACGTCCCTCTACCCCTTGCCTGCCCTTACGCCTGACCACCGTACCGCGCAGATTGGTCAACCATTCGACACCATCAAGGTCCGGCTCCAAGTGCTCGGCAAGGGTACGGCAATGGCGGCCAAGCTACCCCCCTCGGAGGTGTACAGCAACTCCATGGATTGCGTGCGTAAGATGGTCCGCAACGAAGGCCCTCTGTCGTTCTACAAGGGCACCGTTGCGCCACTGGTGGGCAATATGGTGCTGCTGGGCATCCATTTCCCGACCTTCTCAACCGTGCGCAAGGCGCTGGAGGGCGACGACCACTACTCCAACTTTTCTTACGCTAACACGCTGCTCTCGGGTGCTGCTGCGGGCGCCGCCGGCTCGCTGGTGTCAACCCCGGTGGAGCTTGTGCGCACCAAGATGCAGATGCAGGTGAGTAGGGGGCGCAGGACGGTTTGAGCGGGCCTTGATAACGGTAGTAAACGGCGGCTGTCCGCAACAGCAGTACTATTTTGGGCATGTTGAAGCAGCCCCAGACCCAATCTAGTGCAACGAACCAAAAGCAGCAACGACGCTCTCCTGTCCTGCTTGTTGAGTACTTTTCTTGCCTTCACCACCGCGCCCCCCCAACCGACTCCTGCTTTCCCCTCCTAGCGTCGTGCTGCCCTGGCCGGCGGCATTGGGACTTCGTCCACTGCTGCCGCCGCGTCCTCGGCTGAGGAGTTCTACAAGGGCTCCGTGGACTGCTTCAAGCAAGTCCTCTCCAAGCACGGCGTCAAGGGGCTGTACCGCGGCTTCACCTCCACCATCCTGAGGGACATGCAGGTGCGTGCACTGGTGGCGTAAGCATGGGCACCTAAAGCAGGTACCGGGCTGTCATGGCTAGCATGATGTGAGTGGCTTGCATAGGGTTCACGACATAGCATGATGCAAGATGCTGTTTGCTGTGTCATACGCCGTCTATGCGAATTTCACCTAACTGGCGATGCTCTTCAACACATCCACTTCCCGCCAAATGCGCGCAGGGTTACGCGTGGTTCTTCCTGGGCTATGAGGCAACCGTCAACCACTTCCTGCAGAACGCGGGTCCAGGGGTGCACAGCAAGGCCGACCTGAACTATCTGCAGGTCATGGCGGCGGGCGTGATTGCCGGGTTCGGGCTGTGGGGCTCCATGTTCCCAATCGACACCATCAAGTCCAAGATGCAGGTGCGGCTGGGTGGGAGAGCGGTGGTGGTGGGGAATGCATGTGCTGCGCTCCCACGCATAAGAAACCCCTGCCTTCCTTCCTTACCTTGCTTCCGGGTTGCCCCGCCCGTTCGATACGACACCGGTTACTCAGCATTAGGTGACAACGGGTCGCCGAACTCACAGCGATTTGGAAATCTGAGAGTAATGCCTCCATGCAATCGTCCTGCCTCTTCCCACTTCCAATGCTTGCTCCAGGCGTCTATTAACACCCCCTGCACCCGCATTCATTCCAAACACCGCAGGCCGACTCCCTGGCCAAGCCGCAGTATAACACCACGCTCGACTGCCTGCGCAAGGTGCTGGCGAGCGAGGGGCAGGCGGGGCTGTGGCGCGGCTTCTCGGCCGCCATGTACCGCGCCATCCCCGTCAACGCAGGCATCTTCCTGGCGGTGGAGGCCAGCCGGCAGGGCATCAAGCTGTACGAGGAGCAGGTGGAGCACGTGTACGGAGGAGTGGTGGGACCTGCCGTACAATAAGGGTTGCTGGCAGTCCATGTGTGTGTATGGGGTATTTGAAGCTGGCGGGAGAGGCAAAAGCAAGATGATGATTCGATGAGCGTCTCAGACAGAGTGTGGAACATGAGTGCGGATGCGTTAAGCGTATGACTGGCTTATTTCTACAGAGTTGGAACCTGGTTAGGGGCAATGGCTGCCTGTGTGTCCAATTGACGTACGGCAGCCTCGGCGGGTGCTTCCGTGTGGTTGTATGTATGTATCGGAGAGCTGCGGAAGCCGCATGGCCTAATAAGGCGTGCGCAGGGTTGCATGTTGTGCTGAAGAATATGGGTGTTTAAAGGCCCGTTCAGTTGATTGAGTGGTAGGAGTAGGGGAGAGTTGAGAGGTGTCCAGCTAGTCCTGAGGGAGGTGGGCTCGACCCACTTGCGATTGATATCGAACGTGCCGTACTTCACTCTGCTACCTATTGTTTTCTTAGAACTTGGACCGGTACCACGTTTGTGTGAGAATCGATGCAACGTTCGCCCGTAAAAAGTTTCTGTTGGCCGGTTTGGTAGTTTTGCGGCATGTGCCCGGGTACTAATACTCTATGCGTACAATGGATTGGGTTAACTAGTAGATGGGTGGTTAGGACAAGCGCAACTCCGGGCATAACTCCCTCAACATGCAACAGGCCCATGGGTCTTGTAATTCCTGACTGATCCATACCCACAGACGTACGAAACCCGTTGGGAAGACTGGCGCGTAGCGGTCCTTGAGCCTCCTGGCTCGTCTGGGCCTTACGAGCATCAAGCTTGTAACATCATCATCATCATTAACTCTGCGGCATGGTCATCATGCCGGGCCGTGTGGACCTACTAGCACCGTAGGTGAGTTCATTTCACTGGATTAAGCCACGTCTGTCGCTTCCTGCTCTTCTGAATCCACACATAAAACGAAAAACGGACACGGCGTGTACGGCAAACGGCAATATGGTGTATGCTCCTATGCTGTGCACCCGCATAACAGCGCCTCTATTAGTTGAATGGTAACCCTGAAACGGGTCAACAATTAGACTTTACCTAGTTGCGAGGCTAACTGATTACATTATCGGACCGCAAAATGCCTACCTTTGAACACGGCCATGGGCCGATGGCCAGCACTAAGTATCACCACGTATCTGCCCGGGTGCTCGGCATCGCAAACAAGCTTCGCGAACTAGGAGTTGAGAGCGCTCTACAGGTGCCAAGCCTCGTTATCGCTGGTGATCAATCCTCTGGGAAATCTTCTGTTGTGGAGGCAATTGCGGGTGTGGCATTACCTCGCTCCGATGGAACGTGCACCCGTTGCCCGACGGAGGTCCGCATGAGGTAGGCTGTCGCGGCTGGCGTGGGTCAGGCGGATGCATGAAACTGTATGGAATTTAAAATGATATAAGCCAACGTTAGGTCGTATTACAGTAATGGAGATATCTTGGTCGCCATCCATTGCTCGCTTGGCTGCCCTTGATGCTTGCCGGTGGCCCCCTTTCATCAGGGCACAAAAAGATGGCATTACACATAAGGACGGGGGTTCCAACCAACGGTCCTGGTCCTGCCGCATCAAACTTTGCCGCGATTACGACGAGGATGGCAAGCCGCTACTTGAGAAGCCTCCCGAGGAGCTTTTCTGTACAGTACGAAGCAAGTCGCACATCACTGCCTGCGTCACAGCCGCACAGGCGGTGCTCCTGAATCCCAGAGCTGTCAAAGTTGCTTCTGGAGGTGCACATGATTTTATCCCGGATCTATCTGGATCCAAACCCGAAGGCTCCGATGCGCTGCGGAACCTGGGCGAGTCTAGCAACTATGAACTTGGGTTCACAGCAAACAAGGTAAGGGGGCCTTGAGTGAAGCTTAAAACCAGGGTAGCCTATAGACTGGCAACCTTTGCTTGAATGAATGTCCGTTTTGGCATGGTTTGGGCTACACCTCTTCCCTCACCTCTTCTTCTGTGCTTGCGCACAGGTGGTGTTGGAGATCGACGGCGCTGAGGCCGATCTCACCATCATCGACCTGCCCGGCATCATCCACGACCACCCCAAGGTTGGTTCGTAGCGGGCACCCCAGGTTGCGGGCATCAATTTTTAACGTGACCCTGCCCCTAGCCCAAAGGGCCGCCCTACATGCATTACGTCCCTTCCGTGTGTACGTTGCCTCTCTACGCCAAGTTGCCTTACGCCGCTTGCTTTCCTAACCCACCCCAAGGGCCGGCACTACGTGGAGATCGTGGAGCGCATGACCAAGCAGAACCTCAGTCCCGAGCACCACATCATTGCCATGGCGCTGCCGGCGGCTGCGGATGCGGAGACACAGGTTCGTACGACGGGATGCGGCATTTGCCGGTATGCAGCTGCCTCTGAACTCTCCCTCTCTATACTCCCTTTCTATATTCCCTCTCTTGACATTTCCTCTCTACATTCCTACCTACAATCTATATGGCAACCTGGCCCCCTGCCGCTTGCTAGATGCCAACCTGCCCCCCTGCCACGCACCGCCGTGTAGGCTATCCGGTTGTGGGCGCGCGAGGTGGACCCCCAGGGCGACCGCAGCATCGGCATCATCACCAAACCCGACATGATTGGGGAGGGCGCGCACATCACACATGGAAAGCTAGTCAGGCTGGTGGCCGGCAAGGGGGGCAGCATGGCAGGTATGGGTGGTCGGAGGGTGGTGGCGCATGATTTCTCCCTTGGGGCGGTACGGCGGTGTTCGTTAGCCAACATGGGATGACGGGTGTGTGATTTACTGGTATCTGAACAGCCCTTGACTGGGCGTGATGATGACGTATGCTGCTATCGCTGCCGGTGTCTCGCGGCACTGCTTGGCCGTCCCTTTGTGCGACGAAACGACCAACCTTACCTACGGGAACGCACCGCCTTCTGCCCCTCCCCCCTCCCTCACCATCCCAACGCTCCACCTCGTGGCCCAGGATCCCCCGGCGACAGCACACACCTCAAGCTGGGGTACTATGTCGTCAAGAACCCCTCACAAGAGCAGCTCCAAGACGGCATCTCCTTCGAGGGCGCACGCGCAGCCGAGGAGACCTACTTCTCCTCCAACACGCACTGGGCCAGCGCAGCAGCCTCAGGGCCGCACATCGCGCAGCGCCTGGGCGCGAACAACCTCCGAGCCGGCCTGAGCTCGTTGCTGGTGGAACGCATCGAGGCCCAGCTGCCCTCCATGCGACGCAACGCAAGGGAGCAGTTGGCGGCACTGGAACGTGAGCTCTCCAGCATGCCGCCGCCGCCCAGCTCAGACGCGCTGCAAGAGCTGCGGAGCTTACTGTGGACCGCGAGTACCCAGCTAGAGCAGCAGATCTACGCAACGGGGCAGATCAACGATAAGCGCTTCTTCAAGCGGATCATGCTGCTGTTTAAGACGTACAGCGAACGGGCGATCCGTAGCACGCCCGCCTTTTTGGTGAGCCGTACGCTCATTAGCGCTCTAAGCAATGTCGACAAGGGCGTGCACGTGGATACGGCGGCACCGGCACCCGCCTCGCCCTCACCGCCTTCCTCATCCGGCGGCGCCGCTCCTGTCGCTTCTTCTGCTGCTGAGGCGGCTGCTGCTGACAAGGAAAAGCAGCGGTTGCTGGAAGAGGGCGAGCTAAACGTAACAGACTTCATCACCTCCGGAGAGGTCGTTGCTGGTGAGCAAGAAGCAGCTGAAGCACTGCAAGAAAACGAGAAGCTCAAACGCACGCTGCAGCAGGCGCTGTTTCCGGTACGGCACATGACTCTGGAGCAAGTACGGGTGATGCGGGAGCGGCATTCGGGGCGGGAACTGCCCGGATTCAGTCCGTACAGCGCTGTGGAGGAGCTGATCAAGGAGTTCAAGGGCCAGTGGTCGGCTCATGCCCGGGAGTGCCTGGAGGAGGTGGCGGAGGCGACCCAGGCGCAGGCGGGTGGGCTGGTGATGCGAATCTTTGAGCGCTTTCCCAAGGCGCAGCGGGCGGTCGGGTGAGGAGTGCTGGGTGCGGGGAGGGTGCGGCAGCGGGCTTTGTGGGGATGGTGGATTTTATCGCCATTGCCTTGTGACTCCCATGGGTCGTTCGCCTCCTTGTTCATCATGCCCCACAAAACGCACATACTCCTGCGGCCCTGCTGATAGCACTTGCCGCTGTCCGATACGTTGAAGGCTTCCTTGCACAGGCCTAACCGCTACACCCTACCATGCCCTACTTGACGCAGCATGGCGCTAACCGACTTCATCGAGGACCTAACTACCGAGACGGAACGCGGCATCTCCAGCCTGATGGAGATGGAGGAGTACGACACCTTCACCCTCAACGACCACTACCTGAAGGACCAGTTCACGATCTTCCTCGGGCGCCTGAAGCGGGCGTACCTCCGAGCGCCCGCGATGGGGCCTGATGAGAAGAAGAACGTAAGCCCATATCGCCATGTGTGTTGTAACAACTGAGCCGCAGAACTGACACTGACCCTGGGCGTGGAAAACGTATTGCAACATGGCATTACATTGTTGACTCTTGAAAACTCAACCGCAGTTCACCAAGCTACTCCATTCGCTAGCGGCCTACGGAGTCCACTTCAGCAGTCACGACGCCCTGTTCATGGCTCAGCCCACGGCGGTCGATGACGAGCTAAACATGATGGCAGCATGCCTCGCCTACTTCAAGGTGTGCATTTTGCAGTACTTTCCACGTGCCGTGCATCCAAAAGCGTTGGTCCCATATCCCTCTTGGTTTGTCATTATGCCTGTATGCACCTGTTGTACATTATATGTCGTACATCATGCCGTACTGCAGGTGGCCTTCAAGCGCGTGCAGGACGGGGTGCCCATGCTCATCCGCAACACGCTGCTGCGGCGCCTGGCGGACCGGAAGGCCTTCGAGGCGGCCATCATGCAGCAACTGGGGATTAGCGGCGGCGGAGGCGCCGCTGGGGGCCTGCCGCACGAGAATGCGGCCGAAGGTAGGAGCTCAGGAGTGACCTTACTGTTTGCTGGTTGCGCAGGTGTACGGTATGCGACGTATCTTGCTGCATGCAGAGCTTTTCTTTCGGCACAAGCTCCGGTACTTTAGAATCAATTGTCCCAGACAAATGTATGATCTGTGCCTCGTTGCAATGTTGGCTTATTTTTGCCAAGGCATCTTAAATTGTGCTGCTGGCGCAGCATGGCATTTTGCAATTCGCCTGCCAAGACACACGCCTGGCGCAAGACATGACCGCCCTTCCTTATAGCCCTTACACCCTCGCATCGGCTACCCTGCCTTACCTCCGTGTGTGTGCAGTTGCGCGTCTGCTGCTAGCTGAGGACGAGACGGTGGTGTCGCGCCGCACGCAACGAAGGGACATGGTGCGGCGGCTCAAGGAGGCGCTGGCGGTGCTGCACAGCCCGGACGCACAGGTGTAGGCAGGCCCCGCGTGGGAGGGAAAACGCACCATGTGTGAGGCAGGATTGATTGAGTGTCTGTTACAATGGAGGGCCCCATGCGCATCACAGGGTTGCGGGCAGTGCTGCACAGCCTGGCTGCGCGGTGGCCTGTTGGGTATCATAACATGCATGGATTTGACAATGGATGGTAATGTGCATTATTTGGAATATTAAAATTATGACAAAACGTCTTTGTGTAGGTGGCCCATGGGTCGGTCTCATGGCAACTGTCTATTTCGTTACGTGCGGTGAGGTTACCTATGATAAGCACACGGCTTTGCAACAATTCGTCTTGCATGTTAGGGCGGTTCCATGTGGGTGGACATGTTAAACTGCAGGGAAGCTATGGGCTCAGGATGTTTCATTTGGCACTTCACTTTGGGGGAAGTGTATCTCACGTTGCACAGGCTGGCCATTATTGAAAGCTGAATGAAACCATTAAAGCCATTATTGAGTCCCCCGACTCGTCCAGCGAGCGCCCTGAACGCAGGTTGGAGATGCATTGGGTGTGTCATGTTTAGCAAAGGTATAATTGTGGGCATAGCTGCGTTCATGGCTGGAGTGACGCCGTACATTGGAATTAAGGCGGCGGCCGCTCGTAAGCGTACGATTGCGAACCGAGAGTGGTAGGATGTCATTGATACACATAGGTATGCACTTCCGCAGGTTTGCGGCGCAATCTGGGGGCCATTCACAGTAGGGTGGCGTCTTCTTGGGGGACGGTAGGGGTGAGTTGTGATGCATGTTGTCCTTGCGGACGCCAGTTTGGAGTGATGAGATGGGCGGCAGGATGGAGTGTGGCGGTGCCAAGTAAGCTGCTGCTGCAGCTAAATCGTGAGGCTTGAAGACGTATGGGCGCGTTTTCAATAACCGTATTTGAGCAGGTGGGAAGCAAGGGGGAAGTACCGCATTATGTGGCCTCTTCCAACCCAATGCCCCAACTGAGATGGACTTGTTAAATGAATGAGTAGGTAAGGCAAAGCCGAGAACACACCAAGGCGACAACAGCATGTTACCGTACGTACAAGGACCGTACGTGCGTCCTCTGACGTCACGTATGATAGTCAGTTGCACCCACCACCTTCAAACCGAACTCATCATGTGTCTACCCATTGCTGCCAGTCTGCCTGTCGTATTGATGGACAGCAGCAGAATCCAGGTACTGCAGTACGACACCACCATTTCCAGGTGAGTACGGCATGGCCCGCCATCCCACAGGTCCCTATTTGCGCGCGCAGCCGTGGCGGAAATCGTGGCGGGCACCAAATGCTGCTGCACACGGGTATTTATTGCGACATGTTCACACACCCCGTCGCTTCGCTCTTCGTCCCTCATGTTACCATTCTAATGGGAAAACGTGTTTATTGTGACGTTCACTAAACCTTTCGGCTCCGAAATGCGGCTCCTCAGCATATACCAGAGCACTCGACTCGTGGCTAGTAGTAACGCTGTTAATGTAGGTCCAAGCTAAGCGCACACACGCGCCGTATGTCCAATCTACGAGTATTCAAGGTACGCTCCGCCGATCGCACGCCATCTCCACTGTCAAGCTACAGACAACCAGACCATCTACAGACGACACCATGGCAACCTCACGCCTTATCCCAGCCGATACAACCTTCACCAGCTTAGCGCCGCCCTTCCCTGGAGCATGCCAACCACTACAAACCGTCCCTGCCTCGCACCCCTTCAGCCCCAACAGCCTCACCTGCCTGGCGTGTGTGAGGATCCCAGACCGCGCGTCCCCAGCCCCAACGCCAGCCCTATTCCCAACGCCGACCCGGTCCCCGATCCCGTGCCCGTGCCTGACCCCGCCGCTCTCAGCCCTCCCGCCTGTTGCTGCTGCTGCTGCTCGGACCGAATGGCGGTCACAATGCGGTTGAGTTCCTCGTTGAAGGCCTTCTCCGCTGCCAGCTCCCGCTCGGCTGCGTCACGACTGAGCAGCAGGTCGCGTACCTGGGTGTAGGGCGGGGTGTTGAGGTGGTGTTGAGGTGGCGGGCAATGGGGCTAATAGCTGGTGTTGAGTGCTGCATGGGGGCACACATGGCGGCCCGTGTACGGTAATGGACCTTTCAACGGTGGGGCGTCAAAAGGAGCAACCCCTCCCCCTTTCCTCGCCCCAGAGCGGGGCAACACACGACCCCAACACGTGACCAAGCTGTTGGGGTACGGTCCCGAAGCACGTTTCCAATGCGTTGTCCCTGTCCTACAAGTGTGCCATAGAAGTGCGGACGCTCCACTGTCAACACTCTGCAATAGGTAAATGACAGCCTACCGCGCCCCTCCCGCCCTGTCCATCTGGCCCTCCCTTCCCCTCCTTCTTTCCTCCCCGCCCCATCCTTCGGTTCCATCTCCCTGCGCGCCCCACCTGGTCCTTCAAGCGCCCGATCGCGTGGCGGTACTTGTCCAGCTGCCGCTGCGCCTCACTCGCCTCACAACGCAGCTTCTCAGACACCTCACGCAAGCCTGCGGGGTGGGGCATTTTGAAAGCAGGAACAGGAACAGCAGCAGGAGGTATTGGAAGTGGTGTTTGCAACGAGAGCAGGGCGCACACGCGGCGTGGTAGTTACTCGTAGTGTCGTGAATGGGAACCTCGCTACGGCGGTGGCAGATTCCTCATGCATTGCCTTTCTGTTGTTCGCAACCCAACAAACAAGCTACGAGCACACATGGTGGGACACAGCACTCGCCCGTCAGCTTGTTGTCGTACTCTTGTTGTACAGCAGCCACTCGCCGGTCCGCCTCCGCTCGTGCCTCCCGCACCAGAAGCTCCGTCTGACCTGAAGCAGCGGCCACACGCGCATCCCTGGGGCAGGGAAGCAAGGAAAGAGATGACGACGAAGATAAGTGGATTGAGATGAATCGAGGAGGAAGAAGAAACGTCTGTGGGAAGTCTGAAGCTGGTTTGGTACCGGACTGATGTACAAGCGGGCATCTCAGGCACCTACCTGTCCCTGGCTACCTCCTCCATGGTGGCCCGAACCTCCGTCCGCAGCGCCGTCAGCTTAGCGGACACGTCAGCCTTCTCCTTGCGCACCTCATCCAGCTGCATGGTGTAAAGGTAAAGGCCCAGGCAGAGACGACAAAGGTAATGGTTAAGTGAAATCCTGGGTCGCTGACCCATGGGTCGCAGCAGATAAGGAAACTCGGCCCCCCTAGCCCAAAGGCTCCTGCCGAAGTGGGATCGCGTTGCCCCAGTCTTACCTCAGCCCGGAGGTTCTCCGTGTCAGCCCACAGCGCGTCGCGCTCCCGCCGCAACGCGACTGCCGCCTCCGCCGCCTTGTCGCTGGACGCAAGGCCCGCGTCGTACTGCCGTTGCAGCAGCAAGTACTGCTTTTCAGCAGCAGCCAGCTGGGATTCGTACCTGCGTCGAGTGTCGTACGTTTACGCGTTTGCATGTACGACGTGCATGCGTAAGGTATGCATGTACGGTGCGTAGAGGCATACATGTGCTTAGTGAGCGGTTTGCTTGAACGTACGGTCATGGCGCCTGGGGAACGTGCTGGAAATGAAAACCGACAACTCACTGCTTCTGGGTTGCAGCCAAGTCCAACGCATGCTGCCGCCTCAGAGCCTCCAGCTGCGCCGAGGCGGCGCGAGCGGCTTCCGCGCGCGTTTCCTCACTGGCCTTGAGCTGTCGAGGTGGCGACAGGCACGGCACATGACGAGGTGGGGCTTCACCCTCATTACGAGCACCACACGCGCGTAACCATGCCAACACGAATCAAGCAAGCTACGGGCGCGAACGACCCATAGGGACGGGCCGCTGCAACATGCGTCTAGGAGGCCGCCATGCACCGCCGACGCCCACCCATGCATGCGCCCCCTATCCATTACCCCTTTTGTGCCTTCTCTCACCCTCACCCCACGCAACCCTCACACCTGCGCCCCCAGCGACTCCGCTTGCTGCCTTGCTGCCGCCACTCCGCGCTGCTCCTCCGCCACACTGCACGACAGCTGCTCGCGCTCCTGGCTCAGCGCATCCACACGCGACGTGGCCTCTTGTAGCTGCGGAGAGGGATAAGGGGGAGGGGGGTAAGAGTCGCATGTGCAGGGACATCCCAGCATGGATAACGACGTTTCTGGAAGGTTACCGCAGACCGTACGACAAATGTCGAAGCATGACGTTCAGCATGACGTAGACATTCAGGAAAAAGCACACGAGTGGAGTGACCTAGAAACAGCTCAGTGCGCCCTAGCTAGCTAGCTAACCGTAACAGGGTAACACCCCACTCTCAGCATCGCCAAGCATCAGCAGCAACAGCATCACCCCGCGCACCTGCTCCCTCAGCCCCGCTGCCGCCTGCTGCGCCGCCTCCAGCTGTCGCCGCAGGATGGCACACTCGGACTGGCTGGACTCTAGTTGGGCCTGAAGCGGAGGCGGGCGGGGTGGGGGGCAGAGAGGAACCAAACCGAGTTAAGGCCGGGAGGAAGGCGGCATGAGGGGCCGAAGGGTCGGCAGGGGGATGGTATCAGGCGGCCGGGAGGGAGGACAGGCGAGGCAGCAAGGTTAAGACGGAGACAAGTCAAGGGAAAACGCCCGCATGCAACCGCAGCTTGCGATGTCACACTCGAAGCCACACCTGCACTGTAGCCAGGCGCGTGGCCGTCTCGCGCGCCTGCGCCTCCATGTTGGTCTGCACAAGGGGCGGAAAGGGCAGTGTGGGTCGCTGGGAGGAGCAGACGGGCCTCCCAATCGCACCACGCCTTGCTGTGCGTGTTGTCCCTTCCGTGTTCTTTCCGTTTCTGTTGCGCCCGCGACGTCGATCATTACTTTCTCGCATGCAGGGTTGGGAGCGCGCACCCGCATCTCGCACCCTCATCCCGCCCGTCCCCGCCTTGCCTAATGGTTACCGGTAGGTAGCCTCCTCCTCGCCCCGCCCACCCATACCATGCGTACCTGCATTTGCTGGTTAGTCGCCTGCATGACCTCTCCACTGGCGCGAGCCTCGGCAAGCGACGCCGCCTGAGACCGAATCTGGCAGGGATGGATGGGAGAGAGAGAGAGGCGCTGCCATCAAAACAGGGAGACAGCTGAGTGATAGTGAAAACACCGTCTGTGTGTTGATGGAAAGTCCCCACCAAGTTCCTCCTTTTACCCCACCCAGTTTCCTCCTCCCCCCCTACCTCCTCATGCAGCCGGCGTATGTCCGCGTTGGCTCCCTCCAACGAGAGCTCCAGCTCGGAGCAGCGCTTGGACGCCCGCTTGGCCTGATGACGCAGGGCGGCGGGTCGTGGGTGGGATACACCGGTACAGGGCTACCACAGGGCATTCCTCCTATCCGCTACTAGCTACTATTCATCCATCCTCCCTCCACAACCTTCCGCGGCACCCCCCCCCTCTGCCTGTCACCCCTATTACCGGTATATTACCTTTTGCAGCGCTGCGTCCCGTTCCTGCGCCAGCACCTCCAGGGCCGCTGCGTGCTGCTGCCGGAGGGACTCCAGGGAGCCCGACACGTCAGCCAGACGAGCCTCCAGTGCGGGACGAACCTGCTGGCGAGAAGGCGCACGGTACGACACCCAATTGAGGTGTACGGCATATTACACAGGGGGCATGGGTGCCGTAGAAAACAGCGGGCGAGTAGCGGTGCTCGCATGGATCAGGGTAGGTCCTCCAGAGCAACGCGGTGTATGTGACTCCTCCCAAGAGTAGCAGCCTTCCTTACTCGTACGTGTCGTACCGCACCTCTTTGTACCTCGCCACTCGCTCCACCTCGGTAGCCAGCGCTGCCTCCAGCGCCTCAACCTGCACCGGAGCAGCGGGGACACAACCGGGGCGGGTCCCTCTTCCATCGTGGAAGTCCACACCTGTTGGACACACCATGCCCTTTCCCCGTACCCACCCACCTACAACACGCAACAACGCTATTGCTTGTTGCTAAAACCAGTTGCTTAACCACCTCACCACCGCCCTACCTGCCCCGCCAGCTGTGCATTGGCCGCCTTGTTGACTGCCAACTCGTGCAGCTCAGCGGCCAGCTGATCGCGCTGCCGAGACAGGCCCAGCACCTGCATTGGGAAATTCAGGATCACATGCGCAGGCACACGACCGTCAGCACCACACATGAGCACAAAAAGCAATGTGCGCAAAACACAAGACCCTCAATCCCGGCCATTTCCGTACCTGTTTCTCCAGGTCATCCCTCAGCTGCTGCGCCGCCACGCCGCTGCCGTCGCCATCCAGAAGTCTGTCCTCCAGCCTCCGCCGCTCCGTGCGCAAATCCTGTTGGGCGGTATCATCCGTATATCAGACGAGCTGGCTTATGATATGATGTTCATGATAACGTTGGGTTATGGTGTGTACGTATGTTACGGGGACTGGGGCGGCAGCACACGGGTGCGTGGGTGCAATCCCCAGTACACCCCTCAGTTCGCCTCAATCTCAGGATGGTGCCGTACACCAGCAGCAGCAGACGTACCTGGATCCAGTTCCGGAGCCGTTCGTCCTCCCGTACCGAGGCCTCCCGTACGGCCCGCTCCTCCGCCGCCAACTGGCGCATGCGGTTGGCGGCTCCCGCCTGGGTGGCTCCTCCGCTACCACCCCCGTTGCCGGCTCCGCCAGCACCGCCGCCGCCAAAGGTTGCTTCGCCAGGGAAGTCGCCAACTGCATAAGGAGGGAGCGCGGACCCGTGGGTCGCGGACAGAGCAAAGCACCGCAAGGGTCTACAACCAGTGTACCGATGCACCACACCCTTCTTAATGGCCAGTGCTGTTAACCCACGCACCCGTCAGAGTCGTCATGCCGCTGCCACCCGTCATGCCCGCCGCCGAAGTGAGATACTGCGGCGGGTTCCGCTGGGTCATGGAGCCCGCTGGTGGTGGGCTGCTGGCGGGGCGCTGGGGCATGGAGGCTGTCAAGTAGTTCTGTGGCTGGGCGCGCAGGGCAGGGGAGGGAGGTAAAGAGGAGGAAGCTGACTAACCGAGGGCAGGAAGGGGGAAACGATGATCGTCCCTTGTACGGCGCAACCCAGCAGCGAGGGCAACCCACCTGCGTAGCTCCGTACTCCGAGAAAAGACCGCCGCCCGAGACACCTACTGCAGCTGCTGCCGCTGCTGCTCCATTCATCTGCCCCTGCGCATGGCTACGCAGCGCCGCCATTCCCGCTGCCGCCGCCGCAGCCGTCGCTGCAGCGGAGGCTCGTGGAGGCGACGTGACGCCGTCCGCTGCCCGATATGCGGAATTGAGCTGCTCACCCAACACCGCTAGCTGGCCCTGCGCAACACAACACAACGAGCATGGGACATCATTCTACGACAATCCAGTACGTTCCTACTCGCGGCCAGTTTTCCTCTTAACACACTACGAATGCATCCAAGACCAGGTAAACGCATGGCGTGCGTCTACGCGGTCAGTGGTGCCCATGCACGGATTGCCAAGCATGGCTACCGGCCTACCGCAGCTTGGGTAGCAGACCCAGTATAAAGGTGGCCCAAACCATTGCGCAGTGTCTCTCTGCTAGTATCTTCACTAATAATGGCAACACTGGTAACACTCTGCTCCCACCTGCAACGTGGCCACCTGCACATGGACACCTTCGTCCAGAGGGCCGCTACCGCCGCCGCCAATGCCGTACAGCCGACCCGGGCTCCGAAACCCAGGTGCCCTCATGGCAGCGGCAGCGGCAGCGGCCGCTGCATGGGGTGCCAGGGCATGATGCCGTACAGCACCGTTGCTGCCGTACGCACGTGCGGGCGCATCTGCAAGCCCGCGAGCGCTGCTTGCTAGGCTATCGTCCAGGGAGGAGGTAGCTGAGCTGACGGAGGAGTCACGGTGCGTTGGTTGCTTGCGGCTGCCGCTGCTGTGTGCCCCGCCGCCGCTGCCATCTGCGCCTCCGGTGTTAACGCTGCCGTTGTGGTGTTGGTGAAGGTGCTGCGGTCGCTGGTGATGGCGTGTGGAAGCGTCCGGGCGAGGTGTTATGTCCGAGGCTTCGTTTGGGTTGCTACCGCCTCCGCGTTCTAACTCGCGCACAACGAGAGATTCGACGAGCCTGAATGTGCGGGAGAAGTCAATGAAGTAAATATTTGACAATTGGGTGCACGGATTGCTGGAACCCAAGCGCATACGTGATCTCTGTGTACCCAGCATGTCGGCAGGATGTAGGTGCACGTCAAGCCCGATGACCCATGAAGGAAAAGGGCAGACGAGACCCCCGTCACCATGTCTTCCAGGACAACTTCTGGAAACCGTCGTAAAAGCCGCAAGGACAATAGCTCGCTATGGATACCATGCCCCGTTCTACTGCTCACTTTTGAAGCTTTAAGAGCTGCGCCGCCGTCTTGGCGTCTTGAGACATGTTTGCTGAGCCTCTATTAGATCGATGGCCGCCCCCAAAGCTGAAAGAACTCCTAGCAAGGGAATCTAGCTCGTCGTCGCGCTGCATACCTTGAAGCTGCTGCTGTTTCTCCTAAGATTAACCTAACAGAACAGTTTGATTAAATGCTTGAAGCGCAATAGCATGCTTTATGTCCAGCCATCTCTAGTTTGGTCAACGGACTATCCTTAGGACCCAATACATGTACAGGTACTGTGGAAATAGTTCATGCGCATTGCCTCCTGGCCCAGATAATTTAAGGTGATCGCACGTATGTGACTTCTCCACGGTAACTGGACAGTACGGAAAGAGTGAACCGACGCCCCAGGTTACTGCTCTAGTTTTGTCTTATTGCAATAAGTGTTATTGACGTCGCCTTTTTTCTTACCTATTCAAGTTGAAAGGGGCAACCCTGATCACAGCCCGTGAAATGCATAGTCTCCTGAGAATTCTTATGTATACTATTGCATAGAATAGTAGAATGAGTTAACAAATTGCGAAATTATGCCTTACAAGCTTCGGTGCGCTTCCTTGTAACTTGCCTTAGAAGGCGAGGCTATGTGAACTGGCGTGTGGCCCATTTTACAAAAACAGTTTATCCTGCGATACCCAAATACTGGTACTAGTTGCCTCCTTATAAGGAGGTAGCTTTAGAAGCTGCCTGCCCGCTGCCATGAGCGGCGTTCGGTTTTCTGGGCTTTGAGGTTGCAATCTATCAGAAGGGACCTTGTTTGAGTCAGTGGCGTGAAGCAGACAGGATGTCGGGCGACTATGGACCCTCTGCCTCGGCGCATTCGGTGCTGCTTATTGGCAGCACCACGGACCTTGGAGCCCTGCGCACACATAACGTTCTCCAGGAGCGGCAGGCAAAGGTCATCATGGCAACGCGGAGGCTGTTGCAATCGGAAACGGTGAGGACCAGCGCGAGGGCGCCTGTGACCAACAACAGCAACAGCAGGGGTAACGGCAGTTGCCGCGTATCTAAGCGAAGCTCCCTCGCGCATGCCAAATACCGGTAAAACACAGCAGTGTAGGGCTTCACACCATGCCTCGTGGGCCTTAGCCACTGCCCATGCTCCGTAAAGCATAGCGGACACCCTGGCTTGGATCCACACGATGCCCTATCACAGCCACCCCTGGCCTGGACCATTCTGCTGTCAATCCCTCATCTAGCAACAACGCACCCCTAACCTGACCAGACAAAGCAACCGTAACCCGACCATGCCCTAACCCCAGCTCCACCTGCCCACCGCTCTCACCGTGTTGCCGTACAGATGGTCAACATGCTTCAGGAGGCTGGCGTGGAGCTGCCTAGCCTGGAGGACTTGGAAGTGTAAGCGTTGCGAATAGGCTGCTGTCTGTTGAGGGGAAAAGCACGTGGGGAAGGCACACGGGGGCTGTAGCAGTTGCGTGCCCTTGTTGCCAACTACCGTACCATGCACCCCTAGACCCCAGAAGGCGCACACACGCGCTCTCCCTTATCCATGGGTCCCCACGGGTCACCCATCAAAGCTAAACCGCGTGCCAAACCCTCCCTCCCCTTCCCCATTCCCATAACCATACCCTAGCGGCCGGCGTCGAATCGTCGTTGGCAGGGACTGGCGTTCGGGAATGACGAAGGGCCACGGGCCAGGCACCGACGGCGGCGGTCCAGGCCACGACCTGGATTCGGCGGCAGCAGCTCCGGAGGATGCAGTGACGGCGGTATCGGCGGCACCAGGCGTGGTCGCAGCCAGTGCTGCCACGCCGCCGCGCTCCCCTAGGAAAAAGCCCCAGGAAACAAAGGGCGTCTGGCGGCGACACGTGCCGGATTACGAAAAGAACCCGGTTGTACGGCGGCTGAAGAAGCTCAGGCATAAAGTGCTGTACGGCAGGATTGGCGATAAAGCTTACGCCAGGTGAGGGGCCGTACATGCGTTTGCATCGGGTGGTGGTGGTGGTGGTGTGGTAGGGTGTGACGCTGGAAGGGACGGCTGGCTATGACCCCTATGAAAGCCTGCCTGTGGAATGGCCGCAACGCCCCATGCACGCTCCTCTAGCCCCATGGGCTGGTCCTTCCTTCCTATCCCTTCCGCCCCTCCTTTGTACCCCATCCGCCCTTCTTTTGTACCCCTTGCGCTGCAGGTACCGTGCCACGCTGCGCGCCAACATCACCTGGCGAGACATCCTGCGCCCCAACCTCAACCAGGCCCGGCGACACGGCCACGCCCGCCACGGCTTCAGCAGCTGGCTGGACGGCGCCCTCACGGAGGAGCAGCGGCGGGATGTGCGCGAGGATGCGGCGCGGATCATCCAGGTACGACATGACTCATGAGCCGGGTGTACGGCACTCATATACCGAACTGCTGCTGGCGCTGGACAGCTGGACGAAAATTAGCATTTACAGGCTTGCCCTGAGTGTGGCTTACCGTGGAAGGATTGGGTCCAGGCGCCTAGAAGCAAGGAGCACCTCAAGCTCTGGAGTGCCCGTGCTTACGGTTACTGTATGCGTTAATAACCGAACCCCAAACACCCCTCTGGAACCCCAAACGCTCCCCGCGCTCGCACCCAGGCTGCTTGGAGAGCGTGGAAGCGGCACTGCGTGTGGGATGTCATGCGGCACGTGCGGGTGAGAGCTGCGCAGTGGGGTATGGAGGGAGGGGGGGTTGTGCATGCGGCATGCCAGCATGCGTGGGTGGGAGCTGCGCACGGGGGAGGAGGAGGGGCGGGTAGCATGGGAGGGGTTGCATGCACGCACGCTGGATGCTTGGGTGAGAGCAGCGCGCTGGGACGGGGGTGTTAAGACCAAGTGGGATAAGACGTGCGGAGGGGTGGAACTGAACAGGCGAGACCGGGCCATGGTGCCGCGTTTAAACACTGCATGGTGCCGTGGACTGACACCGGCATGTACGGTTCGTACGGCATGTACGGCACACAGAACTACGAGATCGGCAAGTACGATTGGAGCGATGATGATTCAGTAGCGACGGATGAGCTGCCGGACTGGTGGGGCGACAGCAGCGAGGAGGGCGAGGGGGAGGGCGAGGAGGGCGAGGGGGAGGGCAAGGATGGAGCCAAGAAGAAGAAGGGCAAGAAAAAGTAAGTCGCCGCGGTTGTGTGCCCTTTACAGGAACAGGAGGCCTTCCTAAAGTACTGTGCCCTCCTGCGTATGCATGATATCTTTCACGCACTTTAGCTTGAGCCTTTGCGTGGCTTCTGCTGATGCGATCTGCCTTCTGCGAACTATTATGCCTGATTGGCCTCTTTCGTACGGCATCTCTTCTAACCGTAGTCTTTTTAACCGCCATCTAACCGCACTGCTAACGGCATCCGCAGGCGTGGTGGCGGCGGCAAGCGGGGCGACCCCAAGAAGAAAGCCATCCTCGCCGCCGTGGCGGGCGCCATGGACGAATCCAACATGGGGGAGGCGGTAGCCACCGGCGCAACCAAGCGGAAGAAAAAGAAGAAGAAGAAGGCCGCCGGAGACGCGGGCGACCCGGCCGCGGAGGGGGAGGAGGGTGGCGAGGAGGGCGAGGGTGCGGAGGAGGGCGAGGTCGCAGAGGGTGCAGAGGGCGGAGAGGCTGTGGAGGGCGGAGAGGAGGGCGCCGCTGCCGCAGCCACCGGCGGCGGCGGCGGTGGGAAGAAGCGGAAAGGCAAACGTGGGAAGAAGAATGCAGCGGGCGCGGCGGCTGGGGAGGCTGCTGCGGCGGAGGGAGCTGAGGGGGAGGAGGCGGGTGCAGGGGAGGAGGCAGGGCCTGCGGAGGAGGGCGCTAGCGAGGGAGCGCCGGAGGAGGTGGAGGCAGAGGCGGAGGAGAGCGTGCCCACGGTAGGGCGCAAGGGGAAGGGGCGGCGGAAGGGCAAGAAACAGGGCAACGCAGCTGCGTCCGTAACAGATGATGCCAGCACTGTCGGCGACGGCGGGGAGGCGAACGACTCCTCCGCGGAAGCTGGGGAGGCTGCGCCGCCGCCTGCGCCGGCGCCGGCGGAGGGCGGCAAGAAGAAGAAGCGGGGGAAGAAGGGCAAGGGCGCGGCGGAGGCTGCGGAGGCGGATGTGGAGGACGAGGAGGATGACGGGCTTGCGGCGGCCATGGCGGCGGCGAGTGCGGCGCTGGCGTCGGTGGGGCGCTTGAAGGATAAGCCGCCGTCGGAGCTGAAGTGAGTGCGGCGCGGGGAGGGGGGGAGTAGCTGGGAGGGTCAAAAAGACCATAGGACCGAACCATAGGGACCACACGTTGGGGCAAGGCAATGGGGATAGGAGCGGTTGGGAGTGGGGAGTATCGGGGTAGGTGAAGTGAAGTGAGCGGGGAGTGAAGGCAGGTGCTTGGGTGTCCTCGCCCTGCTCAGGAAGGACCCTGTGGCTGTGTGGGTTTGCCTGCCCCCTGCCCCCCTGACGGTGCCTGCGCCCCCGCCCCCAACCGTTAACAGTGCCTCTGCCTCTGTTCTCCACTCACACCACATACACCACCACAACCACCCTCCTTCCACCACCTTTCCCCACACCCGAACCGCCCCTCTCCTCCTTCCAGGTCCCAAGCATCAGAAACAGCCGTAGGCCCTCCTCCCGCCGTTGCTGCTGCCTCCGCCCCCTCCATCACCTCCGCTCCTCCAGCACCTGCTGCCCTCACCATAGCCCCAGTCGCCCCCACCCCCGCCCCCCCGCCACCACCCCCACCGCCTCCTCCTCCACCTCCTGAACCAGTGCTCGAGCCTCCTCCTCCACCACCACCACCACCACCTCCACCCCAGCCCCCTACCCCAGCCCCTTCCTCCTCCCTCGCTCCAGCCGGGCCGCCAGGATCTCCGCCGTCGCCGCCGCCACCCCCCACGCATGCGCCTCCCTCCATCATCACCGCACGCCTGTCTGAACTCATCGGCGGTCGGCGCCGCAGCAACGACGCTGCGGACGTCCTGCGTTCCGTCGCGGACACCGACCAATCCGGCAGCTCCTCCTACCTCGTCACCCAGATGCACCATGGCGACGGCAGCGGCGGCGGCGGCTTTGTATCCGATGGCAGCGCCAACGGCGGCGGTGGCGGCGAGTCCAAGCGAGGCGGTGGCAAGAAGAAGTCGGGCAAGCCACGCGGCGAGGTGGCGAGCCGGAAGGAGTCCACGCATGAGGTGTATCCCTCCGCGGCGCGGCCGTTTAAGCTCAAATCCATGGAGATGCCGGATTGGAGCAAGGTGGGCCCCTCGGCGGACTTGTTTGATGTCACCACGGACCCTGTGAAGCGAGCGGCGGTGCTGGCGAGGATGGCACGGGATGGCGGCCCCAATTGGAAGCCACCAGGTGCGTCGTACGGCAGCAGTTGGCAACGGGTTTGTGTGTGGGGGCATCTGGGCACCTGAGCAGATCGCAGCTATGACCTAAGAAACTGGCTGCGAACAAGAACACACCCTGGTGATTGGGGTTTGTGTTCCCTCCCCCTTTCACCTCTGTCGAACCCCTCCTCTCGCCTCCTCCTCCTTCTCGCGCAGGCGCCGTTGCGGACTGGTACTACATGTCTCGGTCGCTGTACGACGGAGATGACGTGGCGAAGCGCGCCGAGGCGCTGGCCAAGGTGGCGGTGTCGCATGAGAACACCATGTGGAGGCCGCCAGGAGGTGAGGGGGGGCCGCCCGGGGGTGAGGGGGGGCCGCCAGGAGGTGAGGGGCCGCGGAGGCCCGCCGCGTTTGATGGGGTACTGGTTAGGGTACGTTTGATGGGGTACTGGCAGGTAACTGGTAGGGTGCTGTTGATGGGGTGCTGGTAGTAGAAGGAAGGAAAGCAGTGAATATCGGTGTGTGACCAGGGAGCAATGCTGGGGGCGCTCTACGCATCCTCGTCTGTCAGGAGGCACGCTGGAACGTTGCTGGTCAGCATAGGGTTTCACACGCCCCCGCTGCGCCGCCGCGTCCCACCATCCACATCACCGCACCACCGCACCCCATTGCCGCACTCCAATCCACACGCACGTACCCCTACCCTCACGTCTGCCCCTCCGCCTGCCCCCAATGCCCCCCCCCTCCCAGTGAGTGTCACCGACTACCTGGCGCTGCACCGCCGCACGCTGGAAGGCGACCCGCCGCCGCCCCGCCGCTCCGAGCACGCAGCCAAGTCCGGCGGCGGGGCGCTCAACCTCCCCATGTGGAGGCCGCCGGGAGGTGAGTGTGCGGGGCGTGTGTGTGGGGGTGGTAGTAGAACAAAGGAGAATACTCTCCTAATGTGTTGTGACAGTGGTAAACGGCGTGTGGTGGTGGTGGTGGGGGGGTAGTGACCACCTTTGGGCGGGTACGGGCGTATGGTATGGTATGGTATGGTATGGTGAGGCTTAGTGATTGGTGTTGGGGTGTTGGCTTTCCGCTGCTGCTGATCCCCTTAAGCGTGCGTTACTACGGTCTGCCAGCTACCTGGCTACCTTGTTCCTCTACTACCGTACAACAACGCTCCCCCTCAACCCCACCCTGCTGCCTCCCTGCTTCCTCTCCTGAATGCGTGCGGCAGTCGGGCCCGGCATCCAAAACACCATCGGCTATGACACGGTTCCCTTCGATGCGGATCCGGAGCCCGAGAAGCGCCTGCGAGCCAGTGCTAACGTGGCTAACCCGGCATGGAAGCCGCCCGGTGGGTTGGGTTGCTGGGGGCAGGGATCCCATAGCATTGTGCTACACTTCTCTCAATTTTATTTCCCTCCTGCGCTCGCCTCCACCCCTCCCCCCCTGTCATACACAGGCGTCCCGCGTGTGGAGTACTACAATTACTACTCCAGCCCGGCCACTGCCGTACAGAGCTCCGAATCCAGTCAGAGCTCGGGATCCGAGGCAGGAGGCGACGGGGGCGGGGACGGGGGCGGCGAGGGGCAGACGTCGGAGGAGCGAGCCGCGCGTCGGGCGGCTCGGCGGGAGGAGCGGCGAGCGCTGCGGGAGCAGATGCGGGCGGCCAGAGCAGCTGGAGGGCTGTCGGCGGAGGGTAGGTGGCGTTGGGGGACGTACGGGGTAAGGGGGAAGGCGCTGAGGTGCTGTACGACAAGGGGTGCATTCGTGCATTGCCATGGGGTGCAAAACATGGTAGCCGATTCCCATCCCGCCCAACCCGGCGTAGTAGCCAAGCCACGACGATAGCCAGGACTTGGCGGAGCGAAGGCCTACATGGGGTTAGTTGTGTGTGCTATGGGGATGCTGCCCCTTTGGATCATCCTCCTTATACCTCCTCCTTACGCCCCCGCCCTTCGCTCTCTCTGCCATGTGCCTGTTTCTCATGCCCGCCCCCCTGCCCGCCCCCCTGCCCACCTCCCCGCCTCCCACCACCCAGCCTCCGGCAGCAGCAGTCTGGGTACCCGGGTTAACGCGCGCAAGCCCTGGCGCTTCACGTACGCGGTGGAGGAGGAGCTGTCGGTGCCGGTGAATGGGCCGCCGCAGACGAAGGTCGAGGTGATCCTGCGAGATGACAAGTGAGCGGGGGGTGAAGGGCGGGAGGGGGCAAGGATGTGTATGGAGGTGAGGGCACTGTGCGGGGTACAGGGACAGGGATACCGTAGTTGGCCCGAGCTGGGTGTTTGGATAACTAACACGAGTATGCGGGTACACGCTTCTAACCCTAACCCTTTCATGCATGCGCTGTGCGATGCATTGGGTACCATGCAGGGCGGGTCCGAGACCATGGAAGTACACGGTCATAGCGGAACCCGACCGTACGGTGCCGTACAACATCTGGGGGCCGTACGTGGATCCACATGAGATGCAGCGTCGACTGGGCAGGGAGGGGCTGCTGCAAACGGGTGCAGGTGAGTGCTGGTGACATTGTAATGATTGAGCATGAGGCGTTGCGCTGACTTCCCCTTTCTTCTCAGGCTGGTAAGAAGCCAGCCGCTAAGCCCTGATATGAGTAAACGGCGAGGTCCTTCCCACGAAACCACGCTTACAGCGCTTACTTGCCGTTACTGTCACCACATGGCAACAGTACCATTCTTTTACTGCACTCATTCTGCGCTCATCCTAATCCCCTAACACCTCTTTTCGCTTTTCCCCCCTTCCTTCCTTCGCAGTATCTGAAAACAGTTTCTCGCCATCCCGGCTACGTCGTGTAGCCACAGCGCTCTCCCTCAGGGGCGAGCGCAGCGCCACCACAGGCGGCTACGCAGGTGCCATGAGCCCCGAACAAAGCGACGACATCGAGGACGCCGCCGGCAATAACGGCGGCGGCGACGCCGCCGCACGTCGCGCCGGCGGCCGCAAGGCCTGGCCGCCGCTGCGTCGGAACCTCTCCATGTCACAACTCGAGATCCGCATGCCCGGCGTACGGCGCATGCTGTCCGCCCGTACACGTTCCATGGGTGCCGTACTCGGCTTGTACGGCATCCCCAGCCACATTGTGCTGTCGCCGGAGGCAGCGGCGGCGGCGGCGATGGCGGCGGAGGCGTCCGGTCTGTCGCTAGGAGCCCTCACCGACGGCAGCCTGAGTCGTACGTTGTTGAATGAGCTGAGCGTGATGGGCAGATCGGCGCTATCTGTGGGCTTGCGGCCTGGCGGGGGCTCGCAGATGACGCTAACGGTCACGTCAAGGTCGGCGTCTCCGGCGCCGCTGATGGGTGGGCTGTCCGGCGGCGGCAACGGCGCGCTGGACAGTAGCGACGAGGGCAGCGGCAGCGACGAAGGCAGCCTTGGCGAGGAGGCGCAGCGGAATCGCATGCCGCCGCGAACAGTGTCGTTTTTGAAGCGACCGGCGCCAGTGCCGTCGATGCCATCGGTCGCGTCGGCGACGGAGGTGGCGGCGGAAGCCAGCGGCGCCGCAGTCGATGCCGCTGCCGACGGCGGCGCCGCCGCCGCCGCCGCAAGCGCTGAGGGGTCCGCCATGCAGCTCCCAGCGGCGAGTGACTCCATCGTGATTAGCGAGGAGCTGCCGGTAGTGCCGTCGCTTGCGGCGACGGAGTCTTTAACGGCGGAGGCAAGCGCGGCTGGACCCATGGGTCAGCCGTCGCAGCAGCCAGGTCAGGAAGCCTCGGGGGAGGCTGGCGATGCGCATTCCCCGTCGCCGACGCAGGCTGAACAAGAGCCTGGGCAGGAACCGTCGTCCGCTGCTTTACAAGGGGAGCCGTCGCAACAACAACAGGAGCTTCCAGCGGATCCATCAGCAGTGTCATCATCGTCGCCGCAGCAGCAACAACAACAGCTCGAGGCAGAGGCATCGTCACAGCCGCTGCCGACGCCGCGGTCGCCCTCGCCAGAGCCTTCCTCCCTGCAAGGCCTGCAGTCCTTGGCTTCTGAGCACTCGCAGCTGCTGCAGTTCCCACAAGGACAACTGCAGCCGCAACAACAGCAGGACGATACGACAGGCGCCGGAGCGCGTACGGATAGGGATTTGTCCAACGCCGCGCGGTACAGTTTGCCGTACAACGTTCCTGAGGAGTTCCGCCCCATGCCTCTCAATCCGCTACTCCTAGGCGACGGCGACCTCTCCCTGCTGTCAGCAACCTCTCGCATGCACTGCTTCCCCTTATACGTACCTGATCGAAGCGGCTTCCGCCGGCGATACCGCCGTCGCCGTACGTACGACGGCCCGACGGCGGAAGACAACCGCCAAGATCGCAACGGCAAGAGCGGTAGCAATGCCAACGGTAACACCGGTAGCGGCAACGGTCAAAGCAACGGGAGTGGCGGCGGCGACGGACCGTCGTCGTACATTTCCCGTCGGGAAAGAGAGCGTAACGCTCACGCGCTTTACCCCCCAGCCCTGTCAGCCACCGCAACCGCCGCAGAGACTAAGCGGTTGTGCTCGGCACGCGGGATCGGCGCGTTTACAACGGGCGGGATCCAACCGTTTCCGTTGGATCCAGCCTTCCTGAAAACCCTGCCACCTAGGTTGTTATCGCAGCAAGGACAGCGAGTGCGATCCGCTCCGGGATCTCCCAATAGCGGGACGTACAGCTTCCTGACCGGTACGGCACCTCACACGACGTTTATAACCGGGGGGGACCAGTCTCTCACGAGCCCGCCGACGGGTGTGGGCAGCGGCGGTATCGGCGAGGGCGGCCCGGGATTGCCGTACAATGCCGTTGACGAGATGCCAACGGTGGCGGCGGCGGTTAGGGGGGCGGCGGAGGCTATACCGCATGTGACGATTGTGAGTGCGAATGCGGCGGCGGCGGCGGCGGCCGCTGCAGCGGCAGCGGCGGCGGCAGCGGCTGTGCAGCCCGCGCAACCAACGCAGCCGATGATGCTTAGCCGGGAGGATTTGCCGCCTTTGCCGGCAATCCTGAGGGTGAGTATGGGGCTTGTACAGGGCTGGGGAATCGCATCCTGTGTCTTGTTGCACGCTTGCACCTCCTTTCTTGTTGTACATTCCAAACCTCCGTACATGCCATGCAATGCCTCCGCCCGATCCGGCCCCATTACAACACTCCACTTAGGATCCAAGGGCTCGGGACTTCATCATGTCTCGGGGCAACCAGATCGTGACGCAGCGACGGCTCGCGGCCAAGGGTGCCGTACAGCCTGACCCACGGGCCATGTACGAACTCATGTTCCTGGGGCGACGTGTACGACAACACCAGGAGCAGCAGTTTGTTGCCGGTACCATTGCCCCTGGCGCCCCCGTTTCCGCCGCCGCCGCGCCCTCTGTCGTTGTTCCCGGCCCGACGACGGCGGTTGGGGTCGGTGCTGGCATGATGGGTGGCAATGGCAAGCGACGTCGCGCCGCTGGCGGCGGTAGCGCCGCCGCCGCCGCGGCGGCCGCGGCGGCGACCGCCGCCGCCATCAGCGGCGGCCTCGCCGATGCCCACAACCGGGCGCAAGCCACACTGGCCGCCACGCTCTCCATAACGCCTCGGCCGTACAGCGTACAGCACGGGACAGAGATCACGTCGCCGTACAACGCAGTTCCGGCAACGCCGCCGACGTCAGCCATGGACTGGTCCGGCAGTAGTAGCACCGAGCCAATCCAGGGTTGGCAGAGTCTTCAACCGTACCAACAGCAACAACAGGCTCCCTACCCCTATCCGTCGCACCTCAGTGCCGGCTCAGCTTCCACATTCAATCAGCCGCTTCCGCCGGTTAGGACCTCAACTGGGCAGATGTCCGGCGGGGGGCTCAACGCCACTCTCTCTGCTCCTCTGCCGCCGCTGCCCCCCGGCGTGCACTCTTCCGCCGCCGCCGCCACCAGCAGCACGTCACCCGCTGACCTCTTGCGCCGCTCTTCCCCTTCAACGCCCGCAACCGCCGCACGCAGCGCCCATTCAACCTACAGCCAATACACAGTCTCCGTCACACCGCTTTCTAGCTGTACGACACCCCATGAGGCCAGGGAGAGAGGTACGACACCACCCAACGGCGACGCCGCCGCCGCGGGTACGACGTTCGGGCGGCCCCTCTCCCGTCGCGAACCCTCCATGAGCGCCACCGCCGCAGTCGATCTGGGCACGTCTTTAGGATCCGGGGTTGTACGGCAGCCCAGCCCAGCGGCGCTGACGCCGCCGCCGCAATCGCTGTCTCAGCCGCTGCCGGGGCTTCTGTTGGGCAGTCGGTCCGGCAGTCGGGACGGCAGCGGCGGCAGCAGGGGGAGTCAGGGCATCGCCACGTTGCATGGGGACATGGAGGCTGAGACAGGCATGACGGCGCCGCCAGCGGTTGCTTTGGCGGGAAGCGGGAGCGCAATCCCTGGGAGCCGTGGTTCCTCGGCAGGAGCGCAGGGCCTGGGTCCTGGCGCAAGTGAACTGGCCACGCCGGGAGGGCGGCCGGGTTCGAGCTCTACGGGCGTTGTAGGAGGGGGAGGAGCTACGGCAGCAGCAGCAGCGGGTATTGCTGGCGCTGGTGCTGGGGCTGGTGCTGCTACTGGTGGTGGTAATGGAGGAGAGGCCGCGGGGGTGGCGGGGAGCAGCACGGGCGCATCTTTAGGGCTGGGGTTGGGAACAGGCGGCGTGGAGGTGACGGTGACGCCATGGAGAGTGCTGCCGCCGCTGGTACCGCAGCTAGGCGTCACGCCCATGCAGACTGCACACGCGGCCCAGCACCCTTACCAGCCGCAGCAGCTGCATGCGCACCCGCACCCGCACCCGCATCCCCCGCAGCCGCTGCTGTCCTCCCACAACTCCTCCTCCTCACAGCAGCCGCAGCTATCCATCAACCAGTCCTCGCAGCATGCGACCCAGCATCAGCAGCTTCAGCAGCAGCCGCAACCGCAGCTGCTGTTGCAGCATCAACTCTCCGGCGCATGGGGCCAGAGACTGACTCACACGCCAACAGGCCGCGGCGGCGTCTCGGCCGTCCAAGCAGCAGCCGCATCGGGAGCAGCAGCAACAACAGCAAGCGCCGCTCCTGTTACTTCAACTCGACTGCCAGCCGTCAGTCGCCACACAAGCACCAAGGTAATACAGCCTACCCCGCAGCAGCAACAGCAGCAGCAGCAGCAACAACAACCCACGGATGCCGAGGCCGCGGTGTCGGCGGCGGCCGCGGCAGCGGCCGGCGGAGGCGGCGGCGGCTCTGCAAGCGCAGCGGCGGCGCAGCGGCGCAAGAGCAGAGGGCTGCTGCGCGTGGGTCGGGCACCACTGGGGGCCCCGTTGCATGCGCGAGTGCCTGAGCGGCCCCCTAGCAGTGCCACTGGGAGCTAAGCAAGCAAGCGCGGAACTGAGGTGCTGCGGAGGTTTGTGGCGATGTTGAGGTGGTGGCGATATTGGCTGGTTGGTTTGGGATGGGTGCGAGTTGAGGGCGTGTACGACTGTGTGTGTAGGTATGTGTACCGATGTTTGCATGCAGGCAATACGCATGGTGGTAGCAGGCGCATTTGCTGAGTGGCCGCGTAGTTGTCTTCTTATAGTGCAAAGGTCTGGGGTTCCCGATGTGTTGAGGGTGAGCCCCATGGAACGTGTTTTGCAGTTTTCTATGGCTGGGGCTGTTTGCAGCGTGGAAGAGCCGCACTGCAAGCACCGTAAGGCCCCTGTATTCATGCCAATTGCAGGTCATAACGTGTGTTAAGGAAACCGGCCGCGAGTCCTGTGTGACGTGCTGTGCAGCTGGGCAGGGGGATGGGCCGTACTTGTGTGGGGCTGCTGGGGCCTGTCAGCCGTGTGATGTATGTACAAATTGGGTTGCATGGTTGCGCTATTCATCGCCTGCACCTTAGCGAGCCCGTTTTTGTGCCCTTCATGAACGAGCCAAGTCAGTGTGCACATGTGTGAGACCCATGCATACTTGCTTACTTTCCCGATGTGAGGATTAGGGGAGGGAGCTTATGCTCATTCTGTTCGTAGGCAGACGACGCAAGTGACATGGCAAATGACCCGGTTGTGGGGTAGTTGGCGGATTGACGACACGTTTGGACCGGTGGATGACGATAATAGCGTATAAGCCGGATGATGGCGTCATGCAATGTGTGTTGTAGGGCAAACGACATAAGCTTACTGTTGAATTTAGCAAGGCCCCCTGCCTCCCATTAGGTTTGCTGGCCCCATCAGAAGTAGCGTGACCCATTGGGTGGTGTTCAACCACCGAGCCAGTCATCAGCTGTACGGCGAGTGTTGGGGGTTGACATGCGACCAGTGAAGGTTAGGCATGTCCCGCGGAGTCTCACTAGAAGCATGGGGGAATTCGCAACTAAATCCATCACTCTGTGCGTTGGCACGCCCTATGCTCGAGTTTTAACCCAGAATTGTGGGCTGTGGCAGTGGCTTTTAAGTTCTAACTGTACGTCGGGCCATATACCTTACCGGTATGTTGTCGGCGTAAACCCATCTCAGCCTGCCGAAAGGGCAGCGCTGCGCTCGTTTGTGGTGGCCCAGGCTGCAGTCGGATTCATTGTGCTGTTGCCAAGGACGCACACGGATGTTGCTTCTTGTGTCGGAAGGCGGTCCTCGTGTCCTGACGTCTCGGGCCTGCTATGTACAGCTATGCTAGCGACATGTGGGAAGTGGGATGCGGCTTGTACATCCAATTTATCAGCGCCCAAGGGGGCAAAAGAACATGTGGACGCCTGACATACCCTGCAGCCGCGTTCGACAACGGCACTGATGAAGGCGTCATGTGGCTGTCAGAGGACTTGCCACCTGATAATTTCGGTGAAGCTCAGGTGGCCGGGTTGAATAGCTTGCCGGAACCAGGTCCTCCAGGATCGTCCTCAGGTCTAAGGGTTATGGTGTTATGGCCGTGGGACCGCAACCGTGAATAGGGCGCTTGGACTAAAACAACCGTCGAACATCCCTGACAAGGGCAAGGATATGCAGCGTGTACGGTGCAGTGCTTTTTGCACTTTTAAAGGAATGCTGAATGGAGGGTTAGGGCTGGGGGATGGCTGAGGGCAGTTAGGCTCGCTCCAGATGGGCTTGGGGTGGGACTACCTGTCTATCTCCCACCAGCCACCACCTGTCTTGTTGCTGCATCGGCGCTACATTGGCTTCAGACAAGCAATCCAAGTCAAGGCTAACATATATCGGATCCTACTGGATCACTGGAACAGTTACTTCGCGCCGTACAACGCCCACCTTTTAGCCGTTAAGACAGTCTTGAACATGCTTCGCGGAACACCTAAGCCAAGACACTGCTGCTTCAACTGCAAACATGCGATTTCTGGCATACCGTATTAAGTCGAAGTCAATCACGGTAGTCTAGCCAGTGGCCGAAAATGAAACTGTTGTATTGCTTTACCTTTACACTCTGTCTCGCATGGTAGGTGATGGTATGGAGTGCTGACTGCCCCTGGTCGCACAGTCTGTACGCCGCTTCCTTTTGCTTGCACAGGGCGTCCCATGCAGCTCCTTGGAATGCGTCTTTTCCTTACATGGACTGCACGCCTAGCAGCAAAAGCAGATACTCCGTATCGCCTGCGGTGTCCAACCCTGCGCCCAACACTTACTGCTTTACCATTTTGGCTGACGAGTGCCATTATCCTTCAAGCTATTGCTGTTCAAAAGCAAATATCGCAACGTTTGCTCTCAATGCGAGTAAGTCGCTACGAATTGCTATTGAAACCTTCGTTCTTCTTGTTCCGTTTCAAGTCCCCATGCGATGCCATTCCCGTTCTTTTCCTTTGCAAAAATGAATAGTTTACGCATGCTTACGAACCAATAATACCTTCTCAGGTACCTCATGCGATGGTGCCTCCATTACTGCAACGCTGGACTACCAGCCATTAGGCAACGTTACAACGGTCCGTCCACCCAAGGCCGCCAGCAACTCCAGCCGCCTGCTCCTAATCCCCGAGCTGCACCTAAACGCCACCTCCATCCGGCCAAATGGCTCGCAGCTCTGCATCACCCTGCCCAGCAGCGGCAAGTGCAGCTCCCTAAAGGCGCTGTCCGCATCAGGCCGCAGTGGCCGCTGGAGTGCCTCCCTCCTCAGCTCCAACGAAGTATGCTGCCCCGTCAGTCGTGGACGTACCAAAGTCCCGGCACCTCCCAAGGGTACCTGCCAGACATGCATGGTGTACGATGTTGTAGGCCTCGACGGTACGGCAGCAACCACAAAGTTCAATTTCCTCAGCCGCAAGAGCTGTGAAATGGCTGAGGCACCTCCTGAGCAGCAGATCGGCAACTTCGCAAACTGCTGCGAATGGGCTGGCTCCTCGGCGGTCGTGGATTTTGACTACTACCGTGGCCTTAATATGACGGGACTGAGTGGCTTTGACCGCCCCTTCTGCAACCGGACTAGCCTTCGTGTGTGTGGCACCGTGCCCAGCAGCTTGGCACGCCAAGTGAAGTCGAACCCCGACGGTCCCAACCCGTTTGGATACGACCTCACGAGTTTCTTTGACATCTCCGATGATTCGGTAAGCATAGCGCTTGGATAGTTTCTATACAGCGGTAGGGGCTAGGCCGCCGCACCCCTTGTGTTTTTACGACGGGGCTTGGGCACTGCTTCCACTTCCCCCCTCGGAATCTCGGATGTTTCCTAGATGACCCTCGATCTGGTTACCCTGTGCTGCAGTTCCCCCTGGGAATCATCAACAGCCGGCTCCGGGTGTACTCGACCGAGCCTGGAAGCGACAAGCTAGACACCAAGTGCTTCCCCTTGAACGACACGTTGGACTACGTTTTCAAGGAGCCAACTCGGAGGGAGATATACAAGTATTCGCCAGACCTGACGCATTTCCCAAATGAGAGGTGGGTATGCAGTATACGCTGTGATCTATGACACGCTGTGGCATGGTGGTGGTGGTGGCGGCGGGTTTCCTAAGCCATGGGTAAGCCTTAAGTAACTGGTTTCAGCCCCCGAAATGCCAAACCAGGTGTGAGAAAGGCAGCGTATGTACGGTATGTAGGGGAATTCTGCGCGTGGGCATGACCAAATAATCAACCATGAACAGTTGATCATGTCTTTATCTGACCTCATCTACAGGCTGTTACGTATGTACGTAACCACCCCAGCCATGAACTCTTTCAAATGCCACACAAAGACCTGCGTGCATCATACCTGAGATACCGTATCTCAAGTACGGCACATGCTTCTTCCCAACCTTCATCACGCTGCTCCTGCTCCAGGTGCCAGTCGGACCCGGGCGTCACTCCCTTCACCGTGGATCCCTACCTGGAGATCATCTGGGCCAGCTCATCCAGTCGTCTCAACGCGACCAACCTATACTGCCTCAACCTTATGACCGCGCAGCCTGCCAATGCTTCGGTAGGTCATAAACAGGCTCTTCAAAGAACTTTCCAAATTTACAAAGAGGGACCAATCTAACAGCTGCTAAACGCATTCTGCTTGCCCTTCCCCTGGCAACATCTGCCGCCACCTGTCTCTGCAGTCGCCTTGCGGCAAGACGAACAGCATCTCGCGAGTATCCATGTGGCTGGATGAGAGCTTAAAGGACAGCTTTCTTGCTGCATACCTGCTGACTGCTGACACCGAGGGGAGCAGCGGTGATTACGTTCGGCAGCAGCTGAACAGTAAGTACCAACCAGTGCTTTCCGCACTGTACGGCATTTGCTTTTAAGGCATCCAAGCTATGTACTGATTCGGTTCAGGGCTGTATACTGATTTCGGTGTACGACAATTTGCAACTCGGTTTACAGTGAACACGGAGTACAACCATACAACCGTGCTGCCTAGAAGTTACGAGCCTGCTTCTTTACATCTTTAGTGTACACTGTATTACATGCAACATTCCGCACAAACGCGTAGCATTCAAACCCAGTGATGTAATGCTCCTGTTGTCCGCAGTGACCTGGGGCCCGACTGGCGACAATGCCCTCATCATCTCCCTTCCTAACGGCTTGGACGTCCCAACGGTCAACGCCACACAACCCAAGGTCTGCGTGGAAATGCCCGCGGAGTCCATGCGTATTTGGTATACCACCATGGCTAACCTGGGTTTCCTCTGGACCGCCCTCTTTGATGAGAGCGGGAAGTGCTGCCCGGTAAGTTTGAACCATGCTTGACATGCAGACATGCAGGGAGGCGCTTCGGTTGCTTGCCATTCATAGTATCGCCTAGCAGGCGTTTTTTCCACCAGGCCGCTAGCTGTGTACGCACAGAGCTGGTCCCTGTCCCCCCTTCCTCTTTCCTCTCATGTGTCGCAGACCTTCTACGCGAACCGGTATTAGCAAGCAGCCCCAACCCCAGCAAGGCCAGACCGACAGTTGTGCAATAGCTATAGATGTCCACCACAGGTTCGTCTTACGTGACCCTTAAGGGCTACAAATGGTGACTGGCTGGGTGATTGCAACAATATGTGACTGCATCTCGCTGAGACAGACAGCGGCTTCATTGGTGGCTGCTGTCGTTTGTTGCCTCAGTGAACAGAACTGCAACGTGCGGGTTAACATGGTACGGTCTCGTGTGTAGTAGCTGTCTATGCTCTGGTACTTCTTTCTCGCCCGCCCATAATGGGTGCCGCATGGGTCTTACGATAACTCCTTTACACTGCACAATGTATGCTCTTCAGCCGTACTCACTGGGGTTAGTGATGACCCAAGGGTCACATAGTACCGCTCGCCAACATCCTTGCAAGCGGCGCGTTGCGTGCTGAGTACTGTTTATGGCTTTGCTTAAGATCGCGTGGTGTATACTTAATGTATGCAATAGTACTAGTATCGCAATAGTACGGGTACCCGTTTGCCATGTATACTCGACGTGCGTTGTGGCCTGCCTCCATAGGGGTTTCCAGAACTGCCCCGGTTTATCAATGTGCACTTCTGCCGTTGGCTATTTCCGTGGTCTTACACTCGTGAGGTATATTTCTGAAGGGCCCGTGCTTACCAATTGCCCCAAGGCACCTGCCTGCCGTGAGTAAGGATTTTTAGATGTGATGGCGTCTAGCAACCTAGCCATTTACGTAGTTACGGTAGATAGGCGGTGATGGCAGCTCAAGGTGGCTTTGCCTTTGCAGGGTAAGCTAATATACTGCTGAAGGGTGCCGGGTTAAAGAGCTGCTACAATGTGTCACTGAAGTGAGGGGGGCTTCTGGTAGTCCTTGGCACTGAGGCACGGCAGTTGTAACCTCCTTGGCACTGAGGCACGGCAGTCGTAACCTCCTTGTACCTATAATGCACTTGCCGGGCATGGAGCTATTGGGCCATTGGGCTTGCTACGGTTTGCTCAACCAGGTGCATGGAGGGAAGGTCAGAGGGGACTTCCGTGAGGCCTTGTTTTAAGGCCTCAACGCATCCCTGCAATGTAGAGCTTCCCCCGTCTCATGCTGACTGCGGGCCTTCCGAGCCTCCTGCCTGTTGAACTGTAAAGATGCCTCAGGACTGCCTACGATGGCGGAATAGCAGGCAATGTGGTAGGTAATGGTGCCCACACGCCGGGCTGGCATGCAATGTAAGAAGACCGAAGCACGGTTTAGATGGGTAGTCCTAATGAACGTCAGAAAGTTAATAAACGTCAAAGGACAAGCGATATTTGCTGCGGAATGTGCGCGTATCACGCGCCGCCCGCCCCTAGGTACTTGCTGTACAATGGTTAGTAAGCACGTCAGCCGCATCAAATACTCTGCACAAAAGAGTTGAATGTATCATGGTCGCTTAATTCTCTATCCAATTTCGCCATTGACGCATCACGATTTCTTGCGCAACCAAAGAATGCGTCCCTCCTTATTGGCAGTGCTGCTAACGTGCCTGTCATTGTAAGTTTAAGCCAAATCGACAGCGAAATGCGGCTGTCCGTGATAAGGGTTTGGTCAAGATTTTTGCGTTTGCTTGCACAGGACTTCCGAAGCAGCTACCTGGACTGCAAGTTTTCCATACATGCAATGCTCCAGAGAAAGCAGCAGCAGCTTTCTTATATCGACTGCGGTGGCCAACCCTGCGGTGAACACCTACTGCTTCATGCTAATTGCCACCGACTGCCACGATACATCGAGCGCATGCTGCTCGAAAACCGATTTCGCAGCATTTGTGCTCGATGCAAGTAGGTTCAGTGTAAATTACGGTCTAAAGTATGGCGTGGAAGGTGATTAGTAACCTGTATGCTTGCCCTGATGCGTGCTGCGCAAAGTGCGTGACCGCGTAGATAGCCATAGCACTGTGCATTGAATCTCCTTCCTTAGCAACTGAATCTTTACTACCTCATTCTGGGAAGTAATTCCTGACAATTCTTGCGTTTGCTTGTCCATACTCGAAGCCTGCGCACTGTCTAGCACTGGAATTGGAATTGCATCTCAGTTCACACAATCGACCCCAACGCTATGCGCCAACCTGCACCATTCCCCTCTACACAGCTTCCTCCTGTGACGGTGCCTCCATTACTGCGACGCTGGACACCCGCCCCATCTCCAACGTCACCGTCGTTCGCCCACCCAAAGCCACCAGCAACTCCAGTCGCCTGCTCCTGATCCCCGAGCTGCACCTAAACGCTACTTCCATCCGTCCAAATGGCTCACAGCTCTGCATCACCCTGCCCAGCAGCGGCAAGTGCAGCTCCCTCAAGGCGCTGTCCGCATCAGGCCGCAACGGCCGCTGGAGTGCCTCCCTCCTCAGCTCCAACGGTGTATGCTGCCCCGTCAGCCGGGGACGTACCAAACCCCCGGCACCGCCCAAGGGTACCTGTCAGACGTGTATCGTGTACGACATATTGGGCCCTGATGGTACGGCAGCAACCGCCAAATACGATTACTTCAGCCGCAACAGCTGTTCATTGCCCGAGCTTTCACCGGATGTGGGCAGCGAATTTGCAAATTGCTGCGATTTGAGTGGCTTCTTTGTCGCCGATGGCTTTGGCGGCTTTCGTGGGCCCAACGGCACTGTCCTGAGCGGCTTTGACCGGCCCTTCTGCAACCGCACCAGTCTACGGCTGTGTGGTACACTCGCCAGCCGGAAAGCAGGCCGGGAGATGCTTGACCCCGACAGCGACAATCCCTTTTCTTTTGGTCTGATATACTTCTTTGACATTAGGGACGATTCGGTAAGGAGTCAGCCCCCATGCTTCCAACTGACTTGTGCAGATGTGCACTTCCTGACGTAAACATGGCAGCGAACACTGTGTGGAGCAAAACCGGCCCATGGTTCATGCGGACTTGGGCTTGCCATGTCATCACGTTGCAAAGCCTCCAAGATCACACCGAACATATTGTTTGCTCAGTGCTCCAGTTCCCCACGGGTCCCAAGCATATTTGGTCTCCCAGTGAAGTTAGTGTGCCTGCCTTTCCTCCCTTCCACAGTACCCCATGGCTCTCTACAACAGCACACTCCGGGTGTACACGACCGAGCCTGGAAGCGACAAGCTGGACACCAAGTGCCTACCCATCAATGACAGCACACCTCCTCTGTACTTCGCCCCCACTCGGGAGGATAGCTACATGTATAACCCAGACAACCCGCACTTTCCAAACGAAACGTAGGTGAACTGAAGGTTCGGATGGCAAACAATGGTACGAGGCCACCGGGAGATGCCCACCGCTAAAACGTACTATGTAGGGTTGGTAGGGTTATGTGTTCAATCTTTACCTCCAATCCACCAACGTGTCACTCTGTCACTGCACATGCATCCTATCTTCTGGGGCACTAGAAGTCCCTGGGTTTGGGCATAGAATGCAGCAGGATGGTTGCTGGCGCTGCTTCTCAGAACGTTGAGCTGCTCATGTTGCCCATTTCTTGTCCCTCGTTGTTCTGGTCCTCGTTCACAGATGTTGGGTCGTGAGTTAACTGCATTGCTTGCGTATTTTCCCCTCGATAACATTGCTGTAACCCGGCCCATGTGCCTTCTCTCGCAGGTGCCAGTCGGACCCTGGCGTCACTCCCTTCACCGTGGATCCCTACCTGCAGGTCATCTGGGCCAACACCACCGCTTGGGCCAAAAAAGCCACCAACCTGTACTGCGTTGACATCGGCACCGCCACGCCCTTAAATGCATCGGTAGGAACCATGTTGATAGGACTTGATATTTGTAGCGTGAACATGTGTATTGATCCGGAGCCCATGACTTTTCACTGCCCATGTACGGTGAAGCTGCCCATGTACGACACACTTATGGTTTACCACATTTGTTTCGCAGTCGGTTTGTGGCAGGACGACTAGCATCTCCCGTGTTTCGTTATGGCTGTACGACGACCGCAAGGAGATGTACCTTGGAGCTTACCTGCTGACCAGGAAGGGCGGCAGCGCTTATACCACGAAGCAGCTGGATAGTGAGTTACACGGGGTACATGCTAAACCTTGACATAACTCTGTGCGCATGCCCGTTAGGAGAATGCTGCTTACACATAGTAGTAACAGGCTGTAACACGGATACATGCGGTGCACAGCAGTGCGACATGGATACCAGCTGGATGGGTGGGGGTGGTGTGCATCTCTCTTGGCATGTCGTCCACTTGAGCTGAATTCCATTTATTGATGCAGTTCCAAGGTGTTAACAAAGCCACGCTGCATGCATGCTCCTACTCTCAATTCCTCAAATGCAGTGACGTGGGGTCCTACTGGCGACAACGCCATGATCATCTCCCTTCCTAACGGCTTGGACGTCCCAACGGTCAACGCCACACAACCCAAGGTCTGCGTGGAAATGGTACAGGGCAGCAGGCCTGTTTGGGAGAACGCCGTTGACAGTGTTGGCTACGTTTGGACCGCCCTTTTCGACAACAGCGGAAAATGCTGTCCGGTGGGTGGCCCTTAAACACATGCATGGCCATCGTAAAGGGCGTCATTGTTGCTATGTCTCGCTGCTGTACATACAGCGCTTTCATTTGCCATCTTGAATACCTACATTGTGTAGTTTGCTCTCCCAACTCCAACCCAGGGTCGCCGTACCGTATTCACATATCCCCACTCCCACACTACTCCTGCCTGCAGACCTACTACTCGAATCGGTACTAGTGACGTCTAAGCCTAGCATGCAGGGCCACAAGCAACGTGGATGGATAAGATTAACATCCTAGACATCACATCAGCAGCTGCTTCAGCGCAACGATGCAGTCGGATCTAGGGGGCCTAGGATCTGTGCGTTAAACAACAGTATGGATGGTATACTAGATGCTTATGTTACTGCCCTACATCAACTCAGGTCGATTTATCTAGACCACTGAGAAGAAAGAACCCGACTTGTTCTCTCCGATACTAGGATGCTATCCTGCTGCTACACAGAGTGCTAGGATAAGTGTTATCGTTATTTCTTGAGCTCGCTAGCTCTTGAGACCTTGGCGACCCGTGGGCCATGTGGCGATGTGGGCGCGGCTTACACCCCAGCATGCGCATGCGTTGGAACAAGTGCTCCGCATGTAGTCGCCCCAGCAACCTGAACGTATTTGCTTTGTTTCTCGTCTATTATTTGTTCCTCTGCCATACATTGTCGTAGTTTCGTCACATTTGTTGTCTTGACCGGAGGGTTACTGATGTTCCCTTTGGGTACAGCTATGCTCGGGTACAGCTACACGGTGCGTGCGAGTGACACCCGTATATAATCATTGTTTCGGTATACCTAAGTAAAGGACTGCTATAGTGATTCTCTGGCCGAAATGTGAGGAAACCGATGTTAGCTAAGTAGTACTGTCCCCTTCTTGAGAACAACCACAGCAGTCATTCATTTAGTAAGACCGGTGCTTTCGTGCTATGGCTTGATTCCCCTTGTGGCCATAGTGTTTGTACGCTGGTATGCCTGGTAGGGGTATTGTATTGCCAACATGAAAGTTGGCGATATGTATATCTTGTTGGGCTATCCCTTTGGCATAGTCACAGATGCGGAATGTGTGTTTCTGAGCAACTGGCGCGCTGTCCAATACAGAGCGCAGACCTGTGGCGAGGAGGCCCTGTCGTGATGTTCTCGATTGGTTCAGGTATGGTTAGGGGATGGATAGCCCAGAGGAGTTTTACGCGGGCGCATATGACCAAGGATGGTGGGCTATGCCGTTGCCATGGGTATGTTGGCAGACCGCATTTGGATCCGCTTGGCCTGGCGGGGTGATCCCTCAGGGGTTGATCTCGACCCAGCATTTTAGAGATCAAATCCGCGCTCTGTAACCCTCCAGCCGTTTCTCCCCGGACTTCTGGCGTCGGGTGAAGTCCCTTTTGGTGACAACCATCGACACTAGGAACCTTCACCGTGTTTGTCCCTACAAAACGATCCGACTCGCCCTTTATGAATGGTTGAAGAAACAAGAATGGCTCTTGGTGTTAAGGAGTGCCGTATCAGGTGTCCCTGCTAGCTCCCTACCCTGGTCCTACCAAGGACAAGTCGCGGTGACCCGGGGCAAATAGACGCAACGGTGCCAATTTCACCGTGGGAATTGGAGTGGAAGGACAATGTTAGGCAAGGATCCATTCTTTCCGTTCAAATACTGCGTATTGGCGACAAGCTTGATACTGGTACTTATATCAATAGCCCTGGGCCGCACCGTGTTAACGGTTGTAAGGAGAGAGATAGGTCAGGCCAGAAAGATCTCTGGACCTTAGGAAGATGCTCCCGAACCCTTCGCCCGCCATTGGATGGTGACAAGCTGACAACGTTGCCAACAAGTTGTCGCGTAGATTAAGCATACCAGGCGCTACGAGAATTAAATTATGGACAGATCTTGCAACGCGAGGCGGTAACGTGACAAATGCTTCTCCCCGGAAGTTGCCCGTCTGCTGTACGACCGTCAAGCAATCGTACGCGCAAAGAGTTTTGAAGCACTGTTCATTCCTGCCTTGTGTAATGCATACCTTAACCAGCAGTGATTCTGCCCAATATCACTAGGTCTGCGCACGAGCGTGTCTCAGAAAAAACCGTGCAAGCTTGACCACGCGCCAGGGTTAGAAATGAGATTGGCGTCAGTCATACTGCTACTCTTTAGCTCCTTATGGTAAGCTCTTGATACTTCTGCAGCTTTTTGCAATTGTGACTGTTGTCGATGGTCACAACCTCGGCTTTGCTTGCGCAGGGTATCCAATGCAGCTTCCTGGTCAGAATCGTTTCCTTACCTGTCTTGCTATGCTAATAGCAAGTGCAGATACCTCGTATCGCCTGTGGTGACGAACCCGGCGCCGAACACCTACTGCTTCGTGGTGTCAGCTGGCGACTGCCGGGACATGTCGAACACGTGCTGCTCAAAGGGAGACATCGCACAGTTTGCTCTTAATGCGAGTAAGTCGCGTGCACGGGGTGCTGAAACCTGTAGTCCTTGGCAACATCGTATTCCCGTTCTCAGACGCAAACTCCTTAATTGTCGTTAATTATGTCTTGGGCTACACACGGAGCAGAAGATAAGTAAATGTGTAATCCAATGACCATCCAGGTTCTTCCTGTGACGGTGCCTCAATTACCGCGACGTTGGACACCATCCCCATCTCCAACGTCAACATCGTTCGCCCACCCAAGGCCGCCAGCAACTCCAGTCGTCTGCTCCTGATCCCCGAGCTGCACCTAAACGCTACATCCATCCGGCCCAATGGCTCACAGCTCTGCATCACCCTGCCCAGCAGCGGCAAGTGCAGCTCCCTTGACGAGCTGTCCGGAGGCAGGACCGGCCGCTGGAGCGCCTCCCTCCTCAGCTCCAACGGTGTATGCTGCCCCGTCAGCCGTGGACGTACCACACCCCCGGCAACACCCAAGGGCGCCTGTCAGACGTGCATCGTGTACGACATATTGGGCCCTGATGGTACGGCAGCAACCACAAAGTACGACTTTTTTACCCGCAACAGCTGCGCCCTGCCCGAGCTTCATCCAGAGGACGCCAAGAAGTATAAGAACTGCTGTGACTGGGACGGCGCCTATGTATCGAGCAATTTCGATAACTTCCGTGGACCCAACGGCACTGTGCTAAGTGGCTTTGAGAGGCCCTTTTGCAACCGTACAAGTCTGCGTGTGTGCGGCACGCTGACCAGCCCTAAAGCTGCCCGACAAATGCTTAAACCGAGGAGCGACAATCCTTTTTACTCTGACTTGCCCTTCTTCTTCGACGTTACGGATGACTCGGTAAGTATATAGTCGCATGCCTTGGATTCCCTGACGCCCGACCGCACTTGTACTGCTGGCTTCAACCAGGAGTTGTTACAACGGTCCTGAAAAGGCCTCCTAGGATGATGTGCAGCCGTAATGATTGATTATGTAGAACCCTCGCTATAGGAGTGGCCCATGGGTCATGCATGCGTGGTCTCCCAAACGAGGTTCATGTTTGCCTCCCCCCCGCCCCCTTACACAGTACCCCATGGCTATCTACGACAGCACTCTGCGGGTGTACACGACCGAGCCCGGAAGCGACAAGCTAGACACCAAGTGCTTCCCTATCAATGACACGTGGCCGTACGTGTATTCTGCCCCTAGCCGGGAGGACTACTATGTGTACTATCCGGACATGCCGCATTTCCCGAGCGAAGCTGACAAGTAAGCACACGGAGAGTCACAGCGACGGCGCTGGTGGTGGGCAGTTGCATTGGCGGCACCTGCTAGCAGTGTGCTAGAGTTTTATGCCAAATCGCAGCACATCGTTGCAACAGTTCTGTGTTGCGTACACGAACGTCCCTTTTGAGTGCATCCGGGACAAGGGATGCTGCTGACTGCTTGGTGACGTGTAGGGTAGCGTTTATCATCAATGTTTTAATGGAGATTCATTGTAATTGTCACTCGACGTTTACTGCTCAACGTCTGCTTCTGTTAAGCTCGTGGCCTTAACTTCCTGCCTACGTTAACCACCTTGCTTTCGCCTTTTCCCCTCGCAGGTGCCAGTCGGACCCTGGCGTCACTCCCTTCACCGTGGATCCCTACCTGCAGGTCATCTGGGCCAACACAACTAACCTGAGCAACTCGACTGACCTGTACTGCATCACCCTTGCTACAGCCGAGCCTGTCAATGCATCAGTAAGTTGCTGGCTTGGGGCTGCCTCTTGAATTGTGAACAGGTGTCGCACCCAAGCCCACCAGACGCACTTGTTATCGTACGGCTCAAGCACATGCAATGCTAGTGATCCTTTTGCAACACTCGAGCTGGAATGTAATCTTTTTCGGCATCTTTTCTTTGCTGACCATGCTTGCAGTCGACTTGCGGCAAGACGAGTAGCATCTCCCGCGTTTCGCTTTGGATGTACGAAGACTGGAAGCAGTACTACCTTGGAGCTTACTTGGTGACAGGGGCTGGCAGCAGCGGCTACGTTCAGAAGCAGCTAGAAAGTGAGTACTTAGCGTGCCTCTGGGCATCGTACCGTCCTGAATGAGTTTAAATTCTCTTGAAGGACGGTTACAATGAATCAGTGCTGCAGTGATACCTGATAAGCGCCTTGGTGCTTGCATCACAGAACAGGACAGCATGCTTGGCTAGGTTACTCCTCCACAGAATGCCATAAGCAGGACTTAACCACAATATCAGCTTGAAGCCTGCCATAGCCAGACCGTGCTTCATCGCCCGCCCCGTTTTCCTCCAATGCAGTGACGTGGGGTCCTACTGGCGACAACGCCATGATCATCTCCCTTCCTAACGGCTTGGATGTCCCAACGGTCAACGCCACACAACCCAAGGTCTGCGTGGAAGTAGCAGCAGACGGTATCCCTCTTTGGTCCGGCGCGATGGATTCGCTGGGTTATGTGTGGACCGCGCTATATGACGAGAGCGGAAAATGCTGCCCGGTAAGTGTTGTTGCTGTCGTACTGTTGTCGTACTGCTGTTGCTAGCTCAAGTACTGCCCTGTACGACTCCACAAGTCACCAGCGTACAGGGTGGTTGTTATCGTGTTGGCCTGATGTAATAGCAGTACGAACGGCATAACCTACCAGACTCCTGAATGCCGTTCATTCTTACCGTAGCCCTTTATTTAAATCCGGTTTGCCCTCCCTTTGCAACCCTCTGCATGCAGACCTACTACACAAACCGCTATTAACAGATTCATTTCACCATATCATTGCGACCACCGGCGGAACATGCTGGTATGAGCAGTAGCCTTGCGCTCACAACTGAGAGTAGTAGGGAGGGACGGGAGCGGGGCACTGGTTGACCCGACAGGATTGATGCTGTCTAATCCGTTGCTTGAGCGGTCGTGTCGGTTGGCATTTTGATGAAATGCAGGTCGTTTCTCCTGACGCTGTTCATTGTAACTTCTTGCTCGACAATTCGTGTTTTTGCTCGGGGATCTTCGTCCCATGGGCCTTCACCCAATGAGCTACTCATATGCCCCTCACCTTGAAATGTGGTATCATGCTTTATGGGTTACGCGCCTGTTTGTATCAATGGTTATTATATGCTTGAATTGTCACCACTGTCGTCTGCCGCCCTCTGCGTGGCCAAAGGGATCGGTCATCCATTGCATTTGATCCATGATACTTTGGTGGAGTCTTTCTACATGGAATTGTCCAGAGGAAGGAAGGTGATCTGACTGTTCAGGCCAAGCGAGTGGCATAAACGGTAAAGACCTAGGGAGTTTCCTTTGTGCCTACATGCGGTGTGGGAAGTGCGTATACTCATGACATGTCGGACCACGTGACAGGGCTTGCGACGTACTTTCCTGTGAGCCTTGTAATGACAACTATTTATAAAATTATCTGTACTGCCTGGGTATGCCGTTCCCGATGAAGTTCAGTGCTTTTCGTTGTCCATTTGTCGTATGCTGATTTCCTACTGATCGAAGTAGCTACTACTGGTAGTGTTTTCTAAGACACCTGCCCGTACCCATTGCTTTTCCTTGGCCTCTACTGTAACGTGACGCGTTACGTATGCCATTCTCTATTAATTAATGTAATCGGTTAGGGCGGTTACCCCGCTGAGAATCGTACATGCCGTACAGCCCGCTACTGGGCGCTCTGTTCTGTTCTGTGCGTGTGTCCCGTGAAGGCGGACATAAGGGAGTCAGTGGCCCTTTCACACCTTACTTATTGACTCTACACGATCACGTATCGTTGCATCTACGGAACCTAAAATCGGCTGGTGCTTATTCGATGGCGCCTGTTTTCAGGCATGATTGGTTCGCGGGGGTTCTGATAATCAATCTGGCGCCAAACACCCCAACTCTTCTATTCGTACAGTCACCACGTAACACGTCGCAATCCCATGCTCTATGTCTCATATTAGACCCACGTTGCAAGTCGTAAACTTGCCGCGCCAAGTGCCGACACTGGTATGTGGCACGTGTCACACATATCTACATAGTGACGCGCTGCTCCACAGGAACGACCGGTATATACTATGTAACGTTAGCATCTTCAGCCAATACCGCCAATCCACAGTCCGAGGCAACCCGGCATTGGCATCCCGTCCCATTTCAGGGCATGGCAGCGCATACAAACAGCCTTCGACCAGGAAAAAACAGTGGACCAGGAAAAACTAGAAACAAACACGGCATAGCAGGACCTAGAAGTTGAACTCGTCGTCGTGCGCTGCACCCCCCATAGCCAACGACGAGCGACTAGGCGCTGCGCTCATCCGCTTCGGCGACATGGACACCGCAATGCTGCCGACGCGCGACCGACTCGCCGTCGTGCCGTACGATGCAAAGCCACCGCCGGCACCGCCACCAAAGCCCGTACCCATGCCGTCGTCAGCAGCCCCAACGTTTTCGTCTTCCTCCGAGTCATCAAACTCGCCGCCACGATTGACCGCGCGGTGCACGATGACAGAGGCGCGGCCTGCACCGCCACCGAACGCGCTGTTCCGCTGGCTCGGCGACGCTGCCGCCGTCGCCGCAGCCGTGGCGGCGGAGGAGAACCTAGCGCTACGGGTGGCGACGGAGCCGCCTCCCCCCAGCAACTTGCCGGCGGCCGGGCTGCCGCCAAAGGATCCGCTAGAGTTCATGCTGTGCAGGCTTGAAGCCCGGCCCAGTGCACCGGGAGTGCCGCCGCCAGCGGGCGACGGAGGCGGCGATGCGCCTGGCACGATGACACGTAGAGAGGAAGAACCGCCGCTTCCAAACTGGGAGTGCATCTGCGTCGTCTGGCCTTGGGGACCTGGGGTGATGCCGCCACGACATGGCAGGGTGAGGGCTGGGCCGCTGGCGCCGCCACTGCTGCCGCGCGCAGCCAGCAGCAGGTGACCGCCGGTGGCGGGTGGTGAATCCGAAGGCTGGGGAAGCGTGTACGGTATAGGAGAGGCGATTCCGGAGCCGCCGCCGCCGCCAGCCATGCCGGTGGCACTGCTGCTACCGCCGACTCCGAAACCAATACCGCCGCCGCCGTGTTGCATGCTGCCCATTCGCACAAAGGAGTCATTGGAGCGTTCTAAGAAGGCCATTCCGGTGGTGCTGCCCCCGCCACCACCGCCGCCTCCACCACCGCCGCCGCGGCGCACGGGAGACATGCCGCCGCTAGCCGGCGACGGCGGGTCGCCGCCGACGCCGCCCACTCCGCTGATGGCGACGGCGCCACTAATGGTGACCTGCAGTTGCGGCTTCTGGTGCTGCTGCATGTTGGCATGGAGCTTGTGTCGCTCCGATGATGGCGCTAGCGGAGCCGCCAAGCCCGCCACACCGCTCAAGAGGTTGCCCGTGGAGCCCAACAGCACATCGGCAGCCCCACCGCCGCTGCTGCCGCCGGTCCCGACTCCACCGAGGCCGAAGCCCAGACCAGCAGCGCCACCGTCGTGCTGTTCCCCTAGCGGCCCCGCGGCGGTTGTGAAGACGCTTGGCAGCATGTGCTGGTGCTGCTGCAGTTCCACCGCCTGCCCCTGAAACCCGGCAGTAGTAGCAGTAGTAGCTTCCATCACCGGTGCACCTGCACCGCTGCTGCTAGTGCCGCCCAACGGCGCATCAATAACGGCGGACAGTCGCGAGGGAGGGTGTTGTGGGCTGCCATGCTGTTGCTGCTGCGGCTGTTGTTGCTGCGTGGTGAAAACGGATGAGGGACGGCGTGCTGGAAGCATCTGTTGCTGAATGTTGGCCGAGCTGGACAGGTTGGCTCCGGAGCCGGTGGTGGTGCTGCGGCCGGAGAGGATCTCAGACAGGTCGTCATTGCCCATCAGCTGGACCCTGCGGTGTGAGGTTCGGGAGCAGGCGGAGAGCGAGGGAAACGGAGTTGTTGAACTTGTTGAAAGAGGAGGGACGGAGAGAACGTGTGTGGGGAGTTGGGGAGTTGCAAAGCATGGAGGGATTGACAGTACAGGCATTGGTGCGGTATTGCGGGCGATGCGGGCAGAGACCCCAACCCGCCGTACGGAAATCGACCCACCTGGACCTGCTCCGAGGCATCATGACGCCATCAGCATCTGCTGCCACCTGCGACAGCCGCGCCATCAGCGCCTCCCTGCTCGGCAGCCCTTCACCTCCCATGCTGCCGCCGCCGGTGCTGCCATTCGCCAGCGACAGCGGAACCACCCCTGACAGGCTGTGCGACCCCGCATAGCCCCCTTCACCGCCGCCGCCTGCGGCTGCTCCTGAGGACAACGCGTCCGCCGTCAGGGTGCCGCCGTACAGCCCGCCTCCCATGCTGCTTCCTCCTCCGCTTCGGGGACTGCCCATGCGGACCTCACCGCTGGCGCCTCGGATCAAGCCAAGGCCCGGGATGGTTGCTGCTGGGCCGGAGGCCGGCTGGCCTGAGGCTGGGTAGTTCATTCCAGTTGGTGGAGGTGGAGGAGGAGGAGGAGGAGCGGCGCCGGTGTTGGTGCTAGGTGATGCGGCTGCTGGAGGCTGGAGGTGGCTGAGCCCCAGCATGTGCAATCCCTACATGGGTGAGGGTGGGATGAAGGGATGGATTGATGGGGACAGGATGGAGGCAGTGTCTACGCAGCGCTACACATCGGACAAATTTTCATGCGTCAGCAGGCCATGCACTTGCGTTAAAGGCTGAAGTTTCCTGGCACCTACGCCATGCCATGCCGTCTCCAAAACGTAGTCAAAAGAGCTTCCGGCAGCGATTTACTCCTTCACCGCTTCGCTCGCCCATGTAACATCATCGCCTACCTGAACCGCGGCAGCCGTCAAACCCACGGATACTCCCCCATTGGACGACTGGCCGCCCCCGCTGCTGCCGCCACCAGTTGCAGCCAGACCTGGTCCGCCTGCCCCTGCCCCGCTGCTGCCACCCTCCAGGATCGCTGCCGTCAACGCCAGCGCTGTGCTGCCGCCGCCGCCGCCCTCGCCCCCACGCTGCTGCTGGTGCTGCTGCTGCGGCTGCCCGCCGGCACCTGCTGCCTTGGCCCCTCCTGCCACCCCCGCCTGCGGCGACTGCTCCGCGCCTGCACCCACGCTGCTGCTGCCGGCGCTCTCATGGCTTGTGCTGCGGAGGGCCATGCCGGTGGTGTTGGCGGCCGAAGACCCCCCAGCACCCACCCCGCCATAGCCAGCGGTATTCGAGCCCACGGCAGTAGCAGTGGTACCGCCCAGACCCAACCCCGCGTAGGAGCTGCCGGCAGCGGCGCCGGTGCTGTCATGCAGTCCATACGGTCCGTAACGGTCGTACAGCGCTGATGTGCCGTACTCCAGGGTAGATCCGCCGTACAACGGAGGCTGGCCGGCGGCACCGAGGGCCGTGTCGTGGACGAGTGCGCGGGAGTAGGGGGAGTAGTAGTAACTGGAGTAGCTGGGGACGGGAATGGTGGAGGTGTCGGGTGGGGGCATGCTGCGGGGTAGGTGGCTGGCGCTGGGTTTGCGACTGGTGGGCGTCTCAGGCGGATCATCTGACCCCTGTGGTAGGGTGGGGAAGTGGGTGGGACTTGGCGGTTGATACGGCTGTCTGTTCAAACCTGCAGGTGTAGCTGGTGCAACTTCAAGTATTAAGCCATGTTCCGGCCCTCAAAAGCGCGCTTTGTAAAGGACACGTAAGTGCGAGGCGTAGGACATGTACGGGTGTTGCTTGCGTAACACCCGTGTGAAGCAACAAGCAAGACTACCCACCCGCGCCTCACCCCAACCTACCTTCATTTCCAGCGTCCGCAGTAGCAGCGACGGCTCCTCATAGGACGATCCAGACCCCACACCCGAGGCAAGGCCATCCCTGCCACCCACCCCACCGCCACCACCCCCTGACGCCGCCCCCGCCGCGGCCGCCGCAGCGTCATGGTTGCTGTGACCACCCGTCGGCATGAAGATGACGGACTCTGCAGCTGAACCCGCGCTGGAATCGCCCCTCGGTTGCAATGATGGCGGAGGCGGTGGAGGCGGCTGTGGTGCAATGGCGGCACCCTCAGGCACCGTCGCCAGGCTGAAGGGGGCGCCGCCCCGCCGGCCCGAGGCTCCCGCCGCGGCGGAGGAGGAGCCGGAGGGGGAGTCCGGGAAGCCGCCCTCGTGCTGTCGGGGCATGTCACGGAAGGAGGCGGGGCTGTCCTGCAGGGGGGAAGGAAGGAGAACCGAGGGGAGGAAGGAGGGAGGGAGGGATGGAAGACAGCGGCGTCCAGGCCGGGAGGGGAACACGAGGCGCTACCGTACCTCCCAGCCCGGCCTCTGGCACAGTCACCCTAGGCCCGCTAGGCCCGCGTCCCATGCACCGGCCCGTCCCATGGTACCCTACCCCCACGCACCAGTCCCTGCAAGCTATCCCGCGGCGACAGTGATCCCGGGCCGCCACCTCCTCCTCCGCCACCACCACCACCACCGCCTCCGCCTCGCAGCGAGCCGCAGCCGCTGTTGGACGGCAGCGAGCGCAGCGAGTCGGCACCGCTGTGGCTCCTGCGGTGGTGGTAGCGGCCGCCACTGGGAGCCCCACCGCTACCGCCGGGGCCGTTTCCCGGCAGTGAAGAGGAGGAAAGGGCGTCTGCATGGGAGGACATGGGAGGAGGAGGAGGCGCCGCCTGCGGCGGAGACGTGGGGCGGCTTCCGCCGCTGCCGCCGCCGCCGCCTGCGGCGGCGGCAGAGCCGCGGTCCTCAGATCCTGACATACCCCCATTTGGGTTTTGGCTGAAGGGTGAGGAGAAGGGGGCCGCGGGGTGGGTGTGGGGCTCGGAGGAGAGGGAGGATATGGAGTTGCGGCTGAAGTAACGGGAGTTGCCGGCATCCAGGTCAGCAGGTGGGCGAGGCGGGGAGGCGGTGCTGGGGTAGTGCGGGCTGAATGAGGCATGGTAGTAGGGAGGCGGGGGAGGAGCTGCTGGGTCCTGGGAGTAGGGCGGCGGCGGAGGGCGGTCGGGAGACGGCACGTGGTAGGGCGAGGATTGCGGAGGAGGCGGGGGCCCTTGGGGGCTGTAAAAGCGAGGATCTGAGGTTATGTACTGGTGGTTGTACGGGTGATGGTTGTACGGCGAATGAGCGTACGGCGCTGACGGTGATTGCGGCGGCGGCGGTGCCCCTGGCGGGCCTGCAGAGGTGTGCTGTCCGTACGCATTGTAAGCGCTGGGGGAAGCGGGTGGAGGGTAGTAACTGTACGGAGATGATTGGTACGGGTACGGCGGTGGAGCACTGCCGTACATCGAATGCTGTTGGTGCTGCGAGGGCGGCTGCTGCTGCATGGCTTGCGGAGAGCCGTAGTACTGAGAGGATGGTGAGGACGGGTGCTGCCCAGGCATTGGCGGCAGAGGGCTGCCGTACGGATACACTCCCCTTGACGCTGCCGTGATAGTATTGCTGCCGTACTGCTGCTGCGTTCCTGCTCCTCCCATAGGCCAATGCGCTGCATGCAGCGCAGCCCCCGGGTACAACGCCCCACCTGCGGCAAGTCCCCCTGAAGCATCTGGTGGCAGCACCATCAGCGGTACCGCATGCGGGGGCGGCATGCCATTTGCCTGGGGCATTTGCGGCACTTGGGGCTGTAGCACAGCGGGCTTCACAATGGCATGCAACAGCCCGATCGTTCCATCCGGCAGTAACACGTACTGCTGCTGCTGTTGTTCCTGCTCCTGCTGCCTTTGCCGGCCGACACCTGCGTCGTCAAAACCGGCAAGGCTGCCGCCGGCACTGCCGCGCCCTGCTACCGTCCCGCCGCCGGACCTGCGGTTGCCACCGCCTGCGGTGCTGCCACGGCGCTGACCCATGGGTCCGCACGGGTCGCTGTCAAGCTCAACAGGGTCAGTTTGCACCGCTGCAACAGCAGCAGGCGGCGGTGGCGGCGGCCCTGAAGTAAGGTTGAGCCCGTGAGACTGCAACCCTGCCAGGAGAGCTGAAAGTGCTTGGGCTGTTACAGCCCCGCGGACAAGGGTCTCATGACCCGCGCTGTTCGCAGAATGGTGGCGCCGTGCTGCGCTTCGCCGAGCATCGCGCACATGTACGGCATCCCTGCCGTACGAGTCGCTGTCGTACGAAAGGCCGCTACCGGATCCGCCACCACTGGCACTGTCGTCATAGTCATCGCCGGCATGGACCTGGGTGAAGGGAGGGTGTGACGTGTGGACGGGGCATGTGGCTAGACAGCATGCAGGTAGCAGACACCATTTTGCCATGTGACGTTCCTATAAGGATAGAGCATTATGTGCGGCCCTGCAGGGTTACAGCTGTCCCCCGAACCCATATCCCAATGCGTAAGCCCTGCACTTCATGCTGGAGTCCAGCGTTTCTCGGTGAAAGGATACTGCAACATGATTTGCGCCCCTTTGTTTTCCTTGCGGAGCTCTTAAAGCACACCTGAGACGAGGGCGACCTCTTGGATGGCGAGCCGCGGCGGTTGCGGCCGCTTACTGACCGGCTGCGTTGCCGTCGCTGCTCTGCTTGGGCCTTCGCAGGGTCCTTCGGCTGAGCCTGCTGTTGCTGAGTTTGCTGGGCTTGCTGTTGCTGCAATTGTTGATATTCCAGCAACCGCTTGCGTTCCTCTTCCAGCTTAGCCTTCAGCTGGTCAAGCTTTCGCTGCTCCTCCTCGGCTGCAGCAGCAGCCTGACGTTCCGCCAGGGACCGTAAGGCTTGTTTCGCGAATAGCAGCTGCAAGAGAAACGTTTGATAGCGTTACTTTTGGTTCATATTCGTCAGCGAAATTACTGCGGGCTTACTTTAAGGCTGTGCGAAGCGTCACCCAAGCTTGTGTCCGCAGTTTGCAGCTCGTCCAAAAGTTTGCGAGCCTGCGACTTGATGCGAGCATTTCGGTACGCTGCATTATTCTCGTTTGCCGGAGGGACGGCAGCGGTCTGCGCGTAACAATTACAACGGAAGTCCGGTCAACGCAACCGGACAAGTAGCCCATGCATACAATAACGCAGTTCCCACTTGTTGTACAGGTGCAGTCTGGTTCGCTGCTGTCACAGCAGCGCTTGCTGCGGCCTCGAGCACGCGACGCTTTACACGGATGCGCTCTAGCTCACGTGCCGTAGCCGATACCCATAAGCTTGGAACATCATGGCCTGGTGATACCATGTTCTAAAGCATTCGTCGGCTGCGCACATGTGGACCCATCAGTGCATTACTGACCGACGCCGAACGTTACAACAGCAAACTTCAGGTAAGGCCAGTCATACGTGTGGACTATCTAGACTTTCTGTATTTTTGGCGAGCCCTAACTTCTTGAGAGGGATGCAGTACGGCGTTTCGGTGCAGCCTGCATCTTTTAACACAAGAGCGGAAGCTGGTGCAACCGTTTCCAACTTCCTTTACGAACTCTTGTGCTTTTCATGGGGTTAGTGTGCATGCCTGGAAGCTAGGTGCGCCGTACAGTACATATAACGGCTAGCTAGCACTACGACAAATTTTACCACAAAGAGTATAGAACGGCGACGAGAAAGCACCCGAATGCAAAACAACTTGTCCCTTACGGGACAACGTGTGGGCGGAACTGAACTGGCCGGCATTGCCTGCCATGGCAAATACGGTACCAGAACCATTAGCACAGCATCCATGAAGCCCAGCTGCCCAGACGAGCCTTAGAATCCCTTAACCTTCTGGGAAACCCATTTGGCGCATGCGGCTTGCGTACCGTCGATGTTAACAACAAGTACTAACCCGAAACAAGGAAGGAGACTTCAATAGCACGCGTCCCATACCGGTACCCTCCATGTAGTGCCAGTCCGCCGGAACCAATTGATCTGACATGCACATGATCTGACATGCACACCTCCCTTGTCGTCCTCCTCGCATGGCAGCTCTCATACGCAACTCCCCAGACGCCCCAAACAAGGTTACCCTACCATGCATCGGATGCGCCGAAACCAAGCAGTCCCCATTCCTCAACCCCGCACCCGCACCCCCATCAATCCAGACCCCACAACCGGTGCAACAACAACACTTTGACACTCAAACCACACTCTCTCATCCCACCTTCAGCACCACCCTCCATTCAAGCACCCCCAACCCACGCACCGGCCCCGCCGCCGCCATCACCAACACACTCTCACACGACCACCACCACCACCACACCGCCAGCACCGTCACCGCCTATCCCGCGCTTCTACCGCCTGGCCCCGCCTGCCGCTGCCGACTTGAAGATCATCTCATGGTAGGAGCCGCTGCGCTGTTTGCGGTACTCGCAGTACATGTCGTCATCCATGCCGGCGTCAGCGCCGCCGCCGGCAGCACCATCCGCCGCGTTGTGGGCGCCCAGACCCGCGTACTTGGAGACGTTGCGACCACCTTGGGGGTGGTGGTGGTAGAGGGGACAGAGAGGAGATGTGGAATGGCACATTACCGTTACCATGGTGTTAGGAGGATAGTGGCACACCGTCTAGGGAAACCTTCTCCATCACTCCCTCCCTGAGCCGCAACCATGAATCCCGCCACCGCCTTCCTCCCCCCGCCCGCCCGCCCGCCCAGCTGCCGGCACCCACCCGCAAAAGAGCCGTCGTTGAGCGCCCCTGAGCCGCCCCCGCCCCTGCGCCGCCGCCCGCCGCCCTCCACGTCCTCCGGCTCCTCCGAACGCGAGCGGATGCGGCCGCCTGCGGGGCAGGGTACGCGTGTGGAATGTACGGAAGACACATACATTCAGGCGACAGGTTGCAAAAACACTTGTCGCACAGACAGATAGGACCACACGTAAACGTTGTAGCATCAGGCTTCCTCCCAGGGGCCTGGAGCTGTAAGCTGCTAGCTTACAGCGACTTAGGTTGGTTTCGTCATGCCAGCTGCGCTCAACCAACACTGCACGTACTATGGTGACGATACGACTGACATGCCGTACGACAAACCGTACGACATGTCCTCACCACATGAGGACATGACTCACCCCGAATGGCCTCGTCCAGGTCTGCCCTGCTGAGGCCGGGTCGATAGTCTCGCAGGTCTGCGTAGAATCGCTCCAAGCGAGCCAGCAGGTAGGAGTCCTTCTCGGGGGGCGGGGGCAGGCCTGCGGGGTGGTGGGGGGAGAGGGAGACAGACAGGGTAAGGAGGCGGACAGGGAAAGAAGGCAGATAGGGTAAGGAGGCAGGCAGGGAAAGGAAGCAGGCAGGGTATAGAAGCAGACTGGGTAATGCAGGCAAAGATGGAAGCCGTGACCTTGAGGAAGGGAGAGGGCGGGCCTGGACAGCAGGCGGACTTCCTTTGCGGGGCGGGATGGGGTGGGGTGATGAGTTGGAGAGAGCGTGCGGGGTGACGTGACGGAGGCGTGGGGAAAGAAGAATATCCAGTGTGTGGTGTGATAGTGGTAAATTAGCTAACAAGCCCTGATGGAGGCGTGGGGCGGAGTGGGGCGGAGCAGGTAAGAGAAGCCGGCACGCAAGACCGACACAAAGAAGTAAAAACATTGACAAACCGCACCCCGCGACAGGCCCAACGCAACCCACCGGCTTTCTCAATATCCGCAGGGTCCAACGGCGTGTACGGCACCTCACAGCGGTTCTTCTCCTTCACCAGCTCCGGGATAAGGCCCGGCGGGAAATTGGTGGAGGGCGTGGGGATGCCCGCCAGGTCAGGGCCCGGCAGCGGTGCCACGGGCTTGGTGTTGCCCAGCGGTACGACGCCCACGGTGGCGGCGGCGGCGGCCGCCGCGGCCGCTGCTGCTGCCGCTAGCTCAGCTGCGATGTGCGCTGCCTTGGCTTGTAGCCCTGGAAGGACGAGGTACGGGAGGGAGGGATGGGTGCTAGTGCAGGTGCGACGTGGTACGGAGATGTGTGGTGTGTGTGCGCAGCTGAAGACATGCTCTTCTCATGAGTGCGGGTCCGATATCTCAGCGCGGTTCGTGTGACATCGACGGGGAACTGCAGGAAGGGAGCATGGCGGCTCCTACAGCGGCCATGTGTCGCAGTTGGCCGCAGGTTACGATACTGGTAGTACTGTAAGACAAGCCCCGCAGACAAGAGCCCAGGAACAACCACCTCCTTGCTCTCCTGCCTCACCTGCGGGTACCACAACGCCCGGTGCAGCACCAGGTGTAGTCGCAGCAGCAGTGGGCGTCATGACGCCCGGCATGGGCACAGGCATCGGCATAGGCGGTGGTTGCTGCGGGTGGTGCGGGTGCGGGTGGGGGTGCGGAGGCAGCATGCCGGGAGGCGGCGCGGCCCCGGGCATGCCGGGAGGCGCAACGGCGCCTGGGTACCAGGCCTGCAGGGGAGGACGCAGAGGGAGGGCAGGGGCCACGGGGAGGGAAGAGGAGAGGTGTTGGTTTGCGAGAAACGGTAGGGCTTTTGGCGCATGGCATGGAGACACTTGTGCGAATTCGTCGTGCTTAGCAGCCAACGGCCGCATGCGTCGTGTGGAACAAGCGCAGCTTCCCAAGACGCATCCTAATGTAGACGGGCACGAGTCAATGCACTGCTTCCCCAGCCCCACTCCTTAATCCCTTCATGCCTTGGCCATGTATGCACATGTACGATGTACCCCTCTCTCGCACCTGCTGCGGATGGTGCATGGCGGGCGCCCCCATCGGAGTGCCGTACGGCGGCAGCGGAGCCGCCCCAGCCGCATGCCCGTACGGCGGCGGTGGCCCCCATGGGCCCCCCGCATGATGCGGCACCACATGGGGGTGTGCGTGCGGGGGCATGGCGTGTGGGTTTGGTGGGGGTGCTCCGGGGGGCAGCGGGCCCCAACCGCTAGATGAGGATGACGAGGGAGGAGGTGCTGCTGCTGCTGCTGCTGCTGCGGAGGCGCCTTCACCCGGCCCTCCGGGCTGAGCCCAGGGCGTTTGTTGACCATGTGCGGGTAATGACGTTGAGGGCATGGGGTGTTGTTGCTGCTGCTGGGGTGCATGTTGCCAGGGCATCCCGGGCGGCTGAGGTTGCTGCTGAGGCTGCTGCTGCTGCTGGGGCTCCAGGCTGGGTGGCGGTGGCGGCAGCAGCGACACAGGGTCGTCCGTGTTGAAGGCCGCATCCTCGATCATGGACATGGTGTCCTGGCCGTACACCTGCAAATCATCGCCATCAGCAGCAGCAGCAGCAGCAGTCGGGATTGGTCATTGCACAGCTAGCGTGGACTAAGTATCCACATGCACAACACTAACCCATCCGCAGCCCCAACACAATAGCCGCAATCCCCTCCCTGGTACCATACGTAGTGAGCACACGCCTCTCCCACACAACCGGTGTATCTCAGACCCCTGTACACACTGCACAGGCGGTAACCGTTCCCTGTTCCGTGCCAGGACCTACGTGCTTCTCGCCCCAGAAGGCCAGGATCTTGCTGAGCCTCCCCCGCACGTCCTCGCCCCGCCCCGCCGTGTTGAAGGCCGCAGCCAGCATGGCGCCGATGACCGGCTGGAAGGCGGCGGAGATGGAGTCGCTGGAGCCGCCCAGACCCGCACGCTGGGCCAGCCTGGAGCAGGGGGGGGAGGGGAGAAGAGCCATGCAAGCAACGTCATGGTAGATGGAAAGAGGTCTGCCAATGGGGCTATTGCGGCAGTTGACCCGCCCAGCCCCGTGAACTGCACTACACTCATTAACCAGGCGTTGGGCCAGGTGCACAGATGCCAGCGCCGCACCTAACCCCTGCAGCCTTTCCTAGACCCCGTAGACGGCAGTAAGTCCCCGTCGGGCGCGCTAACCCATCCGGCCTAAGGTGCCTCACCCCTTGAACAGCACGTCATTCGCCAGATAGATCAGGTGCAGCTGCCGGTCTCGCTCGCCGCAGCTCACCGCACGCTGGGCCGCCAGGGCCGCCAGACCGCTCGCATGGCCGGCTGCAGCCTGGGACATGAACCAGGCAGCGGAGGACTTGATGGACTCCTGCGGGGGTGGGTGGGTGCGAATGGGAAGCGGATGAGGTATGAGAGGACGGAGGGTATGAGGTACGGTATCAGGTGCGAGGGGAGGGAAGGAAGAAAAGAAAGGGCATGTGCTGATACTGAACTAACAACAAACCAACAAAAGGCCACGAAAGGCTCTGGAGCATGGGTGTCATGGCCCATGACTTAGTGCAGTGAGCTGCGGTCTGGGTGTTTTTTGAACCTCCGCCCCTGCGCCCTTCCCATACGGTACCTTTGACGCTGTGAGGGCATCCAGGATGGAGTTGAAGCCCGCTGCCACGTCAGCAGGCAGCCCGAACGTGCACGCGGCCACTGGCTGTACGACGACAGGAGCAGCAGCAGCAGGTGGTGGTGCTGCTGCGGGCCCTTGGGGCGTTGGTGGTGGTGCCCCTGGAGCCTGCCCTGGTGTTACCAGGCTGCCAGGGTGCTGCTGCTGTTGGTATTGCATGTGGGTCGGTTGTTGCTGCAGTTGCGGCTGCGGCTGCAGGTCCGACGCCGGCATGGCTGCCGCGGGGGGTTGTTGCACTGTCGGCTGAGGAGGAGGGTGCACCGGGGCTTGTGGCGGCATCCCCGGGGCGGAACCTGGCGGCAATACATGCTGCTGCGCCGGGTGGGGAGTAGGGTAGCCCGGCGGTGGGGGATGGAGGCCGGGATGTGATGGATGTGGAGGCGCGCCGTACGGTGCCGAACCCGGCGGTGGTGCTAAGGGTGCGCCGTAGTGGGCAGTAGGGTAAGGGTAGGTGGGGGCATGAGGAGGAGGAGGATGGTGTTGTACGCCTGCGGGCGCTGGGTGGGATGGTGGCGGATGGTACGATGGCGGTGGGGCGACTTGCGCTGCGGCCGCTGCGTGAGGAGGATAGGCGCCCGCGGGTAGGGGTTGGTCGGGTGGAAGCTGGTATACGGTAGCGTATAGGAGCCACCGGAAGTAGTCATGGCCTTCTCCATTGGCTAGGAAGGCGAATTTGGAGTCGCCAGCCTGCTTCTGCCGCATCATCTCGATAAAGCTTGGACCGTTTGTGTTTGCATATTTCACCAGCAATTGGATACGCTCCGCTATCGCTGTGTCCGCGGGTGCTTGCGCAAACGCGGGCATGGGCTCCCATGGACTAAAGAATGCGGACTGACCGCCCGCAGCATTTCCGGACATCCTGGCTCAACAACTTTATCTGTGTGAATTGCGTCCTGCTAAGAAAAGCTCGTTACACGTGTTCCGTTGGCCGCCATCGATCGACCGTGGCCTTTATACCTTCGGTGCTACCTCTAGAGAGTATCAATATGCGCTCAGTCAGTTGTCTAAAGTTCACCCGGACAATTGTGAGCACGGCCGGATATGGTGGTAGCACAAGTTGCGCCTTGAATGTGCAAGCGTGCGACCCCGTCCCACGAATACCGGTACCCTGTCGTGTACATGTATGTTATGCCAGAAAACAATACGCTTTCATCCCAACCGTCCAGGGTTTCGGTTTGTAGCTAACAGATCGTACAACTGACAGGAGCCGACGCATCGGCTCCACAGCCCTACTGGGAAAGGGAAAGAGGGGGCCGTTCTGGGCGGAGGCGAACGCGAGTTAGGTCAGTCCCATGGACAGGCTGGTCCCCTCTGCTTAAACTTCAGCCACATGAGTACGTTCTTCGACCCCGGATCCGTGCAGCACAACATCTGTCATGTGGGGCCAGGCCTACAAGACCACACAAGACCCCTCGCTCTGCTCCTGCCTCGCTTACATGTTGAGAGATGTGTGGGACTCCCTGCTCTCCGGCCCGTTCCGTCTCCAGGACTCTTGTCCTTGGGACATCCTGACTGCTGCTGCTGCAGAGACACTGTACTGCACTGTACCTACCGTTACCAGCATGCGTTCAGGGCCGCAGCCGTACGCACCCTTACAACCTCAGGGGCAAAGACAGTAAGGGGCAAAGGAACTCCCCAAAGAGCACCCTCACGCCCATTCCCAAGCCTAACAACCGAGAGTCGGCGAGGACGGCGACGCATTGCTGAGTCCCCCCTAGTCCCGAGGGGCAGGGCTGCCCAGCAAAATATATCGGTAGGCCAGGGTCCTTGCCAAACATGCCTGGACCATGGACAACATGCTAAAGATGCACCTCGGCTGGTTTGAACACGGCGGCATGAAAGAGCGACGTCGCAGCAAGACCACCACCCCATGGTGCGGGACGCATGCGGGCTTCCTGCTGGCCCTTAAGACGTCAAGCCATGCAAGCGGAACACACAAGTCCTTGCTTGGCCTCACCACAATGCTTCATTCGTTTCTTTCCACTTACTTTCCGTACGTTTCCTATCCGTAATGAAACCTCTCGGAACCCTCTCTCTTTGTATCAGGCCTGTGCCGTTCTCACCGGACTACTTCTTCTCACACGCTTGCTCCTCATCCCGCGCACCTGCTGGCAACCACACCCCCCTCCACCGCCCTGTTGTGAGACTCCTTCACTCCTTCTCCTCCTCCTCCTTCCTCCTGCAGCAGGGAACTCCCTTACAAACACCACCCCAACCTCCCCTCCCATGTACTCCGCTTCCAGCTCTCCCCCCTTCCATCCAGCACGCTCTCCATTCACCGCCCTCCTCCCATTCCCGCAGCGATAAAAGGGAGCACCCCACCGGAATCAGTCAACAACATTGATCTCTGCGACGTTTGCAACGCCCAGAAGGGAGCTCCACAGAGCATCTAAAACAACAACAACGTGACTTTGTTGCAGCTGCGCACTTCTTCACTCCACCTCCAGATCCTCATCAGGCACATCCGGCAGCTCCTCTCCGGGATCCTCCTCACCGCCCCCGCCGCCCGCCCCACCCGCACCACCTCCCCCACCACCGCCTCCTCCGCCAGCCCCACCGGCCGCCCCCGCATCCATGTCGCCCTCCGAGATCTTGTCCACATCCAACGTCTGGGGTTTAGGGGGTAGGGGAATTCAGGGTTTCGGGGAAATCAGGCAGGGGAGGGAGCGAAGGCAGGGAGGGAAGCAAGCGGGTTGCAGGCGGTGGCGGGTAGTGGTGGCTGTGTGATGCAGGGTCAGGAGTCGCAAGGACTGTGGAGGGTTGATGCTGTAGACGAAGCTAGGAAGTGGGAACAGCAGCAGCACCACGGGGGCTGCCTCCTAGCCGACCTTTTACCTACCCTGAACCAAGATCACTGCCTCGCGCTCTCCTTCGGAGAGCGTTTCTGCTATCGGCACTCTCATGTACTGTTTCCCTCTAGGCCTCTCTTCACTTCTCATTTATTGTTTCCCTCTGGTAACCTCAGCCCCCCACCTTGCGCGCCTCCTTGATCAGGATCTGCATGTCCAGCAGCTCCCGGATGCGGGAGTACTTCTTGGGGTCCTGGGGTGGGGAGGTGTGAGGGCCGGCGCGGGGTTGCAGAGAGGTGGGTGGGGGGGGCATGGTAAAAGTATGCGAGAGTACTTCTTGGGGTCCTGGGGTGCGGGGTAAGCGGCAGCCAGGCGGGGTAAGCGGCGGGGTGGTTGTAAGGAAATGTGTGTGTTAAATTAACTGGCCGCGAGGCAAAACGTACTGTGATTACCGAAAGATGAAAGAGTGTGTAGTTGAGTAGAAAGATGAAAGAGTGTGTGTTAAGAAAACTGGCCGCGAGTAGAGTGTGTGTGTGGGGGGGAGGGGTTAGGCAGCTGCAACGGGCGAGCAGCGCACAGGGACAACATGGAACGGATTTGTGTGAAATATGCGGGATGCTGTGGGAATATGCGGTCAGCATGTGGGCCCATCATATCGCCCTGAACATGCTATTGAACGCGGGAAGGCGTGTCGACAAAGGCTGAGGTCGCACCTGTTGCGGTGTTTGCATGGTATATAGAAAGAAGTTTACGGTAACCCGCTTTTCCATTCCCTTCTCCATCCTCCGCGGCGTGAGCGCGTGACCACCAAGCACTTGACCCTTTGCTACCCCTGTTAACGCAATACCAGCCCAGCCCAGCCCCGGCTTGCTTCCCATAAACGCACCCACCTTGCGGACCAGGAAGAGGATGTCCTTCTCGTCCACCTGAAAGCAGCAGCAGGGGAAATGAGGGGGTGTGATCTGTTCACCGTGCTATGTGGGCTCCACATGCATGCCAAGCCGCCTGCCTCAAACGGTCATACCTACCCCCCCCCGCCGCAGCCCATAGCTGCGGTCGCTCCCAAGTCTCCCCCACTATCTCCCTGCCGCTTCATTCCCCCATTGTTTGCCCTCATTCGTGGCTTCCTATGGTTTTGGCCTATTTTGATCCCCCACTACATCCAACAACCCTGGATATAACCCTGCCAGGTCCTAGCTCCTAGCCCCCCCTTCAACTTCCAGGCTAACGTTTTCCTCTTTTCTACCCCCTCACCTTCAGCTTGGGCGCCCCCGAGTGCCTGTCCCGCTCCAGCTTGCCGATGCGGGCCGCCTCGTTGAGCGCCGAGCAGCAGGTCTCGCGAACATACTCCACCAGGATGTCCTGGCCGGGACAGGAGTTGGGGTTGGGGTTGGGGTTACGGTAAGAGAGGGGTTACATGAGAGCAAGGGCAGGGGGGCAAACACGGTAGGCAGGCTGCTCTGCCTTCCACCATCGGGTTCATCACTGACCCCAACGAGAGGAGGAGCCGCGCGTTGTGCATGGGGACTGCAAACCCCCCCTCCCCACCCAGGATGGGGTGGGACTCGGTGGGTTCGGCAGTTCCTCCTTACAGCCAACACTCCCCGGCCCGCCTGCCGTACCTCCACAACGTTGATGGTCTCCTGGATGGGGTTCTCGTAGTCTCCGAAGCCGTACATCAGCCGTGACACTGCATGCCGTACAACCATGCGGGCCCGGCAAGCCGCAGGGCCACCAGGGAAGTGGGGCGAGGTAAGGAGACCAGGGAGGGGAAAAACCAACAAAAAGTGAAGCTACGGAGCCCCGATCCCGAATTCGACTCATGCAGGGAGGGGAAGGGAGAGCAGGGCGGTGCCAGGTGGGAGGTTACATCGCCAGTCAACAGCAGTGAGGAGGAGGGTGGGGTGGGGCTGCATGTATAGATGGGGCTTGCAGCTGGTCGGCATGTAGGCAGCTCCGGGGCTGGAAGGACGTGCCGATTGCGAGGTGACAAGGTGCCGTTCCATGTCCAAGGACTATCCCTGTCCTCCTTTAGGCTCAAAAAGGATAAGAACCCCCTGTGCCTTTGCCCCCAGCTTGCACTCGTGAGGTCGTGACAGGAGCGGGTTTGCATCCAGACCATTCTTCACCCCTTCCCACACACATATACGACGGTCAGGATCAGTGTTTCCACGGCTCAGATCATCTATAATCCCACACACATGCTCGGACTCACAGTCCTTGGTAAACGTGCCCCGGTACGGCATACTCGTGTCAGGCGGCTCCTCAGCTCCCGAGTCACCACCTGCTTGACGAAGTGGCATGGCATGAACGGCGGTACGAGATAGAGTGAGTACGGCAGACAAGTGGTGGGCACATGCATGGTAGCAGGGGGCATGGAAGATGTCCGATCTTGTGTGCTAACTGCTAAGGCCTACATAGCTGCTCGGGCACCTCGGGTCCACCTCGCCCCGCAAGACCTTTCGCGTTGTAGTCCTCAGCCTTCAGCAGCATTTCGTGGAAAGGCGGAGGAGAGCATTTTGTGGAAACATGCGTGCCTACCTTGCGCATCGGTCGCCTGCTTGGTCTTTGCGGGGCGGCCCCGCTTCTTCACCACGCCCCCTCCTGCAGGGCCGAGGTTGGTCGAAGCAGCAGCCGTTGCGCCAGAGGCGCCTGCAGCTGCTGCATTGCTAGGACCCGAGCCACCAGGGGGGCCTGTTTTGGTGGGGCTAGGGTCCCCACCGCCCCTGCCGCCAGCTCCGCGCCCTGCACCTGCGGCCCTAGGGCCAGCTGCTCTTCGGCCACGGCCCTTGCTGGCGCTGCCAGGGGTGCTTACGCCAGCACCAGGGTCCATTATGGCTGCCTACAGAGGTGCTTCTAGCAGCCAACAAGGCTAGATTGTTATTCGAGATTGCTAGGGCTGCTCATGGCAGGGGCTAGGGAACACCGCTCATCAGCATGTAGTACAACGCGACTCTGCAAGAAGTGTGTTAGGTCACGGCTGTTGGTCGCAATTGATGCTTCAGAAAGCGCTGGGATGACTATTAGGAAGTAACAAGCTAGTTGCGTACAATAGCATTAGGTTATTCTCTCAACACAATATTGGCGATAACATAAAACATTTTGCCCCTGCAAGGGCTAGTGCAGTATGGGTGACAAATCTTCCTGTACGGCAGGTTAAAGACCGAGGCTCCGACAAGGGCATCCATAGAAGCCAACACTCCTGCCTCACATAGCAATTCACAGCTGCCTGTAAGGGACAACATGAAAGCCTTATATGCGTTAATAATTTGACTCATTGACTTCACAGCTGTCACCTCGTCTGTCGCTAATAGTTAGAGTCTTCGTCCTGGTCGCGAACTTACATTATGGCACCGAAGTAGCTTGTATTACGCGGCCTACGGTCGTGTTGTTGCGAAGTGCAAGGCAGCATGGGAGTCGGAGCCGATGGTTCCCAACAAGAATGCTGGCGCCAATTTGCAGGAGGGCTTGAGGTTCCGGTCACAAGATAGAGGGGAGTCCCAGCTTGTTTGCCATGCAACCGCGGTCGCTGTACACACGCGGCCGCGGTCGCCAGGGTTTTCCCCAGCAAAGTACGTGCGCCCAGATGAAAGCCGGAGCCCCCAACGTGACATCATGCCTCAGCGTGATGTTGTAGGCAGGTGAGCATCTTTACGGCCACGATTTTCCCCAATGCCAACTTAGTCCCCTAGAGTCCTACCTTCTTAGTACCCTAGAGTTCCTGCCTGCCCTTCCAGGACTGGGCCGCAGGGCCACCCTCAACCTTCAGCAGGCAGGGGTCCTCATTCCAACACCCAACATCTACAATTCCGGCCTCCTGCTAACTCAACAGCTCAGCCATCAGCAGTAGCACATCTGGCCGCCCCTTCGCGTCCCGGCGGCCATGCTCTGCCCTCCAGAACCTCTGGGCCCGGGCATTGGACCCAAGCCCCGGCCCCTTCCGCCCCTACTCAGCAGCAACACGCTGACTGGTACGACAGTGAAGCTGCTCGGATTTCGGCCACCGCCGCAGCCGTAGCCGGCATTACCTCCACCTCCAGACAGGTTCCTCCGCAGCAGACGCTAGCGATGCAGCAGCCAGCAGCTGCCGTGGGCAAAACCGCCGGTGGTAGCGCCAACAGTGGCAACACCAACAGCGGCGCAGCAGCAACCGGTGCCGCACTCTTGGCAGAGATCCTAGGTCCGCAGCCGCCGCGCATCACTGCTGCCCCTTCGCAACCTGCCCGTACCGCTGCTGCTGCTGCTGCTACAGCAGGGGCATACTCAGCCTCGGGCTCCTCCGCGCCAGCTCCCCCACCGTCCGCAGCCACAAGCCACTTGGGCCGCAGCAATGAACACCGAGGGGGAGCCCCTGTGTCCGCAGCATCAGGAGCAGGCGCCGCAGCACCAGGCTGGGGCGGTGGTCGCAGCCAAGCCCTGTCTCAGCCTCTGCTTGCCGAGGAAGGCGGTGCCAGGAGTCTAGCAGCACTGGGGCTGCTGGGAGGAGTGGGAGTGGGAGTAGGAGGAGGGGTGGAGGATCCGGAGGAGGAGGCGCGCAGGGCTCGCAGGCGGCACCGCAGGCGCGTGGCTCGGATCGTGGTGGATCACTGGAAGCACTTTGCGGGGGAGCGGTTGCGAGCGCTGGCGGCAAAGAGGTGAGAAAGGGAAAGGCGGGTGGGGTTTACGCCACATGGGTGGGAAGGCGTGAGGGGCAATGAAGGGGGCGCGAGGTGGGGGCGAACTGCACGTGCCATGTATGCCCACATACACAGGCTCCACCCCACCCCACCCTGCCCACTCAGGCACCACCATCGGCGGCTTCTGACGGCTGCGCTGGTGGCCTGGCAGGCGGAGGCGGCTGCAGCTCGAGCCCGCATGCGGCAGGCGGCCGTGTACGACCTGAAGCGGGCTTACCTGGGGCTGGGGCGCTGCCTGCAGGTGAGGGAAAAGGAGGGCGCAGGGAGGTGCAGGTGAGGACGTTTGTACCAGGAAGCGCAGTGAGGTGATGTGCGATGTGCATGGACTGTTTCAGGCTTGTTGCGCGGGGGTTGCACTGGCGAAGGGAAGGGGCGGGAGACTTGTTGCTTGGGGGCTTGCACTGTTCGTTTGTATATCGGGTTTGTTGGGGGAGGGTTTTTTTTTGGTATGCAAAGATGCTGGTGCTGCAGGGAGGAGGTCCTCTTGTTTTGTTGACAGGGCTTGGGTGTCCACCGGCGTGTTGCAGGCATGGCGAGACACGGTGAAGCGGCTGATGACGCTGCGCTTGCAGCAGGAGCGGTTCATGGTCGCAAGGTACGCGGGGCGCAGGACATCAGTTCGAAAAGGTAGTGGAGGGCAGCCTTGCTGCCTAACCCCTCAGCTCAATCAAGCCATAATCAATCAAGCATTGCCCTGCCTAACATTGCCCTACAATCCATGCGCAGGCTAACGCGCCAGACCCGTGCCTGCCTGCGCGCCTGGCGGGGCCGCTGCTACCATGCAGCTGAAAAGCGGAGGATGCAGCTGCAGGTAGGGCTGATGGGGGCAGTGGGATGGATGCGGTCCCTTGGGAAGCTTGCCCGCCTCAACAACCTTACCTTACCATGTGTGCTGCCAAGCACACATTTGCGCATGCATCCCATCTTTAGGATAAGCCGGTCTGTGTTGAAAGTGTCATCAACCTGCCTCAACGCACCCTTTCCGCCGGGCGGGCTTATCCGACGGTATAACCCGCAGGCATGGTACTATTTGTGCTTCTCAACACTCACGCGTGCCCTGCGCAAGTGGCATGCGTGGACGAAGATGCGCCGTGCCAAGGCGAGCCGCGCCGGCTGGGCAGACGCGATGCATGCGGCGGTACTGGGGCGCAAGACCTTCACCGCATGGAGGCGACGTCGGGCCTACCTGCAATGGAAGGAGGTTGCGATCACGACGGGTGCCGCCTTCAGGCGCCTGTGGGTCCTGCGCAGCGTGGTTCAGGGCTGGCGGACCGCTGTACGAGACTGTGCGATGATGCGCCGTGCGGGGTGTGTTGCGTTGGCGGCGGTGGCGGAGGGCTTGCAGACGCAGCAGGCGGCTGCGGCGTTTCGCGAATGGCAGGTGGGCAACGGGTGATCAACATCTTCCTGGGCTTTGCTGGTTACCTTGACTTCGGCGTCTAGGCTCTTCAGGAGCCTTGGTTTTGAGAACCTTGTAGCTAAGCGGGGGTTGCTGCTTTGCCACCCTGGCGAAACGCGCAGGCCCACGCCGCCGGTAAGCGCCGGCGCCGTCAGCGTGAGCGTTACGCGCTGGCCTACATGCGGCGCTGGCGGCAGCTGGTGGTCATGTGGGCCCTGCGGCAGCAGGCGGCACGGCAGCGGCACCTCAGGCGCTGCGAGCAGGCGCTGCAGCCAGGTGCGTACTCCATGCCTTGACCTCTATCTTCATCGGATTACTATGCCTATCTTCATGCCCGAGTTACTATCACCGCAACCCTATCGCAACGCGGTTCATTTTCATTCCCCGGAGACGTGCATGCACGCATATGCCTTTTTCTCTTCTGCCCTTGCCTCACAATGCACGCGCCTCTTGCCGCAACAATATATGGCACTGAATACGCGCGCACTTGAACGTTACGTCCCATGGGTCACCCGCAGTGGGTCGGCGGCTGCGACTGGCGCTGTGGTGGGGCCGCTGGTGGTGCGGAGTGGCAGTACTGCAGGGGCAACGTACGGCAGAGCTGAGAGCTGCCGTACAGCTGCGCGCTTGCTGGGCTACATGGCGTGCGACAGTGGAGGCGGCGGCTACAAAGCGGGAGTTGCTGCAGGCAAGGGAGAGGGCTAAGGAAGGGCAGGAGATGGCTGAGGTGGCTGCGAAGCCCAGAATGAGAAAACATGTGTCTTGGAGTCGTGACCCATGGGTCGTTGAAGATGACCGTCGTGGTCGGAGCGAATAGAACCGCCGAGAAGCTGTTATAACCCCCGGACCTTCTACCAAAACCCCTCAAGCCCCGAAGCCCGCACCTCCCGCCTCCCTTCCCATGTCTTTCCCACCCATGTTTTCCCAACCCACAGCTAGCGACCAAGCGCGTACAACGCATCCGCGCGGCTGCAGCCCTGAACTCTTGGCGGTCCCGCACCGCCCACTGGCGCGCCAAGGCGGCTGCATGGAGCACCGCAGCGGCCTGGCGCCGGCGGCGGCTGCTGGGGCGGCTGCTGGCGGGCTGGCGGAGTGAAGCGGCGCGGCGGGTGGCCAAGGCAGTGGCGGTGGAGGCGGCGGAGGTGCACCGGCGGCGCGTGGTGCTGTGTCGGGCGGTCCGGCTGTGGAAGCGCTACGCCTGGTAAGTGGCAATGAACGTGGTGTTTACATTTCTACGAGACCCACTGTCTTCTCGCTCACCTCGTTGTTCTTTTCTTCACCCTACCCAGGCGCCGGCACATGAAGGTATACGCCTCGCAGCGCCACCTAACTCGCATGGCGGCAGCAGCGCTGGGCGGCTGGCTGCGACACACGCGGTACAAGGCGAGGAAGGAGCTTAACAGGCGCCGAGCTGTACGACATAGGTGAGTAGGGGTTGGTGAGTATGATGCCGTACTCGTACCCGTATTCGTGTTCATACCCATGACCTGTGACGGTGTCCTGGGCAGCACTTGGGCATCCGCACCCTCTTCCAAGAGCTCTTTTAGATCTTTGCGTCCAAAAAAGACGTTCCCCACAGCCCCGTCCTCGGTAAAAAGCTTGGTTGCCCTCTTCCGCCCAACCCGGATGCACTGCCCCCCCCGCCTCAGGTACCTCATGCTGCTGCATTCCGGCCTGGCGGCATTCCGGCGAGCCGTGGAGCGACGGAGAGCCAAACAGGTGGGCAGCAGGGCTGCTTTGGTGTCTCGTAGTAGAGCCTTTTCGCGGCGGACGCGGACAAGGTACACGTGTGCTGCTCCTCTCTAGGGTTAATCAACCAGCTACGCTCTTGTCACTCACCAACTCCTGCTGCCGTCACGAACCTCCATTTGCTGTGCCACCCCCCCCCCTTCTTATTATAAAAGCTGATGATGAACTTCCCCTTCACCGCTCCCATCCCTCCTACTGCAAACAGGCCGACTGGGCCGATCTGGTCCGCCTTCACTCTCTTCACGTGGCTCGTGCGGTGCTGGCAGCCTGGTCTCGTCGCTTCGTGCCGGCAGCACTCGCCAAGCGGGCAGTAGGCCGGCAGGCGGACTTGCACCGGGCGCGAGGGCTGATGCGACGAGCGCTGGCGGGCTGGGGGCAGCAGGCGGCAAGGTGCGGTTGGGGGGGATGTCCCAGATGTGCGGATTGCGGTGTGCGGCGCATTAGCTGGTGTACCGTAGTACCGGTAACGCAACCTCTCCTGGCAACCAACCTTGCCACCACCTCTTCGTGAATAACTTCCTGGCCCAGCAGGCTAGCCGCCAAGCACGCACGAGAGCGCCAGGCAAGCGGGCACGCCGCCCTGCGGCTCCTGCGGCGCGCAATGGTCGCATGGGCTGATGCGCCTGCGCTGCAAACAGAGCGACGGGAAGCCAAGGCGGCGCGGCTGGAGGCAGCGGCGGCGGCGCTGGCGGCTGCTGCTGCGAGGCGGCTGCTGGCGGCTTGGCGGGAGGTGCATGGAGACCTGGTCATGAAGCGATTCCAGGTGGGTGAACAATTGGACCTCCCGGTTACCGTAGTTTAAAGGGCTGCGGATGACACCCAGGCCCTATCCGCTCGAGGTTGTATGCCATGTGCGTGTGTGTCGTACATGGGCGAGGCGAAGGGCTACAGGCCGATCTATCGCCATCGATGGGCGCATTCGTATTGCATCCTGGCTTCCCGCTTTCTGAGGCGCACTGCACCATATACACACATGCGCCCACCTGCCGTATCCATGCACATGCAGAACACCCGCGCCCACGAGGTCTGGCGAGTCCGCACCCTGCGTCACTCGCTCACCAACTGGGCCCTGTACCTGGCGCACCGCCGAACGCGTCGCATGAGCGACGCCCGCGCACGCGCCGCCTGGCGGCTGCACGTGTGGCGGGGGGTGTTGGCGGCGCTGGCAGCGGCGGCGGCGGCGCGGCGAGTGAAGCGACGGCTGCTGGCGGCCGCGGAGGAGCATCGACGGAACGGACTGCTGAGGCGGGGGCTGGCGGCATTGGCGTGAGTTGGAGCCGCACGCCCGGGGTCCTCTAGAAGAAGGTTCCAGAGATTGCAGACTCAGCGGGACGTAGGAGCTAGACTGGAGCATGGGGATTCCTTGCACCGGTGTCCACTGCGCCCTGGTTTCGAACTGTTTAAGCACACCGGACACTGTGGCTCCTGCAGGTGGTATGGGAGGTATCGCGCGGCCAAGGCGCACGGCTACGCAGCCGCACGTGCGCAGTTCACGCGGCGGCTGCAGCGGGAGGGTGCAGTGGCCTGGTTGGAGGCGGGGCTCGCGCGGCGGCAGCGGAGGATTGAGGGTTTGGCAGCGGCGCAGGTGCGTGGCCAGGGCTTTGATGCCAACAAATCATGTTGCTGTCGGGTTCGGCAGAACAGGAGAGAGGGATTCGAGGGAATACGGCAATACGGCATTGTACCTAATAACAGACGCAGTATACACAATAAGCAAGATCTGGCCCTCTTAGGTCTCAGATGGTTTCCTCCTCATATCGCAGTGCTCCTCATGGCTCATGCGCCGTGCACCCCCCCCCCCCTGCTCACATGGGCTGGCTCACATGTTGCAACCCATGTTGACGCCTTATCCCTCAGTCAGTTAGTTGTTTCCTCTTTACCCCCCCCCCCTCACCCGCAGGCGCACAGCTTAGCCCGGCAGCTAGCCCTGGTGCAGCCTTACGCGCGGCGCTGGCTGCATGCCGTGCGGTGCCGTCGCAGGCAACGGCTGCTGGCTCTGGCAGGTGGAACGTCGGCGCCAACCTTTGGTAGCCACTTCACCGCTGCGGCCGCCGCCACCGTTGCCACTGCTGGGGGGTTCAGCGGCTATCCCTTGCCAGCGCTTGCGGCGGGGGCAGCTCCTTGGCAGCTTTCCGGCTTGAGTGTGGGGCTGTCCTCTGCGACAGCGACAACAACAGCAGCGGCGGCGGCGGCGGGTGGAGGACCGGTTGCAAAGGGTGTCGCAAGCGCCGGCGTCAACGTCGCCGCCACGACGGCCGCGGCGGCGGTGATGACGAAGCAGCCGATGATCGTCCGCCGGCCGCCGCCACGCACGCCCCCAGCACTGCACACCCATGCACCTTTACTTGCACCCCAGCAGCAACACCACCACCACCAACAACAACAACAGCACGTTCTGCACAACAACAAATACAACAACTACTTTCAACCTGAAATCCAGCATCAAGGGCGACAACAACAGCAGCAGCCGCAAGGGTTACAGCAACCAGCAGCGGTAGGAGAAGCGGGGACCGCCGCAACGGGGGCTGCGGCGGTTGCGGCAGCACCTGCTGCCACCAGGGGTGTCCATAACTCCGGTGCATGGGCCTGTCATGGTGGTGAAGGTGTTGTCAGCGAGAGGGCAGGAATGAGCACCAGCCACGGGCTGCCCCAACGCGCCCGGCCGCAGCCTCGCTGCCCCGATTTCTTGCTCCGCCGGCCTGCTACAGTTGACAGCGCCGGCCCCGGCATCGCGCCTTGTGCCGCAGCTAATGTACGGCAGGACCTCCGTACGGTGGATGATGGGCAACTCGGGTACAACGCGGCGAGCAGCGGTTGGATTTCTGCGGCGGGAGGCGGCGGCGGAGCGACTGTGGCTTCGGAGGTATCGCTCGCCGGGTACAGTAACGCCTACAGCGGCGCCGAAAGCAGCATGCCGCCTAGCCGAGCAACGGCTACGGGGGTGAGAGCGGCGACAGTTGCTTCACCGTCTGCCGGCATCACCATTCACCGATCTGGGCCGCTCCCGCCCGATGTGCTGCGGCTGCCTACACGGGATGGCAGCAGCAGTGATGCTTCAGGCATCACGGGTGTTGCCTTTTCAGGCTACGAAGGCTATCTAGCTGGTGACGCCGCCACAAGCGGCGCTTTCCAGGTGGACAGTGATTACGGCGCCGGTGGCCACAACATTACAGGGGCTGCTACTGCTGCTGGGGTCAACGTTGACCTGAACGTTTCCATGGCGGCCATGCAGACCCATGGGTCATATCACCCTCATCAAGCTCCGCAAGGCCTGCCACAGCAGCCAGTTTTCATTCCCAGGCCCATGATGCAGCAGCAGCAGCATGTAAACGCCATAGCCGCAACCCATCCCGCCATGCACCACGCGGGTGTGATGGCTGCAGCTGGCGGTTCCGGTGCCAGCGGCCCAGAAGTTGCTGCACCAGTAGTAAGCAGCAGCGTTCCTGGCTACGTGATGCAGGCCGCTGCTCCTCCCATGCTGTCGGGGTCGCAAAGCATGATGCGGGGGGTACTTCCGCAACACGCACAAAGGGGGGCTGTACATCCTCCATCGCAGCCGCAGCTGCACCCACAACAGTTACCGTCACAGCGAGGCGGTGCGGCTACATTGCCCGAGCCGCCACAGTCTCAACTGCCTTACAACAGCGAGGAGTTGGCGGAACTGGAATCTCTGTTGTCGTACTGCAAATCCCTGAAGGATCTCCTGAACCAGCTAGAAAGTGGAGGCGGTGGCGGCATGACAGGACTGGGGGCGGGGGCCGAGGCAGCAGGGTTGGAAGGAAGGCGTCCTGGTGGGGTTGCAGGGGGGCAAGGAAATGCGGGTAGTCGGGAGGAGGAAGAGCAGCGGCAGCGGCAGGCGGCGGAGGTACGTGCGACGCTTAATGCGATGAGGCCAGCGGTTGAGGTGGCAGCATCAATGTTGAGGCAGATCCGGGGTCTAGGTTGATGCTGGTGAAGTCCGGTGACAACGCGTTGTCAATGCTTTTGCAAATCTTTCTGTTGGCAGCCCGTGATGAGGGGGCTATCTGGCGGGGTATTCCCGTCTGCTGGTTTCGTCGCGTCTAGGTTTCGTTGCTGTACGAAGCATGGGAGGGTGCACAGGTTAGTAACGTGGGAGTGCAGCTCAGTGCAGATGTGTGGGAGAGGTGAGGGGTCAGGACCTCAGGAGGCAACCCTTCTGTGGACATGTCGCCATTGCGGCCAACCATCCTGCCGTCCTGACGTTTGCCGAACTGACACAAGGCATGTAAATTGGAGGTTGACAATCTCCCTACGTTCATGTGCGCAGCGGCCAAGGGCACGAACCGGCCGGTCCCAAGCCGCGTGTGACCCTGCATGTTGCTGTGCCGACGGCTGCAAGAGTACGGCACTCTATGGCCCGTGACACGGGCCAACAGCACGGGTTTACTTAGGTATCCTATTACTTAACTACCTTACGGTGAAAAAGCCCCCTCGTGATTGCGCTCTCCTAAAGGTCGGTTCCATCGCCTCTGTTTCTGAACTTCAGCCTCACTGGGCGACTTGAATCTACATAACAAAGTACATTACCGATACCAACATACTCACATTGGTTGCTTTACATCGCAAATCCACCGCACTCCGGCCCAGCTTGCTTTAGTCAGAACCCACCTAACATCGTTTCATCGACATCGGACATCATCTAACAAAAGAGTAAATTTTTTTGAAGTTGTTTAGGTTTCAAAACTTCCTGTCGACGTGCCGGCTGCCAGTGCGCCGACTAACGCATCATGGAGGCTCCGGACGAAGCTGTGCTAAAGCACTTGCCAGCCTTGCACGTTGCGTGCATGCAAGGCGACAGCCGCCAGGCTTTAGAGGCGCTCGAAAAAGTCAGGTCTGCTGCGGAAGCTGCAAGGGGTGTCTCATGCCCATCTAGCGATGCCGCCGACGCGGCAGAGGTAGACAGCAGCCGTGCGCGGCTAGTGATCTCATCAGCTCTGCAAGTAGCGGATCCATCCGGTGTCACGCCATTGCTGCACGCCGGTGGGTCGTCGCAACCATTGCCATTCTCTCGCCTTCCATCCCCACACTTGAGCCTCTCCACGGGCTTCAGCACCCAGGCCCGGTCCTAAATCTGTCCAAACACTCTACCACTCAACTCCGCAACCCCTACTTCCCTCCTTCTTCCAACCCTCCCTGCTACGACACACCCTACAGTCCAGCAACGTCTAGCCTCCGTCGTCGCCGCTCTCCTGGCGGCTGGCGCGCACCCCTCACTGCCTCATCTCACTCCCTCGCTCAACAGCGCACTTCACGTGGCCGCACTCAAGGGAGATCTCCCATCTGTACGACACCTCCTGTCGTACATCATTTCAAACCCAGCGTCGCCAACATCCTCAGCGCCGGCGCCATCGCTGACGCCTCAGCCTGCAGCTGCGTCCACTCCAGCGACGGAAACGTTCGATTCTGCCGTTGTGCCGGCACAAGGTGCAAGTGCAAGTGCGGCCTTTAGTAATGTGTCTCCGGTGGACTTGCTGTCAGCCAACGGCTCCACACCGCTGCTGTATGCCTGCGGCCTGGGGCACCTGGGTGTGGCAGCGGTCTTGCTCAAGGTTGGTTGGTTGGTTGGTTGGTTGGTTGGGCTGTTAGTTGGTTGGGCTGGGCGCGGAGGAGTCGGAAGCGGGGCACGGCTGCTGACAGTGAGCAAATGAAACATATACAATGCGGAATGCATGCATGGCTTCTAATAAATCGCACAAACCTTGAGGATGTGTTATGGGTGTCAGAACCGGCAACCCTATCAGTACCAACCCTATTAGTTTGTCGGTGTCCTCCTCCCCTTGGGCGTGTTCCCTCTGCAGGCGGGTGCGGACCCGGCTCGTGCCAATGACGACGACGTAACGCCCCTCATGGCGGCGGCCAGTGGCGGCCACCAACACGTGCTGCAGCTGCTGCTGAGGACGCTTCAGGTGAAGAGGGCGTTTTGGGATGCGAGCTTGTGCTGGGTTGGGTTGTGAGCCATGACCTCGTGACTTGGGCTCCATATATGTCAACTGGCATGTTGAACCGTCCTTGTTGTTTTGTGATTACCTCGCGTTCGCTCTCATGCTTTGCCTGCCATCCCTGCCATCATCCTCGATGTCTTCCGCATGGCGCAGGACCGTACCGGTGCTGCTGCTGCTGCTGCCGATAACCTCGGAAGCAACACCGTCCTTGCTGCAATTGCCGCCGCTGACGCCAACGGCAGCACCGCGCCTCACTACGCTGCCCGACGGGGCAGTAGCAGCTGTCTGGGTCTGCTACTGGAGGCCGTAGCAGCGGCAGAAGCACCCCCTGTTGCTACTGCGGAGGAGAAAGCAGCCGCTGGGGTGGCGGGAGCTGTAGCGGCCGTATCTGAGTCTCTGCTGCAACAGCTGTTGCGTCGCCGGAATACAGGCGGTCGCGACGTGCTTGCAGAGGCACGACTGTCAGGGAACGCACCAACCGTGCAGGTGAGGAAGCAGAAAACGCGCTGTAAGTTCTTACCTACAGAAGACCAGTTGTTACGTGCTCCGTGACTTTGCATCAGTCCAACTGCAACCTCATTCAACCCCCTTTGCCATCCCTCGTTGGTTTTGCTCAAATACAGCTCGTCCAACAACAACTGGTCATTATGGACCTCGCGAGGGGCTTAACGGGAAGTCAAGCCAGCAAGACTGCCAAGAGCAACAGCAATGCGGGCGCCAGCAGCAGCAGCAGCGGCAGCAACAGCAGCTCCCCTGCTGCTCCCGCTGCCGGAGGCGGCGGCGGTATGTCCGCAGCTGCTGGCGGCAGCGTCAAGGCCCCAAGTAGCGGCGGCAAAGGCGGCAGCAAGAGCACGGACAAGGGGGGCAGCTCGAAGCTTCTTGGCAATGGAGGCGTTGTCGGCGCCAAGGCGGAAGCAAGGGCCACCCCAAAGGAAGCAAGGGCCGAGGAGGGTGAGAAGGCAGGCAAGGTTGCGTGTGCTGAGGAGGCCTCAGGAGGCTTGGGTGAGGAGGCGGGGGCCTCGGGTCCACCCGTGTCAAGGAGCGGGGAGGCTGGGCAGCAGCAGCAGCAGCAGCCACCCAACAGTGCCGAAAGCAGCGCCAGCAGGAGTGATGCCAGTGGGGCACCAGGCAGCAGTGGAGGCGGGGATGGCGGCAGCGAGGAGGGCAGTGGAGGAGCGAATGAGGCGGCGGGAGGAGCGGCAGCGCTGTTGCCGGAGGCGGCACGGGTGCCTGCTACCGGTACCGGCACCTCGACCTCCAGTCGAACACCAGCCGGGCAGCAACAGAAGCCCAAACAGCAGCAGCAGCAACAACATCAAAAGGAACAACAGCCCCGTCAGCAGCAGCCGGAGCAAAAGCTGGAGCGACAGCAGCAGCAACCGGCTACAGGGCCCCAGCAGCAGCCATCCAACTCCAACGCGAGTGGTTGGAGGGCCGCAGTGCTGCGCGCCACGCCCCCTTCATCCCACCCATCATCAAGCGCCCCATCAGCCACCACCACCACCACCACTACCAAACAGCAGCACAGCAACGCCAGTCGCCAACCCAAGGCTGATGCCGCCAGCCCGGCAGCTGCTGCAGCAGTGCCCCCAGCAACAACAGCAGCAGCACCTGCTGTTGCTGCTACTGCAGCTAAACCGGGTGCAAGCGGTGCTGGCAAGGCAGCCGCAGGGACGGCTGCTGCTGCTGGAGCAGGAGGGAAGTTCCCATTAGCAGCAGCAAGAGCAGCAGCAGCTACTAAAGGAGCGCCGTCGGTTGGAGTATCAGCGGCGGCAGCATCAGCGGTGGCAGCGCCTGCTACGGGCTCTGCCTCTTCGGTGCCTTCTGATGCAGCTGCAAACACAGCTGTGGCAGAGGCTGCAGCAGTGATGGGTGATGCGGGAAAGCAGGTCAAGAGTGCAGCGGCGGGTGCTCCAGCAACCGTGGCGGCGGATGCAGTGGTGGCTGCTGCAGCAGCGCCGTGGGAAGCTGAGGCTCTGGCACTGATGCAGGTCCGTTGGATTTTAATATCTAATATAGATATCTAGTTGATGTTATAATGCTGCGCGCCTTCTTGGGAGGTGGACGGGCTGTCTTCCGTCTTTGCAACGGTGGTCAGTGCTTTACTTATGAAGTCAAGCACCCACGCTTGCCGTTGCATACCAACATTACCCTGTATTAAACCCTTCCCAAGCACCCCCTCTTACATGGCCCCTGCCCAATCTGTAACGCCCACCTGCCCTATCTCTGACCCCTCGGCCCCTGCCCTATCTCTGACCCCTCGGCCCCTGCCCTATCTCTGACCCCTCGGCCCCTGCCCTATCTCTGCCCCGCCCCCCCCCCCTGCAGGCCTCCCTGCCCGGCGGCGGCGGCCTGGAGCTGCTGCCCTGCCACCTGTGCGGGTTGGGGCTGGGTGAGCTGAGTGCAGCGCAGCTGGAGGGACTGGAGGGGCTGCACCGGGCTGCACTGGCGCGGGTGAGCGGGGAAGGGAGGGGGCTGCAGAGGGGCTGCAGAGGAGTGCCGTTGAGGGAGCGAAGAGTGTCAAAAGGTGCACAAGGGGATAAGTAGAGTCAGGGGGTGTAGGAGAGTAAGCGTGAGAGGGCAGAAGGGTTCTTGCTTCTCCTGATTGAAACGGGTGGACCTACGTGGCCATTCCCTGCTCATTCAATGAGCATCATTTTATGGTGCGGCTCCTCTGCAGATTGCCGAGGCGCGGTTGGCGCTGGCGGTGGGAGTGGAGGTGGCTCGAGCGGAGGAGGAGCGGCGGAGGCAGGCGGAGATCCTGGCGATTCGTCGTACTTAACAAAGCAGTGCAAGCGTGCTACATGCTTTTTGTCATCACATGAGATGAGCTACAAGCCGGTCGTCCCCCTATGTGGTCTGGTATGGCCTTTGATCCCCATACATGACACTAGCAAGCAAGCCATTTGCATGAACGCGCAAGGCGATATTCTGTGTCTGTCCACGGCTCTAAGCACGCTTGGATGTCACTAGCAGTTGTTCAGTTGGTGGGCTTGCATGCAAGAGGAGGAAAGAAATGATGGAGGCGCGAGAAGCGGTTGGGCAGGGGTTGGTGGCACTCCGCTGCAAGTCAGCTGGGGCCGATGCGGGCGGCTTTGAATGCGGTTACCATCCCTGCGCGTCGGCCCGACGCCGAAGGTCCATGAGTAGCAGCGGCTTTACTGCTGTCAAGGGATACGCGCGTTCCTCACCCGTGTTCCCTTTTTTGGGAACCATTGTAACGGCCTTTCATACGCGCGAGCACGATTGGCTGCAAGGCGTACCGGTGGCTGCCTTGTGCACCGATCGACCCCGTTTGATTACACGGGCAATGCCGTTAAGCGAGTAGAGTGGAATGAGGGCAGCGCATAGCCTTGCTGACTTGGACAACCGCAAGGGTGTCGGAGGCAGGATGTTGCATTATGACTCACGAGTTGGGACCATACATTGGCAAGACCAGGACTCTCCTTGTGACGTCGGGTATTGCTGATTGTTCCTTAACGTTCCATAGAAATTACTTGAATATCGCTTATTACAGTAGCTACGTGCAATAGAAAGCCAACGACTCACACAACCCAAGTGTCCAGCACTCATAATTTAACGTCCTAGCAGCGCACACGTACTAGAAGCTATCTGGCCTTTTTACCTTTCAGTAGCAGTAGGATGCAGCGTCAAGACGAGGTGCTAGCAGGCCAAAACAGCAGGTGCACGACCACGACGTCCTCCCAAGCAACTGCAAGCGCGATCCTCGCCACCGGTAGTGGTCCACGCGATACGAGCAGCTGCAACAACAACAACAGCAACACCAGCAGCCATAGCCCCAGTCCGCTGCAGCCTGCTGTACTAGCCCTGCTGGATACCCATACCGCTCGCCAACAGCACGGAGACGAGCTTGCTGCTGCAGGCACGAGGGTGCTCCAGAACGACGCCCAAGACAACGCCTCGCGCGTTTGGATTCCCGGCATCATCCAACGCATCGCGGGCTTCCTGTCACCCAACGAAGTAGCCTGCAGCCTCAGGCGGGTGGACAAGGCTGCGGCTTCGGAGCTCCCCGGGCCACGACACACCACAGTCCGGCTGTCGCAGCCGGTTCCAACCCGCGCCTTCGCTGAGCACTGGAGCGCACCGGGTGTCACGCGGGGGCTCAACCTGCGTCAGCGACTGCAGCTGCTGTGCCTGACGGCAGGCAGCGGCAGTGTTGCTAACCTGGCGGTAGCAGTGGCAAACGCAGGCATTGTTCCCGTGGGTTCAGATAACGTCAGCTGTCAAACAGAGGTGGTGGCTGCGGCTGCCGCTGAGGGCCACCTGCATGCATGTGAGTGGCTGCAGCAGCAGGGCTGGCCGGTAGCAGAGCATGCCCTCATCGCGGCGGCAGAGGGGGGGCACCTGCGGATCTGCGAATGGCTCCTGACACGTCAGCTCTGCGCCTTGACTGAAGAAGCGATGTATGCGGCCCTCCGTGGCGGCCATGCGCAGCTGTTGGGTTGGATGCTGCAGCGACCGGAGCGCTCCCCTGCACTCAAGCTCACCCCGGAAGACGCCCTGGATGCAGCCGTGTACGGCTGCGAGCTGGGGGCGCTCCAGCAAGTGCAATCGGAGCTGATCCGAGCCGATGTGTTACTAGACACCGGGGCGCAGCTCAGGCCGGAGGATGGAGATGGGGATGGGAATGGGGCTGCTGCTGAGGAGGGCGGGCCGTACTGGGCTCTGGGTGCGGATTCGGGGACGGTTGCTCTGGACATCCTGGCCAGTGCAGCAGCCAGCCCGACGCCCGATTGGCAGGTCAAGATGGAATGGCTGACAGGCAAACAGGGCTTCCCCAAGCATGCAGCTGCGTTTGCCTGTGCGGCTTGGCGGCCGGATGCGGCTGCACGCTTTGCATGGCTGCAGCAGCGGGGCTACCGGCTTCGCAAGGATGCTCAGTCGGGGTCGGGCTCGGACCTAGACGATGATGAGGATGGGGATAATGATGAGGCCGCTGGCGAGCAGGAAGCACGCGCAGAATGGGCGATGCACACAGCCGTAGATGCAGGCAACACGGCTGCTGTGGAGTTCCTGCTGGGCCGGGGGTGCGAGGTGGCGCCCTCGGCAGCTGTCTCGGCAGCGGTGAATGGACACCTGGGGTTGGTGCAGTTGCTGCATGCGCGCGGCTGCTTAATTATTGAGGCGGGCAGTGTGCACCTCAAACACATGCTGCGGGCAGCCGTGCAGGGCGGGCAGGTTCAGCTGGTGGAATGGCTGGTGCAGGTGGCGGGGCCGGATGTGCTGGTGGGCCCTGCAGCAGCAGCTGATGGCCTGCTTGAGGCAGCAGCCGACTCAGGCAGCGTGTCGCTGCTGGGCATGATGGTGCAGCAGGGGACGGGGGCGGGTGCGGGTGCGGGGGCGGGGGCGGCTCAGCTGAGTGGCGACGTGTTCCTGCGTGCTGCCATGTCGGGCTGCGAGGAGGCGGTGGAGTGGCTGGCGGAGCGAGGCTGCCCCATGTCGGTGAGTGAGTGTGGGGGTTGGATAGGTCGTTGTGGTTCCGGTGTGTGAGGCCAGTGTACGACAGTACGGCGGTGTAGCGAACTGGCTGCCGTACACGGGTCGTTGGCAGTTGTTGCACGTGAAGAGCTGGTTGAGGTTGTCGGCGTGTCGCCAGAATACACTAAGGCTGGGATTAGGGGAGGTGAAGAAGCAACCGCTTGCCTGGAGTGTACGGCATGGTGCGTGTCATGTCCGTGCATGCACGTTAGCCCTAATAATACCCGTGACTCATCAACTACCGTCAACGCCGTACAACGACTCGTACGCATCGTTTTCCTACACGCAGGTGCCCTCGCGGCAACCCGAGGAACCGGTGATTGGCAACGCTTATGAGAGAGCGGGCCGGCAGGGGGACATGGCCATGCTGCGTTGCCTGCGGCGGCTGGGTTGCCCCTGGCAGGGGCCGGACACCTTCACAGCATGCATCAACTCCGGCTGCCCCCTGTCGGTGCTGGCCTGGCTGCTGGAGGAGGGGTGTCCGGTGGACTGGGAGGCGGCGGTGGCGGACCTTACTGTACAACAGCGGGAGGGGGAGGTGGCAGCGTGGTTGCTGCAGCAGAGGGAACGGGCGGTTGCTGTGAGGCGGCGGGTAGTGAAGGGCTTTGAAGGGTAGCGGGTGTTGTATGGAGGGTGGAATGGAGGGTGAAAAAAAGAAATTCCAAAGTGTGAATGGAGGGTGATGGAGGGGGCTGCAAGGGCACAGGTGGGGGCAGCAGGGCTGTGTGCGGCATGTGGAGTTGGCGCCAAACGGGTTCAAGAGGGTATGTGCATTGACACGCGTTGCTTTTTGTTCTCCTGTGGCTTACTTTTTTCTTCTGCCGGTGTAAATGTCGTCCACACCGGGCGTAGAAACCTCGTTTTCTTTGGGTGCTGTGGGTTTGCCACGCAACGTTCCTAGTGCGCTGTGGCCCCCCCCCATACCGCCTCATTACCTCTGCAAGCAGTTTCTGCATACAGTGAGGACTACCTTGCTGGTTGGCGCCTATTCTCCCCCAACTATGCTTCATGGGCGGCTATGCTGTTGAAGTGCTGCTGCGATTGGTAAAATATCCATGCGCTCTTCATGGCTTACCACAGCATACGCATTAATGGTTATCTGGAACCACTGTAACGGTTATTCATTCATCTGAGCAGGGCTGAGCAGCCGCGCAGGCACAGGTCGTTCGCGACCGTTGCCATCCAACTTTAGGAAGTGACAGCAATATGCTGACCGAGCGAGGATCCCATAGGCGTTATAACCATCTCTGAAGCAAAAGCACGCTGACACGAAGTCCGCATCCGACGCCCTTCAGAAATGGTACGAGCAGGACGAGCAGGGCGGGCAGAAGCTACCAGCTTTCAAGGTTGTTATTACTCATTTTGTCCGCTGCGAGAGACACATAATCCTACGTGCTTACCTGACGCAACGAGCGGTGTATCGGCTAGACGTAGTTTTGCTCCTTGAAATTTGCCTCGACGACTCTGATCTTGCTGCGTGTTGTTTCTGTGATACTGAAATATTCTTATTGCAAAGTAACTGCCTTTCAACACGTAAACTACTCGTCCTGCGTATCCGTGCCTTTACTTGCCCAGCTAAATATTAGCGCTGGTCATCCTCATACTTGCCGTCGTCTAGGATTATGGCGACTGAGTTGAAGGCAAAATTAATTAACGGGGAGCCTCATAGGGGTCCGCCTAAGGTTATTGTGCCCATCATTGTGGAGCCCGTCGGAGACGACTTCTTATTTTCACCTGGCGTGGAGACTCCAGGTCACCGCATACATTCAGAGGTACGTGTCAGCATAGCGACTGGTCATACACCCTGCTGGGGCTGCTGCCTTGTGCGGGCCAACGGAAAGTGTCAACTCGAATGCTGTATACCGGCATGGAAACTTCGCAATGAGGGCCAACATCTATGAGCATGAGCAACATCATATTGCCTGCTCTCTCCAATGTTTTTTGACGGCAGGGTCTCTCTTTGGTGGAAAAGGGTGTCTTGTCGCATCCGCATCCGTGCTTCCCCCTTACCCCACCCCCACTCATAAGCACCAATCCATTGTGGCGCAACTCCATCGCATATACCTCTCATATTACCTACCTGTGCTTCAGCCGTTTCCCTGCCCTTTCCTGCCATGCAGAACTTCAAAAGCAGCGACTTCCCTTCCCTAAAGCAGAAGCAACTGCAGCAGCAACCACCGCAGCAACAGCGACCAACCACGGACTCCCCTCGCATGGCGCCAGGCTGCTTCTCGTGCCTTAATCTAAAGCCGCGCTGAGACAGGCGCCCTCGGGTCCCCACCTCTTCCTCTTCGACCTCATCAATAGTGGCAGCGGGGGGGGGGACAACTGGATAGACGGCAACAGAGAGTCAGCATGAGGCGTTGTAAGCGTGGGCTAAGCCAAAGCTAGTTGAAGCGCCATTAAGGATGGCCTTCGACTCGTAGGGCAACACAGAGCGCACGGTAGGGCAACGCAGAGAGATAGGGGGTGTTTCAGAGGATGGGTCTTCACCATTCTGTCCCTCGCTTCCTACCGTCCTCTACCGTCCTAAAAGAAGGAGAACGTGGATCCATGGCGGACCGCTTTTTCAGCGTTGTGTGGGGCCCTGGAGTGTGTCTTGTTGTCTGGTATGACCACAGCCATCATGAGGAAGTTTGAGGTTAGGATCTGTTAGGGGTGTACATCTCTTTGCGTTTCATGCTGCATCACTCGCTAGTAGGTAGTGCAGGGGCAGCGGTAGGTCTCACATGCGGGTTCCTTCAGCAAGCATGGATCCAAGCGTGGATCCAAGCGTGGATCCAAGCGGCGGACCAGAGATGTATCTTTGGCAGAACGACGGGCATGAAGTTTAGGGCGAGTAGCAGCCAGCATCGTCGGTAGGTAGTCAACAGCATGTCTGGAGTTTGTGTGGAAGGGTGTGGATGCTGCGTGCCAATCCATGGCGAATGCAGTGAGTAGGTAGAGTCTTTGGGTTATCTATGATGTCGCGAGGCTCTGTCGAGTAGCCGGACTGGCAGTTGTCTTTGTTCGCTGGAAAGGCACAAACCTCAATTCCTGGCCGTCGTTTTGCTACCAGGGTATTTTTAGGTTTAGGATAGATGGTAGGCTTTGGATAGAGGTGGCGCATGGTAGTTACACTTCGGCATATCACATCGCGGTTGGGTATTGTTGTGAAGGTGAGCAAGACTGCTGCAAGCGGTAGGATCAATGTCAGGCACGCAGGCAAGGCGTTGTGCTGTGATGGGCGTGGTTCCATTATGTTACCGTTATTGTAGGTAGTGTCATTCGGTTTAGGGCCTCACACTGAATTATATCGCCTGCAGGGGCGGGTGCCCGGTTATTGGCTAGCATCGGGAGAGGGCTCTCTCTCGGGTCTCTCTTTCCCCCGTTTTGCATGGGCGGACGCATTGCTTGTGTGCAATAAGGGTCAAAGGACACTTGAAAAGCACTGGTTATTGGGCCCATGTTTGAAGTTAAGAGTTAGTTAGGTGTACGGTGCCGCTTACTTGGCGTGGACAGCAAGCATGTCCATGTGCCTACACATGGTATTGTGGTATCTGGTGTGGCTGTGAGCCGGTAACTCGTGAGTTTAAGGGTTGCATAGCTGCAAGGAGAGCTGCGGCGGGGCTAACTAGCTTCGTTGCCCTGTGCTGTACATACGAAAGGTTTAGCCCGGTGCTTGCGCTTGATTCTGCGCTCGTTTATAGAACTCTTTCTTTTACCCGTTTACGGCGATCCCTGGCGGTTATGGCTAGCGATCGGTGCGTGTCTTGTTGTACATTCATTTCGCGTAATACATGTGTACGTGATTCTTGAGAGTGTCACATTCTATGTACGGTATTCAGCCTTACCGTAAGTCATATGTAACCACAAAACGTCGGTTTCACTGGCGCTGCTGACCCACGGGTCACACTCGCCAGTCGACATGGCCCCGTTACATTAATGCGTCGAAGGCACCAACGCGTCCATAATGGCGACCACGGCGGCTGGCTGAGGATTGATGCCGCGGCGTTAAGACTTCAGAGGCATGGGGCAATTTTACCACGGCAGGCCCTACTTTCTCTAAAAACTTAGTTAGCCTTGCGATTAAGTGCCGTGCAAGCGGTCTCAGAAACACAGTCAGCACTCATGAAACATTCCGACTCTTCCCACGCGCCAAAACGGTACCGGCATAGCCTCGCACATGGCCAGTGTGGGTCCATGCGACCTAGGTGGCTACTAAAGCCGCACGTTTACTCCAACCGGTAACTTGTACGTATAGAAGAGTTGAAAGGAACATGGGTACGACATCCCTGCGTTGAATTATCGGCACATGCCCCTGCGTACATGGCTATATTCTGCAATATCGGTAGCTACGGGATAACCCTTCGGCGGGCGGCAGGGCGTTCTCGGCCTATAGTTGCGTATCCCTAGCACGCTAAACTCCTGCTGCTGCTGTTGCCGACCCTGCCGCTGCTGTTGTTCCTGCCGCTTCGCGCCATGTGCCTGTTTCAGCCTTCCCTCTCGCGCCTCATTCAAGACATTCAGAAGCCTACATACAATCCGCCTTCGAGTACCTCCGAGGGCAACGCGACCCTTCCCGCCTGCATCTCCAACGCTAGGTAAGCTAAGCCACATCCCCCACGTTGCAACGCACCGCGCATCAAGCCGCGCGGATCTCATCTCATCTCCCTCGTCACTTGCCACGCCTGCTGCCACCCGCCGTCTTGCCGCCCACCACCGCCTTTTTAGCCACCGGCGGCTTCACACGTGACCCACGGGTCACCCCCTTCGCCCCCTTCGCCGCCCTCGACCTCGCAGGCCTCTCCGGCGGCGAGGCCCCTGCCGTCGCCTCCTCCACTTCCATCGGCACAACTGCCACATCCGCCACCTCATCTCCCTCATCCAACTCCATTACGTAATTTCCCATCGTGTAACGCGATTGTACGACAATGCCGTCAACCGCCTGTCGTACAACGACCCCGTTCTTCGACGCCAGCAGCACCTCCTCTCCATCTCGAACCAACAGCGCTGCCACAACACGGTCAGCGCCGCGACTGCTGCTGCTCTTGCTATTGCCGCCAGCAGCAGCAGCAGCGGCTGCCGCCGCCGCATCGCCACTTGCGCCGCCAGCATCGTAGCTGCTGTCAGGAGCGGCAGCGGCGGACGCGACGGCGGCCTCCGCGCGTCGCTCGCTCTTCGTCTTCCGTGGAGCAGCGGCGGAGGCGAGTCGCGCGATGCGCATGCCTGATTGGTTGCGGCTTCCCAGTCTGAGCTGGCTCAAAGGGATGCGCTTTCCGCTTCCATGAGCCGTCACCACTAGCAAGCAAGGACCCGCCTCCGCTGCTACCACCTCAGCCTCCGCCTCCTCCTCAACAGAGCCCTCAGCCTTCTCATGCTCAGCCGCCTGCTCCTCCTCCTCCTCCTCCTCCTCAGCCGCCGCTGTCACCTCGTCGTCGTCGCCTCCCACGTCACCAACGTCCTCGCCGCCACCTCCCTCGCCACGGCTGTCCTGCTGCTCCTGCTGCAGGAGGGTAGCTACATCCGCCGGCAGTACGGCAACGTCCGCCAGCCGGTCACCGGACCGTCGTACAGATCCGAACCTCATGCCCTGCGCGCGAGGGCGAGGGCGCGAGAGACAGAGTGAGGGCGCGTGTCCGGGTACGTGCCATTCCAGGGAAACGGGGGTTTTGAAGGGATATGCGGTTCGGTTGGTTTCCCCTCAACGTCACTAGTACCGTAACGTCCACCTTGCCCATCCCCGGGACTTGGTTGCTTCCCTCTTAACACCTTCACCCCCCATCATCCCCCTTACCCTAACGCCCTTGGCGCTCCCCCCCATCCGCCTCAGCTCCCCCGCCGGAAACAGCAGCGCCTGCCCCTGCGCCGACACGAGCAGCACCACATCCCTCGGACCGCCCAGCAGCGCCGCCCAGCCCAGCTCGTCAGACTGGCGGGAAGGAGAAGAACCCTTCTTGGTCTCCTCCTTCTTCTCCTCCTTCTTCTTGGTGATGGAGGTGGAATAGTTGGCGAACTGCGAGGGGGGTTAATGTGCGTGTGTGAAAGGGTTACTATCAACGGCCTGGGAGGTTTGTTGATGTGGAGGGAATTGCATGAAGGGGGTAAAGAGGAAACAACTGCCTGACTGAGGGATAAGGCGTCAACATGGGTTGCAACATGTGAAGGGGGGGTCAGGACCCAGCCCCCTGAGGGGCCCAGCCCCCGCATTAAAAGGCATCACCACCAGTGGTCCACCAACCTGGGTGGTCAGGATTTAGTATTTCTCGCGGCTCAGTTGGAAAATACCTAATTCACCACCACCCACCGTCAGGCCGGATCGCGGGATCTTATGCCTCGGAATGCCGATTCGCTTCACCAACGCCTGACGGCTGCACAGCAGGATGCTCGGGCCGCCATCCTCCTCCTCCTCATCCTCATCGTTCCCGCCAGCATCGCCCTCCCCGTCACCCTGCGGCTTCTCTCGTTCCTTCTCCTCCTCCGCCGTCACCGCCGCTGCCACCTCCTGCACTTCCGCTGCCTCCTTCTCAGCCGTGGGCGCTGCTCCTCCTTCTGCCCCGCCTTCTGCCATGTCGGCTCCTCCTACATCCACGGCTACCGGCCCCGCTGCGCCTGCCACACCTGCCCCTGCTGCTGCTGTTGCCGTCCTGGGTGTGGGCGCCAGGCGGGGCGGCAGGGGCAGCAGGGCGGCGATGGGGAAGGCGGCGCCCAGCTTGAGGACCTGGGGGTGTGGGTGTGTTTGGGGGTCAAAGACCATAGCGAACCATAGGAAGCCACAGGTTGGGGCAAGACAATGGGATAGGACCCATGGTTGGGGGGGGAGGCGGGGTAAGGCGAGGTGGGGGTTAGGACCTCGTACGTGCTGTTCCAGAAGCTTCCAGCCGCCCTTTCCTCTTCCCCGCCACGTCCCTAACCCCCCTTACCCCCCTCCCCGACCTTCCCAACAACGCCAGTTATACATATCATACACACACCCCTCCTCACATTTGCCACGCTCACGCCCGAAGGCCCCGCCGCGCCACTCGCCCCCGCTGCCGCCGCCCCCGCCGCTCCTCCACCTCCCGCCCCAGCCTCCCCCCCGCCTGCTGCTCCTGCTGCCCCTCCTGCCCCTCCTGCCCCCGGCACCGCCACCACCGCCGCCTGGTACGCCCTGCCGGCCGGGGAGATCAGCAGCAGCTGGTCGCACTCCCGGGGGGCGGCCAGGGCGGCCAGGGAGTCGCCGGAGCGCAGACGCAAGCAGGACTTGCCTGGCGGGATTGATGGGGGGAGGGGGGTCATTTTTTGGACCAATGTAAACAATAGAAAAACAAAAAGAAAAAGAGAGGATTAACCATGCGAGGAAAGGAGGAAGCAGCACCAATTGGGAAAAGGAGGAGGAAATACTGGGAGGATATGTACGGGAAAAGAGGAGGAGGAGGAGGAGGAGGTGCCATGCGAGATGGAAGCGGGTCGGGGATTGGGAGGGGGGCAGGGGGGTGTAAGTACCACCGGAGTGTAGGTGGGGTGCAGGTAGCCAACACGTTAGCTCCTCTGCCCGCCCGCTGCCCTCTCCCTCCGCCGGTACACCCCGTTACAGCTCGTTGCAAGTTACTCTACACCCCTCTCTACGCCCCTCCTTCCCCTCCCCCACCTCGTGTGTTCCTGTTCTGCTTGTTGACCGAGTCCAGCGGCACGCGGCGCAGGAAGCCGCGGCGGGAGGTCAGCAGCAGGCAGGGGCGCGCGGGCGGGAGGGACTCGGCAGCGGCGGCGGCGGAGCTGGAGGCTGTGGCGCAGGGTGGGGTTGGGTGAGGGGGCGTTGAGAGGTGAAGGAATGGAAGCATCCACCCCCGTCACCATCTTTTCCTTCTCCTCCCTTCTCCCCTCCCCCACGCAAGGCGGCTTCTTCCTCAAGTCGTCTCGGTTTCCGGTAAGCAACGATTCGGTAAGTAATTTGAGATGCGTGTTATTAGTGCCTCCGAATGCGCTCACTGCATGAGTCGGGATATGGGATTGGGACTTAGTTGTTTGCATTTCTTATATAATTTTCTCCCCTCCCCCCCTCCCTTCCCCCCCCAGCTCGTTAGTTGAATCGTCAGTGTCTCTTTCTTTTTTACCCCCCCCCCCTACCTCCCCACTCACCCACATCCTCCCCGCTGATCAGCTGCGTGCGCCGCGGCTCCCCGAACTCCTCCGCCACCCGACCCGCCTCCAGCTCCACCAGCGACAGCAGCGCGGAGCGGTCGGACAGCACCCGCTGCAGCCGCCGGATGCTGGGGGGGAGAGGGGGGGAGGGAGAGGGAAGGTAAATTTAAGGAAGGGGAGGGGAAAGCAGACTTCCCAAGTTGTTGAACGGGGGAAGGGGGGAGGGGGAGAAGAGGAGAAACACAACGCAGGGGTTAGGACGTGTTGCTAACCTCAAAGCTAGTGTATTGTAAAGCTCAGGGTGGAGCTCAAGAAGCTGTTGCACCTTTGAGCAACCACCACCACCACCTCCTGCTCCCAGCCCCCTGCCCAGCTGCGTCACAACTCCTCACAGCCTCCCCCTCTCCTCTCCTCGCCCCCAGCAACAACCTCGGCTCCCCCAACTCCTTCCCCCTCCTCACGTCTCCCCCAGCTCCCGCGCCTCCTTCCGCAGCTTGGCCGCCTCCAGGCCCGTCAGCCGCCGCAGCGTCAGACCCAACACCGCCTCAGCCTGGCAGGGGGGGGGAAAGAGAGGCAGGGAGGCAGGGAGAGAGGGGAAACATGGTTGAGAAGCGAAGCAACCGGGGGCAGGAAGGGAGGTTGGAGGGCTCGGAGAGGCGGGCGGGCGCCGAAAAAGGGTTTGGCCGTGTTCTTCTGGTTCTGGTATATCTTTGAGCCCCTCTTCCCCCCCCCCCACCTGCAGCTCCCCCCTCCCCCACCTGCAGCTCGCTGAGCCCATGTCTTGCCACCAGCGCCTCACGGGCAGCCGACGCATCCGTCGCCGCCCGCACCTCCGCCACCACAGCGTCCAACCGACCCGCCGCTGCACCTCCCTGCCTGCCCGCCTGCTGCCCTCCTTCCCCTCCTGCTGCCTGCTCCCCCTGCTGCACTCCCTCTCCCTCTCCCTCTGCCGCCTGCCCCCCCCCCTCCCCCTCCCCCTCCCCCTCCCCCTCCTCCCCCCCCAGCAGCCCCAGGAATCCCTCCACCAGGTGCGCCCGCTGCTGGGCGGATTGCAGGGCGGCGGAGGAGCGCCGCCGCACCACCTCACACCTGCCAGGAGGGGGCGGGGGGGGGAGAGAGGGTTTTGTGAAGAGGTCAGGAGGGGGAATGAGACGGCAGCGGTGAGATAGGATTGCGTCATGAGGCCAGAGGCAGTCGTGTGTGTTGCTGGCACCGCGCGTAGGGGATGAAACCTCGCGCGAGCAGCATCAAAAGAACAAACAGCGCTTCCCTCCGGCTGGTGCTTCTCTGAACCCCCCCTCTCCCTCCCATCTCTGCCCCCCTCTCCGCCCCCCCACTTATTTAATTTTTTCCCCCAGGCCCATCTCCCTCTCCCCCCCCCTCCCCTCCCCCCACCTGAAGTCCAGGAATGCCTGCAGCATCTCCTTGAGTCCCGCCAGCCGGGGCTGCGAGCCACCGTGGAGCGCCACGCAGTTCACGTGGACGGAGGTCTGGGGGGAAGGGAGGGGGGAGGGGCCGGGCAGGTGGGTTGTGTGTGAAGGAAGCTGGCCGTGAGTAGGAGCGTACTGGTGGTGTGTGTGGTGAGGTAGGGGTGGCGAGAAAGGGGTTGGGGGGGAGGTGGGGTTGAAGGGGGTACCAGATAGGAGAAACAACATATTAGGGGAAGGGGCGATGCCGGGTTGCATTCTCATTCAACGCATTGGGAATTCTTCCTTTCCCCCCTCCTCCACCTCCCCCCCTCACCTGCAACCGTGTGTGTTTGTACATCTTGGCCAGCAGCCCCTCCGCCGCATGCCCCCGCCGCACCTCCACCACCACCCGCACCCCCGACCGGTCGCTCTCATCGCGCACGTCCGCCACCCCCTCAAGCACCCGCTGCTCAGCCAGGGAGGCGAGGGTGGAGACGAGCTCGGACTGGGGGGGAGGGTTTTAGGGTTTTAGGAAGGAGGAAGGAGGGTGAGGGAGGAGGGGGCAAGAAGGATACCCAATGTGTTACTGACGATGGTAAACTAGGGAGAGAGAGGGAGGGGGAGGGAGGAGGAGTGATTGGTGAAGAGGGAGCAGGGAGGGACGTGGGATGGAGGCGGCTAATGCTCCACTAACCAATCTCCACCAGAGTTTTCCAACAATCCTCCGCGTTGACCTGTCGTACCTTATACACCTGGTACGGCAGTTCCGTTATCACAATCAGCTCCCGCCCCTCTCGGCCTCCACCTCCTCCTCCACCTCCCACTCCGCCTTCCTCATCCTCGCTCATGCTACCGGCCACACCGCCGCCACCACCACCACCACCAGCAGCAGCAGCGGCAGCGTCCTTGTTCCGTCGGCTCTTGCGAGGTGACGCTGCCCCTGTTGTTGTTGTCGCTGTCCCGGTGCGCTCGATGTGCACCTTGCCGCGAATGATGAGCGAGCCCCGACCCGTGGTGTAAGCCTGCGGGCAGGGGGGGGTGAGGTCAGGGAGCAACAGGGATACATATTCTGCATTGGGCTGGATTATTGGATAGCGTGGGGGCGGGTGGCAATTGGGGAAGTGGAAGAGGAAAGATGCCGCCCAACTCCTTGGCAATCATCCCTCTCTCTCTTCACCCTCCCTAGCACTCCTAGCTCCCTTCCCCGTCCTTTCCCCCACGCATGCATGAGTCGGGACATGGGATCGGGACTCCGTTGCTTCACTTTTCATCATCGACAATTCCCGCCTCCCCCACCTGCAGCAGTTCCGGCCCCGCCACCACCTGACCGCCTGCAGGAGGGAAGCAGGAGGGAGAGGGCGGAGGGGAGCAGCGCCGGAAGAGGGGTGGGAACTGTGCGCTGCGGGGGAGCGCACGTTCGACAGCGTCGTACAGCGTTACTACATAGTGTCGTACAGTGTTGGTGTTATTACACAGTGTCGTACATTGTCGTGTTTACTATACACCAGGTGGATATGAAGTATGTACGAACCCACTCTCCGGGGCCCCTCCCCTTCCACCCGCCCTCCCCCGTCCCCCCTCCCCCCCACCCCAGCACCCACCCGTTGGGAAGTCGGGTCCCTGTATGTGCTGCATCAGCTGCTCCGTGGTGACCCGCGGGTCGGCGATGAGCGCCCTCAGCGCCCCCACCACCTCCCGCAGGTTGTGCGGCGGGATGTGCGAGGCGATGCCCACCGCGATGCCGGAGGAGCCGTTCACCAGCAGGTGCGGGATGACGGCGGGGAGCACCACGGGCTCGTCCTGGAGCGGGGGGGCAGCGGGGGGGAAAAAGAAATTCCAATGTGTGGTGTGATAGTGGGGGGGGGGGTAAACAGGAAAGAGACACTGACGATGCAACTGACGAGCTGTATGACATGTAGGCTTCACCATGGGGTGCAAACATGGTAGCGGTTGGGGGGCAGGGGTTGGGTTGGGACATGAACAAGGCAGCCGAGCAAGAACCCGACAAGGGGAAGGGGTAACGGAAACCGGACCGTAGGAAACCACAGGCTCATGAGCAAGGCAGCAGAGCAAGGACAAGGATATAGGAAAGGGGTAAGGGAACTGGGACAGAGGGTCGCTCCCCACCCTCACAGCACTCCACCCCCCACCCCCCACCCCTCCCCACTCACCTGGCTAGCGTCAAAGGTGGGCAGCCAGTCCACCGTCTCCCTGCTGCCCCCACCTCCCCCGCCCCCGCCCCCCAGGTCCCCCAGCAGCGCCCGCTCTGCCAGCGCAGTCAGCCGGCACTCCGTGTATCGCATGGCGGCGGGCGGGTCGGCGTCCAGCGAGCCGAAGTTGCCGTGACCGTCAACCTGGAGGGGAGAGGGGGCGGGGTGGTCAGAGATACATACCAGAGGGGGGAGGATAAATGAAAAGTGAAGCAACAGAAGGGGGGGGAGAGGTCAGAGATGTATACCAGAAGGTTGGAAAAGAGGGGAGGGGGGAGGCGAGGAGGAAGGACCCTAACCACCGGCTCCTCACGATGTACCGCGCACCGGCTCCTCCCCACTTGCAAGGGCACCTCACCGCACCGGAGATTGATCCCCCTTCCCCCACTCATGCATGAGTGTTTCCCCCACTCATGCAACATGACTAACGTTGACAGTGTACCACCCTCACTACCCCTCACCCCCCCATTGTCTTGGCCCAACCTGTGGTTTCCTATGCTTCGGTATTATCTTTGACCCCCCCCCCTCACCAGGGTTTGCCGCATGGCGAAGGGCTGCGCCATCCGTACAAGCGTGTCGTACACCGCCGAGTCTCCGTGCGGGTGGAACTTGCCCAGCACCTCTCCCACCACTCGGGCGCACTTCTTGAAGGGCTTGGAGTGCTGTAGACAGGCAAGCGGGCAGGCAGGCGGCCAGGCAGGCAGGCATGCATGCATGCGGGGGTAAGCGGGCCGGTGGTGGTGCAGCTGGAATGCTTCCGTTATAGTCGCGGTTTTCCTTCGCAGCGCAGTCCCATCCCCTGTGCATGGCAAGCCCCATGCGCCCACTTTCCGGCAGCCCCCACTACCCCCCTTCCGTCTAGCGTCTTCCTCAGCACCCAACCTCGCCCTTCCCTCCCCACAACCCGTCCCCTCCCCCCTCCCCTCCCGCCCCCCCCTCACCGCCAGCCCCATGTCGTGCATGGCGTACAGGATGCGGCGGTGCACCGGCTTCAGGCCGTCGCGCACGTCGGGCAGGGCGCGACCCACGATCACTGACATGGCGTACTGGGGGGGGAGAGGGGGGGGAAGGGGGGGGGGGGGGACAGGGCGGGGGAAGGTGGTGTGTATGGGGTGTTTTTATGAAAGTAATAAAAAGGGGGCTGGCGCACAAGAAGGGGGAAAGACAGTTTACTTAACACACGTACATACCGGGCAGGAGGCGAGCGGGCAGGTTCCTAGGTAGTAGGCGAAATAGAACGGGGGTGAATACACAAACGTACGACAGGCCCCTACTCACAGATAGGTACGACTCATACGCCTCGTCGTACAGCTCACGATCCTCAATGCGCTCCGGTACGGCAGGATTCGGATCCAAAGCAGCGGAGGCGGCTCCACCTGTAGCACCACCGTCACCACTAGTATTGTTGCCAGTACTGCCATCACCGCTAGGACCGCTGGCAGTCGTACGACGTCTACTAGATCCGCCGCCTGGACGGCGTGCAGCAGCTGGTATGACTAATGTACGGCGCCCTAGGCTGCCGCCGGTGATATTGCCAAGCACCAGGCTGCTGCTGCTGCTGCCGAGACGGTTGCCATGGGCCACGGCGGAGTTATTTGTCGTGTTGCTGCAGTTTGAAGAGCTGTCGGGTGTATTGAGGAGGGAGCCGTTGCCGTTAACAAAGGCAGCTGGCGGCTGCAAGGATGGGGGATGGTGACGGAACAGTGGCCTTGCAGCAGCGCTGGTAGCGGGTCCAGGGAAGGGAACCTATGGAGGGGGGGAGTGGTGGCGGAGGGGAAATTTGGACAGACGTGGACGCCAAACTAACCATATCTCATCAGGCTCCACATTTGGGGAAAGGCCAGTGGATTGCATAGAAAAAGCGTGCAATTGGGCATGCCGCAAAGCGGCAGCGCATGCAAGACTTGGGCACAATAGAACGGGGAGGAGCGATGCGATGGATGGCAGCTGCAAGCGTTAGCAGGCCCAGAGGCGCTGCGAGGGCGGATGCTGGGAGAGAGCTACGCGTAGTAGTGAAGGCCATAAAGGTTAAGTCCATTTCCAGCAAAAAAACGATGGGCTAAGGAGTCGTTAGTCGTGACCGTTCGTGTCCAGGGCGGCGAGGGCGTGATACCCACGCCTCCGAGCCCATTTTTTCCAGGGGAGTGCCATGGCTGATCACAATCCGACACCAGACGCCCAAAGCTGCGCTAATTACTATCACAAGCAACGGTTCGGCGATGCAACCTGCCTGGGTACGTCGGTTCGCCTCCGCGGCAGAAAGCCCCAATTGCATGACGGGCAGTGTTTTTTTGGGAGTCAAGTCGAAGCGTCTTGTTAACAGCTACCTGGGAGATCTTGCTCCTATGCTTTGAGCGCGGGCATCTGCGAGGGAGCGTGCGACTTGCTACGGCCACAAATGTACTTTTTGGAGAAGAAATCCTATATTCCCCTACGCAACAAGTCTTGAACGCCTCGGGTGTCAGGGTGCAAAAATAAGGCCCTCCTGGAGCCGTACGCCAATGGTTTGTCCTCCTTATACTCTGCTGTTGCTCAAAGCATAAGTCAATAGCTCGTTGCACATCACCGGTTGTGCTCTCACCGGTAGTCACGCGCTAGGAAGTGGCCGCGGGAGGTCTCGGAAACATCTTTGTTGCTGGTGATAATAGGCAAAAATGCGGCCCCAGCTTCTCCGCTTCCTTCAGCGCGCCCCCGCAGGTGCGTTTAGCTGGTTCTATGCAAGCTGGGCCTTTCCGTGGAACGTCAATATGGCAAGCAGCATCAGAGCCCGTTGAGGCTCCTGCCAGCAGCATTGGGACATGGCTTCAGCACTAAGAACTCTTCTTAGTAAATAGATGGAATTCTGTTGCTCTGGTGTGGAGGTCGTGTTGACGCCCACCGATGCTGTGATGGTTCACGCCGAAAGTCGCTGCCTTTGGAGCACCAGCTGACCGGTGCCGCGGCGTTCATAATGGTGCTTTGCAGGCCTAAGCCAGGAGGGCATGCAAGCCCTGCGCGCTGGCCTGACCTCGGCTGAGGCTTCCGGCCTGCTGCAGTCGACCTCCAGCAAGTAAGGAGGGGAGCACCAGCTTTTTCCAGCGCAGAACGTCTAGTACGTTTCCTGCCTTCACGACAGGGACTTTAGCCGTTTCTTTCTTGGCTAACAAAGGACTCTCTACCTTGTACATTTTTGTCCCGCAGCCGCAATGAGGTGCCGCTGCCCAAGGGCCTGGGCTTCTCCAAGGTTTGTCTTGTTGACTTAATAGTCATTAATGGTTTGCCTTGGCTTGCAACAACAATGGAGCTTGAACGCCGGTATCGGAATCCTGCGCTTGCAGATGGCGATGCCTCTCAGCCTCCAGGGCCACCTCATGAGCACCCTGGCCAGTGCCAACGGCGAGGACAAGAAGGAGTCCGCCACTGCCTCCCTCGCGCGCGAGGTGCCCAAGGTGCCCACCGCCCTCGCGGCCCTGCCGCCCCGCTCTGCTCGGTAAGAAAAGTCGGGCATATAACTATGCAAGATATAGTAAATATTGTACATTTTAATACTAGTTTTGCTTCAGCTTGTGATACCGCTGTCAGCTAACCCGACTCACCTTGTTCGCTGCAGTTCCATGGCCACCGCTGCCCACGGCCACGAGATGTCCGCCAAGGAGACCTACATGGAGCACACCGCCAAGCGCCACCCCTTCCACGTGCTGCCCCCCAGCCCGTGGCCTCTGCTGGCCGGCTGGGGCACCCTGGTGCTCGGCCTAGGTACGTGTGCGGTATGTGTATGCTACCTGCAAACCCTCGGTTCTCTAAATGCTGCTTAGCAGACGCTTCAAGACGCTGCCGTCCTCTGCATTTTCACAACCCTTGTGATGTGCCATACAGTATACTACTGTAATTTCACACCTGCCATTGCCACCCCCCTTCCTGTAGGCGCGGCCTCTTACTCTCACGGCCTGCCCGGCGGCGGCTGGGTGCTGGCCTGCGCCCTGGGCAACCTGACCTGGACTGCCACGACCTGGTGGCGCGACTGCGTGATTGAGGGCGACATGGGCATGCACTCCGAGCTCGTGCGCAAGAACATGCTGAAGGGCATGTGGGTCTTCATTGCCAACGAGGCCGTGCTCTTCACCAGCTTCCTGTGGGCCTGCATCGACCTCGGCATGTCCCCCAACACGGACCTGCAGTGCCAGTGGCCCCCGGTCGGCATTGAGCCCATTGGCTGGGACAAGCGTGCCCTGGTCATGTCGGCTGTGCTGGCTGCCTCATACTACAGCGCCAACGTTGCCATGGTCGCCAAGGAGCCCAAGGTGTGTTGCGCTTCTAAGTCTTTTGTCCGGAGGGATGGAATAACCCGTTAATGCTGGCTGAGGCAACGGGTGTGCTGCTAAACCATGGGCAGTTAATATCGATGGTGCTTCAAGTGGACGGGTTTTGTCGGCACTCAGTCGCTCGCATCGCGTCCTGTCTTACAAGTTGCCTTACAACTAACACGGGAATAGAAAGCGAAAGCCCCTGCTCGTCTGTTAACAAGATTTTGTCCGCACTGTTTCTTTGCAGACCGTGATCACCGCTCTGGCTACCACCGTTGGCCTGGGCGCGATGTTCTTGTTCGACCAGTACCTGGAGTACAACGAGACTCCCTTCACTATCTCCGACTCTCCCTACGGCTCGACCTTCTTCGTGACCACCGGCTTCCACGGCCTGCACGTGCTCATCGGCTCCATCTACCTGGCCGCCACCCTGGGCATGTACATGCGGACGCACACCAAGGGTGCCGCCCTGACCAGCTCCATTCTGTACTGGTGAGTGTTCGTTTTGCCAAGGTCGAACTACTGCCTGTGATTAAAGCGAAGTTTGCATTGGAGGTCCGGTTGTCGCTACCTTGGCATGCCGCGGTTTTCTTTTCTCTTCCCCCAAAACTTTCCACACAGGTATCTTGGATTACAACGTAATCGCTTTTCTCTTTCCCCTATGTTCGTAACAGGCACTTCGTCGACATCGTGTGGATTGCCGTGTACGGCATCATCTACGTTGGCCAGTTCTAAGCGGCCAATACGGAGAGCAGCGCCAGGTGGAGGCTAATCCAGACGCGTCGGGTGCTGCGGGGGTTTTCAACTGTCGGTTTGTCTTTGTACGACCGAGCAGCCTCTGCTGCCCGTGATCTTCCTCTTTTTCCATGTATTCTGCGTGATCCCACATGATTTTTAGGTTATGTGCGCTGGTTTACTGCAGCTTCCGGACCGAGGGAGTAGGGTTGCCCCACTGGCTAGCCCCAAACCGAGTACGCTGGCTTCTCGCGTTGTCTCCTCTGCCGTTTCGGCAGGAGGCTTCGTCTACAGGGCTGCAGCTTTGTTGGCTTTAGCGAACGCGTGCGTGCGAGCCAGGTGCATTGGGTGGTGGCGGGCGCTGAGGGTGCGGCCGGGTGTGCTGCAACTGCGCATCCAGGCTTGGCGCCATGGCTTGACAACTTGAGTTTGTGAGAACCGCAGCGGGTTCTGTTATTTATGTGTGATAGGCTTATTTAGGTTAGACATATTTCCTCCTCCCAAGTGAGCTGGTATGTGATCAGAAGAGCGACATTACATGGTTTTCTGCAGCATCCAGCGGAGAGGATGTACACTTTCGTGATGTGTGGCGGTTCGAACTGGGTGGACGACGACAGGGATAGGGGCCATGCTGCGGAGTGAACTGATGCAATGGTGGTGTTCCATGTTGTACATGTAATATTGAGCTACAAAGTTTTACACTCCGTGGCTTATTCTTTACAAACAATTGCTAAGCCAAGACCAGCCAAGCACAAGATTCCAAGCCTCTCAGCAGAATCTGTCGAGCAACTTTGTCTGTGGCAATGAAGCATGCCTAGAGTCGTACTAGGCGAGCTTGCGTGTTCCTGGGTGTCCTGACAGCTAGATGTACTTGTCTACACCAATTGTCGCATCAACCCGCCTCAACACCGTCATAACCGTCAACCCATTTGACGTCTCCCTCACGCAGTCAACAACAACTCCACTTGCTTTTTCATCACCGCATCCCAGCGGCAAGTTCCCCTCATCACCTCCCCACACTCCGCAGTGTCACCCTCCCATGCCAGCTTACATCAGGCGATCCGGCCCCACAGCCTCAGCCATCTCCGCAAGTGGCGCCGCCACCGCTGCTACCGACACAACCGGCGCCGCGCCTACCAGCACCTTCTCCCTCACCTTGTCCTCCGCCTCCACGCCGCCCTCCCGACCTTCGCCATCCTCCTCATCACCACTGCCGTCGCGACTGCTGCCCCCCACATCGCCGCTTGGGGCAGCAACTGCAGCAGCAGCCCCTGCCCGCTCAGGCTGCAGCGGCACCAGCTCGCTTGTAGAGCTGGGGGCCGCGGCAGCGGCAGCAGCGGTAGCGGCAGGAATGGCGGCAGCGGGCGCATGGTAGCGGTAGTCCGAGCCGCTGCCGTACTCGAGCGCGTCTAGCAGCCGTTGGAAGCCGTAGTACGGCACAAAGCGGCGGAAAGGCCGAAGTACGGCGTACGACAGGGTGTAGGCCAGCAGCGCGGCGTAGTGTCCGAACCAGGAGAACAGCGTGCGGGGCCCAACCTGCAGTGTACGGAGATGTAAGCGGCGCGTGTGCTGGACGCTTCTGTCCTTTAGGACGGCATAGAAGAGGGTCCGTACCCTCCACAACCGATTAACCTCGTGTGCCTGGAACACAACGCCCGTACAACTACAGAGGATGGGCATGGTGGCCCCAAATCGTCAAACCCCTGCCGTACGTACCTGCAACAGAACGCGGCTAACGGTCACTGGATTAGCCAGCATCATGCCCGTCATGCTCACACTCAGCGGCAGCAGCTGAATGGTGTCCTGCAGGAAGGGCCGCAGCACACGGTCCCCCAGCAGCCCCATCACGCCAAAGTTAGTGCCCAGGATTTCGTTCACGTGGGTGTACGGCAAGCGGGCCCAGTCGGGTGCCGTACGGAAATCCCGCTCGAAGGCTGCTGCCATTGCCGGCTTCTGCTGCTGCTGCTGGGGCTGGGGTTGCGGCTGGGGCTGCTTCATCAGCACTTGCAGGGGCTGCCCGCCTGCAGAAGCAGCAGCACCCGCCTCTCGCTGCTGCTCTTCCTCCTCCTCCCTGAGGTAATCCTCGGGGTCAGCCGCACCCGCTGCGAACCGCGCAGCTGCCATCGCAACCGCCTCTTGGAACGCAGCCGCCGGACCCGCGCCCGCGCCCAAGAGCAGCGGCGCAGCAATCGCCTCAGACGTCGCCTGCGGCGGCGGCGCCGCCGCCGCCGCGGCAGCAGCAGCCGTAGCAGCGTAGGGCGGTGCATGCGGGTAGCCGGGCGGGTAGGCTGTTTGGCCCACTGCGAGACTCATGGAGCGCTGGAAGAGCCAGGAGGCGGAGAGGGCGGGCTGGTAGGGGTGTAGCCAGGAGAGGTGGGAGCGGGAGAGGCGGTCCTCGGAGAGAGCCTGCAGGGCGTGGAGGGAGGGAGGGCGTGGAGGGTAGAGAAGTGCTTTTACCCCTTTCTAGGATTACTCGTAACATATTGCAAATGTTGCGCTGTCCCCTCAAAGCCTCTCCTCCATCTTCCCCAGTGTCCCCCCAACCCCCTCTCCCCCCTTCCAGCCTCATTCAACACATTGGGTATACAGCCTCGCTCAACACATTGGGTATTCTTCTTTTCCCCCCACCTGGTGCAGCCCCCGCGTGAGGCGGCCCAGGTGTCGCATCATGGAGCCGAAGCCGCCGAACGACAGCGGAGACTGGCCCGCGCTGGCGTCTCCGATCTGCATGAGCATACGTACACATGCACACGTACGTTCCAGTACGTTCCTACTCGCGGCCAGTTTTTTTAGCACACATACTCATGGTTAGATCGCATGGTATACGCATGGTACGCTCCAACTCGCGGCCAGTATTTTATCATATGCATGGTTGTTGTGGTGTTCTGCGACATCTGTTTCAGCTCGTCGCGAGTAATCCTCGACCAACCAAGCCAGAGCGAGATCGCATAACCCCCCCTACACTGGCCTCTTCAAGGAGGTAGCGTAACCTCCCTTTCAGCCACACCTGCATGACCCGGTCGAAGGCGGGCGGCAGCGGTCCGTTGCTGTAGCAGGGGAAGCCGCCGAAGAGCACCCGTTTGAAGCGCAGCTGGGAGAGGGGCAGGTTCTGGGAGGGAAGGGAGAGGGAATAATATGGTTGAAGATTCCGCATTAAGCTGGAATTAAGGATTGCGCATAATCATATTCGTTGGGTTAGTAGCAGCACACAAAGTACAAACCGTGATAAAGCTCCATAAGCTGGTGGCTGTGCTGAGGTCATATCATTGGACGAATCCCTGACGAGCTATAAGCTGGCGTCTGAGCTCCACTGCATTGCTGTGCGCAAATGCGCTGTAAGCTGTGGCTGGTATGCGGCTGTGTGCACCTAAACATCCCACCCGCCCTCCCGCGCAAGTGACCCCTGGGTCGAACTTTAGCCCAGCCCACCCACGACCGAACCCGACTGACCTGCGTAGCAAGGGAAAATTGTGCAACGAAGACGTACCAAATTTCGTTAATAGCGAGCGAAAAGCGTCCAGAGACACAAGAAGGCGGCGCGACGAGCGAACATAATGCAGGCATGCGTCCCTGTGCTGTGCTGGTGCTGCGAGCTGCGCTGTATATCGACGCAGGCTGTATGACGATGAAGATGGCTGAAAGAGACGGGACTATCCCGAGAGTTAGTATTTATGCGAAAGGCGGCGATGCGAAGTACGGCATGGGACGAGCATACTTAATTGAGCGCAAGCGCAGTATGGGTATAGTGATCTAGGTATGCAGAAGGTGCAAAACGTGCGGTGCCAGTGAAATGACAGCTAAAAACAATGACAGGGCGGGGCCTCGCAAGGCTCCCCAAACAACCCTGTCACCCAAGCGAGCCATTGCATGCAGGCTCACCGGGGCTGCAGGTGTGGGAGACCTCGGTGCATGGTGGCGTGCAGACTTACCAGATGACCATGAACGTAGACTAGTGTATGGCAGGGTGAGGGGGGTTTCAACAAGGCATTGCCTAATGCGATCCTATAGGTGCGACATGCGTGTTATGACAGTTAGCGTGCATGCAATACGTATCCGCTGTAATACCCGTGCTCCGCGAGCATGGCGATAGGCTGTTTACCGCCTCCTGGAGGTTGCCGACGTCCCTGCTAAAGGCGCTGGAGCCGGCTGCGGAATACTTGAGCTGAGCGTATCCGTTGGCTGTCGTTGATGTAGATGATGCCGAAAGTATCGACTGGCTGTTTCAGTAGTCACGTTACGAAGAAGCTTATCGGGCGATGTTGGAAGACCTTGATAGCCGGCCAGTCTCGTTGTTGCCGGTACGTTAGTGAATGGGCTTGTTCGTCGATCTTGGTGGCGATGCCGCGCGCGATCCGTAGTCCGTCGTTGTAAGCTCCAAACCCTCCCCTCCCGCCCTCCTAAACCCCATACTTATCCTGATGCGTGTGCAGCTGTGAATCTTGTAAGTGTAGAATCATGTATATAACTATGTGGCAAATAAAGCTTGTCGAAGAGTACATCGAAAAACGGGATAGGCTGTTGGAATAAGGCGCGATTGGTACTTGTCTCATAGTCTCCGCTCTCCGCAAGGGGGATGCTGCTGCTGAAGAGTAGAGCTGGGCGACTTCCCAGACCGCGGTACCCCGGTAAACCGGACCGAAGCGGGAAGTCTTTTGAGTGGGGATTAATATGGTTGAAGATTCCGCATTAAGCTGGAATTAAGGATTGCGCATAATCATATTCGTTGGGTTAGTAGCAGCACACAAAGTACAAACCGTGATAAAGCTCCATAAGCTGGTGGCTGTGCTGAGGTCATATCATTGGACGAATCCCTGACGAGCTATAAGCTGGCGTCTGAGCTCCACTGCATTGCTGTGCGCAAATGCGCTGTAAGCTGTGGCTGGTATGCGGCTGTGTGCACCTAAACATCCCACCCGCCCTCCCGCGCAAGTGACCCCTGGGTCGAACTTTAGCCCAGCCCACCCACGACCGAACCCGACTGACCTGCGTAGCAAGGGAAAATTGTGCAACGAAGACGTACCAAATTTCGTTAATAGCGAGCGAAAAGCGTCCAGAGACACAAGAAGGCGGCGCGACGAGCGAACATAATGCAGGCATGCGTCCCTGTGCTGTGCTGGTGCTGCGAGCTGCGCTGTATATCGACGCAGGCTGTATGACGATGAAGATGGCTGAAAGAGACGGGACTATCCCGAGAGTTAGTATTTATGCGAAAGGCGGCGATGCGAAGTACGGCATGGGACGAGCATACTTAATTGAGCGCAAGCGCAGTATGGGTATAGTGATCTAGGTATGCAGAAGGTGCAAAACGTGCGGTGCCAGTGAAATGACAGCTAAAAACAATGGGAGAGGGAAAGGAAGGAGGGAAGGGAAACGGAGGAGGAAGTGGGGCGGCAGGCGGAGGAAGGAATACCGGTAGCGTGTAAGGGAGGAACCGGGGGGAACGAGAACCCTTTGCAGCTGCCGGTACGTTCAACAGGGCAGGAAAGTCCGGAGATGTCCAGGAAAGGTCTTTCAGCGTGTCGTACATGCGAACCTGCCGTCAGGGTGTTAAACCGGTAGCCTGGCGCACTGAACCTGCTAGTGGTTAAGCCTCCAACCTCACCTGGTACCCCGGCAGCATCTCAAAGTAGGTGTCCAGCAGTTGCTCGAAGGTGGGGCGTTCCGGGTGCGCATCGCTGCGGGAGCGTGATGGGGGTTGGTTGGTTGGATGGTGGCGTGGTGGTTGACTGGATACCCACATGCAGTACGGTTCTACACATGCACATGACGTACTTCACACGGGAAATGTCGTACGCCCCTTGTCGTACCTGTAGGCGAACATGTATGTCGTACGCGCGGAACCCCCCTCCGCGGGAAATGCCTCCCAGAAGAGCTGCATGTCGTGGCTTGCGTGGCTGAGAGAGTAGAGCAGGTCAGCGGAGGAGTTGGAAGCGGCCGGGAAGCCTGAAGAAGGGGGCGGGTGCAAGTCTTCTCGGTTGTTAATAGCGAATAAACGCCAAGCGCTTCCTAAATGCTTTCCCATTCCTTCCCCTACACCCCTCCGAAGCCCCCACACAAACCCCCACAACCCTAGCTCTCAAACCCCCCACCCCGCTCTCTCACCCTCCGCACACGAGCCCACCACCAGGCACATGCCGTCGGGTTTGACACGCCCGCGGATCTGCCGTACAATCTCGCTGTAGTGCCCCATGCAGTCCAGCAGCAGTCGACACGTCAGCGAGCGGGGGGCTGCGGAGGGCGCAGCGGCAGCAGCCGCAGTGGCGGGAGTGGTGGTGGGCTTGGTGGCTTCTAGAGGTGTAGAAGCAGCGGAGGAAGAGGAGGAGGAAGAGAAAGAGGAAGAGGAGTGGGAGGATGAGCCAGCAGCAGTGGCGGGCGTAGAAGGCGGGGAGGAGGAGGGAGAGGAAGCGGAGGCGGGGGGCCCGAGGCCGTTGGGACGGTTGGTGTCGCCAACCGCTAACGGAGCGGCCCTTCCGCCGGGGGAAAGCTTCAAGCGAAGGCCGTCCTGTTGTAAACAGGGCACCGAGAGAGAGAGCGGGAGCGGGAACGGGGAGCGACCGTTTGGGGAGGGAACAGTACGAGGAGGAGATCGGTAAAGCGGTTGTACCGCAATGACAAGAGGAGCAGAGGTTGGGACGGAAACAGCGCAGCACAGGCGGCATCCTTCCAGCCTGCCAGCCCTCCTTCAGGACGCACAAGCACGGCTTGTTTTGCTTGTTGGGCCCCCCCATCCCCTCATCGTGCTCACCGAATGTACGACAGCCGCCTTGAATGCCGTATTCTCGTACAGCACCCCGCCCGCCTGCTCGAACCGCCTCCGCAGGGACTCAAGAAGCCTCTTGGGATGCACCCCCAGGTTCAGTACATCTTGGGTCCACATGTCCTGACATGGATGAGGGACGTTGGATAGCTACTATTCATACTTTTCATACCACGTTCGATACCGCGTTGGCTAATTGTGCCACGGGGTGATGCGTTGGGGTGTGCGGATGGGGCAGCCTGTGGTGGTGGTGTTGTGGCTACAGTGAGAAGAATGTGCGAGGAGTGCGGGGGGGATGAGGAACGAGGAACGTGAGCGCGCATGCATGATGGGGCACATCGGGGGGTAACAGTGAGTGCGGCGGCACGAGGCCTGTTATTCATTAAAACATGTATCAGAACATGTATTAAATGTTTTTTAACTGGAAGACGGTGTTGCCAAACCAACCCGGGACACCTGCAATCGACCTGCGCTCACCTGTCCCCCCACGAAGCCCACTCGAATGGGGTTGAACTCCGAAACCACCGCAGCTCGGAGCTCCTCGTGACTCAGCAAACCCAGCTCCTCGAGGACCTGTTGGTGTTGGTGTGTTTGCACGCATGTTGGTTTAATGCATGCAGGCAGGCAGGCGATAGGCACAACACATCGATTACCATAACTGTCGTGCAGCATTTCCCTGGCGTTCTTCCCATGTTCCTCTGGTGCCCCACAAGACACACAGAATTGGCCGTAAAATACACCAGCAAGCGGTGCATACAGGCCCAAACCTGCCTCCACACCAGAAACTCTCAGCCCCCTTGTCTCACCTGCAGCTCGCCCCAGCTAATGTTCCACTCCTGGTTGCGACCCTTGGGTCGGTGAGGTAGGTCGGGGCAACACATGGAGGGCGGCACAGATGAGCGAGAGGAGTGAAATGCAGACACAGAGGAAACACAGGGCTGTGCCCAAGGAAGACCCAGGCAAGTGGGTGGGTAGGAAGGCAACGGTCGCGTCGTAGAAAGTTACAACGGCCAGAAGCACACACTCTGCTCGTCCGCATCCTCCCCCTCCCTGCCTCCGCAGCATGAAATTGCACGCTTTGCCTATCTCACGTTATGTGTTCCGTTAGCGTTAAGTGTTCCCGTTAAGCTACAACATGGCCACGGGGCGCCGCTGCTGTACCCCGTTGCCCCTCCCTGCCCTGCCCTGCCCTGCCCTGCCCTGCCCTGCCCTGCCCTGCCCTGCCCTGCCCTGCCCTGCCCTGCCCTGCCCGCTCCCACAGCACCTGCAGCAACAGGAGCGTACCTGCACCAGGCGTTTCTCCACAATGGCCACCCGCCAGCCTCGCAGCTGCAGCGCCGTCGCCAGGAACAAGCCCAACGTGCCGCCACAGATAACCACATCGTAGTCATGTTGGGCGGCGCTTGAAGGAGGGGTTGCGGGAAAAGAAGAAGAGGAAGAGGAAGGAGGAGGAGGAGGGGGAAAGAGGGGGCCGTCTGCGTAGGAAACGACCGTAGGGCCCTTCTTCTGGGGCTCGTGCTTCTGGTTTCGGAGTGCCCGCCAGTAGGCTTCTGTGACGTCTAGGAAGGCAAGAGGGTCGCCCTCGATACCAGGCTGTGCCAGGATGTCACGTGCTAGGCCGCGGGGAAGGTGCTGGGAAGCGGAGCCGATGGATGGATGGCGACCGATGGAGGCAATGCGGGCGTTGACTCCAAGGGGACAAGCCGTTGACGGGGATAGAAGGCGAGGTGTGGTGACTGCAGTGTGGAATACGTTGCTTGGGTTACGCTGTGACAGGCAGGTGGTCGCACGCTTGTGCGGCGATAGCATTTGGGGATGCATCCTCGTAGTAGGTAGTTGGCGCCTCGTCCGACTGTGAAATTGGTTACAATAAGCTACTGTTGTATGCTTTTAAAGTGGTTTACGTCCGTGTCTTGCTGCGTTGTTGGGCTAAAGGCGGATGCAATGAGCAGTGAGTGCGGTCACTTCATCAGTTAACTTTGATGCAATCGTCGCTCATCCCAAAGTGGACGTTTTCGCACACAATCTGACTGGATTATATGTTGTTCTCGGATGTACTGCTATTGGTGAGCTTTGGTATCTTGGCGATTCGGCTTCGTGGACTCTCGAGTGGCCCTTGCACGTCTCGTCCAAGCGGTGATAACGGAACGAACCATGGACCCGCGCATCATTGGGCAGTGGCTACCAGCCATTGGTTCTTATGCACCACTATATACATCTATCCGTCCTGTTTTTGACACCCTTGCTTGGCTCTGCAGCGGTCGTGCGCATCTCGTATACTTGCTCACTGCGAATAGCGGCGACTCATATCCCGATGCCATGTTTTTTGTTTGGCTAAAATGCTCTTATAAGGTTTAGCTAGCGTCGTCAAAGTATGCAGCTAGCGTTTTGGCCTCAACTTCTCCATGCCACTAGCCGCCATTCCAGTTAATACTGCGTCAATTTCACTGTTACGTTGGGCTTCGGCCAGCAAGCTTAGGATGTCATTGGGATTCGGAGGCAGCCGTTGCTGCTGGGGCAGTTCGTCGCATGGCGCAACATCGCGACGTGGTTGCCTTGCAGCTGAGCAGCTTGGTGGTCTCCATAGAGCACATGTACACTGGTCACACAATTGCCCTAACTCTACCAGCCTTCGCAAACTAGCTTTACCCGGTGGAGCAGGCCGTCCGTTAATGCGAAGTCAAACCATGGTTGCCGCCGCTGGTCTACCGCAGTCCGCCGCTGCGAGGTTGGCTGCGGCAGCGGTGGCCTCAGCCGCAGCTGTAACTGTAGCTGCTGGCAGCACCGGCAAGGGCCAAGTAGCCAGCAGCAGCGGGGCCAGCAGTAGCCATGTTGACGGCAACCCCAGCTCCCCAACTGGTACATCCCCTGGAGGCGCTGCTCTGGAGGGCTCCCCCGTTCCTTGGGCCGCCCTGCAGCTTTCCCCAACTCCTTCCAGCCCTCCTCCAAATCCCTCTTCCGCCTTCTCTTCCCCTTCTCCCTCCTCCCCTTCCTCCTCACCTACCTCTTCGCCCCCATCCTGCTCCACAACCTCACTAGACTTGATCGCCCAGCGTTTCCGCATCGCCGGCCGCACCTTCCGCCTCATCACGCCGCGGGACGTGGACGCTGTGATGGACATGTACCTGGAGAGAGGTGCGGCGGGGGCCGGTGGCAAGGAAGTGTGAGGCCGGGTAGGAGGGGCACGGGTGACGTGGGAGGAGGAAGGGTTAACAGGAAACACAAAACGGGAGAGGGAGGTAAGAAGCGGCGGTCGGGCAAAGGGAGGCAGGGAATGCGGTGGCACGGGAGGGGCAGGAGCTAGGATGGGGCTTTACCGGGGTAATGGAATAGCTAAGGCGGGCTATGGAACAAGATGTGAAAGTGGCGGTAGCAAGCACCCACCTGGCGACGGATGCCCTCACGCCCCTTTCCCGTCTCCTCGTCTCTTCCCACCCACCCAAACCCGCCCAAACCACCCAAACCCACCCAAACCCGCCCAAACCACCCAAACCCACCCAAAAAACCTACCCAAACCACCCCACGCCCACCCAGACCTCCACGACGCCGACCCCTACTGGACTCGCGCCTGGCCCTCCGCCATCTCCCTCGCCGCCTGCCTGCTGGCGCGACCCGAGCTGGTTCGCGGGCGGGTGGTGGCGGACCTGGGGGCGGGGCTGGGGCTGGCGGGCATGGCAGCACTCATGGCGGGTGAGTGGCCATGGCAAGATTACCGGTAGTAACGGGGCTGCCCATGTCCTGCGGACTGCAAACACCTCTCGCAAACCCTGCAGTTCATGAGCACACACACATCTGCAAGCCACAAGGTGTTGACACCGCTGCCTGCGCCCTTAACATTACCGTGTCCTCATCCCTTCACCACACGTATTCTTCATGAGGAATGGGACCTACATCCCACCGCCAGGTGCCTCTGAGGTTGTGCTGCTAGACCGGGAGCCCCTGGCGCTGCAGTGCGCGCTGCTCAGTGCAGCAGCCTCAGGGCTGCATGCGGGGGCGGAAGAAGAGGAACAAGGGGGGGAGAAGGAGGGGGCTGCTGCTGCTGCTTCTACTGTTGACAGTGGCGCGCAGGGGGAGGCGGAGGGAGGGGAGCGGCGTCAGCGGCAGCAAGGCTGTGAGGTGGAGCCGCTACCAGCGGAGCAATGGGCTTCGTACGGCAGGCTAGAGCTCACGGAGCTGTACAGGAGAGCCGTACGGCGGCATGGGCTGCACCAGCAGCAGCAGCAGGCGGAGGGATCCGCCGCTGTTGCTGCCGAGGCGGCAGCGGCGACAGCCGTGGCGGAGGCTGGGCAGCAGGAGATGGAAAAGGAGCAGGAGGATGGGGGCGAGCATCTGCAGCAGCGGTGCTGGCGGGAGGAGTGGCGGGGGCTGCTGGGGCTCGCTCGGGAGATGGCTTTGCGGGAAGGAGGTCTTCGCCAGCACCATCACAATCCTGAGGAGCTTTCTACGGGAGATGCAGAAGCAGGAGACCGCAATAGCGGCAGTACCGGTAGCACGTCTAGCAGTGGCAGCAGCAGCAGCAGCAGTAGCTGTAGCCGAGTGTTGCGGGCGCATGTGTTTGACTGGACCGCCCCTCCGGACATGGCCCACCTACTCCCACCACGACCCTTGAATAATAGTTCCCAGTGCTCAGCCTCCTCGCTAGCTGCACAACAGACGTTAACACCTTCCTTGGCGCAACAGCAACAGCAACAGCAGTCCCACCCACAGTCTCGACAGCTGCAACCCCAACCCCAACCCCAGCAGCAGAAACAGCAGAAACATCAGAACCAGCAGCACCGCAAGCAGCGGCGATTTGATGTCGTACTGGCGTGCGATGTGCTGTACGAGGAAGGAGCCGTTGGGCCCATCGCGGCCCTCATGCCGCAATTGCTGAACCCGTACGGCGGGCGGTTACTGCTGGCGGATCCGCCTAACCGAACGGTACGTGCAACTTGGATTCATCATGATGACAGTCATCCAGCTGAGAGTATTGCTGAAATTAACCTTCCCGAAAAAGGAAGGTGAATGCTTCCACCTTCCTGGCCTCTTGCTTCCATGAAATCCGCCGGAATCACCTTTCCTCTCCCCTGTCCTGCCGCAAACCCCGCTTTCCTATGTCTTTTCTACCTCTTGCCGCCTGCCTCGCCTCTACCCCTCTCCTGCTTCTGCTGCTCCTGTTGCTGTTGCTTCAACTGCTGCTGCTGTGGCTCTCGTGCCGCCGCCCTTACCTGCCCCCTGCCGCCAGGTTCGCAACCGCGAGCGCTTCCTTCGCGAGCTGCAGTCGGGGCCGCTGCGGCTGGCGGTGGAGGAGTGCAGCTTGCAGCAGTGCGAGGTGCGAGGATGGGGAGACGGTCTGACGGGTTCGGGGACGGGGACGGGAGTGGCCGCAATTGTAGCATGAGAAGTGGGTGGGGACTAGGGAGGTGTTGCCAGATAGGAGAGGCGGCGCTGCTGCAGTCGAGCAGGGCAGGGGGTCTTGACCGCCACCACCGATATTACTGAGCTGTACGGACGCCATTTTCTTTTCGGGCACTATTCTCCCTCCCTCCCTCGTTGCCACCATCGTTACAAAACTTGGTCTTATCCATTTTGTTGCTCGCCTTACTCGGCTTACTCTCCACCTCCTCCCTTGCCTCGCTTTCGCAAAACAGGTATCCAAGCTAGACAATGAGATGGCAGGCGGTCTGGCACCCACTGCTGAGAGCGTGCCGGTGCAGTTTCTGGTGTTTCGGAGCTGCGTGGGAAACGACACGGTGGGCCTCAAGAGGGTGTGAGCGCGGTTTTGGGGGAGGCCTGCCATGCCATGCGGCGGAGGCCTTGTCGTTGGGGCTCAAGCAGGGTGGGGGTGGGAAAGCTGTGTGGGGTAACAACGTGGCGAAGATCAAGCAGCTGTGATGCATTCATAGTTTCATACATACAGGTACTGGTAAACTGAGCCCCGGCGTAATGGTGGTATGGAGTGACCCGACTGGCCCTGACTGTTGGGAGTTGTAGGCAGCACTCGGTACATGCGTGAAGCTGTTTTACGTGGCTGGAGCGACGTCGATGCTGGTGGTGGTGGTGGTGAAGGGCTGGACGGTGTGTTAAGAAAACTGGCCGCGAGTAGGAACGTAGTGTGTGTGTGGTTCTTTAGCGGTTGCTGTTACTGGCTTTGCGCGGCATATCGCATGCTGGGCATGTATGTAGCTCCCAACATGCGTACGATACAAGGTGTGGCGGTGACGTCGATCGAGCCATAAGAGAAACAGCATAACTGCATACTCGTCTCCCCTGTGTTCACCGTATGGTGGGACGTACAGTGATCCAATGCAACGGTACAACAAGAAAACTTATCACGACACGATATGACAAGCACGCGCTGTGTCATTCATGACAAACTGCTTTGTAATGTAAGATGGTTTCTTCCAAGCGTACGACGTAGGGACGGTACGACATCAACTGAACCGGGAGAGGGGACAAAACTGCCTTATGTTTGTTGTGCCTTAAGTTGTGACCAGGAAGCGACATGTGCCGCTGTGGTGTCGCAGCACATCATGTCACCATGGCCCCTTCTTCACTTGGCATTCCTGGCTGGCTGAAGGGCATGTGTGTGTGCTTTAGCTGATGATCGCGTGTGGAGGAAAGTGAAAGCTTTAGGCCAGTGAATGAAAAAACGTAAAAAAAACGTACAAGTGGGTCCGCAAGTGAGGGCAAGAGTTGCGCAGAAACACGTCGGCAGGGGCCGACCCAGGGCCGCACGCACAATGTACGGCAGCGTCGTACGAAACACTTTACGCTATATATAGTAATTTAAATTCCTGTAGTACACAAGGGGTGCGCCACTAGTCCAGTGGTTAGGATATTTGCCTTCCAAGCAAAAGAGCGGGGTTCGATTCCCCGGTGGCGCAGTGATTTTGCGGTTTTTCGTCATCAATATATATTTTGTCTTCAAGCTTTTGACGCCTGCGTCATAGCAGAGCCGGCCGAGCAGCAGTACCGGTAGCTCAGCCAACCGGCGTGCGCTTGCGCACATGCGCACCAAGGCACGGTGCAGGTACTTCCCAGGCTGGTAGTTGTCAAATGCAAGAAAGCTAGATCTCAGTGTTCGCCTCCATTACAAGTAATAAAGGAACAACAGGGTAATGGCGCCGTAATGGTACGCGAGGGGTGGACCGGCGGACGGGAGGCTGCCACAGTTGGCAACGGCAAGAGCCCCTGAGATGGAATCATCTTTTATCATCAATTCTTAATTAGCATCATGGGCTTACTGAAAGTTCCAATGCCTTACAGCAGTCTCCGCTCACCAGTCTGTAACTGGTACGGTATACAGTACTGGCTAGCGGTTACTGCTACAACACGCTCCAAAACATTCACATTGCGGAATCAACCTTAGACCGTCTGGAGAAACGCGCAAGCCCTCATATCATTGAGTACTCAGTACTTCTGTTTTTTACAACAGGCGTGCCATAATGAATAGATTGAAAATTCCCTCCATAGAGCAGGACTCTGATGAGCCAGATGATTTCATTAAGACCTTACTTAATGAAGAAAAGGCTAGCAAGAAGCAAAAGAAGTCGGACCCGCACGAAGATGTTCGCGCCCAGGCAGCAGCTGCGGTCCGCAGGGGCAAAACGTTCGCGGAGATCGAAGCAGAAGAGGGGGGACCTATCAAGGAGTCCCTCGTTGGTATGGCGCACACAAAACGCGCCCTCGATCGGAAGAAGAAGGACGTCGAAGTGGGCGACACCGAACTTGTTGCAAACACGGAGCGATACGAGAAGGACACGCTGGAGGTGGAGGAAGAGGACGGCATCAAATTCGAGCCCTTCAACCTAAAGCAGGAGCGCGAGGAGGGGTTCTTTGACGAGGATGGCAACTACGTGTTCCGCAAACAGGCTGGTGAGGAGGGCGATGAGGAGAAAGACGCGTGGCTGGACTCAGGAGAAACCAAGGTCGTCAGCGAAGCGGTCCGGCAACGTATTGAGGCGCAGCGGGCCCAGGCGGAAGCGGCTGCACGGCGAGCACCCCTGACAGAGCGTCAAATTGCGCAGGTTAGCCGTTTTGCTAAGGGGCACGTAGGGGGCCACCAGGAGGCGGGAAGAGCAAGGCCCGCTTCAATCACGGCATAGCCACTGTTTGGTTGGGTATGGGAGGTACAAGCTGTACGCTCTTGGGAAGGCTTTCTGTATGCCCTCCACTGCACCTGCACCGGCCCCCAGCTCCATGCACGCATGCGTGTCGTCACCCTGCTTCACCCTTCCCTGCCATTGCATCCCCTCCCATTTCCACCTGCCATCCCCACAGCGCAAGGCCGACATGGCAGCCATCATGCAGCCAGGCGAAACCGTCACACGCGCGCTCAAGCGCCTGGGCGGCGCTGGCGGTGCGGGTGCAGCCACCGCCGCCGGGCTTCCCCACCGGGCCATGGGCAAGCGTGAACGCGCCCGGCTACTCGCCCAGCAGCAGGAGCTGCTTCAAAAGCAGCAGCAAAAGCAGCAGCAGGGCAGCAGCAACAGCAATGGAGCAGCGGACGCGGGCCCTAGCACAGCCGGCAGCGGCACGGATGCTGACACGCAGCGGCGGGTGCAGTTCCTGCGTCTTACGGAGCTGGCTGATGAGTTGCTGGAGGAGGGGGAGCTGGAGATTTACGGCGAGACGCAGGAGGCGTTGACGCGGTCGGCTCGCATGTGGCTGCCGCAGCTGGCAGCAGCGGGGGCGGCACCGGCAGCGGTTGGTGGTGGTGGTGCTGCATGGCCTGCTGGGGGTGCTGCTGGCGCAGGGGCAGAGGCAGGGACCTCTGCCGGGAGGGCTGCCGCCGCAGCAGCAGATGCGGATGATGATGACGACATGTTTGCAGATGCGGATGATGACGATGATGACAAGGGCAGCAGCGCCAAGCAGCGTGCCGCTGGGGGTGCCGGTGTTGCTGCTGCTGCTGCCGCCCCGGTAGCAGTGGATGAGGACCAGGACATGTTTGCAGACGACGAGGAGGGGGAAAAAGGAAAGGAGGATGTGGGCAAGGGCGGCGCGGGCAGCAGCGGCAACGGGGGCTCCACTGAGGCGGCAGCAGCAGCAGCGGAGGGGACGAGAGGAGGAGGGGGCGCAGGTCCGGGCCCTGCCTCGGCCGCCGCCGCAGCGGCGGCTGCTACCTCGTGCTGTGGTGCAGGGGCGGGGAGCAGGGAGGGAGAAGTGGATTACGGGAGCTGGCCTGTGAAGGAGCTGAAGCGGGTGCTGCAGGTACGGCAACAGCATGGGTCAGTGGTTGCTGGTAAACGGGGGAACCGGTCGGGCTTGGCTTAGCATGCGACCTGGGTTAGAGGAGCAAGGGTTCGGGGGTGTGGCTGTCGCTCTTGAGACTAAATGAAAGGCATAAGGGGGGTTCCTCTCTCTCTCTCTCATGCAAAGCCCTTGTGTCTGTTTTGGCGTCAACCTGCCTTAGCCCTGGTCCGGGCCCCGTGCGATCGGGGTCATAAGCTCATAACCCAAATCACCTGTAACCTAATCACTCAAATGACACCCGACCCAAATGGATGTGCGTGTGCCCTTGCTCCCTGTGTGCGCCCTTGCACCCTGCAGGAGCGCGGCGTGGATCCAAGCGGGTTCGTAGAGAAGGGGGACCTCGTAGCCAAAGTCCGGGAGGTCCTAGCTGGCGCCGGAGGGACAACAGCAGGCGGCAGCAGCGGCGGTGCTGCTGCGGATGGGGCCGGTGATGGGGCGTTCATGGCGCCGCCGGGCTACGTGTTTGACCCGAGCAGCGGCTACTTTTACTCGGAGGAGGCCGGCATGTACTATGACACGAAGACGGGGGGCTACTGCCAAGCCGCGACTGGTAAGTGGTTTTACCTGGACGCAGGCAGCGGGAGCTTCGTGGAATGGAAGCAGTAGTAGCAGCGGTACGGCAACAGCAACAGCGACTGTAGCGCAGCGGGGAGTCTTACTAGTGGTACGGAGCTAGCATGGTTTGCCGTGAGGATAGGGTAGCAGTGACGGCGCAGTGTGTGCAACGATGCTGTTAAGGCTGATGTGGAGGAGATGGTGTACAGCAGGCAGGGCAGGGTTGGGAGGCAGGTTGGGGTAGTGCGGATGTGGCCGAGTCGGACTCACGGGGGCGTAGACTAGGCATGTATCCGCATGAGCTGTCGATGGGAGTTGGAGCAGGAGTTATGCATGGGTGTGTGTGTGGAAAACAAACACCATGCTCCTGCGGCTGCGAATGAGGGAGCGTCGGGACCTCAGGGTGTGCGAGCAGCTCACCCGCTGGGCTACGTGTTGGGGGAGCAGCTGCATGGTAACCTACCGGTACCTGTTTGCAATTTACAATCATTAGGTCCGCCGCTGTGGCTGCGACTAGTGGCTGTGTGGCTCAGCCTGCGGTCCGCAGTACGTGTGGTCCGAACGTAGCCATAACGAGAGTCGTGCGGGCACAGAGTGCGGGTAGTAGAGACAAGTGCCACCTGCTTACCCGTCGCCCTGAGAGCGAAGCCCAAGAGACAATACAGTTACAGGCAGCCTATCGCGTCCGAAATCCCTGTGTATATGCTGTATGGTTTGCATACCTTACTATGTAACCCAGCCGGATCCCGTTGTCGTCTTAGAAAGGGTGTTGCAAGGCTGTGAGGAAGGCCAGAGTCAGCCATTCCCACGACACATATGCCCATTGGCTTGTCGGCAAGCCTTGAATTGGAAGACTCCTTTGGCGCAAGCCAGCTTGCGATGGAGGAACACGTTGTCCGGCAGCCTTCAGATCCACCAAGCCTTTGCGAAGGTTACTACCGCGAAGCCGGTACTTCTACTTTTGCCTTTCATAGAAAACCTGGGACCGTTCCTGTCGTACTAACGGGAAAAACGGACAATTAGACCCTGGGACTCCGCAACACCAGCAGCACGCTGGCCACAACCTCTGTGAAATCTGCTTCTTTCCAGCCTGTCTACGTCCTTGCATAGTGCGCCCTTAGTCTCATTCTTCTTCAGGGCTCAGGGCGCAGTTGCTTGGCTTTGAAGCTCTGGAATAGAGGCTGGACTATTAACTTTGCTTACCGCTCAGGGCCTAATCTTATGTAGTAGGCAGTATGACGACATTGATATGGTGAAACAGACGCGGGGTTACCGGGTCTGGGACCCTGCCAGCGAAGAAGCTCTTAAGGCAGGAGTCCGTAAGCATGGGCTTGGAGCCTGGGAGCATATCCGCAAGGACCCGCAGTTCGCTATTCTGAGGTGCGGCCCTAGGGTTTACCGCCGCCTTGTCAGGCAGTGGAAATAATGCAGAATGCTCGAAGATGTCTTAACTGAGGAAATTTAATCAGGCCATGCGGTTTTTTGGCCGTTGTTTTTGCTTGGAGTGAACTGTCGCGTTGATGGAAGACCTTTGACTGGCGCTAACTTCTTCGGTGCATCCGATGCCGCAGTGATCGCACTGGTGTTCAGTTAAAAGACAAATGGCGGAATCTAGTCAAGTTCAGGTGCGTGCGTGCGGGGACTTCGATGTCCTTAAGAAAGCCACGTGATTGAGCACTTGCTCCTACAAAAGAGTATCTCCTCAGATAAATAACGTTCATCACTTATTCCATGCCCTCTGTATACAATAGGCACATTGACCCAGACGAGCAGCGCACCTACAAGCCGAAGACCCAGGGGCCGTGGTCGAAGAAGTACAAGCGTGACAGGTGGGGTCAAAATACCTATGTCAGCATCCGTGTCAACATGCTCATCATGAGCTTACCTGATGCCGCTTAGTTGCCCAGTCGGGTGTGGGCCGAGCGACTGCTTGCATCTGCCAACCTGGCATGTCCGCACATGCCTTACCCCTCAGGTCTCAAGGGCTCTCCGGGACAGCTTCCCCGGCAAGCGGGGACGGTGGCGGCGTGTCAGAAGACGATGGCAACGATCGCGCGATCGTTCCATTCCAGGTAACACTCCCTGTATCCCATCTGTACGCTAAGCTACCTGCAAACACTTTGTAAGGCCTTGGAGGGCATTGGCGGGGCAAAGCCAAAACATCTCTAGCAAGTATGATGCACTCCGTTTCAAACTTGTGTAACGCTGTTTTGCATATGTTTCACCTGCCTGCGTCTCTTCCTCAGCTACTCACGCCCAAAGCCGCACACTTCTTCCCTACAGGATGGGCCCGCAGTGCTTGCAATCGAGGGAGGGGAGGCAGGGCCGCTGCAGCTACCGCAGGAGTTGCCTGTCCAGGTGAGGCTGAAGGCCCATGCAGTCCTTCCCTTGGCAGCTCCCCTCTAGGCATTTCTTGCCACAGCATTGTGGAGACGCTCAGTGTGTCTCTGGAATGGATAACATGGGTGTATGTATTTGGCCATCTTGAAAGGAGTGCAGCCTTACCCACCGTACCTTCCCCTCTCGGCCCCGCTGCCCTCTCCCCACCTTGCACCCTAGCGTCATTCGGTGCGGACAAGCGCTCAGAAGCGCAAAGCCATTACCGATCTGGCCTTGCTGCTAGAAGGCGACGGCGGCGAGCCGTACACAGGCACTGACGACGACGTTGACGGCGGTGACGGTGGCGGGTTGGAGAATGGCGGCGGCAGTGAGGGTGGCGGCGGCGGAGGCCCCAGACGGCAGCGGCCTAGGTCGTTAGGGAGGAGCAGTGGGAGGAGCGCAGGACCTGGAAGGCAGCGAAAGGCTCTGGAGGACCGGCGGTTTGGTGAGTGTGTCGGTTTGGTGGTTGTGACGCTTTGGGTGTCCTGTGGTTGGCTGTGTGAGAAGCGTGGCGCTAGGATGGGTGGTTTGCGGTGGGTCGGGATCAACGTGGGGCGTACCGTACGTAACAAGCAACTACAACGCGACGAACTGCGTTAAACGTGTTTGCTCAGGCTTATCCTGGCAATCCCTGTCTTCACTCTTATTGTAGGCATTTACGATCGGCGACGGTACGGCTTCTCTGAAATGGGCGACGCTCCTCGAGGGCGTTCGCATGACGGGGAAGCCAGTGGCGCCGCCAGCGAATCTGAAGGCGGTGTGGGGGGCGGCGGCGTAGCCGCCGCCACCGCCGGCGGCGCCTCTGGCGCCGTTACCGGCGGCAGCCACTTCCGTGGCCGTCGCCGCGGCGGAGCCTCAGCATCTCGTCGTGGCGGCAGGGGCCGACACGAGGATGAAGATGAGGAGGACGACGAGGAGGATGAGGAGGCCATGGATGAGGCGACGGAGGAGGACGCCGCGGCAGGCAGCGGCGCCGGCGAGGGCGAGGAGGAGGAGTACATGATCAGCTGCCCCTGCGGCGTGACGTACGATGACGGCGAGATGATGATTGAGTGCGAGTCCTGTGCGGCGTGGGCGCATGTGGAATGCCTCAGACGGCAGATGGCGACCGCGCCAGAACGCTACAAGTACAACTTTGACACGTACTGCTGCTCCGCGTGCCAAGCTGAGTTGGCAAGGCTTCAGGAGGGGCCGGGCCAGGGTTGTACGACAGGATTGTCACCTCGGGGGAGGAGCAGGAGAGCTGTACGGCGGTCAGCGGCAGCGGCTGCCGGTCGCCGTACTTCTGCTGCCGCTGCAGGGGCGGCGGCGGCGGCGAACGGTGCCGAGCGGCAGCAGCAGCAGGAGCAGGGTGCTGACGCGGATGATGACACGGCGAGCGAGGACAGCCAGAGGAAGGCCTCGGAGCTCAGCACCATTCTATTGGGGCTGGCTAACGGTCACCTGGGCAGCAGCAACGGCGGCGGAGGCGGCCGCCGTGTCGGAAGCGCGCTTCCTAACGCTCCTCCTCCGTCGCTTGGTGGTGGCAGCGGAGGCGGTAACGGTAGCGGCGGCGGTGGTGGTGGTGGTGCTTATTCAAAGCTTGGGCCACTGCATGGGCGTTCTTCCGCTCCTGCCATTCCTGGCTTGACGGCGGGGCATAGGACAGGCAGCCTTGGCGGCAGCGGCGGCGGCGGAGGTGGAGCCGGCGGCGGTAGCCCCGTCGTACGGTCGCTGTCGCTGGGCCAGGTCAGCAGCAGCGGGCTTGGTGGGGCGACGGGGACTGCGACGGCAGCAGCAGCGGCTGGGAATGTTGCAGCGTCGCTGGATGGCAATAGCAAGCTGCCCAGGCCCGGGGCAGCGGCAGCGGGGATAGCTGACGGCGCACGACGGCCCTTTGTAGGCGGCCCTTCAAGCAGTGCCGGCAGCAGGGGCAGACTGGAAGGTAGGGATCTTCTTGTAGGCGCTACAGGCGACGTTAAGTTTTGGGGGCGTGGAAATACATGCATTGGGCCGTCTGGCCTGGAGACCGTACGTCATAAATTACGGGTATTTCAGTTCCGGAAGTAAGCTGCTATAGCCTGTCCCCTTGCTGTGCAGGTCCCAGCTAAGCGCGGTGCGGTGTGAAGCCCATAGCTTACTCCACTGCCGTTGCTGATTGCCGTACCTGAACCCATGCCGATATTGCCGTACAGGTGCGACCTCGCCGCCGCCCCTTCCGGACACCGGGGGGCTACCGTTGTTCCAGGGATCTGGATCCGGAGCAGCTGCCGGGCCCGGTGCCGGCGGCATCGGCCCCGGCGTAGGACCCTGCGGACCCAAGATTTTCAAACCCATTCCCAAGCTTGCGACCGCCCCCGGCGTGTCTCAATCACAGTCGCAGCAGCCGCAGTCACAGCCGCCGTCGCAGCAACAACAGCAGCAGCAGCAGCTATCGGCGCCCAAGGTATGACCTTGGACCCTACTGAACTTCACTAATGTTTAGCCGTACAAAGCCGTACTATTGCCACTCCGTGCCATTCGCCGTGGCGTTGTCTTGTCCCTGTCCTATGCCGTAAACTCGTGTTTCACCCGCCACATCAACAACAACAAAACCTTAACCCCACCACCGTGTATCTATGGCTTTTGCCGTACACACAGGCGCGACCACATCCCGCTCTGGCGCAGGGAGCCAGCCACCAAAACCTGCAGCGCATGTTGGAAGCGGCCAATCCGCTGGCAGCTGGCGGTGGCGGCGGCAGCTCTAGCGGCGGCGGCGGTGTTGGGGGCGGCGTCCGCGGAATGCAGCTTTCATCTGTACTCGACACCGTACCCTTGCAAGTCGCCGCCGCTAACCTCTGCGCCGCAACAGGCCGCAGGACCGCCTCCGCCGCCGCGGCGACGGCCGCCTCTGAGTCGACTGGCGGCGCCGCCGCCGCATCGGATGGCGTCGGCAGCTGCGACGCCGCCGCCAACGCCGGCGGCACCGCCACTGGCGGCGGCGCCGGCGGCAGCGGCTTGCCTCCGAGACCACCCTCTTCCATGGCTAGGGAGGTGGCCAACCGCATCTTTGGCGAGTCAGACGACGACGAAACGGGAGGCATGGGGCGGCCTTTGTCGGCGTTACGCGGCGCCGACCCATGGTTCTCTTCCCTCGTTGCGCCCAGCCTCAGCCGCGCTGCCACACCCTTTTTCGACTCCCTGCTTCGCGCCACTCCCGACATCGTACCCTTGACTGGAAACTCCCCGCCGCCACACTTGGCTGCGGCACTCGCTGCGGGGCTACGATCCGTGTCCCCAGGTGCTGCGTACCTGCCCACTGCCCTCCTTGCGCACCAACAGCAGCAGCACCAAGCGGCCATGCAGCACTTTTTGCACCAGGCAGCGACGCCATCGTCTGCCGCTGCTAACGGCGCCGCCGCTGCCGCGGCGGCGGCGACGTTGCTGCCTCCTCCGCCACTCATACGGCCGACGCCGCTAGCTCCGCCGCCTCCTCCGTTTGCTCCGCCGCCGCTGGCGATGGGCGGGTTGCCGCCCGGTTGGCCACCTGGGGTGCCGCCACCGCCGCCGCTGCCGCCTGGGGCGCTACATCCCGGCAGCAACGGCGGCGGGTTGCCGGATCCCGCCATGTTGCATCCCGTCTTGCGCCACTTGTTGTTGACGACGGCTCAACAACAGGCACAACAGCAGCAGCAACAGCAGCAACAAGCGCAGCAACAAGCACAGCAGCAGCAGCAGCGGGTTGTCGACGGCAATGCACCACCGCAACAGCAGGCTCAGCAGCAGCCGCAGCAGGATGGGGTGGTGGTAGGGGGAGGGACGTCTGACGGCGTCAGTGGTGTCAAGCTTAAGGAGGAGGGTGCAGTCCCCGACCCGTCGCTCCCTGTTTCACTCCCGCCGCCGCCACCCTTGCACCACCCATCCCAGCCTCAGCAGCAGCCACAGCAGCAACAGGAAGCAGTTGGGAGAGACGCCAGCAGGGTTGTTGATTCGCAAGGGGCTGCCGGCGGCGCCGCCGTTGGGGGTAGTGGCGGAAGCGGCGATGGCGGTCTTTTAACACAGCCCATCATGGGGGCGTCGGACAACCTTTTACTGACCCAGATCGGTACGACAACTAACGGCGGTTTAAACGGCATGAGCGGCAGCAGCGGTGTCGGTCCGAACGCCCATGCTCGGGACGCAACGGCGGCTGCAGGCGCCGCCGCGGCTGGCAGTGCTGCTGCTGCTGGTGCTACTGGCACCGTTGGCGGCAGCAGCACCCTTGGTGGCGGCGGCGGCAGCGGCGGGCTGTTGCCCGGCTTGGACGGTGGCGGCGGTGTGGGTGCGCTTGGAGGCAGCGGCGGCTCCTCAGTGGCCACGTTGTTGGGTCTGGGCGTTGGGGGGCTACACCTCAACGTGCTTGATCATTTGCGCAGGTGAGTCGGGGATGCAGGGAAGGGAAGATGGATGGATGGGTGGGTGGGTGTTGCAAAGCAGAACGCGTAACCAACTGCTGTGGAGTGCAGCAGGCAGCGGTGCAAGGCCGACGCTGATGAGGAGGACAAGGATGCTGGGAACGATGGGAAGGAAGGCCAAAACTGCGCGTCTTCCTACCATTACCACACCCGTGTGTCATACCGCGACCATACTAAGACCTAAAACCCCGCTAATGCCGCTTCCCGCTTCTTTTTTACCCCAACCTCCCACCTCCCGCAGCTCCAGTCCCGATCCCTGGGGCCTCTTCCGTACCTCCACCCCGGGACCCGAGGCCCTGCTGCAGAGCTTCATGCAGCCCCCCGCCTCCGCACTCGCACTGGACCTCAACTCGCTGCCGTGGCTCAAAAGCACCACACCGCCCCTGTCAGGTGGGGGGAGGGGCGCGGCTCCTTTGCGTGCTGCATGGCATGGATGCACGTGTTTTCTTTCTTACCCCAACTGGGATGCATGTTTCATCCTCTGTTCCATTCTGTTGCTTGCTTGACATTAATTCATACCCACCAGCAATGCCTCTCGCTCTCTCCACATAGTACTCTGCCAAGGAATCGCATCACCGGTACTTCCCTCTCCCGTCTCTCCCCTGTTTCCCCCTCGTTTCTCCCTCGCCGCCTCCCGCTTACCCACCACACATGCACTGCGAAACACACACACGTGCGTCATCACCACCGCCACGCCACAGTCGCGGACATGCTTGGGCAGCCTGCCGCGGGGGGCGCTGACATGCAGCTCGACAGATGAGTTTGGGGATGACCGCTGCAGAAACCCTCATGTTGACAGATGACGGATGGACGACGACGGATGGGGACAGATGGGAAGAAGGACACGCCAGTAGAGGCCCTCCCATATCGACACATGACGAGGACGGATGACGGCTGAAGAGACCCCACAGCTGGCGGGGCACTGTGTGACGTTTACATCCTTCGCTTAGCCGCACCCGCCCTGCGGATGCCCTGGGGAAGTGGCCATCAGCCAACCGCTGCTCTGCCGCTGACAGCCTTTCTGATACGGTACCAGAAGCAGGGAGGCAGAGCGCGCCAGCCCTCCAACAAGACCATGCAGCCATGGCTTGCTGGATGGATCGCTTGGAGGAGAGATGCCCGGTCGGGACCCAAGTACATCTGGGCTCAGGGGCAGGGGCAGCAAGGGTTAGGGCCTCCTTTTCACATGGGCGGACAGGCCGGCTGCCACGATGCCTATATGCACGTGTCCGCGTTGGCCGTGAGGGTATGTGCGTTGACCTGGTGTTACACCGCTGGCGTGGCTAGTGGATGCTTCTGTGGAAAGGGGGAGAGGATTGTGTTGGGCTATGACCAGGCTTCATTATCTGACACACGCACAAGCCAAATGTCTCGACGCACGCCGGACATGATGTAAGTTGCTGACAACACACCGCTTGACGGAACTGCGCGGGTTTGTGCCCTCCCCGCGTCTACTTACTTGGGCGCTTTGTTTCCTCGGCTACCAAAACTGCCGCCTATCCAAAATGACGCGTCTCGTATCGGTACATGCCGCATTTGTCGTCGGGGGTTGCCAGGCAATGTCGTACGCTTTTGTGTGTGTATGAGAGAGGGAGGGAGCAGTGTACAAGACGCCGTCGTGTCGTGATCCCCGTACCTAGAACTGGCTTTTGAGGACTGGGCCTGAGGCGGCCCTTCGGTGTGAGGGATAAGAAGACGGAGTCCAAGCTGAGGTTGTGGTAGTCTTGGGTTAAGCGCCGCTTTGACCCTAGGCTGGAAAGCGTTTGGAGCAGGGGCTTTTTTTGCGACGTCTTGTTAATGCATGCGCGCTTTCGAAGCCATGGGCCGAGCCATATGACGATATAAGGGAACGGGGTCCGGGGCACGATGTTCGTCACAACATGCTATACCGGTGCACAGCATTCTGACCATTTGCATCATTGTGTGTGCGGGTAAACAGGGTAACTAACGCAAGCCCTTTAAAGCGTGGAATGCCGGATGCTGAGGATGTGGGAACGGAAAGCAAGCACGCGTGGGGTTGGGGTGTGTGGAGGTCTGGGAAATGGGTGTGCATGGAATTCCTGTCAACTCGTGATTTCGGGCGTGGGGTTATGTCTCCTTGCCATACCATAGTAATAAACGCTTGCTTTGCCTTTTGCGCCTCGCGTAGTTGTTGCAACTTGCAAGACGGCTGGGTGCTTTCTCGGCGTTGTGCTGTACACGCGTCTGGCCATGTCCCACTTGTGCATTTCAAAAAGTTTGCTTGCGCGTCGTGCGTGTCGGATGGCTGTGACAAAGCAATGCTCTGGGGGTTGGGAGTGCGAAGGCACTCCGTACAACTCTCCGTACCAACGGGCAATGGGCGAAGAGAGACCACGGGGCCGAAACGACTTGGGACTTACAGCGAGCCCCCCCCCTCGACTAATCCTGGGTGTGTCAGCGGGGGGGCGGTGAATTCTTCCCCCCCTGACGAAGTGCTTGGCACCCGCACGCTGGCCAGTTGTTAACGATGCTTGCTTCTATACGTCTATGCTTAGGGCAAAGAACAGCAGTAGTAAGGAAGGCAAGCGCTGCTGTTCCACGGAAATCCACCGGTTGCCTTTACGCCGTGTGGCATAGTTATGCCGGCCCCAGCGGCTCCACGTGCAAAAAACGTACATGGCCCGCCCCCCCGCCCTTACACTGAGCATACGCCTATCGAATGGCGTATATGCAGCAAGAACAGCAACATTATGAATGCGCAATTGATGCTGTTCCCTTTTGATGGACAGCAGAAACGGATGGCCATCCATCAACCGTGCACAACTACACGTGGCGAGGTCTCCCACGGTAGCGCACGTTGCGATTATCGCTGATTGGCTCATGTGCATCAAGAACAGCCATTGTGCATGCTTAATCAATGTTGTTCCCTTCTTGATGGGCAGGAGCAACGGGTGGCCATCCATCAAACGTGCCATTTACAAGTGGCAAGGTTTCCCATGGTAGCCGCACGTTGCGATTATCGCTCCTCGGCCCATGTGCGCGAAGAACACACGCATTGCACATGTGCAACTACTGCTGCTCCGTTCTCCATTGCGAGTCAGGTAACTAGCTTGCGTCACGAAAGCACTGCTTCAAAGAATGTAAATAACGGCTTGTCGGATATGGCAGTGAAAGTAGAAGGGGTTGCACCAGAGTTCAATGTTAGCAACTCTAGGTTGGGTCGCACGCGTGTTGTTCGCGCGTCTCACCTCTTGAACACGTTGTTGTATACGGATTACAGTCCTTTATTGAAGAGCATTCTATAAAAGTGCCTTCGTGCCCGCGTGTGTCTGCAATACTTTTCCCAGACACCAACGGACAAAGAACTTGGTTCGCTTTTCAAGTATGCATGCTTTCCTTGCGCATACGTATGCCGATTAATAAAGCTGTGTTGAATTCGTTCTTAGGTAGGCGTATCGCAGCATGCAAATGCAGTTCACATTGCGCTGAAAGTCGTGACGACAATTTTCCTGGGTCACAAAATCACGTGCAGTACAATAACTCTAAAGGCTTTGCCTATAGAAGTACTCTTTTGAAGGAACTGTTGGCTTGAGGACAGCAATGTTGGCGACCATGTTAGGGACCCATTTGCCAAAGTACAAGCTGCCATCGCAAAGCTAGCGCCACTCAATAGGCGTATGCTCAGTGTAAGGGCGGGGGGGCGGGCCATGTACGTTTTTGCACCCGAGGCGAACCGCCCATTGAGCGGCGAACGCGTTTGGAGGCGCTGGGGCCCAGCAGAACTACACCATCTCGTCAAAGTATACAGGACACGGCATAAAGGCAACCGGTGGTTTCCTTTCCCTCACTGGCGCGAGTTGAGCAGTCGAATACTGGATTCCAAAAAATGATAACACCCTCGGGGGGGGATAACGTCATTAATTTGACCATGCCCTCATGCCTTGCCTAAAGGGTCGTCCTAAAGGACGCAATCCACTGGCTCTGTGGTGCGTGTTGGGTAATCCGCTGCCTCCACTGGGATGCGTGTCTGAGACTGTCAGACACCCAGGGACACACCGCCGGTACCCCGCATGGAGCCCCAGTTGCGGTGGGGCCGCCCGGTATCCTGTGGTTTAGGTATCTAGGGGCACTACCGTACTCCAGCCCGGCGTCTCATGCTTACTGGGCCTCCACTGTCGGGGCTTGCATGCCCCTTAGACAAGTACGGTACCGTACTCTTCCCTCAACGCATGACAACACAAGAACTACCCTACCGTAGCGCCCCTACTCAGGCGTGCGATGTTCCGAAGCGCTTGTACCTAATCCTCGTCTGAAGCATGTGAAGGATGCATAACTGTTGTGCTGTGCAGGGGGGCGTCCAAACAGCCATATGCTGCAACCCTTGTGTTCCGGTCGTCGCATTCTTGCTGGGAATCCAAACTCAACTACCCCGATGGACCCTCGCAGACCTATACCGGTAGGCAATACTTGGTGAGGAAGAATGCCATTCTAGCAAAGCAAAAATAAAAGACGCGAAAAGGCGCGTAATGCTTTCCTCCACCATCTTCATCCATCGTGCAAGGATGGTGTACTGGCAAGAAGTCGGCCAAAGGTTTCGTGAAGGCCAAAGACATGTGATTGTTGTCCGTGCGAAACAACTAGCACGGCAGGAAGTAGACCCGGGAATCAGATTGGCTATCTCTAGCTGGTAGATAGAAATCCAATATGTTAAAGCCGAATCTTCCTCTAGAATGTGTAGTTACTAGCTGTGCACGTGTTCTACCCTCGCTACTCACAAAGTTAGTGCTTTGAGTCCGTTAGGTGGGATGCCTAATGTTGCCGTATAATTCACGGCACTGTGCGACACCTTGCAAACGCCAGGTCCCAGGTGATGGGGCTTCCTGCAACCATACTACTTACATAAGCAGTTTTAAACTCTCTGTTTGTGCGTAGGTTGAAAATGCTTGCTACAAGTAATGCTGGTTGCAAGCTTGCTTGCTACCGGCGTGCGTCAATTTGCCACGTTCCGCCGATGCTGCAGTCGAACGGTTTGAGAACATGTTCGCTTTACAGTAAAAATGTTAACAGCCCTATTGGAAACAGCGCTCCGAACACCTTTGTGAGCCAGCAGAACCAGCAGGCTTCGCGCAGCGGCTTCACGCGGCGTACGCGCCAGACCGTTGTCGCATCTGCATCAGCAGCTTCGAGCGCTGGCGTCGACAAGGCAGTTGCTGATGCCCTGATAGATCTCCGGGGAAAGACCCTGCAAGTTAAGCAGCAGTCCTGGCCATACGCCGAGGTCGAGATTCCGCTGGAGCATGTGCTTCGCCATCCTGACAGCTATTGGGCACAATCAGCCGTCGAGCAGGTTCGGTGTCTTGCTGGCATCGAGCTTACTCATACCGAGAACGGTACGTGGTTGACCGGCTGCCGTACCGCTCGTACGTATCCAGCGTTCGATGGAAGCCACCCCAAGCCAGCATGCACTGCCTAACCGTAGCCCCAACATGTTTCCCACATGCAGAAGTAGCAGACGCAGTGAAAGCGGCGATGGCTGATGTGGGCGAAATTTGTTTGGAGGAGCATAGCACGGACAGCACCAGCCTAGCCATTGCCGCCCACATCGCCCATCACCACACCCTCTGTGGCGCACCGCTGCCAGCTGAGGCCACCCTGTCCTGGCTGCGGGACAAGGTCCTGACAGGTTACGGCCTGCCGGACCCAACCGATCTGCAAATCGACATGGGAAGGGCGCCTGTAGACGGTATTGCGCCGCTGCTTCGCATTCATTACGAGGCGGCTGCGGAGCTGGCTGCAAAGGAGATTAAGCAGGCCCTGCCCTCTCAGCTGCTGTTTTACGAGGAGAAAGCGTTCTTCGTGCTTGTGCTTGGGGATGGCGGATCTCGGTTTAACGCGGTCCGGCTATCAGAACCACCCGAGTCTGGATCAAGGTATGTCCAGAAAAGTGTCATTTGCATCATCCTGGCCGCCATCAGCGTGTGCCGGGTGAGGTGCGATATGATTACTGGTCGTGTGCTCAGAAAGCCATCCAACAAACCAACAAACCAACCAACCCAAACACCTCATCCCACTTCCATCTTCCCCCTCCGCGCAGGCGTCTTGTAACCGCGTGTGGCTCCGAAATCCTGGTTCCTGACAGCGAAATCGCATCAGAGCTGCGGCAGCAGGTAGCAGAGTCCCTTCGCGCCATCCTGCCCGGTTTTAAAGTAGAATGGCGCAAGTTTGAGACCAAGACCGGTGGGCCCTCGGCGGCCCCGGTGCCGCTCCATGTCCTGGTGGTGAGCCTGGGAACGGATGTCAGGCGAGCGGCAGCGGCCCAGAAGCCGGAGGAGCGCTAGCAGGAAACAAAGCGCTTGGTCGACGGGAACTACGGGAGCGGGACCTTGCATGGGCTCGAGTTGCTGCCCTGGGGAGGGGAAGAGCACCCAACGAGCAGCTGTGGGTTACGGTGGCGTGGAGGGACAAGGGAGGCATGGCAGGGATTAGGTAAACTGGGCCGCGGACCTGACTGTAGTATATCGGAGGATGATGGTGTCACAGATGTGGAGGGATACGACATGGGGCAAACGGCATCGGACCCGGTTCGAACACGTAGGGCAAGTAGGGCAAAGGCGCTGGGGTTTAGGGCGGTAGGCAGCCAAAAGACAGGTTTGGCCATATCGTCACTGCGACGATGGCGTTGATGAGGCTTGGAATCAAGGGTTAGGCTATCTTGTGCGGATTGCTGGCTACTGCGGTAGCCAGCAGTGACGATGCAGGAAGAAAAGGAAGATGGGGTGGTCAGTGGTTCGTTGTTAATCTTGAGCCGTTTCTCGGCCGTAGGGTAACTACACCCATGCTATTGCTGTCTGCTGGTTTATTTGTCGAGGATGGTAACGGCAAACAACGCATGGAGTTAGGTGCAGACGCGTTAGGCGTTAGGATGTGTAATCTGGAAGCCGTATGGGTTGCATGTTCTTGTACGGCACTGTACTGCTAATGCTAGCAATGGAATGGTAGCATCGCCGCAAGACACACCGTAGCACAGAAGCATCATGCTATTGGCAGGAGCGCAGGACACGCATGTCCTGACCAGGCTGAAGAAGCAGGTCCGCTTAGTCTAGTATGACCCGTGGGTCAGTGTAAAAGGTCCGTCGAGGGGAAGCACGACCAGCGATGAGAATGACGGCAATGGACCGGTAGGAAGACCGAGCGCTTGGGACACAGAACCATTGGCTTAGGCCGCACTTGGAAAGGTATAAGGGAACACGACGTCTGCGTGCGCGGAACGAAGGGACTTCACCGTGTCGTAAACAATTACGCGCTCCAGATACCTTTCCCTCATTGTCCAAATGGGGCCCTCTAAAAATCTCCCCCTGCTTACTCCATATCGCTGCTACGCGACGTCCCACGAGATCGTGGTGAGCGTGAGCGAGGAGGTGATAGCATCGTTCGCAGCAGTACAGTTGAGAAGCCTAACCGGCAGTTCCGGTAACTGGGGGGGAGGTGGGGGGCGTACGGCGGGGTATGGTAGGAGCAGAGGGGATGGCAAGTTGGCAGGGCTGGGTTTAACGGTCGTTGTTACCGGTGTTGCTGACAATGGTGGACCAGGAATAACGTCTCAGCATAAAGGCAGCCTGCGACCCGCCCTGCGCTGCTGTTGGTTCATTGTGTTTCCTTACCAGGCGCTGTTCGGTGTCAGCAGGCTGTGCTATCTGAGGCAGTGCGTAACCGCATCCATACACGCACGCATGCACGCATGGCCTAATACGTGTGCCTACCGGTAACTTAAGGCGCAGCATATGTGCATGAATTTGGGCCGCAGGGCGAAATCCGAAGGGTGGCAAAGGGTCTTCTCTTTGCGAAGGGAAGCAAACTTTGCTTGGCTGGCGAGCATGGGCGGCCAAGTACAGGCTACCTTCAGCGCGTCAGTTGCCAAGCTACATGTACAGCTACCATGACGCTTCAAGAGATCAACACACGCTAGGTTACAGCAGCCCGAACATATGCGCAGGGGTTAGGTAGCTGCATGCAAGGAGGTGATTCACCATTGCAAGTGGCACACGGTAGGTCCATGGTACGCAGGAGGCCGCCTAAGCAACCTGCCGTCCGCCATTTTTGCAAGGCAGGCATGATAGGGAATCGCATTGTCAGTTGTCTTCTTCATGCGTGCATATGGATGTGACATTGACGGCAGAACTGTATGGGGAAATTGCTGTGTTGCGGGGAGTACATAAGGCCATGGAACTTCAGGCTACACATGTAAGTAGGGCCACATGTCGTACTCATTCTCTGAACCCTTTTCCATGTGCAGTGCTGTTTAGACACCGTTTTCTTCACACGGTGGGCGCCCAAGTTAGCGCATTGACAGCAACAACGTGGATTGCGTCGAAGCATGTATCCTTGCTGAGGTGTAGCAAGGACACTAAGCTCGTCCGGTACGTGCTTTTAGCAGCCACCACCAGGTGAATAGACTTTTGCCCTTTAATTGAAGAGGGTCTTATGATCCCAATGACTTAAGTTTGTGGCGTGGCCTATAAGGCCCATAGGTTTGTGCGTCGCACTTGAGTCGTTCTGACTCCGCTGTAACACTCGCATACTCTGGTTGCCTGTGGCGGATGTAAGGTTCGGTAATGGCTTCTTACGAAACATGATTGACGACATGGATAATTACTTGACGAGTGGCTCGAGGTGCTTGGGCGCGGCAAATGCTCCAGGCAGGGTAGCGTTTCCTACAAATCCAGGATGCATAGTATAACCCTCCGCCTGTATTCCTTAATAACCGCCTATCATTCAGTGTTCTTATCTCGACAGTAATGCAATATTTTACCTGACTCGACGCCGTTTCCATTTGTCGACGTTTCTTTAGTTTGCATCAAGTATCAAGGTGATTGCTCGTAAACTTTGTTTACGATGTTTTGCTTCGTGTTTAGGACTTTGCATAAGTGTACCGTCGGCCTTTGTCGAATGGGCAGGCGACATGAAAATCAATGCATGCGTTGGCCATGGCCATCAGGCATGGGTAGCCATGGAGCAGGCAGAGAGATGGCGCATCATTTGTCCATTCTGCTGAACTAGAATGTTACACAAACCTGTGTGCAGGCCGGGGGCTTCGAAGAAGCAAGTATGGAGCAGCCTACCAGGGTTCCTGGCCCTGCACCCACAGGTGAGCTTCTATAGGGCTGAGCCACTATTGCAAAGTATGCTTAAGACAACAAAGCAAACACATGGCCTCGGAGCAGGCATGCCCGGATCTCTGCGTTTGCAGTATGCAGTTGGTGCCAAGATACGACATGCATGCCAGGATGTCGCTTGCTTACACTGCTACCATAAGGAAGATGTGTCATCCAATGACGGACCCTTCAGTATATACCCATCGTTTCTCTTTGCGCAGAGGGCAATCCTCCCACGCCACACAATGCCACGGACGCTGTCCAGAAGCTTGTCGACAACTTGGCGAAGTCGACCATACATGACCATGCTGAGGTGCGGGGTATGGTATGCCTGCTAGGAGTTTCGTTCAATGGGCTTGGAGTTCAATTTCAATTCAATCAATGCTTCCTGCTCTTGCCGCGTGCGTTGCCGTGAGTGGTTCTACTTTCTTATATGCTCAGCACATAAACCCTTGAGGGGCAGCTGCGTGCCTGGATGCTTTAAAGTGCGTGTATGCTGGGACACACATTCCACATGCTATATGTTAATGCTGAACCTACGGCAGGTGCAAGCCTAAATACCGGTACTTGGATCTCACAGCTGTGTATTGTTTGCAAGTACCCCCAGCTCCCCACCAAGTAATATGTCGCCTTTATGCTTGGGTAATTGCAGGCAAAACGCGCATATGATGCATATGCACTTAAAGCTTACAGAGGTGTCCTGAAGGATCTCAGTTCTCTCGCGAGTGTGGAAGACATGAAGAACCAGAAGGATCTCGCGGTGATGGTCAAGAAGTTCCAAGAAGATAAGTGGCAGGACTTCTGCGGCAAGGCCTGCCGGAGCAGAATGGAGCTGGAGTTGACCCCCGGGCAACGTAAGAGCCGAAAGGGCCTGCAAAAGCTCTACAGTAAGCACAAGATACTGGAGTCCAGCCCTGAGATGGGCAAGCTCATGGGCGCCCGTATCTGTATTCTTAACAATTGCCCTCTGGACAAGCCCCGTTCCGACAAGCCGTTTGTCAGACCCCTCGTAGTTAAAGTGGACGGCGTCGAGAAACTGTGCCCCTCTATGCGCTATGTCATCGCGCTGCAGCATGCCCTGGAGGGGTATATCGGTCTGGCTTGCGTGCGGCTGGACTGCTACCCCCACGCCCTGTCCGCCAAGGATGATGTGTCTCCGGGGCAGCAGGAAGATGCAGACAGCGTGGCGGAGCAGGTCGTAAAGTCTGGCTTCTGCCTTGTCATCGCCACTGGCGTTGGACAGGATGGCAAGCCAAGGGTGCATGCCACCTTCCGCAAGGCCATGGAGAAGGTGTACGAGGACAACGGAGGCTTGAAGGAGTATGGGCAGGAGCTTGGTTTCGAGGGGAACCACATGGCCCTGAAGGGAGGCGATACGGCTGCACTGCTGCTGGAACACCCTGGGGTCCTTTATAATGGCGAGCTTGGGGATAGGGTGCACGCGCTCGCTTGTGCGGCCTCTTACGACTACGTGGTGAGGGCCCTCAACGCCATCCGCCCGGGGCCACCTTCCATCTTAGCCCTGTACGAGGAGACGTCCCGAGTAGCCATGTAAGTCTTCTGTAGCCTGGGCATGTAGTAACCCTTGTGCAGGTATCTTGATTCTGGTGTAGTGGGTTGGAGCAGGAGGCACCCAGGGATATCCCTCCCTTCGTTTTCCAGGAAGCTGCTGTACTTGTCATTCATGTTACCCTCGTTTAAAGTGAAGGCTTTAATCTGTCACCCGCAGCAGACGATCCAGTGGGAAACATGTGATACTTCATTGCTTGTTGGCTGCCCACCTTGCTATCTCACGGGGGTAACTCCCAATTGCAGCAGCAACCATATGCACGTTGACGGTGCTCAAGCTCCTCAGCTGTGCACAAAGTCAGCATCCTGTAAAGGCTCACGCTAACACCCCGCTGGGACGTTTGGACGCCCATCCCGCAGAGAAGCGGAGGAGCCCCTCACCACGGACAACATTGACAAGGTGAAGTTTACAGTGGAGGAGCAAACGACCCTGCGACCTCGCGATGGGTGGACCACAACGGTGGCGGACATCAGTGTGCGGCGGGAACCTAACTCGGCTAAATCCAAGTACGTGAAGCTTCAGGACTGCATCCTCGTCTGTGACCCGGCCAGTTATCGTGGCCCGACCAGTGATCGCGATGGCTACATCACCGTGGGTATCCCGGACTGCGTGGCGATGGCCATCTCTGGCATATTTCCTGGGTTCACGATGACCACCGGTGCTTGTCGGGCAGGCATGCGCAAGGGCTGGTACTACACCACGCACAACATGCGGGCTGATAACGTCCTCAACGTTACCGGTAACTTCGAGCCCAACAGCTCTGGGGCGGACTCACTCCCCGTGCTTGACTTCCTGGCTAAGGCCGGGCATCTGGGGGAGGCCAAATGTATCGTCAGGGGTGAGCTCCGGATGAAGGAAACCGTGCGCAAGGACAGCGGGTGGTCTAGGGGCTGGCAAATCGGGATCACAGTCCAGAGCCTGAAGGTGGAGCCCGTCGAGTTGTCTGAGGAGCAGCGCCCTTTGCTGCCGCAAGCTGGGTACATGTTCCGTGGTGCTTAACAGCATAACAGTGGGGGCAGGGGGGCCATACCGGTATGGGTTGTACACCCGTAAGCTTTCTTGCTGCGTTAGTTCGGTTATCCGTTTTACCTGCTAGGATTTCTTGCAGGGTTGGCAACCCGTTGTGAAGCAGGGAGGCAAGGAAATGGCTGAAGCTAGCTGAAGGGATGTCAATTAACATTATTGGACTGGTGGATGAGCACGCGTGATCTGATGGTGATGCTGTTAGGATTAGATGCTTTGACGGCTGGCAAGCTGTGGATTGATGTCACCCTATGGGAAGGACTTGCTTACTCCGTGTGTGTAGGGCGAACCTTAGCTGTAGGTTGGGACCACGCTCAGTTGGGTTTGCATACACGAATGGTACCCCTGAGTGCACTTGTACCCGTTCTGTTTCCGTCAAAACCCATGTACTGTTATTGTGTGCGCAACAAGAAGTGTCCCGTGGTGTTGAGCTTGTACTGTGCCTGGGTGGCCCATCCAGGGGCGGCTTTAGAACCTGAAGTTAAGCACGCACATGCGTACGCCTGCAATGAATTGCCGATTTGTACGGCTTCCGTGTAGGTAACTGTTATCCTGTTCTTGGACTGCAGGCCGTGTCGTATTTCAGCTACCTTGTGTTGGCTACTTCATCCGTGTGGTATGTGTCCCAGGAGCCACGTTTTCTTCATCTGGGTGTTATGAGTCATGTTGCGACGACTATGCACCTCGGCCCGTGGGGTTGCTGGAGGTTGAACCATTAGATGGTCTGTGTAGTTCATGGGGTTCTTGTCCGGTGAATGGCGGGGTATTTTGCCCTTTTGTGCCCCTACTAACGTTTTCATTTGTTCGCTGTCTGTATTTGTTTCGGGAAGACAGGCAGGGGCTGGCCAGCGGTCCAGGTTTCCTTGTGGTTTGAGCTGTTGTGCGGTTCATGTGATACGCACCTTGTGCTTGCTGCTTGGATATCCTTGGTCCATGGCCGGTGTCCAGCCGCTACTAGACCTCGTTTCTTGGCTGCTTGCGCGTGTGGTTGCGCTCTCCCATTGTTTATACGCCTCTGTCTAAGTTGCCTGGCTATTTGCGCGTGTGGCCGGGTTCCCTCGCGGTAAGCATCTTGCTATCCTGGAGTTTACGGTCCAGCCTGTGTGCTGCAGGCAGGCAGGAGGTCATGTCCCTGGTACACAGGGGTGTATTACGAGTACTCCTCCTGTTACTACCGTATGCCCGCACGTGTCTTTGCGGTTACGGATTATGCATGGGGCACATCCAGCACACACTTACGGCGCTAGACAGCCAGAGGGCCATCTGCGTTGTCATAGCACACTACATAACAAAAGCATGTGCACAGGGAAAGAATGTAGAAGGGAAATCGCAGCAAAGCAAACAGGTAAAACCTACCGTGGAGAAGGACAGGCATCTTCCAACCCAAATTTTGTAGACTAAAACAGCCGCAGCGACCCATGGTTCGCTGACAGTAAGCGCACAATCATCCGCGTAGGTAGCGTTATAGATAACAAGGATAAGAGTCGTCAGTACTACAGGAACTCCTTACCGTCTCGCCGCATGGGATCTTAGAAGCAACCGGCGAGGTGTGGGTCTTTCACAGTAACTATTTTCTAAAGCCACCGGCCATCCCACATAAAGAAGCCATTATTCTTGCGCCTACTACCGTACTTGGTCACATTTGGCCTGTCTACACTTCATTCAAATAATCCCTAAGAGGTGCCAGCGCTTACCCTCATGGTACGAGGGTAGGAAACACAAACGCGGATTACAACCAGGCGCGCTGCACCTGACACCAGGTGCCGTACCAATCCCTGGTACCTCCTAACCATCACCAGACCTGTACCGTGCCGCTCCCACTTCCTGTACCTCTATGCACAAGCCGCACGCAAAGCTGCTTGCCACCCTTATGCACACGGCGCAGTTGCCCTTTCGGAGCCTGAAAACCAGCCTACCTCGGCTCGCATGCCCCGTAACGGCCCCCTGCTGGAACACTCCATCATGCCATGCAGCATGAATCCCCCCTCGCGCCTACCTCCATTACTATATGTCTACGTTCTGCTAAGGTGCCTAATACACATGCCGACATGTGGCCTACCTATCAGTCTACCTGCTCCACCCAAAGGCCCACCTGCCTGATGCTTATCACCACATCACCTGCCCTCCTAGCTATCTTCTTCTTACCTACGCACCCTACGTATGCCTACGTTTGCCAATCTCATCCTACCTCTATCTTCCCCTAAACATCCCCGACATGCTAACCCACTTTGCTACAGGCACCGGTACTATTACTCCGCCCCCTCACCAGCCGCTCCTCCCACCTTCCCCACCACCCCAATCTGCATGTTGCCCTGCTCCTCCCTCTGCCTCTGCTGCTGCTCCTGCTGCCTCTGCTGCATGGTCCTCAGTACGGTGCTGGACTGCAGGGACATGGTGTGGCTCTCCCCGCCCAGCACCGCCCGCAGGTCGAAGTGGCACTGCGCCACCTCCCCCGCTAGCGCCGTCTTCTGCTGCTGACACTCATGCAGGGCGCCCGCACGGTCCGAGAGGGCGAGCTCGGCCTTGGTCTTGGCGTCGTGCTCTTGAAGAGCCTGGAGCAGGACATGGGGGACAGCAGGGTGAGGGGTTAGGAGGCATGGGTATTCCGCGCATGGCTGGGATGAATGCGTATACTGTGTATAGTCGCGTATGGGTGAGGGTGTGGAGGGAAGGGAAGAAAACGGGCCAGAAGAGAGGAGAGTGTATGTCGCATGGGGCAAGGGAAGATACGGGGCACAGGTGAAGGTGGTACCGGTGGCGGTGATACGAGGAATGCCGAGGGAAGAATCCCCCGTGCATGGTTAACGCAAAACGATCCCGAGACAAGGCTTTGATCTTCAGGCCAAACGGGTTTTGGGTGAGGTGCCTAGGGAGTAGTGGGACCTTACTTTGCGCTTAAGTTGTTGAATCAAGCCTTCTTGCTCGGAAATGCTGCTTTCCTTGACGTTGACCCCTTTACGGATCTGATCAATCTGGCAAGAGGCAGTGAGAGGCGGCGAAGCAACCAGGAGCATAAGGGAGGAATGAATGAAGCCGCCCAGGACTACAACCAACCGAACATAGCTGTGCATGACATGCGGGCAGGGTGCAGGGCTGGTATTTGGTCGGGACTCGTAAAGCTGGCAAGCGGGCAATGGAATAACGCTCAACATCCCCGTAATTCCCAAATCCCTAGGACGGTGTGGGTCAATAGGGCGCGCCACCGCCTTTCCCCTCTCCTCTCTTACTGACGCGCACAAGCGGCTTCCATCCCCGGCTCACCTCCCATCTGAGCTTTTCAATCTCCTTCTCCTTGTCCAGGAGCTGAGGGTGCAGACGGGGAAGGAAGGGCGGGAAAAGGTCAAGAGAGAGGCCGCAGCATAGCGTGCAGGCCGCAGGGTTTATATGGTGGAGGAAGGTTAATGTGCTGTCGGTTGGGGACAAGTGACAGAGCGCAAGTGTGGCTTACGGGGCAGTGTAGGGCTCCCGGTGACGGAATTCAAGCTGAGCTTACCCAAAGACATCATGTCATGTTTATTACGCTTGGTTTGGGCCTTCACCTAAGCCTGAGAGCCATAACCACCTCGTCCTACCTGTGCCTGCAGTATTGCTTCCGGTGGAACGCTCCGGAGGGAACTCCGCAGGGCCTGGACAAAGAAGGTCCACATTTGCGCATCAGCGACTGCTTCCGGCATAGGACATGCGGCCAGGAACAGACGCGCCAACACCTTACCGTTGATGACTCCGACGCCATGAATACAAAATGGCCAACAAGGAATAACCTGAAAGACGCAAGGGCAACATCGGTGATAAGGGCCTGCGCTCGTGACGTTTTAACTGCAAAGGATAACAGCTGGCCAGTAGCATGAGTTCAGGTTTGGCCGTAAAAGAAATAACCCACCCGCATAGGGCTAAGACGAGGTAAATAACGGACTGGAAGCTCAACGGAGGCTGGGGCTGCTGGGCTGGGGGAGTAGGATGTCCCCGGGGAGACGCGAAGCGGCTGCTGAGCAATGTCTTTCCGCTGGAAATCCGCACCATAACCCGATCCATTTCACCGAGGGAGCTGGCAGGAGGCAGTGACAGCTCTGAACTAATGTATTTAAAAGCCAAGAAAGAAGATGTCTACGTTTAGCGTTGTAGGGTTGGTATGTTTTAATATCTTTATGTTACAGCAATATGTTCGAAAGTACCCATCCTTTGCGCAAGAGCTGTAAAACTGCAGTTGCAAAGAGGACTTCGCGAACAGAGTAATAACTAAAGCACAGGTCCAACTGAATTCAGGTGGGCTGTATGAAGTTATACGTGTGTTGATAGGCCAAGGCGCCAAGCGCTCATGCAGTTTTGGGCTTCTGGGGGTCGTACCTTCGTCACCACCAACTCCCATGCCACCCACCGGAACCTGTTTCTTGCTTTGTCCCTAATTGAAACTCCACAGCACGGTTTACCTGTATTAAGCTACGTTAAATACCGCGCTGTATCCTGCCGGTAGTACTTTACATTATACACGTTCTGCTTGCAGTCACGATTTGCACCGCGTAAGCGTCAGTAATATAAAGCTAATGACCAGCATATTTGAAGGCCTTCCCCTATAGGGGCCCATAAATGCCGCCGCTCGGCAGAATTAGTGACGACTGAAAGTAAAGCAAAGGCTTTACGAAGTCAAGCAGGCGCGATCAATACATAGTTTGCAGCGGGATAGCTTGCAACCATGGGGAAATACGCGCAGATCGTGATCGGCCCAGCTGGCTGTGGCAAGGTACGATGCCATTACCCCGGCGGATTTCTGGCATGGGATTCAAACCACGCTGCCGCTCTTGTTCTCGCTCATGAGACCTTTTGTTCTGGCGTAGACGTCAATCCACAAGCCTTGCTTTCCTAGCCCTAACTCCCATCCTAAGCCCCATTCCTGCGACCTTGGGGCTATCCATTGATACCCCTCCCGTCATCCCCTACCCCTGATGTGCCTCTAACCGTCGCGCACGACACCCACACCCGTACAGTCAACCTACTGCAACCACCTGTACGAGCACTGCCAAGCCATCAAGCGCTCCATCCATGTCGTCAACCTGGGTAAGCCTCGCCTGGCCGCCTTGCCTGGCCACCTCTTCCCCCCCTCATCCCCCAACCCCCATGCAACCATGCACCTCCCTCCCTGCCCCCCCCCTTTCCAGACCCCGCCGCCGAGTCCTTCCAGTACCCGGTGTCCCTGGACGTGCGCGACCTGGTGTCGCTGGAGGACGTGGTGGAGGAACTGGGGCTGGGACCCAATGGGTGGGTGGGGTGGGGTGGGGGGTGGCATGCGAGACGGGTGGCATGGTGGGGTGGGGGTGGCATGCGAGGGGTTGGAAGTGCATGGAGGGATGGTGGTTGACATGTGACATGGGACTTGGGTGGCGGGCGCTGGGGCTGGGGCGCGATGGGCGGAGGAGCCACCGCTGGAGTTTGTGGTGCATGCAGGCCATGCAGATTGCGTACCGGTAAGCAAGGGCTGGGGCTTGATGGAGGGGTAGGCAAGTATGTTACTAGCATGTGGGTTGCAGGGTGAGGGTGCCGCCAAATGCGCCATCCCTCCTCAGCACCAACGAAAGCAGCAGCAGCAGCAGCAAGGGGCCTCCACGTCACCGCAGGACTGACGTTACTTCCCCCATGCGCCCTTTGGCTGCCCTTGTTGTCCACCTCCGTACAACAAACCTCCGTACAACAACCAACAAAACCTCGTACGGACGCTCGTACACACACCAACCCGTTGTACGACAACAGCGGGTTGTTGTACTGCATGGAGTACCTGGAGGAGAACCTGCACGAGTGGCTGGGTACGGAGCTGGAGGTGCGGGTGGGGGAGGGGAAGAGGGTGTGGGGAGCGGGAAAAGGTAGAAACCCGTACGGTGCTTGACTGTGACCCCCTCCTACCTACCTACCTGCCCGTTGGTCATTGAGTCTGCAGTGCTCTTTCCTTTCCCACGCCTCCCAACACCCCTTGTCCTCCTCTTCTCTTCCCAACACCCCTCCTCCTCATCCTCCCCCCCTCCCCCCCCCCCCTCAGGGCTACGGCGATGATGACTACCTGGTGTTCGACTGCCCCGGCCAGATAGAGCTGTACAACCACCTCTCCGTCTTCCGTACATTCGTCGACTTTCTAAAGTGCGTACCGGTTTTAACGGGGGGGGGCCGTCGATCCCATGCACAGCTTGGGGTGCGGGCGCGGGGTTGTGGGTGCGGGTGTACACCCGTCACCTCCCTCCCTCTCGGGGTGTTCAGGACATGCACCCCCCCACCTCCCTCTCGGGGTGTTCAGGACATGCACCCCCCCACCTTCCCGCCTTCCTCACCTCCCCCACCCACCCCCCCAGGTCCGACGGCTGGTCGGTGTGTGTGGTTTACTGCCTGGATGCGCACTTCATAACGGATGTGGCCAAGTTCATGGCAGGGGCGCTGCAGGTGGGGGGTTTGGGTGGGTGGGGTGGGTGGGTGGTAAAGCTGCAGGTGGGGGGGGAGGCAGGGTCGGCAGTGGGTGAGGTAAGGAGGAAGAAGGGGCAGGGTTGGCAGTGGGTGGGAGGGAGGGATGTGCCACATGCCAGGGTGGGGCACGACATGCTGGAAACGCCCCGCATCTGGCTTCAGCGTTGTGGCTTGCTTGTCATGTTGCCATGTCTTTTGTGCTTTGGTCGTTCCCTAACCCCGCCTCCCTCCTATGGTTAGGTCTATCTTTACCCTGCCGCCTCCCACCCCCATTGCTATGCCCTAACCTGTGGTTACCTGTGGTTTGGTATGGTCCCTTGACTCCCCCCTCAGGCCCTGGCCGCCATGGTGAAGCTGGAGTTGCCGCATGTCAACATCCTCACCAAGATAGACCTGCTGGAAGATAAGGTGGGGTGGGAGGTACATGGGGGAGGATAAGGTACATGGGCAGGGAGGCAGGGGGCTGCCAATGGCGCCCTACCGTACTGGTATCGTTGTGGGAACGGGTGTGCGTGGTACCGTATGTGGGAGTGTGGTTTCGTGTGTGTTTTACCTGAAACCCACTCCCAATCTCCCCCTCCTCCCCCCCCTTCGCAGCGGCACCTGGACGACTTCCTCTTCCCCGACCCCGCCCTGCTGCTGCCCCAGCTAGCAGCGTCCACCGGACCCCGGTTCAAACAGGTGCGGAGTTAACTGCCTCTATCACGCAGCTCAACACTGCCTCCTTGTACGGCATGTCTCCCGTCTCCTCCGCACCCCTAGCCTGTCTTCACCCCCTGTCTGCGCCTGCCTCTGCCTTCCCTTCCCCTGAAAACCATGATGAACTCGATTGGTTAGTGTTTCCTCCGTACTCCCCCCCCCCTGCCCCCACCCCCTCCAGCTCAACACCGCTATGGCGGGGCTGCTGGATGAGTTCAGTCTGGTGTCGTTCCTGCCGCTGGACATCACAGATGAAGACAGGTGTGTGTTGGGGGGGGGCTGCATGCATGGGGCCGCATGCATGGGGCTGCATGCATGCATGCAACCTGCCACCCCTGGCCCTAGCGCGTTTGCGCTGTGCACCTACGTGTGCTCGCAAGCACGTGAGGCCTCACCAGATACATCCACCCAGTGCGATGTGCGACGTGCCCGACACCCCTGTGCAAGTTCACAGCATTCAAGTACTAACGCACTTGAACAACCCCCGCCCTGCTCTTCCCCCCCACCTGCCTGCCTGTGCAGCATTGCGGACATCCTGGGGCAGATCGACATGGCCATACAGTACGGCGAAGACGCGGAGCCGCGCATCCGGGATGAGTACGAAGGAGGGGATGAGGAGGAGGGGGATGGAGACGGTGGCGTTGACATTTAGGTGCCGGTATCCACTAAAGCAAAGGAGGATAGGACCTGGTGAGGAGGAGGAGGAGGAGGAGATGCCGCCAAAGAAGATGCGGAGGGAAAGCGTTGTGTTTGCTTATGCTTGTAGTCGTCCCTTTGCTTGCTTCAGCTCCCATTGGCGGGATTCAATGCCGGGAATGCGTATACCCTGCACGCGAGGTGAGGGGCGCACCGGGTATCTGTGGCGGCAGGCATTCATGTGGCACCTGCTACACTCTTGGTCGCGGTTTCGTTGGTTAAAGGTTGGCGTGTTGATGGAGGAGGAGAAACGTGATACTTGTCTATGAGGAGCAGAGCCTGACGTGCCTGGCACGTTCTTAATACGATGACCCACGGGTCCGTCAAGTAGACGTTTGGCCCCCAAGCGGGCTACTTCCGCTGCTGCTGATGGTTTTCTGCAGCTGGGGAGGCTGAAGTTTTTACGGCTTGTGTCGTACACGATGCGGCGTGGCGGTTGTGGCGATTTCCGTTGGGCAGGACGCAATTAAGAAGGCGATCCTTCGCGCAATTAATGAAGCCCCGCTCCAAGCAGTCCGGCCAGGGTCCGGCTGCCGAGTTCCTAGTGCAGCTTTACTTGCTTGCACAGGCGGAATGCTGGGTTCGCTTTAGCGGGTGCGCAACGGACATCAACTGCCGAGCAAGATCGTAAAAGGATGCAAAGAGCACAACTCATTTGCTCCTCATTTACAAATGCCCGCACAACTGCCTCTGGGCATGCATGCAGCACATGCCTTAGACCGCAGGACCACAATTGCTATACGCATGCATGACGGCGTGCATCACACCATCAATGCGCGGGAGAGTGCCAATCACACCAGCACAGAAGCGCTGCCATAAGAATGGCATCAAAGCCGTTCAGCGCCAGTGCTTAAGAGACCCAGGCCAGTTTTCACAACATACACTCCCACACGCATATCGTCACACACACGCACCTGCCTGCATTGTCACGCATTGTCACGCTTGCAACTCTCTTGGAGCCTCACACGCACTCTACGGCACCTGACTCCTGCTCTAAACGCGTTGCCGTTCAAGTCCATTCTTCATGTCATTATCTCCAAGAGCGTTGTAAAAAGCCGCCCACAACCACCAGGAGGAGCCTCCTCCGAACTCCCTGAACAACGCTCCTCGAACGTCGACTGCGCGGGCACTATGAAAACCAACAACACGAAACCAACATCAACACAAGTGTGACGAAACAACTGGCCGTGTGTTATGGGTGTGTATTTGGAAGCGCTCAGATGTGCTCCCTCCAAGTCCCGGTAGCATGCAAGGGCCGTAACACGCCGCACACTCCCTTTATTATTCTATCCTTTTCGGCGTATCAGCATGCACACTGTTGTGGTTATGTGGCCTCTACATCCCCACGTGCAGTCCTATCCTATCCTGCAGTCCTATGGCTGCGAAGAATGAATGTAAACACGGGTATACCCGGTCTGCCTGATAACACGTTCGCTCGTTGCAACACATGCTCGCACATTCGTACTTCTGTGGCCTCCATGGAGTTCGCGCTAACCAGATCAGCCCCACTCTCTCGCTCGCAACTCTTCGTCAGTCAATCCCACATCCCCCACAATCAAAGTACCCCTTTCACACGCACGCATGCGTCCGTTGCTCCCCAGCCATAAAAGCTGCACTGTTGTGGACCCCGTTGTGGGTCTCTGTGGCCACATGAACCCCCAATTGCATGCCCATGCATAAGCTGCTGCTGCTGCTGCTGCCTACAGGAACTTGACTCCAGTCCCTCCACCACCCCACTCCACCCCCGCGGCGGCGGTAGCAACAACCAGTTCCGCAACCCTACACCTCCCTACCCCGCAGGAGCAGCACTAGCACCAACACCAGCAGCGCCAGCAGCCGACGAGGCGGAGGACTGCGGCGACGCAGCTGGCAGCGGTGATGACGGTAACGGTGGTGGTGATGGCGGCGGTGCTGACGTCATTACCCCGGTGTCCACGAGTGCCGCCGCCACCGCCATCTCCACCTCGCCCACCGCCCCGTCACCTCCGCTGCACATGGCGGCGGAGGCGGCTGCTGCTGCTACTGCTGCAGCAGCCGCGTCGGCAGCAGCAGCGGTGGCGGCTGCGGTGGCTGCTGCTGCTGCTGCGGTTGGCACCGGTATTGTTGGAGCTGCTGTTGCGGGTGCTGGTGCTGAGGATGAGGGCGCCGACCCATGGGTCATGCGCTGCTGCTGGTGCGGGTGCTGCTGATGATATGCTTCGACTCCGTTTTGGGTAATGTGGCTGCTACTATCGGAGCTGCCTGCATGGCCAATTGGTGCGTTGGCAGAGGTCGTGCTGGTACTGCTGTTGTCGATGCTATAGCTGTCGTTCGTTTCGCTACTGCTGCTGTTGCAGCTGTTGGCGGTGTTGGGCTCCAGGTAGGCACTCCGGGCGGATACGAAGTTGCGCCAACCGCCACCGAACAACCGGAAGACCGGCATAACCTGCGTGAGCGGATCAGGAGGAGCAGTTGCATACGTTCTCTTCACAGATGTGCAAGTTGGAAAGCGCATTAAAAGCGCATTTGCGTGTAAAGTGAAACACATAATACAGCCATGCGCGCGTTACTTACCTTGATTACAGCCCAGACGCTGAACGTGCCCACGTTGCCCGAGCTCGCGATGTACAGCAGTGCAAAGTACTGTACGACAGATCCCGCGATCTGTACTGCAGACATGTAGGTGGACTGCTTGGCAGCCAGCAGAGATCCGTCCATGATGGAACCCGCGGCGTCAATGGCGAAGAAGATGCAAATGAGGGGCAGTGCCGACATCACCTGGGCGGGAGGAGGCGGAGCAGGAGGAGAGGAGGAGGCGGAGGGTAAGGGCGGAACAGAAACAGAAACGTGCCCAGCAAATGGAAGACGGTGAGTTCAGCTCAGAATGTGCATGCCTCCCCCCTCCCGGCTCCCCTCCTCACCAGCTGCACCACCGCCGTGTCCCTCGTGAAGACCGCGATGAGTGCGGGGTGCAGCAGCCACACCACCGCACCCGCACACCCGCCCACACACGTACCCAGCACCAGCAGACGACGGAGCAGCAGCGCCGCGGTGCGCACGTCCTGGGGGCGCGGGGTGTCGGGAGGTGGGGGTGGTAGGTGGGGCGGAGGTGGGCTAGTCGCATGGACGAAACCCCTTCCATGCGAACCGGCGCAACCCCAAGTACCCCATGAAGGTGTGTTGTCAGCAAGCAGACATGTGGTATGTGCACCGCCTGCCACGGCTACCAACACATGCACTAGCACACCCTACACCCTACACCCACCCCTCGTTGTCACTCCTTCCCCCACTCCTTCTTATCCTCAGCTGCCTCCAACACCGAACCACCCCGCCCCGCTCCCCCCCCACCTGCTGCCCCAACGCCGTGGCACACAGCGCCTGCGCCGCCACGGAGGCGCACTCGAAGAAGGGCATGGTGATCATCCACAGCTGCCGGAGCACCTCGAAGGAGGCCTGGAAGGCGGAGCCGCGCCGGGCGCACAGCGTGGAGGCAAACAGGATCATGCCTGCGGGGGAGGGGGTTGGGTGGGGGTTGCATGGTTGAATTCAGCGGTCGGCGGCGGCGGTCCTGATCAGCATGCAGGGAATGCCGGTGACCTATACGGCTGTACACGCCATCACCACTCGCGATTCAGTTGATGCTTTCACACCACCACCCATGAACCCACCACCGTAGAAGCACCAGCAGCCGCACTCCTCCTGCCAGCGCAGCGGCCCATGGGTCACACTCCCTCCTCCCTCCTCCCAACCTCCCTCCCTCCCTCCCGCCACCACCATCCTCTTCTCACCAAAGGTCACCATGTTCTTCGCGCCCAGCATGAAGCCCCGCTGCAGCAGCGGCAGCACCGCCCGCAGCGGCGGCGGGTCCGTCAGGTGTCGAGGTCGCACCTTGCGCCGCGCGATGAGGGCACCCACGAGCAGGGCGGAGGAGGCGAGGGAGGCGGCGGTAGAGGCCAGGGCGGCGCCCAACACACCCATGTGCAGGACTGGGGGGAGGTGAGAGGGGGGGGAGGTGGAGAGGACGTGGGGGCGTAGAGGGGCTCAGGAGGAGGGACACGGGGTGAGAGGAGTATGTGCCAAGAGGGATTGGCGAGGGGCCATGCAGGGGCCGACCCATGGTTCACACCGGTGCCTGCATGTTACCCCAAACACCACAACCCCTCTCAACCTCCCTCACTTGCTACCTGCTATTACCCCTGTCCTCCCCACCCCTCCTCCTCCGCTCACCGTTCAGCAGCAGCAGGTGGCTGCACAGGCTGAGTGCCACCGAGGCGGCAGTGCCAGCCAGCGGCGTGCGTGTGTCCTTGAAACCCCGGAACACCCCGGTAGCCACGAACCCCAGCAGGGCCGCGGGGATACCCAGTGAGCGGATCTGGATGTACTGAGTGGCCATGGCGGCTACGACAGCCTCGGGGGGCCTGAGGGCTGCAGCGGAGAAAGGGGGGGATGGTCAGGAGGAGGAGCAGGAGCAGGAGGGGCGTGTGTCAGGGAGGAGTCGGGCCCCCAAGAGAAGAGGTGGATCGGGTTGCGAGGGAAGGAAGAGGATCTTGCGCCCTGACGCCTGTGTACGCTTGCCGCAATCAAGTGCACGGCGTTGAAGTACAAGCTGCGTGTGCTGGTCGGATCTCTACCCGCAACCATCTCACCCGCAACGATGTTGGCCGCGTTGAGTCCGACGGCAGCAGCCGTGATGCAGCCGCAGCCGGCAGCAACCCACAGGCTCTGGGCGGTAACACGGGACACCTGGAAGGGGGGGGGAGAAAGAAATTCCAATGTGTGGTGTGGAGGGGTGGTGGTAAAGAGATGTACCAGAACCACAGGTTAGGGATAGATAGAGGGAAGCACCTGGAGGGGGGTGAGGTGAGGATGGTGGACGGGATGGTGCGGGGGTAGTGTTAGCTATTGGTAGGGATGATGCGGGGGTGGTGTTAGCTAGCCTCCGGAATTCTAGCCACGCTGCGCAGGCAGGTCTCACCTCTTCCTCGTCATTCTTGACGACCGCCGCTGCGACCTCCGGCACCGTCAGGAACAGCAGGAAGGAGAAAAGGAAGATGGCCGCGTTGAGCGCGATAGAGCCGATAGACACGGCGCTAAGCTGCTGGGTGCCAAGGTGCCCAACAAGGCCTGCATAGCAACATGCCATCGCAATGTAAGCCATGACATCCCTGCTACGAACGACATAGTCCGTAACGATGCGATACAATGTAACCGTAGCATGAATTCGGAGCATCGTGTCAAGGGGCGTCGAGCAAAACGTAAGAGCTGCGTCAGCCAGCCCCAAAATGCAATCCTACCCGCGTTAACCGCGTTGACCAGAGGCTCCAACGCTAGCCCAATAAAAGCTGGTATCGCCACTGCAAAGATCTCCTTGTCGTGCTCGGAGCATAGCGCCTTTGTCAGGCGACGCTTTATCCGGCCAACAACCGACTGCTCGTCCTGAAGTGCAGCAGCGGCTGCCGACGATGCTTGCAGCACAGCGCCTCTTATATGGTGTTGTCTAAGGAACAGTCCGCGGCTTATTAACGGAGGTCGTGCACCACAAACTCTGTCGACGCATGGGAGCCTCACGCAAGGCAGTGGGCGAGCTAGGCGCGCTTGCTGTGAAGCACTACAGATACGTTGGCAGGTATTCATCGTTGCGATTGTGCAGGGGTGGTCGGCTATGCCTGGTTATGACTGAAGCCTGAGGAAGCAGTGCATCTCAGCAGGATAACTTGTATGTGTGCAGTGAACAATAAGTTACTAGCTTGTACGTTGTCTTGTCAAGCCTATACGTGAAGCAGTAGGCGCGGTGGGTAAGTAAGAATTGCCCTAAAGTAGGGTTAGTAACCAGGGTGGCAGGGTCTCGGATTATCTTTTATTGCCACCTGAGAAACCCCAGTTTAATCCTAGCAAAGAAGATCATTGCAGACGCAACAAGCTCGACGTATGGAGGGTTGAGCTGCTGACGACCTTTCGGCTGGACCATGGGTCTGCGACGTTTGCAATCTGATACGTTTAGCAAGCAGAGCACCGCTGCACAAGCCAATAACAAAAAGGCTTTCGGAGTTCTAAAGTGCTGAAACACCGAACACCGAAACTCGGCCCCCACCCGCGGGCTCGGTCCATACCTGTTGAACGAGCCCGGACAAGCAGCCGGCTCTCCTCAACCTCCTAAACACTCCGACGGAACCCTTCTAGCCCTGGGCAGCCCTCACCCTCCCTAATCGCATCGTCCAACTGCGAGTAAATGCATGCAGGCAACTGCCTCGTCGTGTACACTGGCACGGCAGGACCATTCATCCCGCCGCAGCTGGCTCCTCCCATGGAGAATCATGCAAGCTAGATAGCGGTCGCACTTCCTAACACCGACACCCGAGATGTGCCGTTTGCCTTACCTGCCTGGTACCCCTGCCTGCCCCATCTACACCCGCCCGACCAGCAAGACGCTTCAGCCATGTGTTTGTTGCGCACTCCAGCCTATGCTTCACGCTTGCAGGCTTTCTTTATCGGCAGTTTTGGTGCCTTGTACGCGAAGCTGTGGCTGGCAGGATTCCCTCAGCACTCGATGGGCCTTGTTGATCGAGGCAGGCAAAACCGCAAAAGCCAACATCGTACCCACTACACGGCGCTCACTTACAAGTCCGTAGCCCCCACTTTCGCACGCCCAGGCCAACTACCAGTAGGGCAGTGCCAATGCTTCTTTACACATACGTCGCCTAATTTGTAAACAAAAGGCGGGCATGGGTGCATCGTACACCCCCATCCCCTGGACTTCTCTTCTTGTCCCTCTCTTTCATATCCTCTCTCCCGCTTCCGTTCTGTGAGCACACCTGTCGTGTGTGCAAGTTTGAAACGAGGAAATCCTAGCGCGCCTCGCACTCACTCCTTACTAACGGCTGCTTTACGCTCCCAACTGCAGCAAACACCCAAAACAACGCGCCAGACCCCACGGCACGCAAGCGCCGCCACACGTTACCGTAATCAACACATCCTTCAACAGCCGGACATCCTTGCTGCACCCCCTCCATCCATTCACACCCAACCCGTAATCCACACCAAACCCCCAAACCCCACACACTCACCCTCTGCCCTAACCCCACACCCATCATCACCATCATCATCTTTCGACCGTCCAGTACGTTCCTACTCGCGGCCAGTCTTCTTAAACACACACCCAGTCACCCTACACCACAAGTCCACCACCCTCTCTTTACTTGAGCGACTTGGATGCGATCTCAAACACGTTCTCACTCAGCCCGTTGGCCGCCACAATCCGCTCCAGCTGAGCCCGCATCATGGCCTGCCGCTCGCTGTCGTACTGGCGCCACGTGGTGAAACACGACACCATGCGGGCCGCGACCTGGGGGGGGGGTGGAGAAAGAGGCGGAGGTACATCACGTAAGGACGAATTCAAATCAGGGTTGCGCAACCCGCAAAACACATGTATGAACGGCGGTTTTCACTGTTCGCCCATTGTGTACCGCTTCCGTAGGAAGAGCAATTACCGTACATACGGTACCCCAAATACCGTACATGTTGCCGTGCGGTCGCACTGTCGTACAATCGTACCTGGTGGTTGATCGAATCCACCCGCAGTACGGCATCTCCCATGAACTCGTAACCGCTGCCATCCGCCGCATGGAAGTTGACGGGCGAGCGGCCAAAGCCCAGGAACAGCGAGTAGCAGTTGTTGGGGTTGGTGATGTTGAATGCGGGGTGTTCCACCAGGCCCTTGACCAGCGACACGTTGCCGGGGGCGTTGGAGGTGGCCTGCAGAGCAGCAGGGGGTGGGGGGTGCGGGGGGGCGGAGAGGGGTACAAAGAGGAGACAACTGACTGTGTTATTAGGTCGGGGAGGAGCGGAGGGGAGAGGTCGGAGGGGGTGCGGAGAGAGCCGCCAAACCAAACCAGGAGTGCGGAAGGGCAGGTTCAACGAGGTAGAAGGCGAGAAGCGAGAGTTAGCGGCCCTCGGTTGGGGCAGAGAGCGGGGAAGCCCGGTTGTTGCATGGTCTTCTACGTATTCGGCAACAGCCGGCTTCGAGTGACCTTATCCACATCACCCCTGCCCACCTGCAGCCCAAGCCACTTGAGCAGCACCAGCGGCTCGCTCCGGTACTTGTCGTAGAAGGCGGCCAGCGCGGTGTCGCGCTCCGGACCCGCCAGCTCCACCAGACAGCCCAGCGCCGCGATCTCGTCCGTCATGTTGGTGGCCTCCCTGCAGCGGGGGGAGGAGGGGGGAGGGGTAAGGGGCGGGGGGTCAAACACACACACACGGTGTGCCAGGGTGAGAGGGGCGGGGCACTAGGCAGCTTCACACTAGAGGCAGCTCTAGGGGCGTGACCTCGTGAGAGGGACTGTCGGTCGAGTGTAACACTCCTCTCTCCATACCCCTCTCCCATCTGCCATGGTGAAGCCTTGTTGCACAGCTCGTTAGTTGCCTCGTCAGTTTCCCAAGTAAACCCCCATCTCCCGTCAACACTCACTTGACCCTCCGCAGCAGCATGGCGGTGATCTCCGGCTCCTCCAGACTGCTCAACATGGCGAGGCAGCGGTTCTTGATGGCGCGACGGGCGCAGGCGGCAGCCGTGAAACTGGGGGTGTGGGGGAGGGAGGGAGGTTTCAGCAAGTGGAACACACAAACCGCTAGTCGTGCACTTCCCAACACCCGCTTTGGGTATATCTCTAGACCCCTCGCCCCCCAAACAGCTCATACAGCCCGAAGCAGTTGCCTCAGTTCTTTTTAAAACCCCCTCACCCAGTACCCGTCCCCCCCAAAAAAAAGCCCTAACTGGTATGGCTCCCCCGGCTCGTCATCATTCGCCTTCACCAGCGCCTCCAGCTGCGGCCGCAGTCGGGCCGCCAGCTGCCGTACCACGAACATGCGCACTTGGTGAAGCAGCGGGGGGTCGCCGCCGGGCAGGGAGTCCAGCAGCTCGTTGCCTGGTTAGGATCGGGATGTGCATGGGAGGAGGGGGTGGGGTGGGGTGGTGGTAAAGATAAAGGGGAATAACTGACGAGGCAACTAACGAGCTGAGGTGGGTGGGGGCTTAAGTTAGGACGGTATACCCGTTAGGATGCTTTTGCGATCTTGGGGGAAGAGAAGACATCCGGTGCTCCGGTGCATGGAACCCCGTTGCGCCCCCCAGCGCCCTCCCCCGTTAGAAACACAGCTACGGTCTTTGACCCCCCCCTTAAACCCCGCTACATGCCATCGTACCGTTAAATGGACTCCTCTGCACCCCAAGGAAACACCCTACTTTACCCTGGCCTCCCTCTTTCCCTGGGAATTCTTCCTATCCCTCCCTCCCTCACTCACTCACCAGTGGGCAGGCACACGGCCATGGCCTTGAAGCTGCCGTCCAGGGTCTGTCATGGGGGCAGGGGGAGCAGGGGGGGGGGGAGTGGGGTTGGAAGGACTGAAAGGGGCAGGGGAGGTAACAAGGCAGAAGGAGGGGGTGAGAGGGAAAGGGAAAGGGACCAGCCCCCATCCCGCGTTTGCTGAACCTGCCGGTACGGCATCCCTGCCCTGTCATCTCGCGTTTATATCCCCCCCCTTACCTCATCCTCCAGTACGGCACGGAAGGCCTCCACAACGGCATCGGGTACCCCGCCCGCTGCCGTACAACGGTCAGCAACCGCCTGCAACAAGGAAACAAGCAACAGAAGGCGGTTTCATTACTAATGAAAGGTGCGATGTACGAGGACGTTAGCGTATCTAATGCGTGTCATAGCACTTGAGAGTCTGTCCCCCCCCACCTGTGCGTTGTGTGCTCCCCCGCCCGCTGTCGCCGCCGCGTAGAGCTGCAGCAGCAGTTTGCGGGACAGCCGCTGACCCGCCTCCCACCTGGGGGAGAGGAGGGGGTAGGAGGGGGAGAGGGAGGGGGTTCAAATGAGACCGAACACACAAGGAAACCACAAATGGGCAAGTTAATTGGGAAGTGAGGGGAGGAGGTAACGAGGAAGAAAAGGACGGGCTGTATGACGAACCCCCCTCCCCACACACACAATCTACGATTGGGACTATACTTACCTATCAATTTCCCCCCCTCCCGCCCACCTGTTGAATGGGTCGCTGTCATGAGCCAGCAGGAACAGCAGCTGCGCCTCCGACTGCCCCTCCACCTCCATCTTGACGGGCGCGGAGAAGCCGCGCAGCAGCGAGGGGACGGGCTCGGAGGGGACGTCCAGGAAGGTGAAGGTGGCCTCGGTGGTCTCGAAACGCAACACGCCTGGGTGGAGAGTTAAGGAGGTTTGAGCGCAGGTGTATAAAGGCGGATGGAGGGGCAAGCAACACACAACGGTGGCGTCGGACGCCTATTGGGGTGCAGAACGCCTTTTGCTGTGCTGGGGATAACTCCTCCACCTCCACCTCCACCTCCCCCCTCTCCTCCCACTCATTCCCACTCACCCGTGCTGCCCAGGTCCGTCACGCTGCCATCCGCGCCCTGCAGCCGCAGCGGCATGTCCGAACCTGTACGGCAGAGAAGAAGAGTATGTACGGCAGAATACGGCAAACAAAAGTAGGTGTCCAAGTACGACAAGGTTAGGGAAAAAACACATCACAGAAGGGTACGGAAGGATCGCGTGTCACGCCCTGCCAGCATGTACGACAAGGCTAGAGGTAATCATGTTACTACCAAGATCAACAGCAGCCCCGCATACCGGTACCCGCGCAGCTCCGCTTCATTACTCCTCACCCCCCCAGCCCTCCACCTCCGGCTCCTAACCTAACCTCCCCCCCGCACCCAACCCGCCATCGGGCCCCAGCAGCCCCAGCTTGATGGGGATGAGCACCGGCAGCTTGGAGTCCTGGGGAGGGGGAAACGGGACAGGGGTTGATGCGGCTCCAAGAGGATAAGAGGTGACACATACAATCCAGTGTGAAGCACCGATGCCTACTTCATGTGCATGTGTGTTCATCTGCCTGTGCGTCTGCCGGGGGTGGGTCTAAAACTCTGCGTGGTCCTGCAACCACTGTAAAGCACCGATGCCGCTGTCTCCTTCATGCGGCTGTGCGTTCATCGGCACGTGCGTCTGCAACGGTTGGGGGGTCTGCGAGGGGTGTCCCTGTCCCTGTCCCTGTGACCCGCGCACCTGCCCCGGACCCGGCGGCGTGTGCTGCTTGCACGTGAGGCGGTAGGTGCGGGAGGGCGCGTCGTAGGAGGAGGAGACGTGCAGGTGCGGGGTGCCGGACTGGGAGTACCACCTGGGGGAGGGAGGGAGGGGGGAAGGGGGGATGAGAAGACCCAATGTGGGGAAGGGGGGGATGGATGAGGGGAGAAGAAGACCCACTATCGTTGAGTGATAGTGGCAGACTAGGTGACAAGCTCCTGGGGCAGAGGGAGTAGGGGTGTAGGGCGTATATAGATAGATAGCTTGTCTGTGCTGACCCACGGGTCGCTTCGCTTGGACCCCAATCTATCGGCTGACCCACGGGTCGCCTGTGCCCCACCCACCCTCCCGCCCACCTGCCCAGCGTATCCAGGTTGACCCCGTTCGCATCCGCCATGGCTGCCAGGAAGTCATCGCAGGTGACCGCATGTCCGTCGTGGCGCTGGAAGTAGAGGTCCATGCCTGGGGACATGGGGGGGGGGAGGGTAGTGGGTAATGAGCGAATGAGGGCATGGGGGGGGACCGATTGCGATATCTACGACCACGTTTAGGGGGGGTCCAGCACAGGTCCGGTACCTAAAAAACCCACCACCCCAACCCCTCCCTCCCTCGCCCTGTTTGCATTTCTTATACAATTCCCCCCTCAACCATGATGATGTCTTATCACACAGTCAGTTAGTTCTTTCCCCTTTACCCCCCCATCCTCCCCCTTTCCCCCCCTCACCCTTCCGAAACCCCTCCTTGCCCAGCAGCGTGTCGTACAGTCGTACCACCTCCGCCCCCTTCTCGTACACCGTGACCGTGTAAAAGTTGTCCATCTTGATGTAGGACTCGGGGCGGATGGGGTGAGACATGGGGCCCGCGTCCTCAGTGAACTGCAGGCGGGGGGTTAATATGGTTGAAGATTCCGCGGGGGGGGGGGAAAGGGGGGAAATCAAATAAGTGAAAGAACGAGTCCCAACGAGTCCAGGGGGGGAAGGGGGGGAGGAAGGAAAACCGTGTGTTAAGAAAAAACAGGGCGCAGGTCGGAACGTACTGCGTGTGGGGTGGGGACTAGGGTAAAAGGCGAGGGAGAAGGGGAGACGGGGAAGGGGATTCCGATCCCCCCCCACACACCCCCATACATAACACCCCCCACCCACGCACCTGCGAGCTGCGCAGCATCATGACGTCCTCGATGCGCTTCACGGGGCGGCTGTTCATGTCGGCAGTGAACTCCTGTGGTTTGGAGGAGGGAGAGAGACGGAGAGGGAGAGGGTAAGGTGTATAGGGTTAAGGCTGGTAGATGTAAGAACTGGGTGAAGGGAAGGGAAAGGAAACACTGTGTCCCATTTCCCCAACCCCTCCTTCCGCTCCCGACTCCCCCCCCAGCCCCCCGTTGTTGCGCTTATCTTTTATTCCCACCCCTCTCCTCCCCCACCCCTCCCTTCACCTGGTCCCGAAACACCGTGAGCCCCTCCTTGAGGGTCAGCTGGAACCAGTCGCGGCAGGTCACCCGGTTACCCGTCCAGTTATGGAAGTACTCGTGCCCCACCACCCCTTCGATGCGACTGTAGTCCAGGTCGGTGGCGGTCTGGGGGGAGGCGAGGACCAGCCTGGGGACAGGGGGGAGGGGGGTTTCAGGGGGGCCAGGGGGTGAAGGGAGGCAAAAAGACCTGCTCTTTGTGCAGGTCTACGTTTTTATTTTTTGTTTTGCCACATCAATGTTTCGTGGTGAGCGCCCGAATTGAGTGCAATGGTGCCTCGAGGAGGGGAGGAAGGGGGCCATCACCACAGACCAAAGCCTTTTGAGGAAGTGGGGGCAAAGACAACCCCCCCTCCCCTCCACCGCCCTGATGCACTCATCTACACTTTTCCCCCCTCCCCTTCAACGCCCTCCCTCCCCCTCCCGCCCCCCACCTGCTGTTGAATATGTTGAGGCTCTTGTTCTCCATGGCCCCCATGTTGAAGTCGTCCACCGCCACGATGTTGAAGAGGTCCAGGTCGTACTCCAGACCGAAGGTGTCCTCGTCCCACCGCATGGACCGCACCAGCGAGTCCAGCGCATGGTCGACCTGGGTGGGGGGGGTGGAAAATTATAAATAAGTGCAACAACACAATCAGGGGGGGCAGGAGGCAAAGTGGGGGGAGGAACTTAAATAAGTGAAACGAGTCCCAATCCCATATCCCGACTCATGCAGTGATCGCATTCGGAGACAGGGAGACAGGCGTGCCAAGGGGGTTGGTTGGGAGTCGTCAAGAGTCTGCAGTCGTAAACAACAGGGTGCAAATTTCTGGACCATTCACAACCATACCCTACCTCCGGCAGGGTACACACACACGTGTATGCTTTTCAAGCTCAGGTCTGAAATGCATCTTCTTTTCTTATTTTTTACACGATCACACATCCGCGGCTCTCTTACAACATGCCCCACCCCCACCCCAACCTACAGCGGGGTGTGTATTCCCTTGATGCGCCCCCCCTCCCCTCCCCCACCTTGCCGAGGTTGCCCTCCTGCACGAATATGCGCAGCGCCACCTGCCGCCCGCTGCGAGTGGTGAAGGCCCGCTCCTTCATGGCCAGCTTGCCTGCCACCAGCGCGAAGAGGTAGCAGGGCTTGGGGTAGGGGTCCTCCCACACAGCGTAGTGCCTGGCAGGGGGGGGGGAGGACGCGAGTAGGTGGGACGGGGGTTGGGAGATGTGTATGTACTTCGCACCACCCCGTGCCAACAACCCACACGTAAAGTAACCCCCATATCTCCCAGTCCTCCTTACTTCTTGCTGCCCCCCAGCCCCATGCCACCCCCCGCTCACCCCCCCACCTCCCCTACCTCCCCCCCCCCATCGCTCCTTCCCCCCTCCTCACCTCCCCCCCTCCAGCTTGCCGCTCTCCTTGAGGTTGCCATTACCCAGCAGCACCGGGTAGGCCGCCTCGTCCGCCTCCATACGGGTGGTGTACCTGGGGGGGGGGGGGGGGTGCATGCATTGGGGGGGGGGGGAGGGTTAACATGGGGATGACATTTATTTTGGAGGCTTCGGACCGTCTTCCCACACGTTTCCCCCCACCCCACACAACCACTTTATTCCCCACAGCCAGCTCCTCCCACCCACCCAACCCACACAGACCGGTTAGTGCCCTCCTCTTTCCCCCCCCATTGCTTTGCCCTAACCTGTGGCCTTGGTATACCTCTGACGTCCCCACCATAATATCCGCCCCTCTCCACACACACCCCCTCCCCCCTCCCCCCTGTAACCCACGTTGCCATGACATCGGGTCGGTCCAGGAAGTAGGTAATACCTCGGAAGCCCTCCGCCTCGCACTGGGGGGGGGGGGAGGAGTGGGGGGGAGGATGGGAGGGGAGAGGGGGGAGAGAAGGAGGAGGAGGGGAGGGGGGAATGATAATCGGGAAGGGAGAATCGAGAGCCCTGACTCGGAGCCCCCTTCACCTCCTGGCCTTGGTCCTCGTCCCGACCTAGGGCCCCATGCAAGCCCCTTTCCGCCTAGCAGCTACCCTACAACTACCCCCCCCTCTTAACTCCCAACCCGCCCCCTGCCGCCTCGACACAAAGACCCCTTTTGCTCCCCAGCCGCCCCTCCCCGCTCTCCTAGCTCCCTCCCCGCCACCATCCCACCCCTCCCTCCCCCAATTACCTGCGTGCAGAAGTTCCCCGACGACTTGTACAGCCCCTCCAGCAGCGAGTTGTCCTGGGGGCGCAGCTGCGTCACCACCTCCAGCTCGAACTCGCCTGGGGGGGGAGGAAAAGGGGTGAGGGGGGTGGAGGGTTGAGGGGGTGCGGGGTTGAGGAGAGGGAGGGTGAGGGGGTGAAGGAGGGGGCGAGGGCTCAAACAGGGGGCTCAAGAGGGGGGCTTGAGGAGGAGGAGGAGGAGGAGGAGGAGGAGGAGGCCAACAGCGCCGCGCATCCTCCCCACAAGCAAGCTTGCTCCCGGGTCCCCCCATCACACCACCACCCCGCTACCCCTACCCCGCCTCCCCCTGCCCCCCTCCTGCCCTGCCTGCCCCACCCTCCCGCATCCTTCTGCGCCCAGCTGCTCCGCCCCGCCCGCCCCAACCCCTCTTCCATCTGTCTAGCCGCTCACCTCGCCCCTCGCTTCCCCTGCCAGGCCCCACCCACCCCCACTCCGCTCCAGCCCCTCCACTCTACCACCCCCTCCCGCTTCCAAGCCCCCCAACCCCCACCCCTCCCACCCCCCGCCCCCCTCTCACCCTCCGGCAGGTTGGCGATGGTGAGCGCCTTCTCCGTCAGCAGGTACTGATCCTGCCCCAGCTGCTGCCCGCCCACCGCCACGCTCACCAGCACAATGTCCTTGCGACCGTCCAGCTGTAGAGCGGGGCGGGAGGTGCCTGGAGGAGGGGTGGGGGAGGAGTGGGTGGCAGGGTGGGGGTAAGGACTAGGGAGGGATACATATACCGTATTGGGCTGGGTTATGGAGGGTGATGCGACTCGCTCGCATGCCCCGTCACTCGCGCCAATCTCGCGCACCCACCCTTCCCCGCTCTCGTAAGGTTGCCTCGTCAGGTTCCTTATTTCTACCCCTCTGCCCTCAATTCCATCCACCCACCCATCTTATCCCTCAGTCAGTCAGTTGTTTCCTCTTTACCCTCCCTCCACCCCCACCCGCATCCACCCACCCTCCGGCAGGCTGCCATAGTTGGGCTGCAGGTGCAGGCGCGAGGTCACCAGCGTGGTGTCCTCGCCCAGCTTGAAATCTAGGTGTACGGCGGAGATGGTGTACGGCGGGGGGGCGTAGTCCTTTCGGAACTTCTGCTGGGGAGCGGAGGGGTGTGGCGGCAGCTTGTGTTCCTCGGTTTGGATCTGCGGGGGTGGGGGTGGGGGTAGGGGTGGGGGGGGGGGCAAAGAGGAAAGACTAACTCACGTGGGATAAGGCGTCATCCATGGTTTGCAACATGTAAGCCAGCCCGACCCGCCCAGCCCGAATTAGGATAGCCAGTGGGGCGGTGGGTAACGGCAGGAAGAGACCGAGGAATTGTGCGGGGTGCGGGTGGATTGAGGGTGGGGCATTGTGGTGGGTGGTGCGGGTGGTTGGGAGGGGTGGAGGAATGGGTGCGACTGCGGTGTGGTGTTAGGGGGGAGAAGGGGAGTGAATGTGATTAGGAAGAGCGGTTGGGAAGGGTGGGGGCACACCCCCTCGGCGTCTAGAGCACCTAGGGATCATACACGCCGGGATCACGCACGGGGGGGCCGGGGCTGCTGGTGTGGCTTAGGCGCGTATGCACAAACGCCTTGGAGCGTTGCACGGCGGGTTGATGACCTTTGCACGGGCATCATGCGGGAGTCAGAGAAGCTAGAAGAGGTCCCTTGGATTTAACTATCAACTCATAAGGAGCACTTTTGTATGCTCTGACGAAGCGCTATTTACTGCACCCTTGGCACGGCTGGTATAACCAAGATCCTGTGAGATCTGCACCCAGCCATGGGCCCTCCCCAAACGAAGTACTAAGCCCATACGAACCTCGGGGATCTCCTCCGTCTCCGTAGCTGCGGTCGCCATTTGCCCGCTGCGAACGATAAAACGACTGGAGTGCTGGGTCGGCTCCTGATGCCGAAAGCTTATGCGAGGCGAGGCAAAAGCTGGCGACGGGGTAATTGCTGGGCCAGACACAACACCTGTGAAATTGGTGAGCAGATCAGAAGTAAGCTTAGCGCAGTATAGTAAAAAGAGGTTGACAACTGAGTAACACGCTAGGAAGCAACCTAACTGATGCCCTATTGCATACCTTGTATGCAGTAACTTATAAGAGACAGAGTATACTAAAAGTAACAAAGCCACTTGCTAGTTACATGTGACAGCTGCTCTACTGCAAGGTAAATGTGCCGGACTAGGACCACCTAATCCATTTAGCCCTAGCTTACCGCGAGCAAGTGCTGTGGGAAGAACTGCAAAATGCCTTGACCTGATAAGCTTGGAAAATGTGGATGGGCGGAGAAGAAGCATGGCAGCAAAGTTGTGGTGGCGACCCCTTTGCGAGGAACACGCTGCGAGACGGACTGATCCGTCAACACGAAGTCGAGCGTGACTTGTTTGCGTGGAAGCGACAAGCATCCTTCAAGTCAATGATTCGCGCGTCGTGGGCTCAGCGTACGAAGCTTGCAGCTTGCAAGTTAACGACCTGACAAAGAACCGCACAGCGAAAGCAAAGGCCACACAAACGAATGTTTTAGGGTATTGTAGCCAGCGCTTATGATTGTTATGAATTACAGCCTGATGCGCTTAAAGCACGCTGCTCGCGTCAAGGGGTCGTAGGTAAGATTACGATAAAGCGCCCCCGCTAGACGTCACCAACGTCACCGACCAAAGCCCATTGTAAATCATCTCTTCCCGAACAACTATCTCGCTTACATTTTCTGCAACCGATGGGGCTACTGCTGTGCCCAAACAACAGGCATCCATGACTGATGGCATCGAGTGGCATTACAGCCAGCCAACCACGCTTCCTCTACTTGCATCCCCAAATGACAAAATGGACTGCTTTTACCCCTTAAAAGCCCTATTTTACTAATTCTTAACTCGCTAGCCGCACGATAAACGACACACGGAAGCAGGTGCTTAGGAACGACCCACGGGACACCGCCGAGCCAGGCGAGCACGCATCCACCATCAAGCACCACTGCACCAGACGCCCGGACAACAGCCGCACAAGTGCACCTCTCCTCGGTCGATCGATAGCTACGGCCAGGACAGTACACAACTAGCCTTGTCGATTAACAGTACGCAACTTAGCAGAGCACACAACCTTTGCATATATACCGTACACCAAGCTCCTCATGACTGCATACCCCCATTCATCGGTTACTCCCCATCCAAGCGGCTCACCTCTCCCTCCTCTCCCTCCTTTCCCTTCTCCCGCCTCACCTTTTCTCACCTCATACTGGCACTCACTACCTCACCCGTCCGACAGCACGTCACGACCGAGTACCATACACGCATGCGCTTGGGTGGGGACAACATCATCTTCCGACAATCCAGTGCGGTTTACTGCTCGCGGCCAGCTTTGTCAACACGCATGCAAGCCCGGTGCGAACAAACAGTCCCATCCCACTTCACGTGTTCGCCGTTCCTACCGGTGTGTCTACCTCGCCCTCTGCGCCACTCGCTGTAGCCTCACCTCCGTTGCTTCACTTTTCATTTACTTATCCCTCCTCCTCAGCAGCACCCGGTACACCGGCTGCCCCTTCTGTGTTACGGCGAACTCCCGCTCCGTGGGCACCCCCACCGGGTTGACCGCCAGCCACCCCCCGGCAGCCCACTGCGGGTTCAACAGAAGCAAATCACCATCACTGCTACTGCTGTTGCCGCTGCTAGTGCTGCTGCTGCTGCTGGTACTGTTGCCGGCGCTGTGGGTGCTAAGACTGCCGCTGCCCTCGTCTCCACGTTCTCCGTCACTGCTGCTGTCACTGTCGCTGTCGCCGTCGCTGTCGGCTGTCGCCTCGCCTCGAACGGTAGAACTGCATAGCGGGGAGCTCACTGCTGCTGCTACTGGTCTGTGTTCTATTGGTGCTGCATGGGAGGGGTCATTGGTATGTCCGCCGTCGCTGCTGGTGGCGGTGCTGCTGCTGGTGACACTGTCAACATCGTGAGTGACGTCCCCTCGGCTCTGCTGACGGAGGGTTTTGTTATGGTGTATGCGGGATGAAGCTTGGGAGGAGGTGTTCGGGTGGTCAGGTAAGCAGCTGCCGCAGCTAGCCGCTGCCGTACCTCCTGTCGTTCCCGCCATTTCCGCCGTTTGTCGTACACCAACCGCCGCTACTACTTCCGTACCATCCAATGCCGCCGCTGCTGCTGCTGCTGCCAGTGCGTCCGGTTCATGACCCATGGGTCGCTCTTCACTGACCCCACCACCACCATTGCTACTGAGAGAGATGGCGTTGATACCGGTACTATCCCCGCTGCCGCTGCTGCTGCTGCTGCTGTCATCAGCCTCCCTAATGCCGCTGCGGCTGCTGCCACCGCCGTCCTCCTTGTTATCGGCAACACGAATGCTACTACTACAGGTGTTACCGGTACTACTTTTAACGGTGCTAACAGGGCCGCTGAAGAACACGGCTTGTGGTTCGGAGTGCTGGGGTGCCAGCTCAAACGCTGCTGCGCCGTACGCCTCAAAGCTGTCGCGCATGGCAGCTGCTACCGGCTCAATGTCGGACTGCAGCAGCAGCAGGCCTGCGGGGGGTGGTGGTTGGTTGGATGGTGCATGTAGTTACAGTTACGGGTAGTTGAAAAGCGGTTGTTAACATGGGATGCGATTAGGGCACCGTCAGTTTGTGTATACCAGTACCCTGTTCGTGCAAACGTATACATCCCCGGTTCCCCGGTCCATGCTTACCCCCAGGCGCCATGGCATCACCCAGCGCCTCCACGAGCTCGCGCTGCACCACTCGCCGCTTGTGGTGCCGCCGCTTGAAGTGACTGGCAAGGGGGGAGAGGAGGGGGAGCAGGTGCAGGAGCAGCAGCGGGAGCAGGCGGTGACTTAAAGGGTGGGAGCAGCAGCGGGAGCAGGCGGTGAGGAGTTAAAAGTCAATAGCTCCTGCACTTGCCAGCAGGCCACTGTTTCGTGACGAATTTGTTCCCGCCGTGTCCTTCCCCTTCCCATCTCAACACCCGCAAACTCCCTCTTCTCCCATCCTCTTATTGCCATGTGTCCTAACCAAAGCCCCCCCCCACCAACAGCCCTCATGCCATGAGCCCATGACCCATCATGCTCTGCCGTCTGCCCCCTCCTAGCAGCCCCCATGCCCCCATGCCATGACCCACGGGTCGGGGAACTGAATGAAGACCTCCTCCAGCGGCCCCGGGTAGCCCCGCAGCAGCAGGGGGGCGCTCACTGTGGCGTTTCCGAACACGTAGTGCACCTGGCCGCCCAGACCCAGCCGCTCCGACCAGGCGTTGGACCGGTCCACGAGCTGTGCATGGTGGTGGGGAGCGGGCAGGGGAGCAGGAGGACGCATGCATGTGGGGGTAAAGAAGTTGATGAAGAGAGGCAGCAGGACGCATGCATGCATGCATGCATGTAGGGGATAAAAAGGTGAAGCTGTTATTAAAACTGCTCCTACTAATCGTACCGAGACGAGTCCCTAGTTACCGTACAATCCGTGCCCATACGCACCGGTTTTCGGATTTCCACCCCCAAGTAGTTTATCTTTTTGTCAGGTCTGCTGCGTTGCAGCAGCAGCAGGAAGCGACCGTATCCACTGCCGATGTCCAGCGCTAACGGCAGGCTGGGGTCAGCAAACACAGCAGACCAGTCGGGTGGAGCGGTGGGGGCCTGGAATTCCCGACGCAGGGGGTTCACGTGCTGTCGTACACGGGTCTTGCCGGTCTGTACGGAAGTGTACGAACGTGTATGAAGGGGGGTGCCGTACGTGAGTTGCATGTGTGCGCAAGGTATTAGCTCGTCAGCCAAGGAAACCGATAAGAGGCTAGGTTTGAATGCTTTGTCCGAGCTTCTCGTCACCCCATGTTATCCCATGGAAGAGACAACAGGCTAAGAGGCCTAGAGATCCAGACTTAGGCAAGGGCTGGGTGAGAAGCTTTATGACCAAACCGTGTTTGTGTGTTCTCACCCCGTCCCAGAGCTCCATAAGCTCGAGTTCATGGAAGGGAGAGCCGACGCTATCCGCTGGTTTGGCGCCGACCCATGATGGCGGATTGGCATGGGCAGTGAGCCGCTGTGCTCGGAAGGGCTGGTGGGGCAGCGGGCGGGTGTAACGATGGCGACAGAGATTATGCAGGCGTGGGACAGTCGAGTTGAATGCCGGGAGAGGTCGTGTTGAGAGACTCCAGCAGGGCGGTTGGCGATGGATGTCAAAACATAACTCGGGATTCAGGGAACCTAGAATAGTGTACTTAGTCGCTTCAAAACCTCATAATGTAAATATTGAAGCATCTGGCTCCTTGCATTAGTATGGGCGAAGTCACAGGGCAACGTACCGTCGGAGCATGTCCGGCCTCCCTCGTCCCAACGCCAGCAGCCGAGCTTTTTGTCGCGCGGGTAGCGCAGCGTAGAGCTCCAGGAATGCGCACTAAGACGTCGGTGGGATGCGCCACGGAATCCGCCGTTGTCCGGCGACCGCAAACTGCCGTCCGGTGCATGTACCAGGCTTGCATCTACCAGAGCCGCAATACGTGTTTAGTGTGTTGCGTCTATGTCATGATTCGCATGCGCGAATTGCCCAGCTAGTACATGCAACAAGCGCCTTTTGCCGTATTAAGCCCTGCTGACCCAGATGCAATGATGGTAGTCTTTCACGTGCTTCTAGCTTGTCGCAGAGTTCATTGCAGTTCCAGAAAATACTCAAATAGATAATCGCTTCAATCGCACAGCCTTGTCCTGACGTTTGCTCTCAACTGCAACTCCTTTGCATCTTCTTTCCTTTACAACTTTTAATACCTTACACCTATTCACTGTCAGGACACTAGCAACAATGCTTGAAGTATTGTTTGGAAAGAAGAAAACACCTGCAGGTAGTTGGCTGTCGAGAGCTAGACGTAACTGGTCCTGTCTCGCTGCCCTGGAGTTGAGCGGGCCTTTACGCCAGTGAATACATCACGCAGAGCTCTTACGGGAGAACAAGCGGCAGTTGGATAAGGCTATCAGGGAGCTCGATCGAGAACGCATGGCTCTGCAGCAGCAGGAAAAGAAAACAGTAATGGAGATTAAAAAGATGGCAAAGGAGGGGCAAATGGTAAGCAGGCTGCCCATAGCAATGTTTGGTAGCCTCACCATCCAGTCGCCCCATGGGCCATGTTTCGCCTTTCCTCAAACCCCACCACGCGTACCGCGCGCCTCCACACGCTTGCATGAGCCCTAATAACTACACCACCACTCTTACCATCAATAATTACCTCCTTGCCAACAGGAAGCGGTCAAGGTGATGGCCAAGTCACTCGTTCGCAATCGACATGCCGTCACAAAGATGTACGGCCTCAAATCCGAGCTGCAGGCGGTGTCACTGCGGCTCGCAGTAAGTCCCCCTCCCTACGTAGCGTACCAGCCTCAAACCCTTCTTCATATTGTCGGAGACCCCACTTGAGACTAGGGCTGCTGCCCCAGAGCACTTGGTTGCTGTAGGGCAGTGTGGCTGAGCTTTGTGTCTTTTTGGTTTGGCGGTGTCAAAAACGTATACCAAACCACAAGCGGGTACACTACAAAGGTGTACGGCACTGCTGCTGCTGCTGCTGCGGTTACTGTTCGCCGGTGCCATGGAAGCTCCTGCTGCCCCTCTCCCGCTGTCCTCTCCCTCTCCCTAGCCTTGCCTTGCCTTGCCTTGCCTCTCCCCATTGCCTTGCCTTCTCCTTGGTGTCCATGGCAACGTGCTGTCTTCTCTCCGACCCCCCCGCTCCTGCTGCTGCTCCCCTCCCGCTGCCCCGCAGACGCTCAAGTCTACTCAGGCCATGGCGGACGCGATGCGGGGGGCCACCAAGGTGGGCATTCATCCGGCGTCCCTTACAGCATGCAATGCGGTGGTGCACATATGCCCCGCGCATGCAATGCAATGCATGCAATGCGCTGATGCCCCTCGCAGCCGCATGGCAGCACGGGTGCCAGCATGCTGCGGTGCAAGGGGGCAGCTGGCCGTCGCTGTTGCCATTGTCATTGTTGCAGGAGTGTTGTATTCAAGATTCAACAGAGAAGACGGGTGCCGCCCCTGCGGCTGAACCTGTGTACGACTCCTGCGGCTGCCTCCTTGTGGCTGCCCCTCTCCTCCTCCTTCTCCCTCCTCGCTGCACCCCCCCCCCCCGCCCACATAGTTCCACGGTCACATGGTTCCCTTGTTGCTGCACCCTCACTTGCTCTACCTTCACGCATGCACTCCTTCTTTCCCTCAGGCCATGCGCGCCATGAACCGGCGCCTCAACCTGCCCAACCTGCAAGCAATCATGCGGGAGTTCGAGCGGCAGAACGAGCGCATGGAGATGACGAGCGAGATGATGGGGGACGCGGTGGACGATGCGTTGCAGGTGGGGTGGGGGGTTTGGGTAAGAATAAATGAAGAGTGAAGCAAACGGAGTCCCAATCCCAAATCCCGGTAAGGAGGTGGGGTGCTTACGAGGAGGAGCCGGAAAGGGCCTTGGGGACTTGGGGTTACCGATAGTAGCTGCGCGAGGCGCTGTTGCCGTACGCCTCTATGGAATACGCAGGTATGGCTGTACTGCCCTGCATGGTTACCTCCACCGCTGCATGGTTGACTGCTTGCCCTCCCTATCCCCTGCTGCATGGTTACCTCCATACCTTGTGCGCACTCTGCTGCAGGACGAGGGCGAGGAGGAGGAGACGGACAACCTGGTAAACCAAGTCCTGGATGAGATTGGCATCGGCAACATGTCGGAGGTGAGAAGATGGGGGGGATTGGGAAGGGAGGGGGTGAATTCGCCTGCGTTTCGGGCGTGTATACCGATGCCAAGCGAGTGTGTTATTCGTGCGTTGCTTATACGTGCACATGCCTTGCATGTAATGCGTTTCCGCCTCTTTTGTCCTCCTTGGGAAAAAATTGCGATCTCCTCGCGTCCGATCCCGTTTCACCCTTCTTGCGTCCTTTCTTGCAGCTGGCCTCCGCGCCCGGCACTCGGATGGCGGAGAAGCCGCAGGCCGCTCCGGTGGCCATGGCGGAGGCGGAGGGCGGCGGTGCCGGTGGCGGCGGTGGAGGCGGTGGAGGCATCGATGAGGACTTGCAGGCGCGGCTGGACAACCTTCGCAAGTCCTAAAGGGGCGCTTGCTAGATGATGATGGTGGTGGTGGTGGTGTCGTGATGGTGGTGGTATTGGTGTTGGACGGTACGGACTCCGTGTAAACACGTGGCGCACTTATCCACCCGTGTTTATCTCCATGTGCGCATCATCAACCCCTGACCGGCAGAGAGCTTTTGCAAGCATGGTGGGCAACTCATTCGAGTTGCCGCAGCCGCAAAAGAAGTTACCATGGCGGTAATAAGACGTGGCTCATTGGAATGACCCATGGGTCATGCGCATGCCTAGAAGGTCGCTGTGCTCCGAGTCATGGTGCGGGGTTCTTGGAGGGCTATCGAGGGCGGGTTTTGGAGGCGCCTTGCGGGTGTACGTGTGGCATGTACAGGATTGGAGCACAACATCCGCTGCATATTGGGTGCCTGCTGGTTTTGTACGATATGAATACGCACAATATAAACACACCGACCTAGCAAGCACCCTGAAGTCTGGACTGGGCAGGAGAACGGGTAGAGGCTGATGATGGAGGCTAGTCGGGGCAGCGTTGTGTGGGAGGTGCGGGCGGCTAGTTGCCAAGCATGCGTGGTTTACGTGGATGCGAGGGCAAACGTGGTTTCAGACATTACTTAAGGTTTGAACTAGTGCTCAGACCTAAGAGATACAGGCACGCCAATCACAACCAAGCTACGTAGCTACTGGACGGCAGCCTTGCCTACCGGTATGTGTGCGTCTGTTAATTGGGTTGCAAGGTCGGTTAGTGTACGGCGTTTGGCATGGTGTATAGAGAGGAAGGGGTGTTAGGAGGGGGTTTGGTCACAGTTGGGCGCATTTACTCGTTGTTGCATGGAGAGCATGGGCTGCATGAGAGGTTGCATGGGCAGATGCGGGGCTCTGGGGCCTTGCCGTGCAAGCAGCAGGGGGACGTGGTTGGCACCTGGTGTTGCTGCTGAAGTGTCTACTGCTGCTGAAATGGTTAGGCAATATCGGCGTTGTCAGACAGGCTGCACGCTGGCAACCGTTACAAGGGGGCGCACGCGTCACAGCACCTGTGTGTAGCACGAGAGGAAGCCCTGCTGCAGTTGCTTGGAATAGCTTATTCCGCTTGCCGTATGAGGAGATAGCTTATCCTCATCCGGCAGGCGGAATGTGCTCGTATTTACAAGGCAGCAGAGATGCAGCGGGCAGGGAGACGTTGCAGGGTAGTCACGAGTCTTATATGGACAGGGTCTAGGCGGGCGGGCCGTGTTAGCGTACTTCGGTATCGTTGACTAGCATGAGCAAGGGGCAACTCTGAACCTAATTCCGCAAGTAAAAGCGCAACTATGGGCCACTGTCTTTAAAGGTTGAAAACGCTACATAGCATGTGTGCATGGGATCCGAGGAGGAGCGTGGCGAGAACCAGCGCCGTCTGCGCAAGCATACAACCGAGGACAAAGGTGCGCATGGCAAATTTTATATTTCGCGATATCCTAGTGAAAGGTTTCGCCATATAAAAGGGGTTCCCACCTCCCCAAAGCGGTAAACGCTACCTGGAAGATAAGAACCGACAACTGAGAGCTACGACACTGAATCTAATATTTGGACGAGCGAGCCTGGCACTCTTGGCAGAATCCTACAGCGTGTCTATGCGGTAGATCTCGGCCCCATCTAAAACCAAAGTTTAGCAAAACTTTAGGCAGGAAATAGCGAGCCCCCTAACGGAGCTGCGCCACCACGGACGGCGCCTCACTTTAGCCAGGCGGACTTGTAGACGCAAAATGAACTATAATTGTTACAGATCGTATAGATCCACATGTTTTTGGTATGCGGACGCACACGTGCTTTGTACATAGTCGGAGAACGTGGGTGGAAAGGTCGATGAGAATGGCCATGGCGCAACAACGCTAGTTTCTATCTTTAGCTAGAGCTCTTAAGCAAGCGCTGGAACGCGAAAAGAAATAGGGCATTAGCTGCAAGTTCACTGGAGCAATGGAGGGATTTGCGCCCGCGAACGCACAAGGCGCACGACGACAAGTTTCAGAAGCAGATACAGCGCTTTCAAATGTGATTACGAGCGTCACAGTTTCACAACAGGAATCCCAGGGGCAGGCGTCTGAGCAAGCAGCGGGAAGCACAGGAGAGCCACCCAGCCCCGTGAGTATATATGCACTACCTTTTATTTTGTATGTAATAACTCGTGCATAGAAGCGCGCTCAGCCTGCTATAGCGTAGGCATGAGCGGCAATTCACCAAGCCCCGATGGGCCGGTGACCCTCCTGAATTGCAGCGTGCGGCACGAAGCCAAGTGTCAACAGCTGTTTCATTTGAGGGAGCGCGTGCTGCTGGCTCTGCCGTCCAACCGGAGCGCTCGGTGGATGAGGATAGCGCGCTATCGGCCGCGGAACCAGACGGTGAGCTACACGGTTCCACTATCACCGGAAACGTATGCACGCTTTCGTACCGCTTTTCATGGGATAAACGGCTACCCTAAGAAGTAACTAACCTTTCACGGCATCGCCCGCTTCCAGGTCCTGTACGTTCAAACCGTGGTCAAGGACCCCGGCCCGCAAACAGCCTCGTCTCCACAGCCGTCCACCCCAAAATCCGGAATGCGCACACCAGCGGCGCGCATCACCCATCGGCCCTTCCTCTGCAGCAACAACATGCGCAGCACCAGCACCAACACCACGCTGCCGCTGCTCCCAACCACGTAGTTGGCGGGCGGGGCGCCGGGCTTACTGCTGACCACTACGCATCCTCTCCTGAGGTCCAGCGGCCCCGCAGCATTACATCACATGCCGCGGAGACAAGGGGCGAGGGGCGCGGTCACGGAGGCCGGGGTACCGGAGAGCAGGGGCCCAATCCAGGCTACGGGCCCCGTGCACACCCTGCGCGTTCGAACGTTCGTGGCGCAACTCCGGCCTCCGTGTACGGGCAAATCCAGGCACCCGGCCTGGTACCAGGCCCTCCGTCGCCTCGTAGGGTCCACCAGCACAGCCTACATGTAAGAGCTGTGTGGAAGATGGGACGGAGCTGACGGGTTGGCGGGTTGCTATCTCCTTGCAATTGGTAGGCTGGTGGTTAATCGCTAACTTGTGACCATCTCTTTACGTACGTGGCTGTCTAGGGTGCCTATACCGTAACATGTGCCTGCCCGATGACCGCTTGCAGTGGGACGCTGGGGCGGCTGGCATGGCGGGCAATGGCGGTGTTGGCGGCGGCGTTGGTGAAGCAGGGCCTTCAGCGGTGCTGGACCCTGCAACAGCTGCTGCGGCGGCGGCCGCCCTTCTCGGTAACGGCCTAGTCGGCAGCTGGAACCTCATGCACAACCTGAGTCGCTGTCCAGCCGACGATGCGGCCGGCGAGCGTGGGCAGGCTGCGGCGCTGTCGCCATCCTTCCTGGCTGCAGCTGCGGCGGCTGGGGGCTCCGCGGCTGGGGGTGCTGCGGGCGCGCTGCCGATCCCAACCTCGCCCTTGACGCTTGCCGCTTTAGGGCAACAGCTGCAGTTGCAGGCTGCTAACATGCAACACCAAGCTGCGCCTGCAGGACCCATGGCGGCCCATGCTGGGCAGCCCGGCGCGGGGACGGGGCTCGCCTCCGGTGCTCTTCCTGGGGTGTTATGGCGGCCTCCGGGGCAGCAAGGGGCGGCCGCGGGACAGCAGGCGCAGCTGCTGCCCCCGCCGCCTCAGTTCCACCAACAACTCCTGCCGCCGACATGGAAGCAGCAGCAACAACAACCACAACGACACCAGCAAGCTGCAGCAGCACCGACATTGCAGCAACAGCAGCAGCAGCAACACCCCTTTGCGGCCATTATGCCCGGAGGTGGTGGCCTGGCAGGCAGCACCAATAACGGGGGTAACGTGGGTGGTACGGCTGGCATGGGTTTCGGTCTGGCGCCAGCTGGGGGTGCCGGCCCTGGCCCGAGTACGGGTCCTGCCGGGGGCATGCCATTCGGAATGCCTGCAACAGGGCATGGCGCGGCATACGTTGGGGACCGAGGCAGGTTGCAGTTTGGGTTGACCGACATGCAGGGTTTGCATGGATTGTTGCTGAGTGCTTCGTTGACGGCAATGGCAGCTACGGCCAACAATGTGGATGGCAGCGGTGGTGCGGCGGCCGTAGTAGCAGCAGCGGGGGGCCAACTGGACATGGAGCGTGGCGTCGGGGGCAGGCAATCCCCGTTCCAGCAGCAACAACGGCAACAGCAACAACAGCAGCAAACCGCTTCGACGGCTGCCGGTAGCCCGCAAGCCCCGCTGCGCCCTGTAGCAGTGCACCAGCAGCACCAGCACCCGGACTCGCTGCAGTCAAACGTCCATACGCAAGCACACGGAAACGCTGGCAGCCCCGGCGTTGCTTCTGCCGGCGGGGCAGGCGGACCGGCCGCGGCGGGTGCAGGCGCCGTCATCACTGGGGCATTCCCTCCTGGCGCTGTCAGCTACAGCGACAACGGTGATGCCGTAGACGGTGGCGGAGACGTAGGCGCGCATGGGGGCCCAGCTTTGGGGCTGGCCGAACCGCACCACCATACCATGCGCATGTATCTTCCGGTCATGTTGCCGTTTGACTTAGTCAGGTTGGGGCATGCTGCAACGGCGGCGGCCGCTGCAGGCCCGGCGCCGCAGTCTGTTCCACACGCCGGCGGCCATGTGAGTGCGGTCAGTGCAGACGGCGACGGTGCTGCTGCCGCCTTGGGGAACCCCCAGAATGGAGAGCAGCACCAGCGCTTGGGTATTGCTGCAGCCGCGGCGGCGGCGGCATCAGTTCTGAGCATGCAAGCCCAGGATGCCTCGCCACACGCTCCCTTGCATTCTGAGCATGAGTCCGGCCATCACCGCACGACAGCAGCAGCATCTGGAAGTGCCGGCGGCGGCAGGCAACAGCTCACGGCTGCCGCTTCAGCTGCCCGGGTTGGCTGCGGCGTGGTTGGTGGTGGCGGTGGCGGCAATGTCAGCGTCGCGGGGGGCGTCAACGGCGGCAACGAAGGTACACGGTCATTCGATGCCGGTGGTGAAAGTGCGGCGGCGGCTGACGGGTCTCAGGGGCTGCGAACTGGCGGAGCCGCCGCCGCTGCCGCCGCCATTATGGCTGGCGGCGGTGCTGCGCTTGTCGGGCTAGCTGGCATGGCGATGACGCAGCAGCAAAACACCATGCTGAGTGCCGGTAGCAACCCGGGCGGGGGCGACACGGGGGTCGAGGGAGTCGACAGCCTGGACGCTGCCGTCAGGGCCGCTGTCGCGGAGGATACGCCCACGGCGTCTGTTGCAGCTCCGGGCATGGGAGGCGGTGCTGCTGCTGCTGATGGTGGCAGCGGCGCCGCAGAGGTGGCAGGGCAGCACCCGCACCAAGGCGGTGGTAGCGGAGCCGGGGTTGCAGGCCCCGCCGCCGCAGGTCCCGCAGGCGCTCCTGGGGGCGCTGCAGGACTGGGGGGGCTTGGGCTGGGTGGCATGCTGGGTCTAGGCGGCGGGGCTGCAGCACACCAGCACCAGCACCTCCCTGAGCCCCAGCCCAACAACACCAACAATGCCGCCAGCAACGGCTACGGCGCCGGACCCTCCATGACGCACTCCGCGGACTACCGCTCGCAGCTGCAGGTGGCGCTCAGCTTGTTCCTGCAGGCCACGTCGGCGGCGTATAACAGCCAGCGACAGAGCGGCATCGCGGGCGGGAACGAGGGGTCGGGTGTGTTCGCCGCGGCGGGGGCGCAAGCCTCCGCCAGCAATGTGGTTGGCCAGGATGTGAGCGGCGGAGGCGTTGACGGTGCCGGCGGGGTTGGGAGCGCCGCTGCGGCTGGAGGCGGCGGAGGTGGCGGCGCTGCCGCGCCGGCGGGCGTTGCAAGCAGCGACGGCGTTGGGGTTAGCGGCGCGGGACCGGGTTCTGCTGCTGGCGGCGGCGGAGGTGGTGCCAGTCCTGCTGCAGCACCTCCGGACCACGTCGCCGCGGCGGCAGCTCCAGCGGGGGCTGCAGCAGCGGCAGCGCAATCCATGCATGGCGTCGTGACGGGTGCGGCGGCGGCGGGTGCTGAGCCCATGGATACTGAGGGGCAAGTGGTGGACCAAGCGGCAGTGGCAAGCCGAGGAGAGATGAATGTAAGTCCCCTGCCGGCGGCAGACGCGAGGGATGCTGGCGTTGGTGCATTTGGCGGTTCCGGCGGCAGGGATGTCAGCCCAGCTACGTACCGAGCTCCCCAGTGGTCAACACATAGGGGTGGCGGCGGCGGTGGCTCCAGGTCCGCAATGTACGGCAGCAGCGGCGGCGCCGGCGACAATGCCGGCCGCGGCAGCAACCTCCATGGCGGAGACGCCATGGGCCATCAGCTCCATTCCCCGCACCAACATGCACAGGCCGGCGGAGGCACCGCGCATCACCATCAGCTCCACCAGCACCACCAGCACCACCACATGCCTTCCACCCTCAGTCAGGGCTACCTACGCCCAGCCAGCGGCGGCGGCGAAGCTGGCGGAGGCGCCACCGGTAGCCACCGCGGCGGCGCGGCGACCCATGGGACGCAGGGCAACCGCAGCCACGGCGTCGCGGAGCTTGGCGGGGGCCTGCTGATGCCTGGCGGAGGCGACCAGGAGGGCAACGGAGCAGCAGCGCCCGCAGGCGCCAGCGTCGGCAGCGCCGGCGGCGCCGCTGGCGGCGACGGTGAGCAGGCGGACAACAACTCGGCCTTGGCTCTGGATGCGGAGGCTGGTCATCCGGCTGCATCGGTGCATGCGACGGTGGTGGCGGAGGACAGCGACGACGTGTCGGAGGGTGGCGGCGGCGGCGGCGGAGACAGCGGGTCCATGGAGGTGCCGCCGGCGGCGGCGCGAGGGGGCGCGGGGCTTGACGGCGGCAGTGCTGGCGGGGGCGGCGGCGCTGGCGGGGTTGGAAGCAGCCGAGGAGGTGCAGGCCTTGGAGAAATCCTGAGCCAGCGGTTTGACGGCTTAAGGTGCGAGTGGATGCTTCTTACTGACCGTCTCCTCTACTTTACCTTCTCCAGTATCCGACTGTTCTTAGCATTTCGCTTGGCGCTCTATGCATGCAGGTCTCGGTCCACGGAGGGTCGCGCATCCAAGCAGCAGCCGCGAGGGGACATGCCGGCGCTCCAGGGACAGCCGGCCACCGGCGCAGGGACGGCCGGCGGGGGCAGCCGCCAGGCGGAGGCGCGGAGCCCGCCACGCCATAACAGTGAGTGTTTTCTGATGCTACCGGTATCCGCCAATGCTCCTGAAGAGCAGCCTTTAAGGAAAGCATGCGCCTTGCTGGGTTGTTGCAGGATAGTAAGGCTGGGAGGGATTTTACAATGCGGCCTGTCTGCATGCTTTACCATAATTGCCGGTACCAATGGGTCGATACAGTTAACGGCAACGAACTTGTAACGCTCGTCCGCAGCCGGAGGCGCTGGCCCACGGGACTCAAGCATGGGCATGGCTGCGGGGCCATCCCATGATGACACGGGCAGCGGCAGCAACGGTGCCACCACAAGCGACACGGTGGACATGGCCGAAGATGACAGCCGCATGGGCTCGGCCTCAGATCATGCGGGGTCGGGCATGGGCGACGGCCCGCCGGATCACATGCTAACGGACGAAAGTCTGTTACCGTTGGACGAGCATGGAGGCGAGAATGGCGGCGGCGTCGGCGGGGCCGCTGAGATGGTGGAGGAGCGGGGGGACGACAATGACAACGCGGGCAGTGCGGACGGCGGCGATGGGGGCGATGGGGATGAGGAGGAGGGCCCGGATGGGGATGGAGACGGTGGGGCGCGTACCAGCGTGGGGCCGGCGGCGGCGTTGATGGGCATGTTGGGCGGTGGCGGCGGAGGCGCGAGCACGGGTCACATGGGCCCGGCGGAGGGAAGCGATGGCAAGGGCTCTCCGACAGATAAGGTAGGGTTTGACTCCCTCCGCAAGTCGCCCTGCCTCTACTGGTGAAGTCCTGATACTTGAATAGCATGCTGTGAGTGAGGGTCTCCTTGCATGGGTTCCTTCCTGTGCAGGTTGCTAGCCATCACCACCATCACCATCATCATCACCGCCACCACCACCAAGCCGCTAGTCACCATCCGTACTACCATGGAACGCCCCAAGCGACGCCATCCGCAGCACCGGCCGGAGGAGGCGGTGGCGGTGGCGGCGGCGGAGCAGCCGGTGTCAGTGCTGCCGGCGGAGGCGGAGGCATCTTGCTTCGTGCCTGCAACAGCATCTCCACCCGTCGCCACGACAGCCACAATAAGGACCCACGGCAGCAGCAAGCCTCGCAGCTTCAGACGGTGGCCTCATTGTACGCAGCCGCAGCCGCCGCTACAGTAGCGGCTGCGGAGGCGGCAGCGGGCAACGTAGGCGGCGGCGGCGGCCCCGGTCCCGCAGGTAGCGGCGCAGCAGGGGCCATGTTCATGACCCCCGCAGGCGGACCAGCGGTGCGCAGCGGAGCCGCTGCCGGTCAGGAAGCTGCCGCGTCTGTGCGGGATCGGGGCAGCCCCGCGCCTCGGGAGACGCCCCTTCCCGCCGCCAATAGCACCGCCGTGAGTCCGGTTGCACTGCAGGATCGCGTGTCGCCAAGGTGGCCGGGGGGTGACGCGGCGGCGGCGGAAGGACGAGGTGGCGGCCGGGGCGCGTCGCATGCGCACCTGCAACACCCGCACCAGCAACACCAGCATCAGAGCTGGGAAGAGCGGCACGGTAGCGTCGCTGGCGCAGGCCCGGCTTTGAGTGTATCGAATGCCCAACGCAACATGCACCTGGGGGGTAAGTCCATGCAGCAGGGACTTTGCTGTGTGCGTGCCGTACCACCCAACTAGCCTCGACTACGGCCATGAATCCAAATATTGTTACCTAAATTACTCCATGTTACCGTAACTTCATTGGATAATCGCTTCACGCGCCCTCTTGCAGGTGCCCCCGATGCCGACGGCGGCACCTGCCGTACACCTCGCAGCACCGGCGCCGCCGGCCGACCGGCTTCCGGCGGCGGTGGCAACGCTGCTGCAGCCGCCGCTGCAGCTGCCGGCGGGCCCATGGGGACAGCAACGACGCCTGCTGGCACAGCCGCATTGCGGAAATCCTCGAGCCAGGAAGCTGTAGGAAGCGTTCGGCGTCAGCCCTCACCGCTGCTGGGCGCTCCTGGCGGGTCACTCCACCCGCCGCCTGCGTCGCAGCAGCGCCAAGGAAGTCCGCCTGCCGGCAATGCGCAGGCACCTGCCGCATCAGCGCTCCAGCCATCGCATCAGCAGCAGCGTCCGCACATGCGTGCTCCGCAGCAGCGTCCCCAGCGGCATCATCACCACCACCACCACCAGCAACAGCAGCAACATGAGCGGGTTGCCTCGGCATCAGCCTCGCAACAGCACCAACAACAACCGCATTCGCAACAGCAGCAACAGCGGCAGCAGGGTAGCGCAGCTGTACAGCCTCACAGCGCTGGCCAGGACCATGCGCCTAACATGAACCGCAACAACGAGAACACAACGCTTGCTGCTGTGGGGCTTGCTGCCATGCACCCGACGAGTGTCCTGACGACTGCCTCCCAGCCGCCGCCGCCCAACCTGGCCCCCAACGCTCACCAGCAAGAGCTGTCGCAACTGCAAAACACCTCTGTGAGCCGTCGTGGCGACGGCCTTCACGCAGGTGGTTTAGCAGCCGCGGCAGCGGGGGGTGCTGCGGCTGGCGGTGCGGCCGACAGCGACGCTCGACCCGCCAACGCGCAGGCGACCCGTGGGTCAGCTGGAGGCGGCCCCAATGCTGGCGCCGTGGGCGGCTTCATGGGTAATCGTGCGCTACAGGCGGCCGTGCCGCAGGTGACGGAGATCCATGGGCCTCTTGTCGGGATGGCTGCGACGGCGGCGGGGGCTATGGCCATCCAGCAGCAGCAGGACCGCTTGGCGATGGCTGCTGCCACATCCGCTGCTGCTGCGAACGCCGCGGCGGTGGCACATGCACAGGGCGGTTGGCAGGAAGAGGAGCGCCGGGACGGTAACCGCAGTGCCTCCCCAAGCGGTCCCAGCTGCTCTGCCGTCATGCCACAGTTTACAGAGGTGCATGGTGCCTTCACACGCGGGGCAGGCACGGCGGCGGAAGCGCAGGCGAGGCTGTTGAGAGGCGGCGGGGGTTTTGGAGCGGGCGGCAGCAGGGCAGGCGAGGCAGAGCGTGCAGCAGAAGCCGGTGGCGGGGGTGGTGGCGGCGGCAGCCGAGGAGGGACGCGGCGTGACTCTGCAGGTAGGGGCCTTCCTTCGCCTTTCGTAACGGTTGCTGGAGCAGCGCACAACCAGGCTACCGGTGGGGGCCTCGGCGTGGATGGGCCAGGGAGTGCGGGCGCGGCAGCTGCGGTGGCACGTGGCGAGGCCGCGGATGGATTCGCTAGAGGCCGGGGCAGTGCCGCGCGTACTGCCATGGCCACAGCGACGGTGGGGAATCGCCGCCGTGGGGGCGGCAGCGGTGGCGCCGCCGCCGCAGGCCCCTGGTCGGTTGGCGGTTACGGCAGCACTGGCGGCGCTCATTCGCCTGACAGCGAGCGTGGCACGACTGCAGTGGTAGCGTCTGAAAGCGGCGAGGCGGCTCCCGATGACAACCTCCACGCCGCCGCCGCCGCGGCGGCGGCGGCAGCGGCTGACGCGGCTGCTGTGACGTCGCTGCCTGCCGCGGACGCCAGTCGCCTTGCCGCCTCAAGACATACACGCGCTGAGGGGCCGACTGGGTCAGGGGCTGCTAGCGGGGGTGGCAGTGCCGCCGCGTGCGGGTTTCAGCATCGGGAGCGGAGTCCGGGACGGGGTTCAGCGCGGGGCGGCCCTGGACATTACCACCACCAGCTGCAGCAGCAGCACATGTTGCACCCGCTACCGCCGCTAGACGGGCATCCACATGCACACATGCGGGCTGGTACGGCTCAGGCAGCTGTCAGTGGCGGAGGCGGCATGGGCATGCAGGCGCATCATTCGCCGGCGGCGGGGGCGCCGAGGACGGCGACAGCGGCGGGATCGACTTTGGCGAATGCGTACGGCGGCGGTTATGATGACGACGAGTACGACTCTGAAGGCGAGCGACGGCGGGCCGAAGGTCCTCCACAGCCCCAGATGACGATCCTTGTCACCTCGCATGCTGCCAATTCACACCATACCGTGAGTGGCGGCACCGCCGTGGTGTCGGAGGCGGATAACGGCGGCGCAGTCGCGGGCTGCGCAGTCGGCGCCGGTGGAAGTCCAGCGGTCGCGGCTTGGGAGGAGGAATTCGAGGGGCCGCGCCGTTCCGAGCGGGGCGCTGCTGCAGCGCAGCTCGAGGGCAGCTGGCGCGGCGGCGGGGAGGGTACCATTGGCAATGCAGGTGGCCGTGGCGGCGGCGGCGGGGGGCCTGCCAAGTCGGCGGTTATGTCGTCCGGTCGAATGGACGGCCTCGACGTCAACCAACAACAACCACAACAAGCGCTGGGTCTTAACCACCATTGGAACCATGTTGACCACTATCAGCGAGGGGAAGCAGCGGGGCCGTCGGAGACACAGGGGACTGGCGCGGCTGAAGACACGGGGGCTTCCGGGGGTCGCTGCGGAGGTGGTGGCGGCAGCGGGAATGGTGGGCGGCGCGGGGCTCGAGGCCGCACGCGTGGAGAGAAGCGGAAACGAGCGCAAACGGGAGATGACAGTGATGACCGGGAAGGGCGCGATGGGGGGGAGGGCGGGAATTAGTAAGAATGGAGGTCCGGGAGGCAGGCTCTGAGTAGGACTTGGGGCTTGTGGTCGTGTGTTGGGGAGTTCTGTTAGGCATGTGGGTTATACTGCTTTGTGCTGGAGCAAGTCAGATCGTGGGCGGTTTTTTGCTTTGTGGCATTTGAGCGATTTCAAGGCTTGTCCATGAGATGGGAAACCGGCTTCAGAAAGTGGCGCAATGTTGGCAGCTACACTGTTCAAGGCACGGGAGGCAGCAGGTGTTCGCTTTCCAAGTGCATATGAGGGAATGAACGATGTCGGATGTAAAGCTTAAACATAGAAGGTGGAGCATAGGTTTCAAAGGCATGCTTTGGAATTTGAAAGAGGTTGTCATATTCAGTCTCGAAACTTCCTGCCATGTGACCAGTTGTCTCGATAACCAGAATCTTTACGGGGGGATGGGGCTTGCTTGAGATTGCAAGCAGGCCCTTTCAATTGCCCCAGAATTGTTTAGAGGTCACCTTCTTGGTAATTGCCTAGAGCGGCGCACTGTTTTGACGCTGTCTTTTTGTTCCGAAATGCTGGTGGGGCGACTGCGTCTTTTTGCCTTGTTTCCACTAGCCAGGCATTGAGATTGCTTGCCGTGGCTTTGGATGCCGTACTGATCGCTAGTTAACAAGAGTGTACCTATTTACCTCGTTCCCGTAACCAGCTTAGCTCCAGACGCTTTATATTTAGGGTAAATGAGAAACGCATTAAAGCCCAATGCTAGGTGCGTTGCGTCCGTTACGGTTACATGTCGTACCGTAACGAGACGAGTCTTGGTCTTTTAGGCTCGTCGATTGTTGCTATCGCCATTGTGACTCGCTGCATTTGCGAAAAAAAACCAAAACCCGAAAACCCGAAAAAAGCAGGGGGAAACAGCGGTTGCCTGTGCTCAAGTGGGTGGACTGGTTGTGAGGTTTTTCGCGACTTAAGATGTGAGGCCTGTACCCAAAATGATGCTGTGTTCTAACAACACGTAGGGTTTATTGCCAAGCCATGTTACGAACTGAACATGCTATGCTATAGCCGGTTTGTGGGAACGGGCTTTGTACGAGATGTACGATGTCTTCATGGTTTGGCAGGTTCAGTAACGTTCACACTATCCTGCTTTGCTCGACCCTTGTACAGCCATCATGTCGTCATGGCAACGCCACTGGCTTGGCACGGTTGGTTACCGCTGCACGCCTACACCGCACATCCCCAAGAGCTGCGGGTCCACATTACACATTACATGCACCCTCAATGCCCACCCACAGCAACCCAATCCCGCTCCCCAGGTGGCCAATCCGGTTGCTCCGATGCAACTGCTTGGAACCAGAACCCGCACCATCAGCTGCAGGTGATCATTTCTTCGGCTATGACTCCCCTCTGAACCAGCAACGTAAATTCCTCAGACGTGGCCATCCCTTAAAAAAGCAAGTGGGAGTTTCCAACCACGAAGACCACATCGACACCGGGCGCTCCAGACACCTCAAGAGTGTTGACCTCTCAGAGTGTTCCCAGCCAGTTTTCAAGCTCCTGAGCCGCCCGCTCCCATCGAGTGTCCTGAGGTCGCAGGAGTCGAACACATGGCAGTGTGTGCCAGGACTGGGAATCATGCTTAATTAGCAGGCACCCAAGCAGGTACGCACACGTACACAGGTACACACGACGGCAGGTGCAGCAATTAACCCCGCGTCCTGCACCCGTACACAGCTCTGCGGCATTCCTCAGGGGCAACACCTCAGCATGGTGTCTCCCCCCCCACTCCAACGCTTCCTAAAACCTTACCAGCATGGAATCATGCGCCATGTTATCCAGCAGCACGGGCTTGACACCATAATACGCGGCGAGCTCCTGCGGGCCAGATTCGGTTTGTGAGATTGTGACCCATGGGTCAGGCGGCAACCTCAGTTTGGCAGCTAAGCATATACAAACGGTGTCACAGCGTCCAGGCCTTTATGCCAGCATATCCATGGTTCAGGATCAGAGAGGATGGCAGCCCCTTACTGGCAGCCCCTTATTGGCAGCGGGCTCTCACCTCCACGGCCGGCGGGTCCACGACTCCGTCCTCCACGCCACCTAGCACAAAGGCTGGTGGTGCGTGCGGGGGCGGCGGCGGCAGCGGCACCTGCGCGTTCATGTCTCTGCATGCATGTGCGTGCAAGAGGGGTTAACAGGGAGACATAATCCGCATTTGGCTTTCAACATAGGGAAAGGAATTACTGAGCAAGAAGGGGCTGCGGCATACGGTAAGAGGCTGGGTAGGGGGCTAAAGGCATCAGGCTTAAAACGGGGGATGTGGACGGATGCCACAACGGCAGCAGGCAACTTAAGCGGTTGTCGGTCATGTGCACTTCATGTGTGCTTAACTGCTCATGCCATGTGCCGTACTGGCCTTCTCAGGGAAGAGGTAACCTACTCCGCCCGGGAGTTTGAGACGCCTAACCGAAGAATTAAAACGGCCGCTGGAATGTACACCTTGGAATCTTACTATTTATCCAAAGCTACGCCAACCCAACGGATGAGGAGACACCGCATGAAGTCACATCGCCCACCTGAGATCGAGCAGGCGAACGGCGCTGGCCGCTGCTAGTTGTTGGCGGTACCTGGCAGGGAGGAAGAAAGGAGGGGGGGGTGCTGTTTTTGAGGCTTTTAGCCAACCGGGGTAAAGAGAAACAACTAACTGACTGAGGGATAAGGCGTCAACATGGGTTGCAACATGTGAGCCAGCCCGACCCGCCCAGCCCGAATTAGCTAAGCCAGTACATGTAATGGACTTACAAAAAAATAGCCAACCGGGGTGGATCCCACGGGACGTGCCGTGGAGGGACGTCGGCCAAGCTAATAAGCTAGGCGCACCAACACACCACCACCCCACAGCGCATGCTACGTATACTAGTAAGTCTTCGACCCTTGCCCTTACCAACGTCTCTTTCTCTCCATTTGCCCTTACACAATGCGCCTCCTCCGCCAACCACTGCTCCCTTGCACCTTCGGCAATATCACTCATGGGTCATGGCATGGTCGGTTCGCCTTCCCCCCCCCCGCACCTCTCCAACTTGTCAAGGGGGAGGTCCTTGGAGAAGAAGAACTCGCGACACGACTCGCGGCTCTTGCCAAACGTCCGTGCCATGAAGCCCCTGTGTGCGTGGTTGGGTGAAGAGGAAACAACTGACCGTGTGATACCGGTAAGGCGTCAGCATGGTTCGCAACATTTGGGTGGGTGGGTGGGAGTCATTTCTCACAACTCATACAAGTAGAGAGTGTCCGCCGGCGCCCTGACACAGTGCCCTTACAGCGGTGGCGAGGCGAGGAAGGGGTAGTGCATATCGTGCATGGAGAGCGGAGGAATTCTCCAGTATTAGAGAGCCCTGGGATCTCGAACCCTGGGGCGGGCCTCCTGCCTACCGGTAATGAAGCCATGTTTCCATTCCCCTCCCGTCTCATCCCGCGTTCAAAGCTCATGCTCCCCACACAAACCCTTCCCTCCCACTCCTCTTTTATGTTTCTTCTTCCGCTTCAATCTCGCAGCTCAAGCCTCCTCCTCCTCCTCTCCCAACCAACCAACCTCCCTCCCTCTCCCTCCCCTCCCCTCCACCGCCCGCCCACCCAGCATGTTGCAAACCATGATGGCGCCCTATCACACAGTCAGTTAGTTGTTTCCTCTTTGCCCACCCACCCACCCACCCATCCACCCATCCACCCACCCACCAGGTCAGCCTCATGGAGTACAAGAAGTCCCGCTGCATGAACCGCAACACCAGCTTCTTGTTGCCAGTGGGCGGCACACTGTTCAGGAAGGCGGCACCGGAGAGAGGCGGGAAGGAGCCAGGAGCGGGGGGAGGCGGCGAGGAGGAGGAGGAAGATGCTGAGGAGGAACCGGGCTTGGCCAAGCCCAGGACGTACCTGCGGCCGTAGGAAGATAAAGGAAGTGAGGGAGGGCGGCACAGTAACAAGGATAGCAGGATGGCAGGATGGGGAAAGGTGCGGATGGTGAGGTTTGCCAGGAACGAGAGCTTCGCGCACCACACTTCCCATCCCTTCACCGCTTCACCCACTTTTGCGCGATCAGGCCGCCAAAGGAATGTGCCACCAGGACGGGAGCACGGCCGCTGCTACCGCTGCCGCTTCCACCACCAGCGCTACCACCGTTAGCGTCCGCAGCAGCAGCGTTAGCGTTAGCGTCAGTAGCAGACATGGATTGCACTAGCGGCACCAGAGTGGCTAGGTCGGCCGCGTGGGCATCCAGAGTGCCGGCAACGGACTGCCCGGGGGGAGCGGGATCGCTGCTTCCCTGGGCTCGGAAGCTGACTGCGTAGGTGTCGTACCCGCGGGACGAGAAGTACGGCATGAAGTTTTCCTGGGGGTTGCAGCGTGTAGGAAGGTGGTAGGGAGGGGGGAGGTGCACGGATTGCGAATGATGAGACATCATGGGGGGACGGAAGGAGGTGAGATGGGCAACGGATGTGTGTGCGACAAAAAGCATTTCAGCGGTGTTTTGGCCGTGAGCTGGAAGGAAAGATTTGTTGCACGGCGTTCCGGCGCCTCTCGCCCTCCCCGGTTGAACCCTCGACCTGCCTGCCAGCACCAGGCCGCATGGTAGGAGCCATGGACGAACAGCAGGGGCGGCCGAGGAGAAGAGGAAGGCGCCGCAGGATCTTGCTGCGCAAATAGTTAACACTATTTAATTGGGTTCTTGGTGCAGGCACTGGAAACTTGCAAATCCATCCCAAGAAGCCGGCAGATGCAAGCTTATCCGTCATCGCAAGCCCGTGTTCCAAACTAAGTTGCTTCATATGGGACCCTTTACAATGCGCTGTACACACCGGAGCTTTCTGTACCAGGAGCTCTAGCTTCTTGCCGTCAGGCAGCGTGTGGTAAGTTGTGTAAGCGCATGTCCCGGTTCTCGACGACGATGCTATAGATGCGCATACCACCGCAGGATGCCGGCGGGGCCTAAAAGACGACTTTACATTTGATGCGAAAGGCCGATGATGTACCCTCATTCGTCCAAATGCAGCTACACCGATTCTACACAAAGCCAGACAAAACACCAGCAGGTGGGGTCCGCCCTAAGCTTGATGGGTTTAATTGCTAGTTAGCAACTGTGAAAGAAGCATGCGAATGCACCGGTGGGCATCGGCTCCGATCCCAAGAATCGTGCAGACCGTACGGCATCCTGGCGCGAAACGAGGCCGCTAAGCAGCTGTCGTCGGCGCCAAGGCATACATTAGTTGCGATCCCGGCGTGCTTACGCTTGCATTGCGCCTTTTTACGCGTTACTGATCCTTGGAATTTGAACGAACAACCTGCTCACAAAGCCAGCGAAGTAATCCCTGTAAGCAAGCACAATGGCCGACCGTCGGCGTGCAGAGCTTGCCGAGAGCGTCACCGATGCGTGCGAAGGCTTAACGCAATGCGGCTTTCTTGGGCTCATGGAGACGCCCGTCCTCAAGGTCTTCTCAGAGCTGCACAAGCTACACGACACGGAGCAGCTATCGAATTTAATCGCTGCGCTTGAGGATTCGGCTGCCCGCATGATGTCCAGGAAGGCCGCGCCCAGCTTTCCAGAGCTCATGGGTGAGCTCATGGTGGCGGTTAAATTTTTGCCGCAGACAGATCCCTTCCGCTATAGCCTGCAGATTTCATTTTGGTATGACGCCATGATGTAGTAGTCTTATCTGCTGTTTATCTCATGCACCTCTGGTGCACACTTTAGCCGGCTCAATCTCATGGCGCTCCGGTGCAAGACACTACTTTTCCCCGCGTCTTCACCAATCACAGTCCTGTCCCAGCTACTACTTGATGTGGAGGGCCCAGCTGCCCCGCCCGAGGGCGCCGACAGCCCCTTAGACTCCGAGTTCAGGTAAGCCGGCTCCATGTGAGCAAGCATCCCCTACGGAACCCGCCCACACCACGCCCTCCTAACACTCCAACCCCTGAACTGCTAATACTCATTTCAACCCGCGCCACGAGGCCGCGCATCCAGCCTCGCCACGTTAACCCTAGCACCTACCTAACCTCTGCCTTCACCTTTTCCTGCCCCCTGTCGCAAACCCCTCACCTGACCCCATCTTTTTCCACCACCGCCTTCTTCCGCTGCCTCGCAGGTCGCTGTCCGCCAACCTGCGTCTCGCCCTGTGCACCGCGCTGCAGCAGTTTGCCCGGAAGGGCAGCGAGGAGGCACAGCAGGGGCTGGACATGGCCACCGGGATGCTGCTGATGCTGCACGAGAAGGTGGCGGGAGACCAGCTGGTGACGCTGGCGGTGGAGCACGCCATGCTAAGGTTGGTTGGTTACAAAGGAAACAACTAACTGACTGTGTGATGGGTTGGTTGTGGCAGTTGGTTTGTTGGTTGATTGTTTAACGGGTATTAGGTAGCTTGAATTCGGTCTCCCCCTCAAGAAGTACGTGTGTGGGATTTCCCCTTTTAAACTGTGTGTCACCCGTCAACTTGCACGAAGAAACCAATGCCCAGCTGACCCTGGCCCCATCCTGCATGCCGTCTCTTGCTTCTATCAACTTCCCTAACCCCATGCGCTTCATCCTGCCCCCTCCCAAGGCTGTTGCACCGTGCGCACAAGTGTGTCCTGCTGATGCGAGACCGCACCTGGGCCCTGGCGGCGCTTAACAAGCAGGTGAGGCGGTGTGGGTGCTGCGTCCCTTTGGGGTTGGGGGTGCGTCTTGGGGGCGCTGTAGACAGGGGGTGCACCCTGCTGTACCTTTTTCCTAGTCAGAGTTTTCCTCCTATACCTGCTCAAGGTATTGCGCTCTTTCGTCTTTCCTGACTGAATTGTTGGTTGGTTTCGTACTTGCCGTACAGATTGCCGAGCTCAAGGAGTATAAGCCCGATGAGAACGAGGCTGCAGAGGGCGAGGGTGACGAGGAGATGGAGGAGGAGGATGACGACGACGATGATGATGATGAGGAGTTGGACGAGGAGGATGAGGTAGATGAGGAGGTGGAGGACGAGGAGGGAGATGCTGAGGAGGAGGCGGCAGGTGGAGACGGAGAGGGAGAGGGCGCGGAGTAAGAAGCGGTCGGGGGCTCGGCTCGGCTCCTACATGGAAACCCAATCCTTAATACATGCAGTGTTTTACGCTTTCTCATTCGGCATGCTGATGTTTCGGCTGGGATGGCAAGCATGCATACGTTTGTGTTTAGTGTCATGTTCAGCGGGTTGGATGGTTAAGCACGCAAATTTGCCCCCCTCGTGTGTGTATTGTCTCATTGTCGGGGTTCCAGGCTTGCAGCGCTAACAGGGTGCACTACTGGTCATTGCAGTCCCATGCATGTCGGCGGTCGCCCCACGTGTACGGATGTTTCTTTCGCGTATGTACGGCAGTCCCCAGATGCTGCTCACAGGTCCCCACATGTCTTGATGATGCTCGGACCGTTTACAACTCGCGGCACGTCAACCTAGTGTTGAGTTAACGTTAACGCATTCAGAGGTACACTCAACAAGCCATTAACAACACTTTTTTCAGTTTTTTGCTCTCTTCACATCCGCATGACCCGGGAAAAGGTGGCTAGCAAGGAAACCCAACAAGTGTTGCAGAGCCTAGCAAGCTAGGCCACGAACTTGAAACGTTTCATGATATGTGACCCATGGGTCACACATGCAACGTCCGCAGCATTGGGCAAGAGGCCCAAGCGCAATGACTTGAGAAACCATGCTAAACTATGCTACTTAAACCGGCATAACTACAACGTGAAAACCCATGAGAAGAGCTGTGCACACGAAAGAAAAAGCAATGAACTTTGCATGCAGAGGAGCGTGCCATAAGAGATGTAACACTCCAAAATGTCGACTGGGTTCATAGTAAAGCACAACAGAACAACTTCAACTGTAGGCAACGGCCGAAAGAACGCGGATGTTCAGTTGCATGGCAAGAAGGGTCTGCAAAGCAGGTATGCAGCTACGAAGACGGTAGGAAGATAGCAGTCTATCATGCAGGTAACCTGCAACCACCAATCGCCAATGCAAGCAACCATCAATCGCTATTGCATGCATGAGCTATAAGAAAACGTTGAGCCCTCTTCCCGTTTACCCTCTGTGCTATCTGAGCCCTCACTGCATCGGGTTTAACACCAAGAGTCGCAAGAAATGCATTTCGTTCCTGACCCCAAGAGAGTCCACGGCATGTAGGACGAGTGCCTACTCCCCAGGTGGCTTTCTAGCAGGGCGCCTTCAACACAGGTTAGGTATGGTTAGGAACAACCTCAGTCAGTTAGTTGTTTCCTCTTTACACCCTGACAGTTTCGGACAAACCACTGGTGTGACAGCAGAGAGCGGTTGACAGCATCCAAGTCCAACCCCTGCCTCCTCAGGTTCCCCGCAGCCGCCAGCGGCACTGGTGGTGGTCCGCGACACTGAGCTGCCACCTGTACGGCAATAACAAACGTGCATACGGCAACGGTACGGCACTCAGCATTACGGTACAGCATGGCTCGAGAACTAAGAAATTCACCGTCTGTTGACCCGTACCACGCGCACAGGGGTTCCAAAACAGCACATTATGGATGGGGCTTACAACCCTCGCGGAACTCTAACCGAATACGACCTATAACTGAATTCCCCATCTACCTGCGATGCTCCGTGAGGGTGGCTCCGGTGCCGCCAGGAGCGTTACTGGTGTACGACCAGTGTACGGCGGTTGAGAGTTTCATGCCCTGCAGCAGCAGGCAGCAGCAGGGGGCGGGGCGGGGCGGGGAGGGACACATGCAAGAGCCGTGTGCCAGCAACGGTCGTGTGAGGCATAATTTGGCATGACATCCTGCCTGCGATAGAAGGCCTTGCATGGGGAGGGACAGGGACCACGCATCGCATGCACCGGCCCGCTGCTGTCAGGCTCAACCCCTTGAAGCAGTCTGGCTCAAACCCGCCGCTTGCTACGGCTTGACGACATCGCCGTACTGCAACCACGCTACCCGCCACATATTTGACACCCCGTACGCGATGCTCTGCGTTAAGGGACGGACACACCTGCAGGGACGCCTGCAGCTAACCCACCTCATTGCGCAGCGCTGCCTTCATGGTCGCAGTCTCGCTCACCAACCTACCCACCAGCCTGCAAGGCACAGCAGCAACAGCAGCAAAGACCGCCAAAAAGGCCCGACAAGTACTCAAAGACGTACGTCCGTATATGACTGTCCGCGTGCAATTTGATGCTGTCTTTAATGAAGATACCGGTAGCAAGGCTCGTACCCTACCGCGGTATCGGCTTGTTTGCCATGCAGGACATCGCTCTGGCGAACTCTGTCAGCTAGCAATACCTCACGTATATTTAGGACACACGGTATACTGCGCAAGTAGTCCCACTCGCCTGCTGAGGGTTGCGGGCCGCAGCCCAGCCAGCAGCTCCTCCTCCAACTGCCCCTCACATGCACCAGCAGCAGCCACCCCACCGCCGCTGCCGCCCCCGCCACCACCACCACCACCACCGCCTGCTGAGGATGCTGAGGCCAGCATGGCATCCGAGCAGATAAAGTCCGTGCACTGCGCGACGACCTGCAGCGAGAGAGACAAGCGAGGGGAGGTCATCAAAGGATGGAAAGGGAAGTGCAGAGGTGCAAGGATGCAACGGGAGGCTGACGAAGGAAGGGCGGCGGGAGGGTCTGGGAAGGGCTGGGAAGGGCTGGACGAGCACCACCTAGGCAGGAAAGGGCCAGCACCCAGCAGGCATTGCGCATGGGAGGGAGGCACCTCGGGGTATTAGGGATGGTGAGACCCGGGGCGTACCCTCTCCATGCGCAGTCGATCCGCCCGACGAAGCCATTTCCAAACGTAGGCCGGGTCCTCGGGGTCACAGCTGAAGGAGCCGCATGGCGCGTTGCTGCTACTGCCGCCGCTGCTGCTGGTACGACAGCAACAACGGCAACCGCCGCCGCTGCTGCTCATGCTGCCACCTCCAACGCTTGTAGTCGCCATAGCAGTAGCAGCGGGGCCCGTGTTGGATAGCGGTACGGCAGGAGCGGCTGTAGCACCTGGACCACCCAGTAGGAACTCCTCGCATAGCAGTAGCAGACCGGTAATGCCGTACTTGTCTGCTAGCTGGATCACGGAATCGATGTTGTCCTGTACGACAGAAGATAACGGCGGTAACTACCGAACACAGAGCCAACCGCATTCCAGTGACTCACTTGCTACTAAGTCATCGCTCATCACCCAGGATACCGGTAATAATGAAAGTCAGCCATGCAACAAGAAGGACAAGCGGCTGCTAGCTCGCCCACCGTCATGCCCTGAGAGACATCGCATTGCATACGTTATGCCAAGCGCATCGGGTATCCATCCTATCCTATCTTGTTGTTACCTACCCATGTGATGGTCGGTCGCGGCAGCCGCGCTGGCGGGTAGACCAGCTGCAGCACCCCCACCCAGTCCTCCACCGAGTCATCGCCCAGCACCGGGATGTGGGCCCGCCCGTCCTCCGGGCAGCGAGCGCAGCAGGTGGAGGACAGCAGGTCACGAATCACACCCGACCAGGCCGATAGCACCTGCCGTAACAATAGCTGATTAAGGAAGTGTGTGCACAGACGGCCCATCCAGTGCCTCATGCACGTTGATCGTGGTGGAATTAATTGTGGGTGTGTGCATGCCTCTATGCATGCATGCATACATGGGTGCATGCATGCGTGGATGATGCATGGGGAGGCTTACTGGTACCGGTACTAAACACGGCAAGTGCTGATGAACGCAGTCGCGACACCAATTCCCGACCAAGTAAAACCTAAATGTAGCTCAGCACGTAGCGTACCCGCTACTGGAACGCCATTACCATCAACGCCGGTATCACCACTTTCTTCAACACCATGATCAACCCATCATGCTATCCTTGCAGCCCCCACCTGCGAATGGCAGCACAGGCTGCGACCGTCCGGGAAATCCAGCGACATATCGGCGGTAGAGGCGTCCAGAAAGCTGGAAGTATCGGGGAGGTTTGGCGTGCATGGAAACTGCGGGTGTTGCTGCTGATGGTGATGCGGGTGCTGCTGTGTCGTGCGAGTGTGAACGTTACTGGCTGCAGCAGCAGCAGCTGCAGCAGTGGGGGATGCAACGGGCCCTTCAGCAGAACCGTTCGGATGATCCATGGAGTAGTACCTCCTTGGAAAGGCCTTGGCACATGAACAGCTGATCTTTTAGGGCGACTACTGCTGTTGCTTAGGTAGAGGAGGGATGTGCGTCGGTGGTATAAGGGTTCGGCGTAGGCGGTCGCACGTTGGGAGGTCTTTCGGCGCGTCCGAGGTTCGGGTGACGCAGAGCGAGGGAGGCGGAGCGTCGGACGATTGGCATTCGGCAGCAGGGAGTTTTGCGATTGCTGCAAACGAACTCAAGTGTGACAATCTTATAGGTAAAGCCATATGGCATGATTGCATGCGGACCTTTGCACGGGAAATGCGTTTATAATAAGGACAACGAACGCCGTTGCTGGCTTGGAAGTATACGACCTGCCTCACGCAAAACTACCCTGTTCGCAAACAGGAAAAAACTACCTCAATAGTATTAATACAATGTGTACAAGTAAGGCCCGCCTTCGGCGGGAGCGTCCCGTAGCTCGAGTGAGGGAGGTGTGAAGGGGGCTGTTGAGTAAGTTAACGGGTGCAGGTGGTGTAGTGTCCTTTGTATGCACCCTCGGTCGGTATGCTCCAATCAACAGGCTGCGTTCGTTACAAGGGTTCTCCTAAGTCGTCACAACAAAGTAACATGTATGTAATGTAAATGTAAAGTATAATAGCTAGAAACGAAGAATACGTAAACGTAGTGCCTGTCACGCGGCGTAAGTTCTTCCCAGTGCAGGATGCCCTTCCCCGTACCTGTCTCCCCATGCCCTGCCCATGCAACTGTCCTTACCCGCGCCGCGCGCGCTTGTGTCCCCTGCCCTTCCCCGGCGGCGGCTGCCTCCCAATGCCGTAAACCATAGAGCTGCCCTTCCCCGTGTGCTTCCCGTGCAGCGAATTTGCGGGCCTCATGTGGCCTGCCGTGGGCCGCGGTGCCCTTCCATGTGCAGTGCCTGCCCCAAAATGCCCTCGGCTGTCCTTGCCCGCGAGCCCCTGGCCCTTACCTCCAATGCCTTCACTCCTGCATGGGCATGTGTCAGATGCATGCGTACATGGGGTACATCACCGCGGTAAACGGGCACAATGGGTCTGGGTACCCGCATGGCAGCCGGTAATCGGGCATGGTGAGTATGCATACATGTATCGGTGCCAATTTATGGGGCGGGTTGTTATGGATTCAGAATCGGCGCTGATGCGCGGATGGGTGCGATGGAGATGGATGGGAGAAGGGTGATCTTGCATGCACGGGGGCCTGTTCCTGGCAGAACGACTGGATGTCTGCATGCATGAGCGCCGAAAGCCGAGAGGAGGGAAAGTTTATAAAAGAAATGCAAACAACTAAAGTCCCAATCCCATATCCCGACTCATGCAGTGAGTGCAAAAGCCGAGAGGGGGGGGATGCATGTGCATGTGGGTGCCGGTAACTAGCAGGGCAGGGATGCCTGCATGCATGGGCAGCATTCGTTGAGAAAGGCGATGGCGGCACGCGCGGGGAGGCATTGCTTTGGTATTGTGGCGGTGCATGCCCCAGCGCATCAGCGTGTCATGCACACTGTTGGTGATCCAAGCAAGGAGGGAACTAGGTGAAAAGGCATCTACATGATGATGGACGTTGACATCGGGGTTGGGGGCTGGAAGCAGGGAAGGTAAGAACGGGACCTGGAGACTGCAGTGGAGGACATAATCAGTTACCCATGGAGATCTGTCCCGTGCTTCTGTGGCCTGCTGTGTCGCTAGCCTTCGCACATCCGGGCTTTGAGGATGGGGCGTTGGCCTGTGCAGCAGCGGTGGCAATAGCCCTATCTAGCGCTAGCGGCGGGCGGATGGGGCCTCGGGCGTCCGCCGCAGATCCGGAGGTCATGCCTGCTCGCATGCATGCTCGCTGTTGGCCAGTGCGGGGACTGCATGGGCGCGCCGGGCTTTGGGCGGGACTTGTGGGCGCCGGTGGTTCAGCAGCTCGAGTATGCCTGCACAAGTGCACATGCAAGCATCGGTAGTTGGACAGTGCGTGGAAGGATGCCTCCCTCCACCCTAACCCGTGCGGCGCCCCTGCAGCTCACCTGCGTCGCCCCGTGCTTTGCTTGCCTTCCAGTGCCCTTCCCCGTGCGTCTGCCCTTCCTCGTGCGGCCTTGCCTCTCCCCGTCATTGCCCGTTCCTCGAATTAACTGAACGGATGAGCGGCCGCTACAATGGTGGTTCAATGGCGGCTGCCTACCCCTGTCCCTCCATGCCAGGCGTCTGCCTGCCCTTGCCCTTCCCCTGCCATGCATTGACTGCCCCCCTTTGCCATCTTCTCTGTGCGGCCGCCCTTCCCCTGGCAGCACCTGCCTCTCACTGCTCTTCCCCGTGTGGCGCCGCGAGTGCGGCCTCCCTACCCTTCCTTCTAAAGTTTCTGCCTCCAAGTCCCCTCACTCCTGCACGCATATGCGCTAGTTTATGAGCACGGCGGGGCGCTGGTCTCATGGCTTCGGGTAGTTGACTTGCACAGGGGGTGTCTGCGTGCGCGCATTGGTGTTGGTACATGGGATGCATGCGTTCACCAGCGCGGTAGTTGGGCATAATTAGTGTCCGTACAAGCATGGGCGCCGGTACTTGGGCATGGCGGGTATGCATGCCTGTATCGCTTGGGCTGGGTGGGCATGCATTCAGGTGTCGGCGTTTATGCATGGTTGGGCACAGGTGGTTGGGAAGGGCAGTGATGCTTGCGCCCATGGGAGCTGGTTCGTGGCAGGACGAGAGGATATCTGCATGCTTGAGCAAGACAGCTGGAAGGGAAGGGAATGCATTCGCATGTGGGTGCCGGTAACTGGCACGGCATGTATGGCCATCACTCGGCTGTTGAAAATAAGATTGAAGATCACGTATCAAAGAGCGTGACAGCAAAAGCGCGCTACACTGAGCGGTGCAGAATGAAGGCCGAGCCGTGAAAAAGAGCGCTGAAAGGATCCCGTGGGGGCGGACAGGAACCGGGTACGCTCCTCCGAAACCTTATATTACGTATACGTTTTCCTCGAATCGAGCTACGGGGACATACAACTTGATACAATAACCGTTTACTTTGCGAGTGTCATTTCTCATCCTAGCCCCCAAGCGTGGGGTCCAAGGCGACAGCGCGTCAAGCCGCGGAAACGTTTTTGCATACAACACTTTGTAGGGCCGTTCACTTAACTCCTCTATCTTCATGTTATCCTTTTTAAAATGTCAGAAGGGCAGCAGCAGCGGCCTCAGGAGGGAGCTTTCTCCGAACATTTCCCCGCAGCAGCCAATTCCGTCATACATCTGGCCGCAGCTGCAGCCCGAGCTTGCGGATCACATCATCAGCTTCCTGCCGCCCAACGAGGTCGCCTGCACCGTGCGACTGATCAACAAGGCCGCGGCCGCGCAGTTCCGCGGGCCTCGCTACAGCATAGTGAAGCTTTCGTCCCCCGTGCCGCCCCACGCATTCAAGGAGCAATGGGAGCGACCAGGTGCCATGCGTGGGCTGACGCGCCAGCGGTGGCAGAAGCTGCAGAGGCTTACAGCCCTCAGCGACAGTCTGCCGAACCTCCAGGTGGCAGTTGCCGTCACGAGGGTTCTTGATATGCAGAAGTGCGACGATCGCTTGACCTCCGTTGCCGAGGCAGCGGCCAAAACAGGCCAGCTGGAGATGTGCCAGTGGCTGGTGCAGCAGCAGGCCCACCCCTTACTACATGTTGTTAAGGTGGCAGCAGCAGGCGCCGGGCAGCAGGCCATATGCGAGTGGTGCCTGGCTGCTGGCTGCCCCTGGAGTGCTGTTGCTGTGTACGCTGCAGCTCGAGGGGGCCATGTGGGCCTGGTGGAGTGGCTGCTGCAGCAGCGCCCGGCAGAAGATGCACACGTTGGGGCTGATGCGCTGATTGTAGCAGCCGCTGTCGGCTGCGAGCTGCACACCCTGCAGCGCCTGTACCGTGACTGGGTGGGTGAGCAGCCGCCGCCAGAAGACTATCAGACAGAACGTATAGTGGAAGCTGCGGCCAGGAGCTCCACACCTGACTGGCAGGACAAGCTAGTATGGCTGGAGACGCAGGGCTTTCCTGGCTCTGGGGCTTGCCAGGGCGCCGCCTCCTGCCCAGACGCTCTGGAACGATTGAGATGGCTGCGAGGGCGGGGCTACCCTCTGGGGCATGGTGTTGCTCTTGAGGCTGCCCGAACGGGCAACGTGGAGGTGCTTCAGTACGTGCTGTCTGAGGGTATCGAGCCCAGTGTGGACTGCGGTAGTTGGGCCGCTGGGTCTGGCAGCCTGGGAGCGCTCACCCTGCTGCATGCCCATGGCTGCCATATGGACTTTGGGACAGTCTGTTCTGCAGCCCAGGGCGGGCACCTGCATGTGGTGGTCTGGCTGGTGGAGACGCTGGGCGCAGCACTGCAGCTGGGCGCGGAGGTGTTCAGCAGTGCTGCCTCTTCAGGCAACCTGGAGCTGCTGAGGTGGCTGCGTGAGAGGGGCTGCCCCTGGGATGCCGATGCCATTGCAGGAGCTGCGAGGTCAGGCTGTGAAGAGGCACTGGAGTGGCTAGTGGAACAGGGCTGCCCCTGGCCGGTGAGTACTGTGCAGGTAGATGTCTAACTAGGGAGGTGTAACCTGGCGTCTTTTGGATAGACGTCTGCTTATTGTACAGCGTCGTGAAGGGGCATGCTTAACAGCTGGGGATGAAGCCCCATGGTACCACGGGTCGTTTGACTACAGTAAGTCCATTCTCCTCCATGCAAATTCCCAGTGCCTTGCTGGCTGGGGATGACTGTGGTGTGCCGCCCTACCTACTGAAATGCGTGCGACCCACATCCCAGGACGATGATCTCCCATACGCGGAAGCTATACGCAACAATGACCTGGCTACCCTGGACTGCCTGAAGCGGCTGGGCTGCCCCTGGGGCCCGCCTGGACACCTCCTCAAGGAGTGCCTCCGATACAGCCGTCCTTACATTGCGGTGCTGAGCTGGCTGCTGGCAGCAGGTTATCCCATGACGACGGAGGCGGCGCTGGAGGGCATGCAGCGGATAACTGTGTTGTATGGTGCAGATGACCTCGATGTGAGGCGGCTGTGGGGGTGGATGCAGGAGAACCTGGGCCTGCAGCCGCCCCAGCAGCGCCGCTGATGATGAGGTAGCTGGGGAGGCAAGTAAGGAGCGGTGGCAAGTGCTAAGCGCTGTGAGGGTACGGTGCACTCATGTGTCCGTACTGCTGCCAGTCGTACATGTATGCAAGAGGGTTGCAGGTGTAGATGGAGCGCAAGGGGCTATCTATTGCATCAGGCCTTGGTGCAGTGAAAAGAGATGACAAGGGCAAGGGGGGGGTTGACAAGGGCCTGCTGCTGTAGGCTTTGGAGGCCAAAAGCTTGGCCACGGTTGGTATTAGCTGTGTACATGAGCGGTGTGCACGTCTATACGCTGCTTTGACATTGCGTCCGGTTTCCTCTATCCATTAAGCGATGGAGCACATATAGTAGCTTGGCAGGCAGCCATGAGCATGTGTGATGCCCCATTACCGGCAATTGCCAGATTACCATCACAGGGTGTTTCAGCAGGTGGTGGTTGCAGACTAGGGTTTGGATTGCATGGGTCACTTGGGTGGTTCCGTGGCTGCACGCGCGGGGAGGCATTGCTTTGGTATTGTGGCGGTGCATGCCCCAGCGCATCAGCGTGTCATGCACACTGTTGGTGATCCAAGGAGGGAACTAGGTGAAAAGGCATCTACATGATGATGGACGTTGACATCGGGGTTGGGGGCTGGAAGCAGGGAAGGTAAGAACGGGACCTGGAGACTGCAGTGGAGGACATAATCAGATACCCATGGAGGTCTGTCCCGTGCTCCTGTGGCCTGCTGTGTCGCTAGCCTTCGCACATCCGGGCTTTGAGGATGGGGCGTTGGCCTGTGCAGCAGCGGTGGCAATAGCCCTATCTAGAGCTAGCGGCGGGCGGATGGGGCCTCGGGCGTCCACCGCAGATCCGGAGGTCATGCCTGCTCGCATGCATGCTCGCTGTTGGCCAGTGCGGGGACTGCATGGGCGCGCCGGGCTTAGGGCGGGACTTGTAGGCGCCGGTGGTTCAGCAGCGCGAGTATGCCTGCACAAGTGCACATGCAAGCGCCGGTAGTTGGACAGTGCGTGGAAGGATGCCTCCCTCCGCCCTAACCCGTGCGGCGCCCCTGCAGCTCACCTGCGTCGCCCTGTGCTTTGCTTGCCTTCCAGTGCCCTTCCCCGTCCGTCTGCCCTTCCTCGTGCGGCCTTGCCTCTCCCCGTCATTGCCCGTTCCTCGAATTAACTGAACGGATGAGCGGCCGCTACAATGGTGGTTCAATGGCGGCTGCCTACCCCTGTCCCTCCATGCCAGGCGTCTGCCTGCCCTTGCCCTTCCCCTGCCATGCATTGACTGCCCCCCTTTGCCATCTTCTCTGTGCGGCCGCCCTTCCCCTGGCAGCACCTGCCTCTCACTGCTCTTCCCCGTGTGGCGCCGCGAGTGCGGCCTCCCTACCTACCCTTCCTCCTAAAGTTTCTGCCTCCAGTCCTCCAGTTTCCCCTCACTCCTGCACGCATATGCGCCAGTTTATGAGCACGGCGGGGCGCTGGTCTCATGGCTTCGGGTAGTTGACTTGCACAGGGGGTGTCTGCGTGCGCGCATTGGTGTTGGACCTGTTGGTACATGGGATGCATGCGTTCACCAGCGCGGTAGTTGGGCATGGTTAGTGTGCGTACAAGCATGGGCGCCGGTACTTGGGCATGGCGGGTATGCATGCCTGTATCGCTTGGGCTGGGTGGGCATGCATTCAGGTGTCGGCGTTTATGCATGGTTGGGCACAGGTGGTTGGGAAGGGCAGTGATGCTTGCGCCCATGGGAGCTGGTTCGTGGCAGGACGAGAGGATGTCTGCATGCTTGAGCAAGACAGCTGGAAGGGAAGGGAATGCATTCGCATGTGGGTGCCGGTAACTGGCACGGCATGTATGGCCATCACTCGGCTGTTGAAAATAAGATTGAAGATCACGTATCAAAGAGCGTGACAGCAAAAGCGCGCTACACTGAGCGGTGCAGAATGAAGGCCGAGCCGTGAAAAAGAGCGCTGAAAGGATCCCGTGGGGGCGGACAGGAACCGGGTATGCTTCCCTTCGCCACGCTCCTCCGAAACCATATACTACGGATGCGTTTTCCTAGAATCGAGCTACGGGGATTATTACGCAGCTGCGGGCATTGGTCCTGAGCCATGCTTTGTGCCGTCCAAGCTCCCTAGTGGGGCCGGGCGAGCGACCCATGGACCGTGACTGTTCAGGCTACTGTTGACCGCATGCTACCGCACAAATTATAAATTTACCAGGCCAGAAATGAATCAATTATTAACAATACTGCTACTCGCGTTGTGGTAACGTGCAGCGCCTTCAGTCAACGCAAAGTGCGCGTCAAGCCGTACACGCATGACGCAGGCGCTCGCATTCTTTTACACCGTCGCTCGACGCAGCACTCGACATGACCTGCGACTTTATTTACATATACAACTACCTGCAGTGTCTTTAATCTTTATGCCAACGCCCATCCATACATTCTGCAAGCCGTTAGCACCTACACAAGTTCCCGCAAGCTACAGCAAACTCTAGCATATCTTATGAACGCAATTCAAAAGACGTAATCACAATAGGCATACTTTAGCTGGAGGGCGGCTTTTTCCGCTGGGCGTAAAGTGAGGCTGCAGCCTGGAGCCACACTAGGCTAAATGGCAAGCACACTGCCTTCTCGACCAGGAGCTAGGCACATTGCCTCTGTAAAAATTCACATGCTGGCCAGCTCTTCCTCCTTGCCTCGATCGGCCCGTCGAGCACCAGTCGCGCTTCAACGGCAAGCATCGACAGCTCCCCAACCCGTGAAAGGCCCCCGATATTTTCGCAAACTCTGCACGAAGCAGCATCCAGCTATTTCTACAGCAGCTTCTGTGACTGCTGCGTCCGTGGGCGCGTTCGAGGAGGAATCTCCATCCGCATCGCTGCGACGGCGCGCACAGGAACTGTTTCTTTCGCCCCAGGACAAGGAAATATGGAGCATTGCATTTCCGGCCTTTGTTGCGATGCTGCTAGAGCCTGTTATGAACGCTATAAACGCAGGTGTGGCTGGGATGTCGTGGGGTCTATCTGTCCGCCGTCTGCCGAAGACAGGCGCTGCCCTTCCTTCAAAGCCGCGCACATGATGACATCAGCTCGGATGTATGCATCAATATAGGATCCTGCTTGCTGGGGCCAACACTGGGTGTTACCCTAAGTGCGGCACCTGGCGTTGCACCTTACTCATCTTTGCCGGCGGCCTACCTCATTAGGGGTCATTACCCACCTTCAACGCCTTAAGCTTCCCTTCCACAACCCCATCCCTGGCTATTACCCCTGCACGCAGCACTGCAACCTGTTGTAACTAAAACACAACCCTGACTCCACCTAACCAATCCTAATCAGGCATGGTGGGCCACCTAGGCACACAACAGCTGGGCGCAGTGTCTCTGGGCAGCTTGGCTGTGTCCTTCGTGACCTACCTCTTCTCCTTCCTGCTATTCCTCACCGTACCTGAGATCGCCGCAGCTGTGGTGAAGAACGATGAGAAGGAGGCGAGTACTGTGTTGCCCCTGCGGCTGTAGCTATCCCTGTAACAATGTTGCATGCAGGTAAAACGCCTGCATACGATGCGGTAGTAGTGCTTTGGTGCGCTGCCGTTTATAATTGGTGTACGGTATGCTGGTTTGACCGTATGTACGGCACCACTCTGACCGCTTTGTTATGTTCCGTACATGTTGAACTTCTTAGGAGCACGTGTATTCAAGAAAACGAAAACCCTGGCGTCGCAGGTGTCACGCATCGCGGCCAGGAGTATCTGGGTGGCGGGCGTTTGTGGAGTCGTGAGTGCGGCTGCTCTGTACGTCGGGGCTGGATCCATTGTGGCAGGTACGACACGAGTATAGGTTTGGCACGTTTGGGAGCTGGCTGTTGCTGGAACGTGCATTGTCGGAAGGCGCAAGTCTCCAATGATAGACATCTCTCGGATAACACGATGGCATTGCTGTCCTGCCAAAGCACCTACACCCGTACAACAGCTACCTTTACCTGCTCTGCCCCTTTGCTACGCATCGCGTCTGCCCCCAGACTGTCCTCGCGCCATCGCGTTTGCCCCAAAACTGTCCTCGCGCCCTTTTGTTTGTACATGGCTTGTTACATTTACCCCGCCCCTCCGTTGCGCACCCTGTCGTACCCACCCTCTCTCCGAATCCGTTACCCTCCACCACCCCCTGCAGCGCTACATCCGGCAGAAGCCACCGTTGCAGCCTACGCCACCGATTACATCCGGGTACGACTTTACGTAAATGCTTGTACGGCAAGCATCTTCCTTAAGGCACATCTTAGCGTTTCTTGCTGTTCCTGCCTTGGCAGCCTCTGACCTCCCAATCCCTTCCCTCTCTCCACTTCCTGTGCAAACCCTGACCCCTCTCCACCTCCCGTCACCCCCTCTTCTCTTCTCCCCCTCTTCTCTTCCAGATCCGCTCACTAGGTATTCCAGCGGCGTTGCTAGGCTACGTGGCCACCGGCATCTTCCGAGGTGTCAAGGATACTCGCACTCCGCTGGCGGGGGCAGTGGTGTCGGCAGGGGCTAGTTTGGGACTCAACATGCTCTTTTTGTACGGTGAGAACGACCGCGGTCGGGCCCGCTTGTATGCGCACCCGAGCCCTCTTTCACTGCACACCGCTTTCGTCCCACTGCAGACTTCTTCTCTAACCTTCCGCCTCTTTAAGCTTAAGGTCTTCCCTAGCTTCCCGCTTGGCTCACTCTCTTCTCAATGTCTCCATCCTCAGGGGTCCTCCTACCTGTTCTCATGGTCCCTGTTCCATCGCGGTTCTCTTGATGCATTTCGGTACCCCTTCAATCGGTCATTCAATCATTACGGTACCCCTGCACCCGCCGCCCCTGCCTGCAGTCCTGAACCTGGGTGTGTTGGGTGCCGCTGCCGCCACGTCCGGCGCGCAGCTGGTTTCCGCGGTGCTGCTACTGGCGGGCCTGGCAGCGGGCGGCCGGCTGCGGCGTGCCGAGCTGCTGACGCCGCCGGCGCTGCGGGAGGTGCTGCCCAGCCTGCAGCTGGGGGCGGTGCTGGCGGTGCGCAACGTGATATCATTTGGTGGGTGGGCTTTGGGTGGTGGTCGTTAGAGTGTGTTGGGGTCTTGGGGAGGTGTAGGAGGGGCGGGCGCGTGTAGGGGGGAAAAGCTTGCAGGGTTTTCCTTCTTCACCGCCTTTCTCCGGCTCATTGTTACTCGTCTTCCTAACTTGTAGTGTGATGTCGTACATACCTGACCGTGTACCACGCACCTTTCGTACATTTACCCTTGCCGTACACACACCCCTCCAGGTACGGTGATGTACGCTTCCACCATGTTCACTCGACTGGGGGCAGCCTACCAGGCCTCATTCGAGATAGTACGGCAGGTGGGCTAAGGGTGTGGGGAAGAGGCAGAGCTTGATGTACTGCTTAACGGTACCTTGTGCCCTTCCATGAGTCCATGCGTTGATCCGTTAACGCTGGCAAAGTAGTAACATACTTATTATAATATTTTACCCCCATGCAACATGCAACGCTCCTCCCCACGTCGAGAAACCTCCACCAACACCTAACCTTACCGTACTGTATCTCCTCATCTACGCACTCCCGCACCCCATTACCCCCCACCCCCGCCTCCAGCTCTGGATCCTGACCGTCCAGTTCTTCGAGTGCCTCAATGTGGCCACTCAAGCCCTGGGCGCCTCCTACCTGGGGAAGCAGGTGGGGTGAAGCACAGGCTGCTGGGTCTGGAACGTGTTGTGTTAAAAGGGGGTGCGCGTGTTGCGGTTTGGTGAGGGCTGAGGGGGTGTCCTGTGTGAATGTAGGTTTGAGGTTGCATGGGCAGGCAGCAGCAACTGGATGGGTGTACGTAGAAGAAAAGAACCATGCACCTGGATGCCTGTGGGAGGGGCAATCCAGGGAGCTTTGGTGGCTTTGGTTAGGACGTGAAGGGGGGTCAAAGGGGGGGGGCGCAACCGCAGGGGTCATTAACAGAAATATCACATGCATGCATGCATGTGTTGCGTTGTGGTCCTGTTTATTGATGCCTCCGCTTGTATGCATGTCGCCTTACGCTTGAATGCACTGCGCCCCCAGGACGTGCGCACTGCGACGCTGCTGCTCCGTCGTCTGCTGGTGCTGGGCACATGTGTGGGCGGGTGTGCGGGTGCGGTGGTGTGGCTGCTGCACCCCGCCCTCATCGCCGTGTTCACACGGGACGCGGCGGTGGTGCAGCTGGTGAGGAGGGGAGCGGGCAGGGGGGAGGCATGCATGGGGGGGGGGTTGCGGGGGTCCTGCTGGGTTCGTGTCACAGGTTGGAAGCCAGGTATGCTGCTGGAATCCTCGTAGCTCTCCCTAGCAACACGGCAGTCAGAGTATGTGTGTTACTATTCCTGGTAAGAGCAACCTGTGCCCGTCCACTCCCCGTAACATACAGGTCATGACGGCGCTGCCCATGATCTGTCTGCTCTTCCCGCTTGACGCCGCCGCCTCCATCTTTGACGGCTCTCTGCTGGCCGCCAAGCAGTCCAACTACCTCTCTGCCGTACAAATCGCCGGATCTGTCGTACAGTACGGAGTGATGTGGTGGCTGGTGGCGGCGGGTAACGTCACCACCTTCACCGTGTGGGCGGCGCTCAAGGTGGGCGAGAGCGAGCGGTATTGCAGCCTCTAGTGCTGAAGCCTAGGGCTGCTGCCTAGCCTGCCCTAGGCTGCCCGCCCATCCTATGTGGCTACTATGCTAGTCGTGTTGAGTAAATTGCAATGGTAGAATCCAAACCGCCGCCGCTTGCACACATGCTATGTGCCATGAGCCGCTGCTTCCCAGTCACACTCCAGCTGCTGCTGCTGCACTGGGTGCTCGCTCCCCAGCAGTGCTGTTGTACCGCCGTACACCCGCCTACCGGCAACCCCCTGCACCATACCGAACCATACTTACCGAAAGCGCAACTGCGGTCCACCCCTGCCAACAAGGGCCTCATACCCACGTGTGCTGATGAAGGCTCTTCCTTCCCCTCCTCTCTCCCTCCTCCCTTCAGATCGTACCCGTCTTCCGACTCATCGGCGGCGTCCTCCGCACCTACTTCTCACCCCACAGCGCATACAGCCTAGCAACACCAGCAGCAACACCAGCAGCAACACCAGCAGCACCAGCAGCTGCAGCGGCAGGGGCTCCTGTGGCTGGGCTGACCGAACCGGCAGCAGCACCGCTGGTTATTGCCCCTTCAGGCGAGACCAACACCACGCCAATGACAACCACAACAGCGGCGGCGGCGGCAACGGAGGCAGCTGATGCAATGAAGACGGGAGAGGCGCGGGGGCCGCAGGGGGTCGTCATGGATGAGTCGTTGGTGTCATTCGAGGAGGATGTGATGACGCTGGCTTGTGCCGCCGCCACCTCCGCCACTGAGATGCACCCGGACATGATTCTCAGCTTGCGAGGAGGGCAGCAGCAGCAGCATGGGGACAGTGGCAGTGGCCGCGGGTAGCACTGCTAGCAAACAGCAGCAGCAGCGGTAGCAGCAGCAGTAGCAGCAGCGGCGTCAGCACGGCCATGATGAACTGTACCGGTATACTCAAGTGGGAGGAGCCTAACCTAGACTAAGTAAGCTGAGGATGTAAGAAATTGCAGGATGGGCATGGGAGTTTGTGTAGTAAGGGAGCGGGTTGGTCGCTTGCTGTAATCTTGTACCGCTGTTACCCTGCAGTTGACAAGTCCTCATTGGGAATTTGGTTGGTTCAAGCTCTTCCTCTCGCTGTGTCACGTCTCCCGTTAGCCTGTACAGATGTAAGATAAGATACCCTTGTATGTTAGTCGGGCCAGGGGCCTTGATGCCGAACGTCCGTATCCCGTGTGTATACCGGTACCAGCGGATGGAACCCCCCGTAGTTGTTGGGCGTCTGTTACCATCTGGATTTGTGTTGTTGCTGAACCCAATCTGTGTGTAGTCAAACGTCGTGTTGTCATGTTGGTCGTTACGTGTTTGGCTCGGCGGTCGCTTTGCAAAAAGCTTGGGCCTGCAGGCACTACTGCATCTTATACGTTTTATATGGTTAAGGTATTGGTTTGCCGACGGTGGATCCTTGGCCCACGTAAGCTTAGATGTTTCATTGACCTACGTGTGGGTTAAGGATTGTCGAAGATCACAAAATCGCTGTATAGTAAGAGGGTGTGGCGGCGCCCCGTCAGCTATGTTATGTTACGCGTCGCATTCGTTGAGCTTTGGGACATATGTACGGATGCAATACCCTGTTTACGATAAGAGGCATTCGCCGCCGCAGGGCGTGTGGGGTGTCTGCCAATGAAGACGCGTCGCAGGATGGAACGCAACACAAGATGGAAGTGTGCATCGATCCGCGTTAATATGAGAAACTATTGGATCTTAGCATGCTCGTACAAGCAAGGACACCCATTGGGTTTGCGTGCGCAATCTTAAGCAGGTTATGTGGACTGTCATAAGCAGCGATTGAAGGCGAACATGCATTGTTTACGGCATACCTATGGTGGGTGTTATGTTGCCACTGTTAGCTGCTAGCCACTGTTGCGAATGAAACAGCGAGTAATCACGGAGGGCTTAGGGTTTTGCAAATCGTGGATATTTCAAGGTTTGGGCCTCCTGCTGTAACATGAACAAACAGTCTTGAGCAACAGCTCTCCCGCTCCCCTTTTATCGCGGCAACAGCGACCAACACAAACTTGTGGGAAGGAGCCAGTGCTGCATCATCGCTCTGCCTCCTCGCGCTGCCCCTTGTGACCCATGGGTCAGAGCCTCTCGTTACGCACTTGGCCTGTGCTTATCAACCACCCAGCTTCCTCGCTTCCATGCATACTGCATACAACTACGCATCCGTTGTTGCCGGTGCTACCGCTCCGCCAGCCTGCTTGCCATCTTCGTCCTCCGCCTTCATCAATCCTTGTATTGCCGATGCCACCCGATTGCTGATCAGCTGAACCATGAGCGGATCAATGCCTGTCCGTTTCCGCAGAAGGAGCAAAAGGAAATGAGTGCATGCCGTACGGCACAGTAAGATCACGGCATGCGGTGCGAAGTGAAAAGCACCAACACGGGTTGCCACTAACGTTAACAACGTTTACGCTAACAGCCGTTAACGACGGTAACAACCTCCTCTTCTTTGCACCAACCACCCAGACCCCCAGACCAAGCACCTTCCTCACCTATGGGTTCCGCAATGACGCAGGTAAGGCCCGGGTGACGAGTCGCCGCCTCCGCCACCAGCGCGGGAATGTCCTGTTGGATGTGTCGGCCGCGGGACAGGAAGTACGGTGCGACCACTACGGTGCTGGCGCCGCGAGCCGCACAGCGACCTGCGGGTGTCGTGTCGGGGAGGTGTACCGGTATGAGGGAGGACGGGGAGGGCAGTAGGCAGCAGGAGGATGAGGAGATGGTCGGTGGCGGCTGGGATCCTAAAGTCTTGGGGTGTGGGATGCGAGAGAGGGCAGGAAGACAGGAAAAGGATGATGACGGTAGGGAAGCAAAAGCCGCCGCACGTGTGGTTCTGTAGCACCCACTGCTCACTGCTCACCCACTGCTTCCTCGATGGTGGGACTCGCGATCTCCATGTGCGCAATTTCAACGATCTCCTCGCCGGTTAGCTTGCCGTACAGCTGCCCGAACTCAACCAACATTTCGTTGGAGACCTTTTTGCGCGAACCATGGTCCACGATGACTACGCCTACCTGCTTGGGCCCAGGTCCGTTGGGTTTGTTCAAACATTTTTGGGTCAAACATTGAAGCAAATATGGACTGTTGGATATGCTTTGTGGGGAGAGCGGTATGAGCATCATCAACTTGGGGCGCGGGGTTCACGAAAAGCCAGAAGGCCAGCTTATCGTCTGTCGCGGGTCAGCGGGAAAGGTTTGGTCAGCGCGAATGTACCTACTTTGCCCATTGAGCCCGGACGCTGAAGTTGGCCAGCTGGTGAAGCGGCTGCTACCACGTTTCGCATGTTTCGTCTGGCAGCATGGTTGCATACAAGCGAAGCCATGGTGCCGCTCGTGCTGGGCCCATACGACTCCGCAGACACAGCCATGCGAGGGCGCATCATGGCAAACCCTACGTGACAAGTCGCTGGGACCTTGTGCGCTCGGTGCACTGAGGTGTATGAGATACTGGTAGTGTGCAATCCCTGTTCAACTACGAGCGCCCGGGAGGTTCGCATGATTGCGCGTCTGTCGCCGAATCGAACAGGAAAATGCTTGTAAGCAAAGCTTTCAGAATTCAAGTACAGTAAATCCGAATACAAGTTGAAGTTGATTGTAGACAGTGGCCTTTTGGGAAGGGTCGTCGTGGACCGCAGCAGAGGCCAAGAGGACGCAATTAATAATACCGCGTCGTCGCCCTCTGCAAGCTGTACTTTATGTTTTCCTAAGCTAAGTAGCACTTGATATACCTTTCTACTGCACAGCGACCTTAGTCGCCTTTATCCGATTGCTACCCTTCTCCGGTTGCGTGTTGCAACACGTGCCCATTGATGTCAGTCGCACTTCACAATCACAGTTAGCACTGCATACCCGGTTCGAACACACTTGCTAGCCATGGGTGCGCTGCGTGGTTGTTGCGCCCATGCGTTTAGCCATCTGACATGGGCCGAAGTCAGCGGCTCGCTTGGGGACCTGGGAACCTTTCTTCCCTTACTGGCAAGTACCGTGACCGTGTTTGCTAAAGCTCTTGACACCTTTGTATACATTGCTTCCGGCCCATTTCCTGTTCCCCAACATGTACCCAGCATGCTGCCTTTGCCGCACCGCCTGCTTCTTGCTCCTTGCCAGTCCCGTCCTAGCACACTCTACCAACCCGCCTCTGTGCCTGAATAGCCTCCTATCTCTCGCTCTTTCTTCAATCCAGATCGGATTGGTTCAAAAGGTGAACCTGGATCTTGGAACCACCCTCATCGTGACAGGTGCGGGCCCCATGCTTCCTCCTGGGGCTGCGTTGAACTGCACAACATCGTCAACCTCCGCCCAACTCCCATCACCCATGTGCGCCTTCCGCCTGCCCCCATCACCCCTCCTGCCCCCCCCCGCACTCCCTCGCTCCACCCATCCTTGATCTATCCACTCACGCCCCTCCCCATGCATGACCTATCCTCTTACATCCCGCCTCATGCATGCATGCTGCACCCCCCCCCAGGCATCTACAATCTGGTGAGCGGGCTGCAGTTCCGCATCCCCATGTGCGTGCAGCCCATGAAGACCATTGCGGCGGTGGCGCTGGCGGCATCGCAGGTGTGTGTGGGTGGGGGCGCGGAATGGCTGCGTGTCTCAACTGTGGGGGGCGGCGGTGGGGGCACGGAACTGCTGCGTGTCTCATGTCCCAACTGTGCTGCGCCTATGCGCGAGCTGGCGAGGGCCGCTTTGCGGGTGGGTGGCGTGCATGCCACGCCAACGCGCTCCTCGTGCACATGTGCAGCCTCCCCTACTTCCCAACCTGCCTGACTGCCCCTCTCCCGGCAACTACAACACCCTTCCTGCTGGTAACACCCTCCGACCGTCCCGCCTCCCCCCACCCGCAGCCCGCGCTGACGCTGTCTCAGCTGCTGCATGCGGGGTTGTTCGTGGCGGGCTGTGAGCTGCTGCTGGGGGCCACACGACTGGTGGACGTAGGTGCGTGGGGCGGCGGGGAAACAATAGAATTGAAGCACTAGTATACCAATTTAATCCAATCTGGGTATGGGAGTGGAAAGGAAGTGGAAAAGGAGTGGAAGGGAAAGGGGTCCGCGGTTGCGGTGCTTGTGTGTGGCATGCACATCCAGGGCTCCTGCTCTTCCCCACCTCCGCATGCCCTTCATCTCTTACCTCTCCCTCTGACCTTCTCCGCAATTACCCTCTGCTTCCCCCTCGGCCTCCCCCTATTTCCTTCACCGGCTTCCTCCCCTGCTTCCCCCCTGTGCGCCGCTCACCCCTCTGCTCCCCTGTCCGTCAGTCAACCGCTTGGTGCCGGCCTCCGTGATTCGCGGAGTGCAGCTGGCAGTGGGAGTCAAGCTGGCCATGAAGGTAACAGTAATGAATGAATGAATGACCGTTAGAGTGGTGGTTCCCCAAAAGGGAACCATGACTTGCTTTGTTGGGCTTTTGCTTGGCAAGGAAACATCCACAGTCGAGCCACTGGAATAACGTCAATCCAAATAGCGTTAAACCGTATCACTGCATGCATTGGCATGACAAGTACGATCCAGGTCATTTGTCCCGTGATGTGTCTTGCATCGCGTGTGCTCCGCTCATCAATCGCCGCCACCCAAACAACAGGGGATTGACATGGCTCTGCGTATCCACGTCACGGCAGCAGCAGCAGCGGGGACAGCGGGGGCAGCGAGCAGCAGTGGCAGCAGTGGCAGTGAGGTACGGTGGAGACCGTGGTTGGGCCCGGATGGCCTGATTGTGGGTGCGACGGCGCTGTTGCTGCTGTTCGTGAGCACCATTCCAACGAGGGAGCCGCAGCAGCAGCTGGAGCAGCAGCGACCGCAGAGGTACAAGAAGCAGAGGGTACAGCGGCAGACGCAGGAGCACGCTTCGACGGTGGGAGGGCAAGAGGGCGATACGGAAGGGGCTGCTGCTGCTGCTGCTGGCGGCAGTGGCAGCGGTTGCGGCGGGAGTTGCAGTCGTAACGGTCGCCCCAGCGACGCAACGACGACGACACTCATTGACGAGACGTCGCGACTGTTCCAATTAGCGACTGATGACGGCGACGGAAGGTCGGCGGCGGCGGCAGTGGCGGCGACAGGTACGACTATTACGGATCTGGAGGCGGCGCCGTCGTCGAGGCGACCGGAACAGGTCGGCAGCACCAGTGGCAGTAGCAATGGCAGTGCCGCTGGCGGCGGTGGCGGCGGCGGCGGCAGTAACGTCCAAGACAGCAGCAGCAGCAGCAGCGGCTGTTGCAAATCGCGTCCCGCCCCCACAGCGCTGTTGGTGGTGGTGGTGGGCCTGATGCTGACGGTGGTCAGCCGCCCCGGGCTGCTGGCGGAGCTAAGGGTGCGTGGGGGAGTGGGAATGGGAGTGGGAGCGGGAGGGGGCTGGCGAAGGGTTGTTGGGGCAGGTTGGGGAAAGGAATGGACTTTGGCTGGAAGGTTCCCAGCCGAGGGGTGGGGAGCTTGAGAGGGCAGGGGCATACCGGTTGTTCTGTGCAGGCAGGCGCAACATCTTCATGTAAAGTTTGTCTTGGTTAAACTCATCAACCTTCATTTACCATTTCCCACGCGAGCCTAGGGGTTTCCCCCGCTACATTCACCTTTCCCCCAAAATCCCCAAAACCCCACAGCTGGGCCCCAGCACCCCCCGCCTGCTGCACCCCAGCTGGCCCGACCTGCGCGAGGGCGCGCTGCGAGCCGGGCTGCCGCAGCTGCCGCTCACCACCCTCAACTCCGTCATTGCGGTCACGCAGCTGGCGACCTGCCTCTTCCCGGACAGGTGGGCGAGTGGGCGTTAAGAAACTGGCCGCGAGTAGGAACGTACTGAATTACCTTGATTTATACGATGTCCGTGTGTGAGTGCTTGTTGTTAGAATGGACTGGCCGCGAGTCTTGTGTGTGCGAGGAGTGTTGGGCGGATTGAGGGAGGGGAGTGTTTTGGAGGTGCTGGGTGAGGTTGCAGCAAGTAATGGAAGGTGGGGGAGATAGGCCGGTCGCAAGGGTTGGGATGCACCTAGTAGTCCGCCCCTCATCCTCCCATTAAGTCCTAACGTCCACTTCACCCCCCCCCCTGTTCATCTCACACCTTAACGCCCTCACACCCCAGACCCTCCGACGCCCCCCGCTGGCGCCCCTCCTCCGTCGCCCTCTCCGTGGGTTTGCTCAACCTGTTCGGCTGCTGGCTGGGAGCACTGCCCTGCTGCCATGGGGCGGGTGGGCTGGCAGCACAGGTGGGAGGGTTGGCTGGGGTGGCTGGTTGGCTGGTAGGTACCGGTATGTTCAGACATGTTGCCTTAACGCCTGCCGCCGTAAGCCCTGATCCTTATCCTGATTCTGCCGTACCCGTAACCTCCTGCTGCTTGCTGCTGCTGCCCTACCCTCCTGCTGCTGCCATTGCTGCCGTACCCATAACCTCCTTCTGCTATCGCTGCCGTACAGTACAAGTTCGGCGCGCGTACGGGTGCCGCCCCCATCCTGCTGGGCTGTCTGAAGGCCGCCCTAGGACTGCTGTTCGGAGGCAGTCTAGCAGCGCTGCTTCAGAGCTTCCCGCAACCGCTGCTTGGGGCGCTGCTGACGCTTTCCGGGGTGGAGCTGGCGGCGTCGGTGCGGCATACCAGGTAATGTAACGGTAATGGATTTGGGAGGCATGGTGCGGCACTGTATACGGCATACCGTCTGGCATCCATTCCAGAGATGTGGACATGAGTTTAGGAAGGTACCTGTCCATTGTACGGCACACACCAGATGCGTGGTATTATGGTAGGTTTCTAACTTGCTTTGCTCCTCCTTGCTTTCCGACTGCGACACATACCATACGGTAATACACATACCGTAATGCCACAGAAGCGCGCGCGGCTACAGCTACGCGCTCCTGACGGCAGCGGCCATCCTAGCGCTGGACAACACGGGAACGGGGTTCCTTATCGGTCTGGCGGCGGCGGCGGCGGTGGCGGCGCATGAGACGCTGGCGGAGGCGGCGATTGTACGACAGGTGCTGTACGGCTGGCGTCACTGGCGGCGGTTGCAAGGGCAGCAACAGCGGCGGCTCGAGGGGGGGGAGGAGGAGGGGGAGGAGGAGGAAGAGGAGGGAGATGTGGAGGGATGGGCGGGTCGGGGTGGAGGTATTGGAGGTGGCAGGGGCAGAAGGGATCGGCATGGATATGAAGCGCTGGAGGGAAGTGGTAGTGGGGGCCGCGGGATAGGAGGGATAGGGCGGCAGTAGTGTTTGGTGGCGGTCAGGGAAGGTGAATGGATGATCGAAGCGGGTATGGTGCAAACACTGGCGAGGAGCGTGTGCCGTGCACTGTCGCAGTTGCCGTACAGGATGTACAACATGGGATACGTGGATGACAGATACCGGTAAGCGGTTACCGACAGATTAAGGAGCGATTTTCAGGGGGGATTTTAAGGATTTCATTTATGTGCCTTGGGGTGCCAACCGCAAGGCACCAGCTGTCTTATGGGTAATAACCGCGGGACCTAACACCAGCCCTTTGGGTTTACAACACGGCGAGAACACGGAAAGCAGCACTAGACGACACAAGTTGGTTTCCCCAAAATGACATTAGCAGGACGAACACAGCGGATTCGCGGCCAGTTTCCCTAACACAAAAGATGCCGTGCACAATTGCATTACATGTACGACAGAGATACCGTACGAACCACCCGATTCCACCCACTTCCCTCTATTCTTGAAAGCCAAATGTGATGACCTTTGGCTTACATCAGTCTTGTGTATGCCTGTTTAGCGCTGTTGCGTGCAACCTGACGCCTCCCAACCCAGCCCAGGGCACATACTGGGACATCGGAATGCATGCCATGCCATGACATGACATGCGTACTAGGATTAAGGTTGGAGTAGGAACATTGACCCTGCAGGCCAACATGGAAGTTCCAACCATGCAGAAAAACACACAAGAGCACAGCCACATACCTGATAACCTAAGGTTTAGCATGCACCCCTACCTAAACCCCCGTCTAAACCCCTGCCCTAAAGGGCCCTAAACATGCACCTCGATGCACCTTTCCTCGGGGAAACAATTCAGGAAGCATTGGCTCCTCAATCCAACAAACCCACACGCGTAAATGCGCTTCCATGATACCATCAGAAAGACCTCCCAAACTGCCCAAACCCTTCCCACACACCCACACAGACCGTGTCCTCCTCCCTCCTCCTCCACCAAGGTCCCCCTTCACGCACATACCTGCACATACCTACTGCCACCCACGCATCATTCCTCCCCCCTCCTATTTTTTGTAGGTACTACAACTTGCTAAAAGCGTTGGCTCAGGCGATGCATGCCCAAGAGCATAGCGCACGCCTACACTGCTAACTTTGGAACTTCTTACTACTTTGCAACATCGGGTGATGAAACGAAGAAGTTGCATGCAGCGACCTGCAACGCTGCGGCTGTAGCAACAGCAGCGAATGATGCCTGCACATTGCTTCAGCTGCTTGCATGCAACTGAGGTATGACAAACCCCTTGCACCTGCTTCAAGGTCACGTTCAGCCAAACCCATACCTGCGCTTTGACACGGAACACACTGTAAGCCAACTCCTGTTGATGACTAATTTTATCTTCCCTCCCACCATCATGGCTGACCCAAGGGTCATATCACCACCCGCCATCCTGCTTCCGCGTGTCTGCTCCACTCCAATCCATCTTTAATAGACCAACCAGCCCAAAACCCTTCTGCAGAGATCCAGCACTGTCGGCCCGCGCGGCAAGAGACGCCGACCCATGGGTCACGCTCGCATTCCCACGCCCAGATCCATCCTTCCCTTCCGTTTCCCCACCCACCCCTAGCCCCCTCACTTCCCTCCCCTTCCACCTCTCCTCAATGCTCAGTGCGCAGAGACGTCCGATGCACCGCCGATGCTGCCACCGCCGCCGCCAGCGCTGCCCCGGCCGCCACCTGGCTTGGAGAAGGTGGCGATGTTGGGTCCGATGGCGATGTTCTCCACCGGGAGGTCCTCAAAGAAGGTGTTGATGCGGTATCCGTCTAGATCTGTTGTGTTTGGGATGGTGGAAAAGGCGGGATGATTGAAACGGTGGGATGATTGGAAAGGCGGGAATGATTGGAAACGGTAAGATGATGTTTGAGCTCGGATAGTGCTGCCAAAGCCGTGCCCACACCAACGTGCAGGATGCGGGTAAGCCCTACATGCACCCTCACTTCCCCAGCCACACACCCCTTCGGTTGCACCTCAGCCCGCTCGCCATGCAACGCGATTGGGTCGGTGGGGCGGATCTATGATGGAGGAGAGTACAGGAGGAGGTGGCCTGCAGACCCCACCTGGGATGACGGCCTTCAAGGCAGGTACGATCTCCGAAACCAGGCTACGACGCGCCTCGGGCAGGATCTGCAGCTGGCTAGACTTGACCGTGATCTGAAGGCGCGGCAGCAGGGTGGACATTACCGGGTGGACATGTGGAAGGAAGGAAGGGCATGTTAATGGGTGGTCAAAGGGATGATGCTCAAATACCCCGCTTGATGTCCGGAAGATGTAAAAACAGGTCAATTGGGCGCCGAGCGAGCAAGGTAACACAGGGTTGGCAAATGTACGATCAGGTGACATGTTCGTACGGACATGTCCGCAGGCTGCGGTTGGCTGTTACTACCGGACCAATGGTTCAAGTGGTTGAATGCATGCCTGCACCCCTCCCTAGGTTGGGCAGCGCGTGCCTCCGCTCCCTCGCTAGTTAAGCGCGCTCCCAGTAATTGCAGCACCTGACTAACATGTCCGGTTGGGCACCTCCATATGATAGACCCGCAACTTACGTATGCAGCGGCCTTCTCAGAATCCGCACCAAACGAGATGAACTGGTTGTCCAGAATTACAACATGAACGTGGCTAGCGGGGACCTGCAAGGCGGGTAGCCGACGTGGATGCGGTGCCCATCGTGACGCCATACCCAAACACCGGCTTGAAGGAAATGACAAGGGCAAATAGTAAAATAATCCAACATTGCATATGCAATGGCAGACAAGGCACGCATATAGCCCCATCGGGCGCATTGCCCGCGTCTCGGCCACTCGAACTTTAGCCGCGAAATCAGGGTGACCCGCTGAGATTGAATGCTGTCATAGCAACCCCCTCAACGAGCAAGCAAAAGCAGGATGAGGGCAGGCATCCCAAAATGTTTAACGTCACATACCCTGCCCATGAGTTCAGGAAGCTGGTGATTTTAGAAAGTTAAACCTGCTGACCACACTGCAGGGTTACACTTACCCTGCACTCCGCCGCGAACAACTCCGTAATGGCCTTCGCCAGCGTTTTCTTGGCGTCAAGGCCCGCCTCCTTGTTAACGACAACATTGATGAGTGGCATTCTTGAATAGCCAAGAGATCAGGCTCAATAGCAACTTCAGTAACAAACCACACAATGCGGGCTGGGATGGCAAGTTTAGATTGTATGCTCATGCAATGCTGCAGCGAGCCTTGCAATTTTGCCGAATCAATCTATACTGAACTTTTCTATGTGCGTCTCGCCACAGAAGACAAGCAACGAGCGGTACGACGGCGCACGCGCTTACATAATTACACTCTGTCCATCCGCTCCTAATTATAAACTCGTCACTGGCGTAAACTCCTTACATTCACAACTCCAATCTGGAATGGCCACGCCGTTTCCTTTCTTTTATCCCAGACTGAAGTACGTACCAGCTCAGTCTGGAATGCGTTTTGTGGAAGCTATGATCCGCCTGCCCAGCCCAAAGCATGCACCTCGCATTATCCCGTGCTGCAGCTGTACCTTCCATAAGACGAGGCCCGCTGCTGTACTGGCTTCCCGGCATGTGCATCAAGTGTACGGCAATCCTCACAATTGCGCTGAGCGCTGTCCTCATTAGCCGCATGTACCCCTTTCATGTAAACGTACAACTCTTCTTGCCACAGGCGCAGCTGGTATGCAGGTAACGCCGCTCACAAGCTGTGCCGTACACCAAGCAGCATCAAGGAAGGCGAGACCACAACAGTAACACAGTCACAGCGTTGTCTGCGCTGGACTAAGTAACGCCATAAGCGTCCAGTCCTGCCTTGTCCCAGTGCTAGGATGTGGCTGGTACCGTGCGTTCGCTGCTACCCGGCCCACTGACTACCGATAGCTGTTCCCACGAACCGCTTCATGAGGACACCTACCCACCGTGCCACCCCACAGGTCTCGATACGTAACTATATAGCTGCTAACCACTGAAGCTAAAAGACGTCCACACGAACCCCGCATGCATGCGGAAGAGGCCTCCCATCCGCAAGCTAACAACAGTCGGAAGCAATGCATTACTGCAGCAACCACCCCACCCCATGCCTCGTCACCGTCCCCAACGTCCCCGCCTCCCGCAACGTGCCATGGCCACATTCCTACCGCACCTTCCGCTCGTTCTCCCCGCCACAACCGTAGCCGCACACCCTCAACCCAACCGCGTTACCCCGCCCTAGCCGTAGACACCAGCCCGCCCCAAGCCTCTCCTAGCGACCAAGGCCTGCAATGTACGGCATGTACCAGCCGGGCCTTATGGTGCCGCATGACGCCGCCACTAGGTCCTTCGCCGGCACCGCCAGTGACCCATGGGTCATTCGACGGGGCTGCGGACGGAAGACCAGCGCTGAAAGCCTCTGGCGGCTGAATGGCTGTCCGAGGCCACAGGCGAGCAGCCTGCATGCCAACACCAACACGGGGAGCACATGGTTGTTAAGTAAATAGCCCCGGTCATTCGTGTCGGTATTCCCTTCTGATGCTGCCTTCCTGCCAGTTTCAGTAAAACACGACAACATGCAGTTTTTTTACACCTTCCAATTCCGTACCTGCGCCTGCGCCTCCCCCGCCGTCGCCTCCTTCCCTAGCGCCGCCTCCACTTGGCCCAGCAGCAGCGCTGCCAGCGCCGCGCCCGGACCCGCCGGCCCTGGCGGAGGCGCGCCGCCCCGCCGACCCATGGGCCCGGCGGGCCGGGTTTGGCTCTGCGGCTTGAGCGCCTCGCGGGCAGCCCACCTGGTGGAGGTGACAAGAGGTGTGAACAAGAGGTGTGACGGAGTTAGGAAAGCACATGTGGTCTGGGGCGGGAGGTAGGAAAGCACATGTGGTCTGGGGCGGGATGCGAGTGCCGGTATGGTAAACGAAGGAGCGCAGTATGAGTCCAGGCAACGCCAAGACTTACCTCGCTTCCAGCAGGCACTTCTTACGAGCCGCCGCAGGTGTCGTACCCCCACCACCGCCGCCCTCGGCCGCCTCCACCAGAGCTGCCTGAACAAGCGCGGCAGCAGCTTGTACGGCATGCGCCGCGCACTGAAGCCCTGTCGTACTGCCAGCGCCGCCGCCGCCGCCGTCGCTAGCAGCAGTAGCAGCTTCCGCCGCCGCCGTCGTCGCCGCCTCAACGTCGCCCAGTTGGAGCATTAGTAACGCCCGTTGTACGGCGGCGACGTCGGTTAGCGCCGCTGGCGGCCTTGACGGTACGACAACGGTGACGGCGGCGGCGCCTAATCCGTTACCGTTGACGGCGGCGGCAAGTCGTTGTACGGCCTCGCCGCCGCGGCCGGAAGCTGCTTGTACGGCAGCCCATTCCAGCGCCGGTAGCAGACGGTAGCTGGCACTGCCGCCGGCGGCGGCAGCTGCGGCCTGACAGGCTTGCTCGTAGGCTGCGTCAGCGGCCGTCATGTTACCCTGCGGGTCCGGGAAACCAATCCGTGATTAGGACTGGACTACCGTGAACTACAGTTGGAATGTAACCTTCACTCCCGCCGACGTCTACGTCAACACGGTCACCACATACGCTGCCTGTTGATTCGCCACTATGTTAGCTAGGACCTAGGCCACCATTCACAATTATATTAACCCAAGGCCCGCCAACCACAACCCCTAAACCTCACCAGTGCGACATGCAGGCGGGCCAGTTGTCGGTGAGCCGGGGACGCGTCCACACGATGAGTCGTGGCAACCCTACAGTGGGACAAGCGAGTTGAAAGGAGTTCCAATCGATGTGCGTGTGCGGGCTACATTGATACGGCTTTTCCGGCCGTTCTGCGGTTCAATGGCTACTCTCGAGTGTCGTATTACTGTCAAGCTTGACTGACTAGTTGTATCTCTCTTAGCGTATAGCGCAGTTGAAGCGGTTGGTTGGAGCTCTCGCCGTACTTTGTGTACGGCATACGGCTCATTACCCATTACGCAGTTAGTTATCCCGTATTGCGTTGTCCCCACTCACCTGAGCGCTTCCTCAGCGGCCTCCCGCGCTCCCGACGTCACCGCCCCAGCATGTATAGCGGAAGCAGCAGCAGCAGTAGCACCTGGGTTCCGATCGCGCAGTTGCAGCCGACATTCGCTGACGATTGACCAAGCGCGAACGCAAGCCTCCGCTAGGGCAACACGACGGGCGCGGATGGCAGCGACCCGTGGGTCGTTGGTCGGCGGCGCGTGCGCACGGGCTGTAAGGGAGTAAAAGGGAGTGGGCGTTGAGGCGAGAGTTGGGTAAAGTTGGGTGAGCGCTGGGTGCTTCGCATCGCTTGCTCATCTTTGGCAACAGGACTGCCATATTCCCCAATCCGAAGCAACTTAGCACGTAAGGCTATAGTATGCCGTAAACGACAAGCAAATCCAAGACCGTACGACGAGAATTGTTGCCATCATGGAATGCGTGAGAACGCACCCGCTTGCGCCGCCATAGCCAGCGCCATCACTGGCGGCAGACCCGGCGGACCCATGGGTCGCGACGGCGGTCCCGCCGCCGCCGCCAGAGCCGCCTCCGTCGGAAGCTCCGCCAGCTCGGCGGCGGCTCGTACGGCAGCGGCACGAGCCGCCACCGCCGTACTGCGGTACAGTCGCGCTTGACCCCCACATGCGATAGCATGCTGCGAATGCAGGAAGGAATGAAATGACATCAGAATAAGAGCTGTACGGCGGCAACAGACACCAAATTGCAGACACCAAGGGTACCTAACTGATGAACCCACCTGCAGCTCCGTTAGTGCGCAAAGGTACCATGCCGATGCCTCATTAGGCTGGGCGTGTACGACACGCCGCATCCGCGCCGCCGCCTCACGCACTGCCGCCGACAGCGCGCCGCCGCCGCCACTCGCTGCCGCCGCCGCCGCCGGCATCGCCACGACGCTGACGGCATGCGCGGCGGCGGCGGACGGCGCCAATGGCGCAGCCGGTGCCGCCACTGGCGGCGACGCCGTCAGGCTTGGAACCGCATTGACGCAGACGGCGGCGGCGCCGGCGGCGGTTGCGCAGTTGTACGGCGGTCGGGGTCGAGGCGCCGCCCGCGCCGCCAGTACGGCATATCGTGGTCCGACTTGCAGGGCGGCGGAGGCGAGGAGCGACCTGACGGCGACGTCGGAGGGGCAGATGTGTACGGCATGGGCCGCCCGACGCATGGCGGCGGAGGCGAATGTCGTACTGCCAGCACCGCCAGCGGCGGCGGCGGCGGCCAGGTGTTTCGCACAAAGCAGCTCCTGGACACGACACTCGTGCTGTGGAGGTGACATTGGGGTACACGTAGCGGTGGTGGCGATTTTAATTGGCGTAATGAGTTATGTCTTTCTATTAGATGAGACCTTGACAATCTACCTACCGGTATACATGTCGAGGGCGCAACAACACATACACGTGCATGTGTGGACTGCTGTGACGTGAACACGAACCGTGCGGAGGCAACGCGCCGTACACCGCACGACAGCCCACCAGCCCAGACATGCATGTAGGATAAGATCCAACCCGGTCGCCCCCAGGGACCTGTGCACCCCCACCTGAGCACCCGCCAGGTCGCGCCTGCCCGCCGCCCACTGCCGCATGGCTCGCAGCAGTTCGCCTTCCAGCTCAGGAGCGCGAGCGGTGATGAGGCCTGTGAGGGGGCGGGCGGGGTGCATGATGGGCTGTGAGCAAGGTGCACGAGACCGGCAGCTGACGTAATATGTCAGGATGTGATAGCCGGATGAGATGTCAGGGTGTGGTGTCAGGATGTGATAGCTAGCCGGATGAGATGTCAGGGTGTGGTGTCAGGATGTGACAGCAGGATAGGGCAGGATAGTGCCGCCCCGGGGTAACACGGGATGTAAAGGACCCCACACCGAAAAGGCCAATGCCGCGAGCCTCGGCCCCATTGTGCTTCCGTGAGCTCAATCCGTGAATAAGTCAATGAGCGAGCAGCAAGGTAACGCAGACACATGAAGGATACATTCATAAATACGGCACAGCAGCAGCAGCTAGGACTTCGGGGAAGCCCTAATGAAACCGGACCTCGCACCCTCGCCCTCCCACCTGCCAGCAGCACACGCCACAGCCGAGCCGCCATCTCCACAGCACTCCCGCTGTCACCTCCTCCTCCTCCAACCCCGGCAGCTTCTTCTGGCAAGTCTGCCGTAACCGTAAGCACGAGGCCGTACGCTTCATCCCAGCGTCGTACGGCCACGAGAGCTCGTACGGCAGCGGTGGCGGCGGCGAGACGGAGTTTGGTGGGTGCAGCGGGTGTTGTGGCGAGCTCGGAGAGGAGGGGGAGGGCCTCCGAGCTTCGGCCGGCCTGTGGGTTGGTTGCGGTTACGGAAGGTAGCGTTTGTTGGTTGAACTACACGTGCATTATAATTGTTGCCGCTACGACAAACGGAGCTGCGCAAAACTGTCAGCACTCGTTAGCAGCCTTAACGGCAAAAGTCATGAAAATCCAGGATCAGCAACACGTTCCTTACCTGTTGCAGCGCCATAGCGTACGACAGCCGAGCAGGAGAGTCATCTTGTCGTACAGACCTTTGCGCCAGCAACTTGCCGTACAAATCCAACGCCTCCTTGGCGCGACCAGCTGACGTCAGCACACGTGCGAGATCCAGCTCCATTGCCGTGCGAGTTGCCGGAGCGACCCGTGGGTCGAAGGGCCGCACGAAGGGCCGCGCTGCTGCGGAGGCGACTCCTTGGGCCGATGCTTCTCCGGCGGCTGTTGAGTCGTACCCTGGAAGGTGGGGTACCTCCGAATCTAGAAGTGCGATTGCTGTTTGGAGTGCCTGCATGATGAGGTAACTTAGTTAATAATTATTTACAATATGGCCTGATATGGCTGTAATGAATGCGTGAAAAAGGCAGGCAAGCCAGTGAAGGCAACAACCAATTTCCACCACCGTTGTTTTGTTTTTTTCTTCACAACGAGCAGCAAAAAACGCATGCGATGATTGCGGTACAAGCGGCGGGTCAGGACGGTTAAACGCATCCCCACCATCACAGCACCGTACCACATGTCGTACTGCCCCTGCAATGTCGTACACTCCCTACACACCTGTACGGCAGCCGCGTAGTCCCGCCGTGCCTCCAGCGCCAGCCCCTTGGCATGGTGTCCCGCCGGCAGCAGCGGCTGCATGGCCGCCACCTTGCATGCAGCAGCCAGCACCGCACCCTCCGCAGCGCCGCCACCGCTAACACCGCTGCCGGCAACAGCGGTGGTAGCGCCGTCAGGGCGTTGCAAGACGCTCTCTGCAATGCAGTCGGGAGGAAATCCCTGGGGGTTAACAATGATTAAGATACATGCATTGTTACCCCAACTGTCAGACTAGCCAACCACCGACTGCCATGTAAAGGCTTCCCCACGTTGCTCCTAAGCGGTTAAGCCGTCCTTCAGTCGTCCTTCAATCATCCCATGTCTCATACTGCATGGCCGTGTCACTCACTTAGCACAAAACCCAGCCGGGACTCCACATCGCCTCCCAGCAGCTGAGCGTGTTCGTAGGCGTCCGCCGCGTCACGCCAGGCGGGACTGACCCGCGGGTCACCGCCGCTGCTGCCACCACCTGCTGCTGCTAGCAGCCCACCTCGCCTCAGCGCCGCATCTCCCATGGCCTCCCAGACGGCCACGGAGGTGGGCTCGTGGCTTCGTGCGGCGTCGAAACACCTGTGGGAGGCAGTAGCGTGTCGTACTAGTGCCAATATGTACAGTGTTGTATCGCACCTATGTTGTAAGATCAGCTTCAAGCGTGGAATCCCAAATTAGCCAATAACTCCATTACTTCCCACACCCCCTTATCACCTGCTCGCCATCCCCCCCTCTCCGTGCGCCGCATACAGCCGCCCAAGTGCCGCCCACACCCCAGCCCTCCTGGGGTTCAGCTGCAACGCCCGGCTGTAGCAGTACTCCGCAGCCGCAGCCAGCTGTAGCGACTTGTCGTACGAGTATGAGGCGACGGATGAGTCAGCAGCTGTTGCTGCTGCTGCTGCAGCTGTAGCTGTTCCGGCTGCCGCGGCGGCAATGGTTCCTGCGCAAGCCCACAGCCAATCCGATGCTGGGTCCAGTCGAAGGCCGCCACGAGCGAACGACAACGCACGAAGCCGAATGCCGGTTGTCGTCGCGTTTACTGTTGCTTCCTGGTTTCCGTCCTGGTCCTTTTGTATACGTGTCCGTGCCGTATGGGTAGGAGCAGCAACCTCCTCTCGCTCCAATTCCGGATGCTGGCTTGCTACTTCCAGCTGCAAATGGTACGACGTAGCCACGTCGCCCCACAGGCCAGCGACCCGTGGGTCGAGATGCAATGCAGCCGCGTACGCGCGGCGCGCCGACCGCAGCCGCGCCACTCGCTGTCGGGCGGCATCCAGCGCGGACTGTACGGCAGCTGGACCTAGTGATGACCCATGGGTCATTGCGACGACGCTCTCCAGGGTGGGTACGGCAGCATGCTGCATGCGCACATCTCCCAGTAGTTTCCAACCGGCCTGTTGGGAGGTCCAATCACAGTTTTGACTCACTGAGTCCAGTCAAATTCGAGTTTCGAAACTCCCAAACGAATCACCCGGCAGCACGCAGCAGCACCCTAAAGTCCTGAACACGCAGCACGCCTCGCTCCACATGGCCCCTCTCCAACCACCCCACTACACATGCACCGCACGCGGTACACAGCACACAGCACGCCGCACGCCGCGCTCCCACCTGCAAGTTGCCGTACTGTCCCGTCGCCCTCGCCGCCAGCGTCGTTGCCTCCGCCAGCTCCGCCGCCGCCGCCCCCGCCGCCCCGGCACGTGCCGCCAGCGCCGCCTGCGCCAACAGCACCTCGCCGCAACCCAGTAGTGCCGCCGGGTGGCTCGGCGCCGCCGCCAGTGCCGTACGATAGTACGACAGAGCTGACGGCATGTCTCCTAGCTGGTAGTGCAGCGCTGCGGCTTGCATTCGGCTGAAGAGGCGGCCGGGGGCGAGCTCCAGAGCGCGATTGAACGACTGGGTTGTTGAATTGTGTTTGTGGGGGAGCGGGGAAGGGAAGGAGGGGAAGGCGGGGAAGGAAAGGAGGGAGAACGGGGAAGCGGGGAGCGTTCAGGATATGGTTCGCGCAGGTAAAAAGGAGCTGGAAGTTCGAGGATGCTGGTGGTTGCCTGCATTGCACTTTTTAAGGGATATTGTTCCACCCCCCCGCAGCGGCCTACGGCTAATGCTGTTGCTGACGGAGGCATCGTGCATGCTCACCAGCGACACTACACGACCCCCCCACTAGAGTCCACATCACCCATTTGCAAAGCAGAAAACGGCAAGACCGTCGCCTCGCCCATGTGGCCCACCCAGTCCACCCGCTCGCCCAACCCTGGACCGTCCAACCAACCTGAAACTCAAATCATACAACGACCACCAAACCCTTCATACAACACTGGTCAGAACCGTCTGAGCTAACAGCGACCAACCAACCACACGATTGCACCCACACAAACTAAGACCACCACGTGCGCATGCAACCCCACCCCAGATTGACACCGCCCATTGCAAACCCACGCAGCACTTGCCACACGTCCCCAGCAGCAACATCGGTCCCAGCATCACCAGCAAGGCCATTCGAACGCAAGGCCCTTCATCTCTTCTTCGGCTGCACACTCAACGACGATGAAACACGCCAACAGAAACACAAAGCGGTCATCAAAGCACACATGCACACGCTGTCGAAATAACGAGGTGGTACCCAAACACAAGAGCACTACCACATAACAACACGACTTAGCAGGGAGCGCCTCGTTATCAACGTCCAGTAATAAACTTCATTCCATTAAAGTCTAGGACGGATTACTTGCCGTACCTTGCCGACAATGCAGCAGAAGCAGCAGCAGTGCGCCAAAAATAAACAGATGTACGTACAGCAGGTTTGGCAGGTTTCAAGGAAGGCGACCGAGGCGACCCATGGGTCATGGTGGTGATGGTGGTGGTGGCGGTTGAGGTAGATGCATGGATGGTTCCATAACCACATTTAGTGAGGCGGAGGCGGCGGAGCGATGAAGGCGGAAGGCGGCGGAGGGAGGAGGAGGCGGGGCGAAGGAGGAAGACGGCGCGGCGTGGATGGAGGTGAAGGAGGAGGAAGCGGGACGAAGGAGGCGGGGTGAAGGAGGAGGGAGGAGGAGGGGACACGTCCGCATGGCGGCACATGCATGGAGGGAGGAGGAGGAGGAGGAGGAGCAGCAGGAAGAGGGTGAGGTGGTGGCGAGGAGGCGGAGGAGGAGGCGGGGGTCTGTCTGTACAGCTTGTACGATATTATTGAACTGTAGCGTCCGTAGTACAGTTCCTGGGCCCGTTGCTGCCAGCCTGCTTCAGTTGGCTGTGAGCTACATGCGCTGAGGAGCAGTGTCTTAATTTATGAAGTCGAAAAGAACCATGAAGCCTTTATGGCGCTATGAAGACTGTACGTATGCAGTTCACCATCCCGTCATGAGCGTAGTACGCAGGCACATGACAAACGAAGATAACCGTGGCTAAAGCGGCCTCCACCAAAGCAGCACCAAACAGACGAAAAGCCGTCTAAATTAATTACGTATGTTGCTGAATATATGCGACGTCCCTCCGTAATATTGGCGAGATATTAAACAACCGTACAACACATGAAAGCCGTAAAGCCGTTATGTACACATCCTGCAAAAGATGCAACACACATCTCCTTTTTCTGTATTTTTATTACCAGCATCAACAGCATCCACATTAATCGTATTATCTGCAACCCTTGCGGTTGTACTCCCTTTTGTACGACAACAACGAAATCATAAACCGTGTGTTTCAAGTACCCAAATGCCAAGCCAATGGTACACCTCCCCTGGGAAAGCAGCCGATTGCACCACTATTTTTAATTAGGTACAACACCATATGTATGGGCATACAAGAAGATATGCAACGCCAAACCTGAAAGGGCATTATGTACTAACCACAAATCCAAAACGGACAGCAGCAGCAACAGCAGCAGCAATCGCACTGAGCAACACACTTAGCTGCTAAACAGCAAAACGGAAAGCAATAGGATTGCAGACAAAAACCAGACCCCCCGAATATTCCTGGCCACGAACCCTTTGTGGACCTGAACTTCAACAGCACCGGTAACGCACCCCTCGCTGTGAAGACACCACCTGCTGTGACACATCCCACCACCTACCTACATGCATCCTCGCGCCCCATACCCGCACCTCTCAACAGCACCATCTCCCCCATGTTGACGCCTTATCCCTCAGTCAGTTAGTTGTTTCCTCTTTACCCCACCTCCCCCAATCCATCACCCCCAATCCCCGCCAAACCGCCCCAACTAACCCCTCCCTCCAACCGGCGCCCCCGCCGGCTCCTCCACCACCCCCCTGCCCCTGCCCCCCAACCCACCCACCCCCGCTCCCACCCCCTCCTCCTTCAACACCGCCTCCACCGCCCCCTGCAACGAATCATACGACCGCCGAACAGCCTTCTCCCGCTCTGGAACCTCCCCACCCTCGCCTCCACCCTCCACCTGCCCCTTCCCCTGCTCCTCCCCCTGCTGCTGCAGCGGCAGCAGCGGCGATACCGACCTTGCTGCCACCGGAATATCCTCCTCCTTCTCACCCTCCTCCTCACCCCCTCCAACTCGTCCTCCGACTCCCTCCACCGGACCCGCACCCGCCACCGGCCCCACGTCTTCCCTCCGCCTTCCCTCCACCACTGGCGCCTCAAGCCACCGCCGCAGCCCCTCCACACCCACAAAACCCTGCCCCGCTACGCTACCCCCTCCCGCCACCCCACCGCCACCCTCCCCCGCCCCCGTTCCTCCCACCTTGAGAGCCGCGGTGTGTCGGCCGAGTGCCTGGTAGGAGGCGGCCAGACCCTCCCATAACTCCGCATCCGCTGGGTCACGACGAATGGCTCCCTGGGGTGAAGGGAAGCGGAAGGGGAGGGGGAAAGGAAGGGGAGGAGCAAGGAGGTTGCGACGAAAAGTGCAAGAACAGGGATGCGTGCGGGACAGAGACGTGTGATGGCAACAGAAAGCACTACAGCAGCAATAGCCTAATAGCATGATAGCATAAGCAGCCGAGGACAGCAGAGAGCGGCTCAGCTTCGAGGGTCCTGACCCATGGGTCGTTATAGCACCCCTCCCTCCTTGCAGCCCCCACACCACACTCCCACTCCATCACCCCATCAGCCCCATAGCCCCACCTGATAGCTCGCCACCGCCGCCTCATGCGCCCCTCCGTCACGTTGCAACCTAGCCAGGCACCGCAGCGCCCAATCCGCAGCTGTTTGCTGCCCTCCTGCTGCTGCTCCTGCTCCTGTACCCGCACCCGCACCCGCACCCGCACCCGCACCCGCACCCGCACCCGCACCCGCACCCGCACCCGCACCCGCACCCGCACCGGCAGCACCAGCACCAGCCGCCGCAGCACTGGCGGGCAGCAAGCCGGGGAAGATGAGGAAGGGTGTTGGGAAGGGCTGCGGGAAGGAGGAGGAGGAGGAGGTGGGTGCGGAGGTGAGGGCTGCGATGCGCTCCCGCATCTCTTCGCACAGCTGTCGGGCGGTGTCGGAGCGACCGGAGGAGACCAGCGAGGCGACCAGAGCCTCCCCCGCGCTCGCCTGGGGGAGGGGGATACATGAGAAGTGCAGCAACGGAGGAGGGAGGGAGGAGGGAGCAAGGGGGGAGCAAGGAGGTACGTGACGATCGCAGCCCCCACCCGTCCGCAGCATGCGGAGAGTAAACGCACGCACACATACCGGTACAGACATGCATGTACACTGATGCATGCAAACAAACTATACGGTAATGCAGCATCAACTTCAGGAACACATGAGTTTCAAGTTTTTAGTTCGCCCACGCCAACACATGATACACACACCTGGGTGGGGTCCAGGGTCAAAGCCCGCTGGTAACACTTCCGGGCCTTCACCTCGTCACCAGAAACCGCCCCCCCTGAACCCGTCGCCGCCGCCGCCGTCGTCGCCGACGTCGCCGCTGACGTCAGCTTCTTGCCGTACCAGTGGCCGAGCCAAGTGAACGCAGCCGCCTGCAGCGGCCCCGCCACCGCCGCCGCCGACAGCAAATGCTCACGGCAATCCGTACGGAACGGTTCCGTCGCCGGCGCCTCAATGGCGCCAGCGGAAGCTGAACCGTCGCCTCCGCCACCTCCGCCGCCGTTGTACGGCAGCTTTCCTCCGCCACGCACCCACAACGCCAGCGCCAGGTGAAGATGATACGCCGCGGCTTCCTGTTGAAGCATCGCCACGGCGGCGGCGGCGGGGGTGGCGGCGGCGGCGGCAGCCGCCGCTAACGCCGGTTGTACGGCAGCCAGCGCCGCTTGCAGATGGAACCTCGCACCTTCGGCTGTAGCCGGGCCTTGTCGCAGCAGTAGCATGCCGAGCTCGCCATGTGCCCAGGCCTCGATGGGGGCGGCGCTTCGGCCCATGAGCTGTCCTCCCACGAGCTCGTCGTAGCGGTGGCGGGAGCCGGGGTAGTCTCCGCGCGCAGCGGCGGCGTGGGCTAGGTACCTGGCGTGGGTGAGGCGCATGACGAAACGAGCAAAGGGGTGCTTTAAACGGCGTACAGGCTGTATACATACAGATTTCGTGGATTGGTTGGCACGCTTGAAGCACCCCGCCCCCAGCCACAGACCATCCCTCCCCTCCACCTCAAGCTCGGCACACCCCCCACCTCTTGGCCTGCTGGCTGACGTTGACGGGCGGTAGGCCGGCCAGCTCGCCCGAGGCCACGTGACCCTCACTCACACCGTGAGCGAGACCCTCCAGCAGCAGCTGCGGGGCGGGAGGGGGGACAGGGGGGAGGAGGAGTGAGGTGGGGTTAAACGCACAAGGGGGAGAGGAAATGTGGGAGCAGGAGGCAGGGAGACCAGTCATACGGACGTCCTCAGGAGCCGTCTTACGCCTCTTGTACCCCCCCCCGGCCTCTCTTCCAACCGCAAGCGCCGGTTCGCTGCCCCTCCCCCTCCCCCTGCCCGCACCTCCCTCCCTCCCTCCTGCCCCTTCGCGCCCCTCCGCCCCCCCCCCCACCTGCGCCTCCTCCAGCTTGCCCAGCCTCAGCAGCGCCTGCCCCGCCAGCAGCCGCAGCAGCAGCCCCGCCCCGCTCAGCCGCTCCTTGCCCACCAGGTCCCGGTGGGCCACGTACTTGAGACCCTGGAGGAGAGGCAGGGGGGGGAGGGGGCGGGGGAGGAGGCAGGGGGAGGAGATGGAGGCAGGTGGAGGGGGGGAGCAGGGATGGGGCATGGGGGCGACATGCTGCCGAGTTTACACCCGCACGCATGACCGCGGAGACAGCTCTCCCCGTCCCCATTAACCAGCACCACCCGGCTACCGTAGCCCCCCTCCGCACCCCCCCCCCGCACCCCCCCCCTCCGCACCTCCTTGGCCGCATCCAGTGCCGCCTCCACCGTGCCCTCCTGCAGCAGCAGCTCACATGCCGCCAGCCACCCGGACACACCCCGAGCACCGTGCGACAGCGCGGACAGCAGCAGCTTGGTGATCTGCAGAGAGGGGGAAGGAGGTGGAGGAGGGGGCCATGGGGGGGAGAGGGGGAGGGAGTTGGGGTTGGGTTGGGATGGGCTTGGGGAGCATGAGCAAACAGGAGGGCGGAGTTCAAGCGGGAGGGCGGAGGGCAGAGACTGCAGATCAAGATAGATAGCTAGCCGGGGGGTGCCAATCTTTACCAGCGCCACAAACACACTCGCACTCGCACGCCCGCACCTGCCTCCGCCTGCCTCGCTCCATCGTCGCCGCCGCGCCCGTCGCCGGCGCCTTGGGCGGCAACCGCACCACCACCCCGCCCGCTGCTCCCCCTCCCGCTGCCGCCGCCACCTCCGCCGCCTCAAACCCCAGTGCCGCGCCCCTCCGCCGCAGACTTAGCGCGCAGTGCAGTTGTGCGGCGGGGCTCCAGGGAAAGGCATGCAGCAGGCGGGAGGAGATGCGCCCGCAGTCGGCGACTAGCAGCGGCAGGGGAGGGGGCTCGAAGGCGGAGGCGGGAGGGGTGTGGTAGGAGTGGGAGTGGGGATGGTGGTGGTGGTGGGTGGGGGATGCGGGTTTGACAGGACTGCCCAGGGGGTCCAGGGAGGGGTCCTGGGGCGGGGTGGGGAGGAGGGAGTGTAGAGGGAGGAGGAGGGAGGAGTGGGTGAGAGATGACTGGTGTGTGCGAGGGATCAGGGGAAGGACATAGGGTCGCAGTCAGGCGTGAGCTCGTGTGTGTGCCTGTGCCTGCGTGTGTGTTTTCCCCCCGCTGGTTACCCCCACTGTCAACCTCTTTCCCCCCCTCACTCACCTCGGCTCCCACCACCCCATGCTCCACCTCCAGCATGGCCAGTGCGGCCTCGAAGGGGTAGGGGCTGCAGCAGCCGCCTGGAGGGATGAGGGAGGGCGGGCGGGGGTTGTGTGGGTAGGAGCGTGGAGGAGGAGTGGGAGGGGTAGTTGTGTGTTTCAGGGGCTCCAAAACACACACCCTGCAAGGACCTCTGATGTACGAGGTTGGCGGGGGTGGTCTGGCTGGGAGGAGCCCTAACCAAACGAGGTGGGGAGGCGAGGAGAAACAACGTGCGGGGGCTGGGCTGGAGTTGGTTTTCGTTCGCTTTCACTACTCACCTGCCCTCCCCTCCCTCCCACCTGCCCCCCCTCCCCCCCCCACCTGCCCTGTTGCCGCACTTCCCCTCCATGGTCGCCTTGGCGGCCGCCAACAGCACCGCCCTGCGCGAGTGCCGGTCCATGGAGCCCGGGGGGGCGGCCTGGATGTACTTGCGCAGCCTGGGGGGGGGGGTCAACGACCATGCCAAGCCATGGGGTGGGGTGGGGGGATTGAGTAATAACAGGCGGGAATATGAAGAGACACAGCGCAGCGCAGCGCTGACTCCCTCCGCACGGTGTGTGCGCCAGCCCCCGTCCCCCCCCCCCTTCCTCACCCTCCTCATCCCCCTCACCCACCCCTGTCGTACACACACACACACGTTTCGCCTCGCGGCCAGTTATTTTAACACACACATCAACACACACATCATGTATGTGTGTGTTTTCTTAACACATACATACATCGCGGCCAGTTTTCTTAACACACATACATACCTCTTCAGGAAGGCATCATAGTACGGCACGTACGGCGGTGCGGGCGGCCGTAGCGCAATAATCCTCCGCAGGGTTGCGGAGGCGTGGTCCGCATCCAGCTCCAGCGCCTCCTCCGCCCACTCGCCCTCCACGGCGGTGCGGACGGAGGACTCCAGGGAGGCGGCCTGGGGGGGGGCGGGGGGGCAGGGAGAATGTGTGTGTGGCAGAGCGTATCAATAGGGGAGGCGTGGTGTTTACAAGGGTTCCGGGCTTCAGAACGCAGGAGCCTGGACCTCCTTCCCACACAGCATGAGGCATGCCGTCTCCAATGCTTATCCTCCTGCTTATCACCACGTCTTCACTTCCCCCCACCCTCACCCCCCCCCTTCGCACCTGCTCCTGGCTCACCAGCCCCCCCACCGCCGCCGCCTCCTCCGCCAGTCGTGCCGCCACCCGCCCCTCGATCTCAGCAGCGTCAACAGCCAACTGGTCGTGTGTTTGGGGGGGGAGAGGGCGGTGTGTGCGAAGGGGAGAAGAGGGAGCCCAGCCCAGACCGCTCGTTAACCTCACATCCTCACATCTGCGCCTGCGTCCTTACCTGCCTTGGCAGGTGAAAACACGCATGCTGTAGGCCACGCAATCAACCCCATCCCCATCCCCATCCCCAGCCCCCCTACGTTCCCCCGCCCGTGGCCCACGCCGTCCTAAACACCACCCTCCCACCCCCCTACACACCCACCTGCACATCCGCCAGGCGACACAGGCACTCCACCAGCTCATTCTCCGCCGCTACCACCTTCTCCGCCGCCGCCTCTGCTGCCGTACCCTCACCACCACCACCCTGCGCCTCCGCCTCCGCCGCCTCCACCGCCTCTGCCGCCTCCTCCGTCAGCGCCCGCCACGCCGCCTCCGCCGCCGCCAGCTGCCCGCCCCGCGCCGCCGCCTCCGCCAGGCGCCTCAGGAACACCCCCCGCCGGCCCCGCAGCGGGTCGGCGGGCGGCGCGGCGTCAGCGAGCTGCAGTAGGCGGCTGTAGCACTCGGCTGCGGCTAACCAGGAGCCTGCGTGCGGGAGGGTGGTGGCCGGAGACGGCAGGGGCGTGCGGGAGGGTGGTGGCGGGAAGGCAGGAGCGTGCAGGTGTGCTCCTCCCTCTCCGTCCATGCCATCTCCCTCCATGTCTCTCTCTAAAACACCCCCCATACACACACATACACGCACATACACACACGCTCCTCCCCCCCTCTGCTCACCTGCCTCCCCGAACAGCTCCGCCAGCCCCTGCCACGCCAGCGGGTTGCCGGGGTCCAGATCGGAGGCGCGGCGGTAGGCAGCCTCCGCCTGGGGGAGGGGGTCGGGGGGAGGGCGGGTAAATAGGGATACATATTCCGCATTAGGCTGGATTAGGCTGGGGTCCGGGGGGGGTGCGGGGATGAGGAGGAGATTGGGAATTGGGTAAAGAAGTACGAGTACAACCGCTGGGGTGAGGGGCGAGGGGCAAGGGGTGAGAGGTGAGGGGGTAAGGGCTGAGCATGCGCGCAGATCGCACGTTGCCAGTGTAGGGCGATTGGGGTGGAAGGCCACAACACATTTATGTTCGCCCTTCGTTGCAACTCCAATCCATATCCGATCTCCTAACAAGCTACCCATCTTTCACTCCCACGTACACACGCACACACCGCCGGACTTCATCTTCCGGCAACCACAGTACGTTCCGCCTTGCGTCCAGTTTTCTTAACACACACGCACGCACCTGCGCATGCTCCTGCAGATGGAAGGCCGCCTTGCCCACGTAGCTGCATGCGGGAGGGGCGGGAAGGGACAGTGTAAAAGAGAGAGCCGCGGACGGAACCCTCATGCGATTTGAGCTGGAAACGGTGTGTGAAGCGGATTGATGTATGAACCACGCAAAAAGACATTGGCAGGCGGGAGCTGAGGCGGACGGTTGTGGAAGAAAGCCGCTTCCTCGTGTGTCGTTTTATGGCAAAGGGCCAAATGTCGACAGGACAGACTTCTGCGTTCCGCATTTTCCCTAAAAATGCGACCTGACGCTGAAAAAAGAGGTAACAGTGCCTTTTGGGGCTTCGTTGGAGTGCAGTGCGGAATGTGGCCGTGGCAATGGTAAATCGTTTTGGAAGAGGGAGCGATGTCTTGCTTGGGCGGCTTCGAGTACCGGTAGCTGCGTTCTGCTCTTTCAAGAAAGCAAGAAACAACTCCTCAAGTTGGTTTTAACAAAAACACGATGCATAATGACAGGGAAGGGGCACATCCAGGCAGCCATAACAAACCACAGCGCGGCTGCAGTGGCAAGGCGTCGCGCCGCTTTGCGTCGCTTCTTTGCCCCAAAACAGCTCAATTCTGGGTGCAATATTACACTCAAAGCCCCACGAAGGACATGCAAGAGCGCAATGTACAGCCATCTCGGCATAGGAACGTGAAGGCCGGCGCTATGAGGACTGGCCGAGTGTGCGAGCGTGCAGGTGCGACCCGTGGTCCTCGCTACCCACATGTACGCATCGTAGCAGGACTTGTCCTCCGCTAGGACCTCCTTGCAGTGCTGCAGCGCCTCCCGGTACTCGCGGCGGCCCAGGCACTCCCTAGCGCTGCGCAGAAGGCGCTTCACGCTGGATGACATCGGGATCGGATATTTTGCTAGTTAGACCTGAAAATGTCCGATCAGGAAAGCGCTTCACCAAGTATGGAGTTTCTTCAATAGTTGAAAGCAGCCATAGCTTTAACGCAGAATTGCAACACTAACGGCATTCACGTTCTCCTCTAGGAGAGAAAGCGATCTACGTGCATAATCTGAAATAATTTTCTGATCGTGGAGTGTTGTTTAAGCGCAAAAACGGCCATTTGCAGCAGCCGCAGCGGTGACGGTGCCATCAGGTACGACAAGGCCTGAGGCGAGACCAACCAGCCGAAAGCCCTAAGCAAGCGCGCGATATTTCTTTATCTGCACCAATTTAGGTTCAGTCCGCCCCACTGAATTCTGATAAAGGAGATGCCGCCTCGACATTCATGCGAAACGTGTACGGTTCTTCTTTGGGCCTTCCTTCATTCAATAAACGAACCATGCTCACATACCGGAGCATGCTACCGGCGGTGATACGTGGGCATAAAGGAGGGGGCGGGGTGGGGCAAAGGCCAGTGCTTCCGTTGTAAAGGACGTCATGAGGGGGGTGTGGTAGTGTACGGTCTGCATCGCTCGGAGAGCTGGAATGGGGACTCTGTCGGACCCACTCGCGGACCCCGGGCGTGATTTGCACCAAGTTGCGGCAACAGCCTGATCCGCAATCACAGCTGGGATGTTTGACCCGTTGACCTTAATGCAACTAGATGCTCGGGGTACCGGTACTCCAACACCAGGGAAGCGCGAGCTTAGGCCAAGTAGCGAATGGGCTGCGTTACACGACACGTTGCTGTGGATGCGCTGGCTAGCAATCATGTCCCCGAAGGCAGTATGCCCGTGACATGCCGGTAATGAAGCCCTCTGGCTATCGCACCGACCGAACCCTTAATAGGTTTCGTTAATCAGGCTCATAAGGCTACCGCTTGCCTTTCGAACTTTGCTACTTGGGATGGAACTTAAGGATGATGAGGCAAGAAAGCAATATCTGGCTCCGAAACCCAGCAAGAAATGCAAAACGCACAGATCAATGCGCTCACTACTAACTGGGACGCGTTTCACACTCCAAATCAGTGGGATAAACCTAGCATTGCAACAGCTGACTTCGCAAGCTTGCCTAGATGCTGACGCTCCGGACCCAACCTGCAAGCTTGCGCGGCCAACGCCGCTGCGTCGGTGCGTCAGCTCTCCAGCAAACTCATATTATACTAGTTTAGTTACCAAAACTGCCTGGCAACTGTAATGTTATCGTCATGATGACACGCTTCCAATGTTCTCCATGCTGCTGCCACAGGCGGGCAACTTCCGGGCTTTCCCATCCAAAGCCATGCGTGCCTGAGCGGTCCTGTGGTGCTGCTCCCCACTGTACCTCATGCGGCTCCAGCAAAGCAGCAGCAGCAGCACCGGCTACAGCACACGATGAAGCACCCAAGGGGCCCCGCGCCAACACGGGGTCTGGGCAAGGACGGTGCGTACGGTACAACACCCGGCCTCACCTCACCTTGCCTCACGGTGTGGTATGGTATGGCATACATGCTGTACCGTATGTAAAGCTGCTTCGCGTCGTACACATCTCTGTACGCTGAGGCACGCAACTGCCGTACATCTATGATAATCCTCTAGTACAGCACCTGCTCATGCCGTACCCTCGTACGTATACTTCATCTGCTTTAAACGTATATGCTTATCTGTCCGTACATGCAGCGGTGGACGGCTGGCTGGATATCACCAAGCTTGTTGCTGGAGGTGGAGGGGCTAAGACGCCGTACGAGGACTTTGCGTCGGCTATTGGTAAGCTTCATTGCATGCAAAGGAGCGATAGCCGATAGGACAAACGGGTAAGAGTATTGAGGGCAACAATGGCAAAAGGGAGATAGATAACCCTTATATGCATGCCCGCATCCCCACACGCCTACAGCAGCCCATGTGAAGCGCGGTGCTTCGGAGTGCGTGAAACACGGCGCCGCAAGCTGCTGCAAGCCACGAACAGATAGTTCCTGCTTGCATGAGCCCCAAGGGTGGTCTAAGATCACCGCAAACACCACTTCCAGGCCGCCACTCCCACGCATTGCTCTGATGACCGTGCCACGACTTTCCCTAACACGCCCGCACACCCGCCCGACCCAGGCCGAGACATCTATGTGGACATAGCGGGATGGCACCTGTACCTCAGGGTACGTGTGCCATTGGTGGAAGTTCGTACAGAGGCAGCCTGTTTTCAACCGTATTGTCGTACCTCATTAGCCTGTGAGCTTGCCCTGTTGCTCGTGTGCCGTACCTTCTCTGGGAAGCGCTCGCGGCAGTATATAATAACGGTTGCGATGTAGCTGTGTTGCAGTTACATAGCAGTTGCAGTATCAAAACAGAGTAAACCGCTGCTTCATCACCTGCATGCTGCCTTCTTTCGAACGTACCTTAACACCAGCCGTAACACATGCCGTACTCCCCTGCGGCTTGCCACGGGTCTTCCTATGGTCACGGTCGGTGTTACGTCCTCACAGGCATAATCCACTACCTGCCCTCTGTGCTTGTTGATTGCGCCATCGATGTCCCATTACCGTACCTGCATGTATGTGTACTGTGCAATGTACTGCACAAGCAGGACATGGGCGCCGGCATCCCCGGAAGCAGCCTGAAGATGAGCCAAGCCCTCGCGCAGCAGCTGGGACCGCAGGTGGGTGGGATCTGTGGTTGTAGTGGTGGTGTTGGTGTTGGTGGTGATGTGAGCGTGCTAATGGTGGGTGTTGGCTACTACAACACCTCTCGCTACGGTAATGGGTAAACTGCTGATGAATACCTCCTTGTTGGTGTGAGCGGTAAACCACTTCCTCCGTCCACGCCACGCCACCCACCCTCTCCACATGCACAAATTCGGTATCGGTAGGGGGCGCCAACCGTCACTTGTTTTGTGGCACCCAGCTGCCTCTTATCCCCATTTCCTCGTCCTAACCTGCCTGCGGTTTGGTTTCTCTCTGACTCTCCCATGCTTGTTAGCTCAACAAGGGTCTTCGAGAGGCAGACGTGGAGGGGCTTCTGAGGAAGGTTCCCGTCAAGTTGGGAGCCGGGAAGCTAAAGGTAGGCATGCCATTGTCCTGTACATGCAACACAAGCGCGGATCTTTGTACAATATGGTATAGTGCGTGGTGCGGTGCAGCAGTACAAAACGGTACAGGGATAAATGGGCGTGTCCTTGTATCGGTTGCATGGTAGGACCGTCTTTTTAGTAATTAACCCGGTTGGCTGAGGTGTTATGACTGATGGTGTACGGCGCCCCTTCTCTCGTACGTATGTACGACACCGTACGTACGACACAATCTCCGCGCGCACAGGCCTCGTTGTACGACGTAATGCCTCCGTTTTGTGTGGCGGACCTGGCGCGGCTGTGCGAGGAGTTCGGCCGGCGGTGATGACGTGGATCAGCATGCCATCATCTTCCTGCTGCCTGTGTCCCCCTGGGCCCTCGTTAGCTACTGAATGTATACCTATCTTCTCTAAGCGTCAGTCCCGTCAGTGTAGGATAGTGTTTACTAACTTGTCAGGCTGAGGATGGAAGGGTAGGATGCATGGTGGTGGCCTTACTTGGAAAGTGTGGGGGCTTGCTTGAGACACATTGTGCAGGAAGTATGCATGCAACAGCAAGGAACAAAAGGAATAAAAGCTTGCAGACTCAACAGTTGTAACTTCTCCTGTCCAATCAGCTTCTAAGCGCATTTCCACGTAAGAAAGTACAACGCATGTCGTATGTGCCTTGTACGACACACACACACACACACATGCGACCCTCCTCATGATGAGGGACGACATGACAGTGGTGGTGTGGCAGCAATGCGGCTGTACAGCATGGCAGTAACGCGGCGACAGCGGCGTGGCAGCAAGGAAGGACGTTTGCATTGGCGCGGCAGCAGCGGCATAGCAGCATGACAGCAGCGCGGCCGGGGCAAGCATGCCCTCCATTCCACGTCTCCACCGCACCTGCTAGCGCACTTGATCAGGAACCTCAGCACCCTCACGCGGTGGCCGTAGCGCCCTGCGGTGTGCAGCACGCTGCCATTGTGCTGCAACTCCTACTGCTCCAGCAGTCTGCTCGCCGCGTAAGGGTCCCAGCGCCGTCGACAGCCGTTCCTCCACAGCAGCCTGAAAGCAGAGGGCCCAGTATGCAGGTAGAGGGCCAACAACAGTGTTGCGAGATGTTGCCTGCGACCGCAAAACACATGTGCGAGGAACAGCGACTTGAAAGCACGTTCCCAAACATCAGCCTTGTCATGATTGAAATGTATGGGGTACCGGTAAACGTGCCTGTAGCGCCTGTAGCACACATGGTTGACTGCCGTACGGCTTGAGGAGCTAGAGCCGGTAGGATAGGACAGGGAGTCTGGAGCGCTGCACTATCATCCGCACGTGCCGCCGCGCACTATCCCGCACCCATCCCTATCGTCTCCTCCTCCGCCAGCCCTAGATCCAGCAGGCGGCCACGCACGAAAACAAATACATACCCCGCAGGTACGGCAGCAGCGTGACGAGCATGTGCAATGCGCCATGCGCACGTGTTACGCCCGTTGCTACAGCCACGGGCGTGACAAGATGCCGCCGCTGTCGCATTTCAAACATATGTTGGACTGGTATGCAGTGTAGCAGGATACGGATCTGCTGTCGCAGGGAGATCGTGCTGCACCAGCAGCCTCATAACCACGTTTCGGGCACTTAACCAGGGCGGCTGAGGGCCGGGCTGAAGCTGCGGCACCTGGGGTGGTAGTGCGTCGTGAGGGGCCTGCGGCGGCTGCGGGGATGCTGGCACGGTGCCCCCAGCTAGCTTCTCCGCTTGCTACGCAAGGAGGCATCATCAGTTCCGGCACCATCACCACTACTGCCCTCGCCAGCAGCCCGGCTGCTGGTCCCCGCAGCACGGATTGCGGCGTAGCACACAGTGGTACATACTAGTGGTAGCATACCAGCCCCTTCCCCCACCGAGATGCATACCGGTCAGGTGCCAAAGGTGACAAGGGCTCCGCAGACGGCTGCGACACTCCACCCTAGTGGCTGAGCGCCAAAATATAATGTACGAGTGCTAATACCGTACGAGCGTTTACGTGCACCTACTGTTTTCTCTTTCTTTTTACTTTTTCCTTTGTTTGTTTGTTGTGCGGTTCCATGAGCCTCCTGCCAAAGTGCGGGACCAAAGTGCAAACCTAGGTAACGGGCTCGTTGCACCCAGGGTATTACTTGTTACTGTCTTAGTGGAGGTCTGTCCATTGTCAACACCGTCCAAGTGGCATGCATGTCAACACGTATACCGCTTCATCAATAAAGGTGGTCGCAAGGACGCCCGGCCATCCTCTGGCGGCCTGTCTAGCGACAGTGCTGTTCCTCCAAACAAATGGTCACCTGAGGATGAAGCAGCATTCCAGAACGCAGTACGCACTGTGCAAGCATCCGGCGACAGCGAGTACAGCAGTGCGGATGGCAGTGAAACGGCAGGGGGAGGACAACAGTGATGACAGCTACTAGCAAGCTGCTGCGTGCGTTTCATGGGTGTTGCATTGTATTGGCATGCTGTTCGCAACATCGGACTCTGACCATTTAGCTGGGTGCCCTTGGAAGTTCCACATGCCCCTGGTGTCGTGAGAGGCGTACCACACTTGCTTACCTGCAACATTGACGCGTTCATACATAGGCCAACAGCTCCTCCTGCTTGCGGTAACGTGCACACGTGCACACCCAACAGAGTGGCCTGTGACGTACACGGACAATAGCTCATTGTACCACAATGTGTCGTGATGCACCCACACGTGCGAACACAAGGCACGCTGAACCAACGTACACAAACCTACTTATGGCCGTGCGCGCTTTGACACGCCATCACACTGCCAACCCTTCCATGACACACAAGGCACGCACACGCTCAAACCCCGCCCCATCAACCGCACTCCGCCCCATCCACGCACGCCACTGACAACACTCAGTGGGCAGGCCATGAGTTTGCTTCGGTCTGGTACTAGTGGTCATTCGCGAACGGCGGGCCCCGCCATGGCTGGGGCCAAAGGTGGATATGCCTCATCATTTCAACAGGCACTCTGGCTGCGACCAACGGCTGTGACGGGAACCTCCTCATGGAGTGACTTGTGCCAACCACCCACGCAAGTCCGCGAAGAAGCGCTCAAGATACTTCAGTAACTTTACCATGTGTACCGGTATACTGTAAGCGTTAGGCAGCACCGGAAGGAACACATTTACAGCCTCTTAAAAAAAGTCAGAACGCGCATGTCAGCCTTGTACGTTTGCATGACTATCAAGTTACGATGCCGTCAAAGAGGCTTGTCCAGTACGGGCATTTTCCAGCGCACGTGTACCACATGGGCCAAGCTGCTTTGTTATTGCTTACTTCTATTCATTTGGCAATTCTATGCATAGACCAAAGTTCGTCCTGGCTGTCCGTGGAGGTGCGAGCAATGAGCTGCACAATTGAAGAGCAGACTCGTTTCCGCTGCTGCACAACGTTTATACATACAGCCATACATTAGGGCCATATCCAGAAAGCTATAACGTGTTATGCAGACACGATGGAACGTGTGGTGACGATGACCCTTTGCGCTGGGCTGTCCCTAGCCAGCTGCCCTTGTGATCGTTAAATTCTAGTCTGTTGTCAGGCAAGAAGCTATGTCTTCCAGCATAACGTCCAGTGACCCTAAAGGGGACTTGGGGTGTCGCGCGTGTCGTTGGGTTTTGTGGGCCCATCAACTAGTAAGGGCCGCCTTCGGCGGGAGATGCCCGTAGCTCGCGGGAGGTGATGTCGAGGAAATGCGGTTGCACGCATGCATGTAGGGCGTGAGGATGCAGAAAGATGCTTAAGCACAAAAGGAATGGCAGCGATTGTTGCCAAGGCTGCTAGCATATGTAAACGGGTAGGAAGCACAAACAGCTTGAGGGAAGCCTAAGAAAAACGCAGCGTTGAAGGCACGCAGGTGGTGGAGTGCAAAACCCTTCCTACCCGCCCGAGTACCGGTGCTCATGCTTATGTGCGCATGCCGTGCCGTGCACTGCTGAAGTACCGGTACTGGCACCTGTGGGTTAGTCCGTCGAACCCACCCAAGCATCAACGCTGTTGCGTGAGTGCATACCGACCCGGCACAACCCACCCGGCGCATAAAACGGCATTGGTACATGCATGCATACCCGCCAGTACCGGTAACTCGAGGAACACACCGCCAGGTGGAGGGCATGGGAAGCGGCTGAGGGCGCGGCTGTTGGGGGGCAGGAGCCGGCGGGCCCAGCGCAGCGTTGCACATCCATCCTCTTCAACAGGGAAACGATGGTGCATCAGCTGTCATGCGGGTACGCAGACCCATTGTGCCCGTTTACCGCGGTGATGTACACATGCATCCCTGCCCTGCCCAGGTACCGAAACCAATGCGTTCGTGCCGAAATCCCCGCCCTACTCAGTTACACTCGGCCATGCGACCAGCGGCCCCGCCCTGCTCACCAGCTGGCACATGTGCGTACAGAAGTGAAGGCATTGGAGGTAGGAACTTCACTGGAAGGGCAGGAAGGCCACACGCAGGCCCGCAGGAGGCCCGCAAGGGTGCTGCACCGATAAGGGCACAAGAAACCAGGGCCTCGGGGGTAAGGACAGCCGAGAGCATTTTGGGGCAGGCACTGCACATGGAAGGGCACCGAGGCCCCACGGCGGGCCACATGAGGCCAGCGAGTTCGGGAAGCACACGGGGAAGGTCAGCTCTATGGGTTAGAGCATTGGGAGGCAGCCACCGCCGGATAAGGGCAGGGGCACAAGCGCGGGCCGCGCGTGTAAGGACAGTCGCATGGGGAGGGCATGGGGAGACCAGGTAGCTACAGCGCGGGGACGGGCATCCTGCACTGGGAAGAACTTACGCCGCGAGACAGGCACTGCGCGCATTTCTTATCACCTTCCGACGATCCAGGCACGCATTGCACGGGGAAGGGCAAGGGCAGGCAGACGCCTCACGCGGAAACATGGGGGTAGGCAAGCGCCGAGCGGGGAAGAGCCACTTTACGGCCATTGTAGCGGCCACATACTTCATTAGTAACCTCGCAGCGCGGGCAAGAGGTATCAGAAACGGGCAATGCCTATGTGAGGCAGTGGTTACGTTACAGCTCGCATGCATGAAGGCGTCGGCAAACCTGACATGCGGTTGAGCCGCAAGCAGTATACAAAGGATGACCATTGTAAACCATAGCTTCTTTGGAGTTACATGCAGGCTTTCTAGCAGCGGAAACGAGTCGGGAAGGAAAGTAAGCAAAGCTGGCAATACCCGCATGGGAGGCCGACGACCCCAAAGCCGGTAATGCGCTGCGGGAGAGAGCGCCGGAAGGCATGCCGACCCCTGCTGCGGAGGTTATGTGCTGCGGGCAGACCAGCTCCCCCCTTAATAGCCATGCACTTCGGCGCACGAGAGGCCGCCATACCCTCTGCTGGGCCGGGGTTTCGCTGCTGGAAGGCATGCTAACCACTGCCAGGGAGGAAAAACGCTGCGGGCAGGAAATGCGCATCAGGAGGGAACGCTGCATGCTCCCTGCCAGGCCAATAACGAGCTGCCGGACAGCACACAGCCCGCCGGTACTGCGCTGCGAGGGAGAAGCTGTCACTGCCAGGCCGGCAATGCCCTGACGCCGCTTGCTGCTAGGCCGGTAGCGCGCCACCCGCTTCGGTGCGGGAGAGGA